GCTTCTGGCAGACCCGCTCTTGACCTTGGTGATGGCACTTATGTCTTTTGCTGGCGCTGTTGGATCTTTCCAGCGCATTCAACAGTTCTTGGATAAAGAGGACCACGCTGATCGCAGGAACAGCTCCTCGCAGACTTTGTTCCTCGATGATCTCGCTGAAAAACGCATGCTGTCGAAGGCTAAGGACCTTGACCTGTCTTCCATTAACTCAGACTCTGTTGAGTCGCTCAAGCGCACTAGTGTTCCGCCTTCTGTAAACGCCGTCGTTGTCCAAAGTGGAAGCTTTGGATGGGAAGCCGACAAGGATCCAATTCTCAAGGACATTACCCTAACCATCCCTCAAGGCAGCTTCACGGTTCTCATTGGGCCGTCTGGATGCGGTAAATCTACTTTGCTCAAGGCTCTCCTAGGAGAAATCCCCTGTTCCGAGGGCAAGGTTGCTCTCGCGTCTCCCAGCGTTGCATACTGTGATCAAACCCCGTGGCACATGAATGGCACTATCAAAGACAGCATCGTTGCGATGTCTGACTATGATCCTCAATGGTATGCCTCTGTGATTCGGGCTTGCGCTCTGGAAGAAGATCTCGCACAGTTCCCTCGTGGCGACGCTGCTGTTATCGGAAGCAAAGGTATCGCCCTCAGTGGTGGTCAAAGCCAACGTATCGCACTTGCACGAGCGGTCTACGCCCGGAGAAAGATCGTGATCCTCGATGATGCCCTCAGCGGTCTGGACGCTACCACGGAAAATCACATCTTCCACAGCCTTTTCGGGCCCAGAGGACTTCTGAAGGAGATTGAAGCTTCAGTTATCGTCGCTTCATCTTCTGTGAAACGTCTTCCCTACTCCGACCACATCGTTGTCTTGGAGGCAGGTGGTCGGATTGGTGAACAGGGAAGCTTTGCTTCTCTGAACAAGACTGGTGGATATGTGTCAAGCTTCGGACTTGGGTTGCCTGATTGGGAGTACAAGCCTAAGCGATTTTCCGACTCTCCCAGTTACAGCAGCATGGATACTATCCAGAAAGAAAAAGAGGCATTGATCGAGAAGCCAGAGCATGCCGATAGGGGTGGTGATCTCGGAATCTACACATACTACATCGACGCCATCGGATGGCTCCCTGCGATTATCTTCATAGTCGCAATGGCTAGTTTCGTGTTCTGCATCTCATTCCCCAGCATCTGGGTAAAATGGTGGGCCCAGTCCGACACCGCACACCCCAAGCAGGAGATCGGCCACTATCTCGGTATATACGCGATGCTTGGCTGTCTTGCCATGCTCGCACTGATTGTCGGCAGCTGGCAAATGATCATCACCATGGTTCCAAAGTCCGGCGAGAGCTTCCACCGCAAGCTGCTAACCACTGTCCTCGCCGCTCCAATGCTGTTCTTTTCTACTACCGATAGTGGTTCAATCCTCAACAGGTTCAGTCAAGATTTGCAACTCATCGATATGGAGCTTCCTATCGCTGCGATCAACACTGTTGCTACGTTCTTCCTTTGTCTGGCACAGATGGCTCTTATTGGAGTGTCCTCCAAATACGCCGCTATCTCCTTCCCGATTGTACTCGGTATCTTGTTCCTGATTCAGAAGATGTACCTGTGCACCTCGCGCCAGCTTCGTTACTTGGATATCGAGGCCAAGGCTCCGCTGTACTCGCACTTCACCGATTGTCTTCAAGGACTTGTGACTCTGCGGGCCTTCGGATGGCAACACGCCATGGAGAAGAAGAACATCGCGCTCCTGGACCACTCGCAACGACCCTTCTACTTCATGTTCGCTATCCAGCGCTGGCTCACTCTGTCGCTGGACATGGTTGTTGCGGGAATCGCTGTTCTTCTGATCGTGCTGGTCGTTGCCCTTCGTGGATCAACCCTCAGTGCAGGCTACGTTGGTGTTGCCCTGCTGAACGTTATCCAGTTCAGTCAGAGCATCAAGCTTCTGGTTACCTTCTGGACCAACTTGGAGACGCATATCGGTTCCATCCAGCGCATCAGGGACTTTACGTCAACTGTCGAGTCGGAAGACAAGCCTGGTGAAGACCAAGACGTGCCCCCTAACTGGCCCTCGAAGGGTGCAGTCGCCTTCCACTCCGTCTCTGCGGCTTACAGACCCTCCGAGCCAGTTCTCAACGATGTCTCTCTCACTGTCCAGGCAGGCGAGAAAGTCGGCATCTGCGGACGCACTGGAAGGTATGACAACAATCTCCAATTCGATATTCTACGGATCCTATTCTAACAAAACAACAGTGGCAAAACCTCAATGATCATGAGCATCTTCCGAATGATCGAATTAACCAGCGGCATGATCACCGTGGACGGGGTAGACATCAGTCGACTCCCGCGACGGGGGATCCGCTCACTCATCAACGGCGTCTCACAAGACTCACTCCTATTCAAAGGCAGCGTCCGCTTGAATGCCGATCCAACAGGCAGCCATACGGACCGAGACATCTTGGCAGCGCTCAAGAGCGTCCAACTCCTCCCTGCGATCGAAGAAAAGGGGAACCTGGGCACAGACGTCGACGAGATCCACCTGTCTCACGGCCAAAAGCAGCTCTTCTGTCTTGCCCGCGCCCTGCTTCGCCCAGGCAACATCCTCATTTTGGATGAAGCAACTAGCAAGTAAGTCACTGCTCCCAGTCCTCCCTCGCTTCGACCCACATTTCCACTTCACAATTATTTTTCCCAATCCCCTGCATGAGCCTCCATCCGAGCGCGGGTAATTTCCTTCCCGCTTTGAGATCAGTACAATTCAGCCACACACACCGATTATACCCCCTTGCTGCAAGATCCAACACTAACCATTCTGAAACAGCATCGACACCAAAACAGATGAAATCATGCAGCGCGTTATCAGAGAGAAATTCTGTAATCATACCATCATCGCTGTCGCCCACAAACTTGACACAATCCTTGACTTCGACCGTATCGTCGTCTTGGACGCTGGTCGCATTGTTGAGAATGGGGAACCATACGCGCTTCTCACTGAGCCCAAGTCGCACTTCAGCAAACTTTATGCTAGTGCCATGGCGACGGAGGAGTCAGATTAATCTCTCTGTTCTTTGTTTTTTTTGGTTTTTTGGTTTTTTTTTTAGGGTCGGTTGTTTGATTGATTTTGGCACCTGTACAGGTTGAAGCGTCTGGTTACGATTTTCTTTTGGCGTGACAATCTTCCACATTCCCTTTTTCGAGGTACATATCGACAACAACATACTGATTTTCGGGCCTTTGCTGCTCGCTGGCGTTATATATTGGTGTTCTTGTTTGGGCTCATGTTCTTGTTACTTTTTTGGTTCTGATATGATGATTATTATGCTCTTCTTGACTCTCTTTCAATACTTTTATGACATTTTGGAGTGATATTTATGGTTAACTCCTTTATTTGACTCTTAACTCTTGATCCGTACGCTTTATCTTGATAATCTAGAGAATTAATTCAATCTCTGTTATGACTTTGAAACTCCTCTTGCAATTTTCTCTAGTAAATCGAAGGGATGGTTGCCTTGATTTTCTTCATCTATGCCATTCTCTACATATGGTTGAGGGGCAGCTATACAGCTCGCGATAATTCTTCGGTATGATCAAACAATAATAGACAAAACGTATGTAGTAAACTTAGATATATTGCTCTTTATTCTGCACCAATTTTCATATGTTGTAGAGATATGAGGCTTGAGCAACTATGGAGTTCCTAAATATATATATCACAGAACGTATATCCATTTTGAAAGTCGACCGCAATTGCTCGAGAAAATCACTACATTGAATTAATATCTGCTTAGTCGTATCCATATTCGAAACAAAGTACTTACCATTGTCTCTTGAATAATACCGGAATAAGCTCAGGGAGTCTCTCAAATTAGCCCATCTAGCAAGGGCAATATGACAGTCACTAACCGGATTTTCCCATAGTAAATTCTGACCACCTGGCTCACTCCGAGAGTATTTAAAGCTAACCATCAAAGAATCCAAGGCATAGAGAACAAGAATAGTGGGCCGCGTATGTGGCCTTACCATGTCTTTTATGTCCCATTTTGAAGGAGTCTTTTTAGGTATTTTCTCCCTTCGTTGTAGATGGAGAGCGTATCATCTGTCGCATCATCGTCACCTTGTTGGGAGGTCATGTGACCTCTGTTTGTCACCTCGTAGATCCCACAGATGGTTTCTTCTCTTTCCAATGCACTCAGATCTATCTTCCTCTCAGTTTATGAGCGCCTTGCTCGGTTGAAGCTTGTTTACCACATCTTCAACGTCTCCAGTCCTCCACTGGTGTCGCATTGGCACCACCCCACCGAGACCTGCCAGGTGGATAACATTCTCTTGGCGCTCTCCGCCCTCCGCGAATTTCATCTACATACCCTCACCGTCCATCTCTTTATCTTCACTATTATGTCCCCGCGCATCTAAAGTCACCATGGAAATGGGACCCCCGCAAAGCTGGAAGAGCTGCTTGTTGTGACCCCCCATACGCCCCTTGTGACTCGCAAGAGAAAGGTCACACCCTCGTTAGAGCTATAATCCCCTAGCAAAAGCTGCATTTTATCTCCTGATGGGGTGTTCTCTTCGGGCCAGACAGTCCTCCGTCTAGATTATTCACCCCTTTTTGCATCATCGAAGCATCTTTTCCCGTTGGGCGAAGCTACTATCAGTAAGTTACGGCCGTAAACAAAATAGGATAACGCAACCCCGGATTCCCCAGATTTTAGGTAAGCAATGCAATCTAAGTGTCCACGGCGCTACGGCCGTATGCCATGCACTCAAAGTTTGGGCTGTTGCGAAAAAAAAAGATTATAGTGGCTTAGTTCAGGGGCAAGAGACTCTTAGGTGAGGTAAGAAAACTTTTCACGCCTAACAAACCATTTCACTGGGGTAAGCAAGATCGTGGATCGTGTTCATCAAAGTATATAAACCCAATCAACCCCAGAAACAAGTTTACCATCATTGCAAAGGTTCCTTTCTATTCTATACTAATTCAATATCCCTGAGACTGCTACGTGACCATGTCAGATTCTCAACACTTTGTTACATTCGGGCCCAGTGCCAATTGCACCCTTGAGGTATGAGGCAACATCGTTATCTATCTCCCTAATACAAAGGCATCGAGGAAGAATTCTGATGCTGCTTCTCCTAGTTATGTCCAGTTGAACACAGTGTATATGGCTATCGGCCATCTTTCGCAGCAAATGTTGCTTTCATAGCCCTTTTCAACTTCGCCATGATAGTTCACATCTACCTGGGAATCAGATGGAAAGCTTGGTGGTATATGTGGTGCATGATACTAGGGTGTGCCCATGAGACTACCGGTTACATTGGACGCGTTCTGATGTACTACAACCCGTGGAGCTTTGTTGCATTCATCATCCAAATCAGTGAGATCTTCCCACGCGAATTGGTGACGTACGATTTTCTAAAGAAGCTAACACTATCAGTCTGTATCACGCAAGCCCCAGTGTTCTTTTGCGCTGCTATCTATGTGACACTCGCTCAAACGTAAGCCATTTTGCGATAACTGTATATACCCCCAGGAGAATTAACAGAATCTAGAATCAACCACTTCTCACCAAAGCTGGCTCGCTTCCCTCCGAAGTTCCTCTACTGGATCTTCATTCCGTTCGACATTATATCACTCGGCCTCCAGGGTGCCGGGGGTGCTTTGTCGGCTAGCTCCTCGGGCTCTAGTCAAACTGGCGTTAATATTGCGATGGCCGGGCTAATTCTCCAGGTTATTATGCTTTTTGGATTCTCGGGGCTTCTCGGCGACTACGTGATCCGATACCTGCGGTCAGAGAATGCTCCACAAATCGGCAGACGTGCAAAGCTTTTCTTCGGTTTTCTATCCCTTGCTGTGCTTACCATTCTCATCCGTTGCATCTTCCGGGCTGATGAGCTGAAGGAGGGTTACAGTGGGGATCTAATCTCGAATGAGGGTTTGTTTATTGGCTTGGACGGAGTGTAAGATTCCCTAGCTTGTCATAGTATTATTTGAAGGCTGTGGTCATAACTAACATATTACAGGCTCGTTGTTATCGCTGTGTTTTGCCTATGCATTGGCCACCCGGGGTTTATATTCAAGGGCAAGAGACTTCCCAAGTATTCCAGTGTTAATGCTGCCGAGATGCATCAGGAACTTATCTATGCACCACACGAGGGACAGAAGCTTGTTGTTTAAAGAACTACAGGGGTGGCAGAAGAGAACGCTAGGATCTCTTCATCTGTATAGACTTTGGTCTAGCGGACTTTTATCTTCATTTTCTGGGCGTTTTTACTTATCCTTTTCGTTCTGTGACTTCTGTATGTACGTATCTATGAATAGATTTATGGTATGAGGGGAAAAGCCAACAATTGGAGTGTGGTGTAATCAAGCTTAAAGCAATCTCGGCATCTCTACACAGCTGGAAAAGTAGGAACCACGTTCCTCTTGGATTTATCAGCCACTTGTTTACTGAGAATACCAAAGACACGAAAAGAACACTTTATTTCATTGAAATTCGCGGTGATTCTAGCGGCGAGAATCATGCTACAATATTTGAAACTCGTCTCTTAGAATCAATCCTCCAGTTAAAGCTAATAACAATTGTCCGTAATGGTGTAATAATAACGCGACCATTGCGAGATAAGTATATGATAATTTAAAAGAGTAGACCGAGGTCCCTTCTGTTCTTCTAATTTCAAGATAGATCTGTTGTCCGCCCATATTTTGAAGCTTATTGTAAATAAATCTCCAAGAGAGAGTTTCACAGAGAGACACGTCAAAATGCATGTCTAACTGCAAGACTAGATTGCGAGCTATAGAAGCTAAAAGCTGGAGGAGCTGAGATGACTATCTAATCTGAAGAGATATTTTTCCCGAGGTTGCGATTTGAGACCAGCTTCACTTGCACCTAAAATCCATTACTGATTTCACCGTTGGTTATCCTCCACAGGCGATTGAGGTTCCAGTCTTATTGGCAGATCTCTATGCAGAAGGAAGGTTTTGGTATCCCGAGGGACAATCATTGGGATCGAAATACTCCACGCCCCACTGGCAAGTTCCGGTGCTGGAGATGTCTTTGCCTTGATTTTGACAACAGGATTAGCTGGTTTCTTTGAATCCGAGACCCACGTTATAATAGCACAATGGGTTCTTCGGGGTTTCCGGGTACATATCCCTTAACATACCTGCAGCATCCACAAGGGAGCCCAAATAAAAGTAGACATCGCCGTAGTCTGCTGGCCATTGCAGGAGTCCTGGTGGGCAGAAGAAATATCCTCCCGGTCCCTGCTGGCAGGCTCGAATATAAGCCCATCCACCCGCAACCTCAACGCTAGACTTCGGTGCAACATAGGTTGTGGAGCCGTCGGTATGCTCAACATTGACATAGTAGGCCGCATCATTGTTGTGCTATACGAGATGGTAGAAATATTTAGTTGATTTTTTCTGAAGTGGAACTTTCATCGCCCTTGACTTACGAAGGTGGTGGCTGCAGTAGTACCCGCCAAGCAAGCGACTATAGCAGTTAGGATGGTATTGTTGATTTGCATGATGTCGTTTGGATGGTTCGTCTTTCTTGGTGATTGGAAATGTTTTGCTATTTCTTTGACAGCGAATCTATCTGGTATTTAACTGAATCCATGTAGCATATCTGATGTTGACGATCATTGATACATAGAGAATATCTCCGTGGAGTCGATATACACAGTCTTTAGGCTGACCCTCTTACGGCCGCAAAACGTGCGGATGGAGAAGACCATGTACAATTTTGTTTATAGATGCTCTAATAGGTAAAAAGTGGAGTCGGCTAGGTTTAGCCAATCATATCATGGCATCTTACGGCCGTACCAGAGCTCCCCGAATGGAGATATAGTCGGGAATATTTTGTTGTTAAAGCCGATGGAAAGATTCGAAATCACTGCTGACCAATTCATGAGAAATCATATCATAATACACCGTGAGATGATTGTATCATGCAACTATGGATCTAGTACTCTTGTTACGGCGATCCTTTTAAGGAGAAAATGTTATCCTCATATGTAGATATTTCGTAGTATCACCACAATTGACATCATACTGGGCTAACACAATAATTTACACACTATGGAAAACTCTGATGGTGCCAGGACGCAACAGGAAATGGCCGAGACAAATCTAGACGAAGAAAAGACGCAAGAGGTTGAATGGCCAGACGACCCAAATAACCCGAAAAACTTCGTGGCCTGGAGAAAATGGGTGATGGTTTTAATTGTTTCATTCAGCTCGCTCTGCATGTATGACATTTATCTGTAAAATACGAACTATAGCAGCTAACCGTCAGTCTCTAGCACATGTACATCCGCGCTATACTCAGCGACTTACGAGCAGATCACTGTGCAATTCAAAATCTCCGAGCTTGCTGCCACAGTGGGACTATCAGTGTTCATCCTCGGTATGGGTGTTGGTCCTATGTTTGTAGCTCCTCTTTCTGAGGTTTGAAATCTACCTAGTTGCCCCCGTGTTGAGATATACTAATCCATGCCGAGCAGTTCTACGGACGGCGTCCTATCTATTTAATCTCCCTAGCCTTTTTCGTCATTTGGCTGATCCCATGCGCTGTCGCAAAAAATCTGGGAACCATGATCGCCGCCAGATTACTCGGCGGACTGACCAGTGCGGCTTTTCAAAGCGTGGCCGGCGGCACAATCGGCGACTTGTTTACTCGAGAACAGCTACAACTTCCAATGATGATCTATACAGCAACGCCATTTGCCGGTCCTGTGCTTGGGCCTATGCTTGGGGGGTTTATAAACTACAACACGTCGTGGTATGTGCCGATAAACCATTCTGATTAAGGTTTCAGCCGCTAATAGAAAAGCTCAGGCAGTGGTCATTCTACATGATAATTATTTGGAGCGCTGCGCTTTGGGTCTCATGTATATTCTTCATGCCAGAGACCTATGCGCCCGTTCTCCGACGACGAAGAGCGCAGAAACATGCTGTCACCGGTGACGAAGTCATCCACAGCCCAACAGACTCTATGAAAGGAGCCCTAATGAAGTCAATGTACCGACCCTTCGTACTTCTCGCCCTCGAGCCCATGTGTCTGTGTCTATGCATCTACACAGCTATCATGATAGGGACTTTATACCTCTTCTTCGGGGCTTTCCCTTTGATATTTGCACACACATACGGTTTCAATCTCTGGCAAGTCGGATTGACATTCCTCGGCCAGCTAGTCGGGACATTTATCGGTGCATTGCTCGATCCATTCTGGCGCTGGAATCTTCGACGTCTGATACGAAACCACCAAGCTAAAACACTTGATGAGTCGGGAGACTTTCTCCCTGAATTTCGACTCCCACCTGCTATTTTGGGCGCGCCTATGATTGCAATAGGGCTTTTTTGGTTTGGATGGAGTAGTTACCCCCAGGTGCATTGGATAATGCCAGTTATTGGGAGCGGTTTCTTTGGTTTGGGGTAAGCTTATCCCTCACTGCTTTTGAATATTGGATATTAATCTTGACATAGTGTTTTCCTCGCGTTTCAGGGGATTCTCACATTCCTAGTCGACGCATATCCGCTTTACACAGCTAGTGCACTCGCTGCGAATGCCTTTCTTCGCAGTGTCTTTGCAGCTGCCTTCCCACTTTTTGGTGTTCAAAGTTGGTTCATCACTATGATAGACATTGAATTTTGCTAATACGAGGACAGTGTATGAAGCCTTGGGCTATCAATGGGCTACGTCTCTCTTGGCCTTCTTGGCTGTTGCGATGCTGCCTTTTCCGTGAGTACTGCTGAATCACGATTCTCTGCCTTGGCTGACAGATTCAAGATACATATTCTTCAAATTTGGCCCTCGCATTCGGGCTAAGAGTCGTTTTACTGCAGTAAAATAAGATTTGGCTAGGTGAATCATAAGGGATCGACGGGATACGCTACATAGTGTAAATTAAAATAGCAGGCGATACAAAGGAAAGCATGCATATGTACGGAGTAGGGAATGCTCAATTGAAATTGTATATTATCACATTTCTTTCCTAAGACTTCTAATTCGTACTTGCCAAAATCTACCTGATAGCCCCGGTAGCCATTGTGGTGAAACCAAACATCTTTCCTGAGATCAAGTCCCCGAAAACAAGCCCATAGTAATCCTATGACATTAGAAAAAAACGAAAAAGCAAATCCTATTTGCACCCCATCCGATTATGGACTACCCTAACAACAAAGAAATGAAAACACCATGTCAAGTACCATACATTGGAATAAAAGAAGATCAAATTCGACGGACGTGGCAACCCCCAGGGCCAAAATGCAAAGAGTCATAGATAAGTCCCCCGCGGAGTACCAACTACAGAACCATCGTTTCATCATTATCCACATCCTTCTCTTCATCAAGACCAAATTCCCAGTCTCCACGCTCAATCCGACTGACGCGGTCAAGCTCAGACTGGAATTCGCGGCGCAGGTGATCCAGCGTGACGATGATACGACGCTTGAGCAAGTTGTTGGTCGCAGGGACTTCGAAGGACACAATGCTGTTGCGCCGTTCGATGGCGGAAGATTTGCTGCTTCCTCTGCGGTGGGCGGGTGCGAAAGCCACGGCATTGGATGATTGGCGCTTGCCTCCGAGTGGTGTGGGGGAGGCGGGGTCGACGTCCTCCATGGAGACGTTTCCGTCTTCATCGGCTTGTGTGCTTGGGCGTCTTTCAGGGGGAGCAACCGGGCCGGCGCTGATTGGGGGTCCGTTCTCGACGAGGATGTATGCTTCGCTTTTGTCGACACAAGCGAGGAGGTTGATTAGTGACAACAGCTCATGGCGGATTTCCTTGCTTTCGGCATCGTCTTCCTCAACTGGCGACCGGGCTGCATCGTCCGGTTCCCTGTTTTTGAGAGTGAGGGCTGATGACGGGGCATCTCGTGCTTTGCGGAGGCGCTGGACGTTGCGGTAGGCGATTTCCGCAGCGCCGCGGTAGTCACTGCGGGCAATGCGATAGGCCTGAAGAATGCGGGTGTAGTCGGGGGTGGCTGGGAAAATTTTGTTGTCCGCATCCAACCAGGATACATTGGTGGTCTGTTTTCGGGTCAAGTGAACGAGGATCTCGTCAATGAAAGATGCGATGTTGGGCACGAGTGAGGTGGGGAAACGGAGAATCTGCTTGAGACCAGCAGTGCCGGGTCCAGAGACTGCCAGGATGGTGGAGACGAGCTCGGTAAGCTCGGTTTTTTGTAATTTGAGATCCTGCAACCTAGCCAGAGCGGAGTATGCCTGGTCAAACTGGCAAGTCTTGAGGGCTCCAGTGAACAGACGAGAGAGCAGATCGTCGCGTACGGTCGGGTATTCGGAGTCTTGCTCAGCCCAAACTTCAGAGTCGAGGGCCTGCAGCGCCAGGCTGGCAAAGTCCGCGACATGGGAGTATGAGCGCACTTTTTCAAATATTGAAAGGATGTGCTGGTAGTATTTCGCAAGGCCGTTGTGGAAGCAGTCAACATCCAGGAGGTCTAAGAGCTCTGCTGACATGTCGGAAAGATTGCCCATCGGCTTGCCGCAAGCTGCTTTTGGGTTAGCTGAGGTACACCAACACGGGAAATCACCAGGAGATACGTACAGAGCAGATAAGCTGCCTTCCGGAAGTAGATTGCTGCGGTATCGAATTCCGACATGGCCACATGCAAGCGGCCCTTGACATACGTTGACCAGGAAGTACTTGCCTGGAAACGAAGGAATTCCCATGCAAGATCGATGTTGTTCTTGGCAATGAGGTCACACTGGATGTGGGCCACTGCGTTCTCATAGTTCACCTCACCTTCGCGGGTAATCCAGGCCACGACATCTCTGATCCCCAAAGTCAAGGTGTAGCTTTGTGGGGAGTCAATCGCTTGCTGGGGCTTGATATCGGTAACAAAAAGATCCTCCAGAATGCTTGCAGTTCGTTGACTGTTCGTCTTCGAGCTGTCTTTCAGTGAATATCTCTGCATCGGGTCGACACGGGACTTGCTTGTGCTGTCGGGGCATTTGCGGACATTCGAGCTGAGCCAAGCCATCATCTCATATTCACGTAGGAGATCAACAAGCATTGAGAAAAGGTCGGACGCATCGAAGTCGGACTTGGTTGTTTGTTCCCATTCGCCATCCACGAATGTGACGAGGATTAGTAAATCGAAAAAGATTTGACGAGAGATAGAAATAGTCTCCTGGGCACCACTGACAAGAACTCGGGCGCCAAAGCAGGTTGAAGCAAGTTCCGAGTCTTCTCCGCAGAAGTGAAGGGAGGCGGTCTGAATAATGGCAAGGAACGCATCCATGGACAAGCAATCGGTTCTCATGTGTTCACTCAGGGCCGCATCTAGAGTGTCAAAGGATTTGTTGGAAATTTGATTGGCAAAGTCAGAGCGCTCTCGGAAGTTCTCCATGCGGTCCATGATCGATGAAGAAGGCTCAGAAAATATTTCGGCCTGGAGAGCGGCTCGGCATGCTCCCTCAAGCTCTGGGGAGAATCTTTTCCGGAAATCGGTTGCCACTTTCAACAATCCAGAGGCAGTTTCGAAGTTCGGGCCCAGCTCTCTTGAAACATTGCGATGCCTCCAGCGGTCGACCATCTTCGGCACCCCATCGCTAAGTTCAGAACTGGAATTGTGCAAGAACAATTCAGTAATGCTGCATTCCCGCACCACGGCGCAGGAGTCTGACAGAAGAAGCCACGGCATATCGGTGTATGAGTCGTAGGCGAGAGAAATAGGTTCGAACCGGCGTTTGTTAAGGTCTTCCGCAACTTGCCAGAACTGACGCCACTTTGAATCTGTATCTGAAGTATACCGGGAGTAGTCCATCTCATCGTCAGCAAATTTCCGAAGAGAGACTGCCGCTGCTATTGTAGAGCAGAGTCGTTCCGCCAAAGGCAAACTCTTCTTCAGCCCTCCAGATGAAGTCGACGAAAGTGGCTTGATGGCCTCCTGGTAAACGGCCAGAGCAGTCTCAAGGACTTCCGGCAGATATCTATTCGGCTGCAAGAGGTACTGTAGCCACTTTTCAGTGGGGTCCACCACATCATCCACGACCAGAGGTGGCGGCGATTCTTGTCGATGGGTTTCGAATGTTGTGGAAACCCAGTTGGAGGCCCAATCCGTAACTAGAGTTTGGAGGTTGAAATGGAGGGTGTAGAGTTGGTAAAGACCGTGGTTTCTCCAGAGCACCCACAACTCCATTCCCTTGCCTTCTTCCCGGGATTTGACCTGGAAATCAGCGATGTTCCAGAACATATTACCCGTGGCATCGGGGTCCACAGGTCGGAAGACAGCATCTGCGAAGAGTTCCTCAATAATGAGTTCGGATGTCAAGCCACCCTTGACAGCCCAAAACTTGAACTTTCCGTCCTCAAATGGCGAATATGTGACGACATAGAAGCGATGTCCACCATCCATAGCTCGCTCGGCGTTGAAGACGCGCATGAATGATGTCTCAGCGGGGTTCAGCGTGTAGGGTACAAGATCCGGGTCCTGAAGCGAGCGTCCCAGGAGGTCCTTTGTGGCCGCTAGCTTGTTCGTTGCGAGATTCCAGATCTTAAGAGTGTGGTTCAAACAAATCGCGAAGACGTATGTCTCATCGGAGGTAGTGGCAATGGCATTTGCGACATGCAAATCGAGATTGCGTCCGTCGTGTTTGATCGAGGAGGGTGCGTTCCATTTGACGAGGCCTCGAATCGAAGAGCCCCATGTTCGTTCGTCAAAAGTGAGAGGAGACCAGTGGGAACCTAGTTTCAGAAATAATTAATAAAAAGGAGTGTCGCAAAAGTAGCAAGACCAAGAAAAACCACTCACCATCGTCGCCAGCTCTCCGGGTCAGCCGCAGGAGCGCGCCATTATCGAGAGAGATGAATAACTCCAGGGTACTGCTCGCGTGTAGTCGGTGGGGGTTTGAAAAGGCCAGGGGGGCGGGGAGGCACGTCTTGCACCAGTCCCTCACATTTTCATCGATTGAGGAGGTCCGGCGAAAGAATTCAGGGCGTAGAGACAGGGTGTGAAGGTGCTTAGAGGCGGTGATCACAAAGACATTGATGATTTCGTGGTCCTCGGAGTCGGACAGTTCAACACCAAAGGGAAGAATTTGCTCCTGGAAATCCAGTCGCAAGGTCACATTGTATTCGTAAACTTCCATCCCACCCTTCGTCAGGTCCGCGCACTGGATCTCCAGCACTTTGTTGTCGTTGATGACCCTCCACAAGAATGTCCTCGGATAAACCCTGCGCTTCCGGAAGTAGATTTCACCCTGTGTCGCGAGGTGACGTCTAGCGAATTCATCTTCATCTTTGGCGATTGGAAGTTCCTCGGTGGATGAGATCGAAAAGCGTGGACGACGGATCGCGGTCTCTTGAGTCGGAATCTGGATATTAGCGACCGTGGTCGGCGAATAGGGCCGAAGGTCGACCCTTGAGTCTTTGTAAATTTTCGCCATGATCGATTGACGTGTGTCAACTTAGCACTCCATGGCCGGGGAAGTAGAAAGGTTGAAAGATCGAAGGGCGGGAAGCTGGAGCTCTCAAAAAACATGGGAAGTCTTGGCGCGATAAAAGGCCTGAGATTGATGGCTTCCGCCCTCGACGTTCACTCTTAGACTACACGTTTTACTCTATACTACCTATATTCCAAGGTTATATTACTAGTGAAATTTCAAAACTTAAGAATAAAGAGAAATTAGTCTTTCTAAATCCGCTACTATCACAAAAAAAAAACACCCCCCCTCAACGCTGAGATGCCACGGGACGCTCTAACCACGTCAACAGCTCTTGAATGTAATGCTCATCAAGTCAATAACATCGTGTCGCAAAACAAAATAAGCGCAATCTTGAGAGAAAGGTCGACTCACTTGTCTTCCAAGTCCTTCTCACTGGGATCACCGATACCATTATCATTGATAGCGAAAAGGCAATCACTCTCTGGAAGACATGGGCTATCATAAATCTTGCAAATTCGAGTCTCACCTCGGCCCTTCTTCAGACTGAGTCGAGTGGTACTGGCGTGAGCGATGATATTACCACCAATGGGTTTCTTGGGATCCGGATTAAACATGGCACTGGGGCCACCATCGACTTGGGCAACGACCTGATTCGTGATGACGACTGCAATTCCAAATTCATCGGCAAGGCGTTGCAAAGTACGCATGAACTTAGCCAAATGGCTCTGCCGTGAGGCGAGCTCACCACGACCGTTGAAATCCGTTCGGTACAGAGATGTCGCCGAGTCAACGACCAAAAGGGAGAATCTCGTTTCACACATCATCTGGGAGGCCTGGTTAAGCAACTGGAGCTGGTGATCCGAGTTGTATGCTCGTGCGTATGCCACATTATCAAGGACCTCCTCTCCAACGAGACCGTATCGCTGCGCGACCGCAAGCAATCTCACTGGACGGAAAGTCCCCTCTGTATCGATGTAAAGACACTTGCCCTCGCCACCGCCCATATCAAAAGGCAGCTGGCAGGTTACCGCGAGAGTGTGACAAATCTGACTCTTTCCCGTTCTGAACTCTCCGAAAATCTCCGTGATCGACCCCGTTTCAACACCACCTCCGAGCAATGTGTCAAGACGCTTGGATCCCGTTGTGATCGAGATGAGCTCGCTTCTCCGGGCATGCATTTCGGTCGCCGTGGTGAATCCCATGGGCACCAGTTTTGAGGCTAATCAAGCACATTCTCATTAGCGAAATAATCCCAAATCAAAAGTTGTAGTCTATCGCAGCAGAGGACATACCTTCTACTAGGATCTTGGTGGCCTTTTGTTCCGAGATACCCTTGATCTGTTCCAACAACCGCTTAGGCCTAAAAGTCACAGTGTGCGTTAGCCAGATTGATATGAACAGGGCAATGGATATAGCAAAGCTGCCACCGGAGAAAAAAAAGCCGCAATGAGCGTGAAGATCATGGATACGTACGTGTAGGCGATAGACTCGACAGTGTTATACCCTGCATCCACGAACAACTTAATATCCCTAGCAGTCAAGCCAGAAACACCCTATCACAATAAAATTAGTATAAAGATCCGACATTCTGCAGCGAAAGCATATCGCCGTGGCATTCACTCACGTCGAGCGCAGAAAGCGGGGTGGGCGCACCAGGGCCAGGAAGCCCACTATCATCGAATTGCTCTTCTCCCTCCATACTGGCAGTAATACCGCTCGGTTCTTAATGTTATCAGGATCTTGATTCTTTGGCAGGGTCCCTCGACTCGAAAGCAGCGTTGATGGATCCACTCAAAGAGACGCGTTTGGGTGAGATGATTACTTGCTCTCCTCGGTTTGAATACCAAACAAAGCCACAGATTTCAAGTAATCAGTCAACAAGCAAGCAATCTCTGATTATGCAAAGTCTGAAAAGTCTGAAGCGTCTGTTTGTGGGAAAAAGTTCAGGATGACTCCGAGTCAACAAATCGGACGCGTCGAATGGATCGCGAGATCACGTGGGGCTGTGCTGCCTTGAGCCTTTCCGGTTTTGGAGAAGCAAACTGTTTCTCTTTCAAATTTGTGGAAGCGCATGTATTTACGGACTACTTTGTTTTTCTTATGCTACCTTATGATTCAGTGTTCAGGATATTTATTGGGGTGGATCAATTACTGTACACCCGGTGGATCGGATGCCAATGGTTCAATATGCAATAACAAAAGGTGTAAGAATACAAATCCTGCAATGAACTGCATGCTGAGACCCCATCTGTCCATTAAAACATATTCTCTCAAGGTTCTTCTGAGTCATGGAAAACCCAAGTACTGGAAAACTGCCCATGAGCTGCTGCAGCGCAATATCAAATCAATGCTAAATGTTCGAGCAAAAGCAGGTGTTGAAGGTCCTCCAAGGTGTTTGTTCCGATAAATTCGGTTTCCTTGCGAGGCAACGACCTTTTGTGAACCGCATCTCCCTACTGTTGATTTCCAGGAGAGTTGAGCCACGGACGAAAAGGACGAAGCAACGACTTCCGGAACCGTCTCTGGTACTGGCGCAGAGCCGGATTGAACTCCAGCTGCTCAGCTGGCAGCCCCAGTTGGATATTGTCGTTGAAGATTTGGCTCATCCTGCGTCGGAACTCTTCGGATGATCGCCGGCGAAGACGATCTATGAATCGCCATTAGTTTATCTGGTCAATCCCTACATCGTGGCTTGACTTACGCATGGATCGTGATCTTCGCTTTCTCTCCGATGAATGACCAGAAGATGACTCACTTATTGCCGGGACATAGTCCATGTCTTCGTCAGCGCCATCCAATCCTACTCGGTAGTCCTTCGTGTCGGGATTAGAGGTTGTACCGAATATGCGCGTGTGGAAGCTAGCCCGCTTTTCGTTGCGTGTTGTGTCCTTCATTCCGATCAGTGACTCCTCCCGTGCAGGTGACATGCGCATCGCATTTGGATTGATGGGCAGACTGGCTCGACTATGCAGTCCGGCGGGTCTGTGGTTCTCGTAGATGAAGCCTGCGGAGGCTAGGTCGACCTCGGAAACGACTTGGCGTTGGGCAGCCGGTGGCATAGGATTTGGGCTGATCATGGGACTCTGAGATCCCACCGAGGACCTGGAGGTGTCAACGGTTTTATGCAGCGACCTTGGCGCTGGACTGACCGGCCGACTTGGAACTGGAGTTGCGGGCTGGCACGGACTTTGCGTGGGTGTGTTGGGATCTGAAACCCAGATCCCTTCAACTTCTACTCCTCTTTCCAAAGCTCTGGCGCCGAAAGGGATGTCATCCTTGTGTAGCATTGGGTACACCTCAGCTTCCGACTCTCGTTCTTTTGCCTCTGTCGCAGCATATTTGTTCATCATCCAGCGATTCCAGCCGAGGACGCAAAAGGCGTAAAGGAGCACCAGGGACTGCAAAGCTTGTCAGTTGGTGTCTTCGTGGCGTTACCATGGAGTCACGTACGATCAGCATGGCTAGTACCTGTCAACGACAGTCAGTAGGGAATCTCGCAACCATAAGTTGTATACTTACGATGCTCAGCTTCTCCCATAGCTCCCAGTCCACCCAGAACGCCATAGTGGCTGGTTACTTTGAGATGTACTCGGGCTTTACCTGCATCCGACTAAGAGTGTTCAAAGTTTATTTTGAGGCACGGATGAAAGAGATTCACGGATAAAAAAGACACTGGAGTGGAAAGGTTCTTGGGTTCGGAGATGAGAGCAGAGTTGATCTGTTTGGGGGAACAGGGAAAGGGCCCAAATTTAGGTGATGGCAGTGATGGCAGGAACGTCTGCTCCAATGCATGACCATATATCTCCATCTCTATAAGAATTTTGTTTCCATTGTTTCTTTTTCTTTTTTTCATATCCATGGTCTCTATCCAAATAGTATGCAAACATACGAGTACACAATATGATTTGCATACTTCAACGACCATGTGGATATAAAATGTCCGGTTTCGATAGGCGTCATATGAATTTGCAGCTATAAACGCAGGTATTAAGGAACACCAAAAAACTTGAACCCCCTGATATTGATTGCTATACACAAAAAAGAAAGAAAAAATGCAAAAAATAAATCTCTCCCTCGGGGAATCGAACCCCGGTCTCCCGCGCTTATCGGTATTAATGACAAGCGGAAATCATCACCACTAGACCAAGGAAGATGCGATGGCTGAGTTACTGCTCGGCCACTTGGCTGGTTGATGTGAGGACCTGCCTTTTTTGACCTGATGAGCAAAGATCGATAAGAAGTCATAATTGATTATTTTGAGGTACAAGACATCATCAAAGCTACTTTTTCACCAGCATTTTTCTGTAATTTTCAAAATTCCTATTGCACTTCTTTCTTTCCAATTATTACAACCTTAGATTCTTGCCTATGTGTGTGTGCTAAGGGGGTGGAAATTAATTGGCTCACACTCGATTATATATATTATCTCAAAGCTCTCCAGGTTACCACAACTAACCACCCAAACAAAATAAAATCAATAAGCCCTATCTGATTTATACTCAAAACACTGCAATGAGCCCCAGACTTTGTCTTTCCGAGGAGACAAGTACCCCGTCATGCCATCCTGACAGCCCTTAAAAGCCCCATAGGTCTCTCCTACCCAGTCCTCATCCCTACATTTCTTGCCCGAATACACATAACATTTGCCAGATGTGATAGTAAATGACTTAGGCTTTGTGAGTTTACTAGAAGCACAGGTGTGCCAGTTGAGACCACCGTCAGACCACCATCGACAGGACGTGGTTGAATCCGAGATTTTGGTCTTTGTATCCTCCGCGAGAATAATGCAATTCCCAGCATTCTGGTCTTCGTGTCCTTGAACAAGGAAGTAATCACCTTTACAACCACCCTCCTCATAGATTGTCATTTGCCAAGTTGCAGTCGGAGCGACACTGGTCGTGGTTTTGCTTGGTGCTGGGACGATTTTTATGCTAGTCAAGGTTACCATGTTCGCTTTTGTAGTCTTTGAAGTAGTAGTCGTTTTTGAAGTAGTCGTTTTTGAAGTAGTCGTTTTGGAAGTGGTCGTCTTTGTAGTCGTCTTCTTCGAAGTAGTAGTCGTCTTCGAAGTAGTGGTTCTCAAAGCACTTTTGGTTGTGCCTTCCTTTTTAGTTCCGCAATTGAAGATACAACTGCTGCTCGCATCGCAAAAGGATGAACTAGTGCCACATTGACCTGACCTAGCACACTGTAAATATAGTTAGTAGAGGTCAACAAGATAGGCAATTTGGACAACTATAACACCTACGCATTGATTTGAGGGGCACGGGTTCAGAGAGGCGAGATCAGCATAGTTGCCAGGGCGTCTTGTCCCAGGAACCTGGGGACCGCAGACAGCATGCGGGAGGGCAACCGGCATAGGAAGGGCACCGGAGCTGAGACAGACAAAATCTCCTTGCTTTATTTTGGCACAACCTGGCCAGCCCCAGGATCCGACATTCCAAGTCTCGATATTTTTGGTAGTGATCTTGTAATGCTCAGCAAGTTTTGCGCAGGTATCGCCCTCTTGAATGGTGTAGGTGTAGCAGACACCATCGCCACCCGGCGTAAATGTACCGCGCTTGTTGAGTGAATGGCCATGAGAGTCGCCAAAGCCATGCTCCGATTGGGCTGTTGCTATGTGGACGAACAACAGAGAGAGGAGGATATGAATGGAATTCATTGTACTGAAGATACCCTTGATCGGAATTCTCCATCGTGGAGATCGGTCCATCTTTATAAGTAGTTGAATTTACGAAGAAGAAAATATTTTGAGATTGCCTAGTTTGATCAAGATGGACACCATCGGAACACGCACATGAAACATTGAATACCGAGTTCAGTTCATTGTTCAAATGTAGACCGCAGGAACCTTGCAAGGTTCTATTCTATGGGCCAGTATAAACAATTCGCTTTCAACAAAGAACAATATCACACCCCACATAGCAGCATCTTCGGTTTGTCCTTTGTCTCCTTACACGCGCTGCCTAAGATCGAGGGGGCCTGGAGAGCTAGAACCAATACTTGATTCCCAAGCAAGTCCCAAGCAAGTGCAATGTGGAGAAATTCGGGCAGAGGGAAAAACGCTCAAATGCATCAAAACCTAGATCGAACAAGAGGAATCACCGCAAGACTTGGCTAGCGAATGTGTGGATTCAGATTTAAAAAGAAAAAGGAAAAGTGAAAGACCCTAGACCCCGGAGAGAGTTGAAAGAAAACCGACAGAAACTCGACAGAAACTCGACAGAAAGTTGAAATCAAAGAGAGGATTCAGCAATAAATAAACTTATTCACGCCCGCGCCTCTGGCGGCACTATTGAGACTCTATCCCTAAACAGTGCTCAATAGTGCTTATAGAGTCACATACTTCCTATCCTAACACCGGAGGGGAAAAAAACCTCTTTCAACTTCCGAGTCATGCGAGAGTCCACGGGGATATTTTCTTTCATGCCATATTTATCCCAGTAGACTTGAATGACGGGGATACAGGTTTTCCTTGTACCGAGAAGCTGTTCAATAGTGACATGCTTGATACGGAGTAGTTATTGGGGCAAGCCAAGAGAGGTTGAAAGGAAAGCAGTTGAAGAGGAAGAAGTCATAATAAAATACCAATGCCAGCTGCCGAAACGAGTACCGGAATAAGGCTGAATGAGATATGTGAATATGCTAGCAATGGCGCAAAGTGGGCCCATAATCTTCATCGGGCAGGTTGCAGCAAATCGTATCCATTCGATAAGACTCAGAAACCCACGCTATCAACTCCTGGGAACTGGTTGGAATCCTACCTCAAAGTTCAAGCGCCGTGGCTTGAAGACCCGGGACTTGAGGAAATTGTGCCAGGTTCTTCATAGGTGGCATAACTTACCTCAAGTCTTGCGATTTGTTACTAGGATGAAGGAATTGCGGCATCACTGTCCAATGACTCCACGCTGAGATTCGGACATTATTATCGAATGAGGTTAGCGTGGACTAGCTTGTCTGCACGCAAGTCCGCACGAATCTGCACGCCGAAACTCCGATGCAGGGGTACTGTTTCTTCTCACCCGGACTGAGGGGAAGTTATTTGGGGAATTTATTTGGGGAAATATGGCGACGATCTCTTGTTCCTGGAGCCAGTCCTCTTTTAATACCATGCTACTACACGACCGGGCACACGATGTATAACTACGTTATTGTGAGTATGCAGACTATCTAGGTATGTAAATATGTAGTTCTATACACATTATTCACACATTTATCCACCTCTCCCGCCTTTTCTCCTGGGCATTATTGCTTGTTGAAAGCTTGGCACTCTTATCACTGAAAGGCTAATGGCTAGAGGACAAGCCTATATTAGCTTCCAAGCCACAGTCACATCAAGTTAATATTGCTTGCTGATAGTTCTCGCCGATGCGCTCTGAACAGAGCGATCACTTCCATATTAGTTCGGATGTTGTTAATCTATATCAACACCTCTAGGCTCCGTCGGAAATCCGCGAAATCCGCAGGGCTGGAGCTTGTATCATTTTAGCGTACATGAGAAACAGACAATGCCATTGGATCCATACCATAGACTTTGTTGAGTATGCGTCAATCTGATGCACGAAATAGGTCCAAGTAATTGAGATATTTGGGTACTTGTGACCTGAACTTGCTAGGTGCGGATAAAGTGACTTCTTCAAGCTACGGTCCCTCCTGGGGTTATCTACCGGTCTCCGACGGCATCAGAAGATGTGAGGTGATGTTACATTGTGAGGAACGCCTTCAATGTGCATTAGTTTGAGAACTTCGGGATTATTGTCTTTCATTTTTCAATGAAGCTACAACTAGACATGACAGCTATATAAACAGCATCTTCCCTTCGATTATCTCGTTATTCACACAGTCAAGCTACCTCCTGTTCATTCCATCAAACAGTCCAATCATCCAATCTGCACCATGAAGTTCTCAGCTACCATCCTCAGCGCCGCGTTGCTCACAACGTCGGCCATTGCCGCCCCTCTCACCGAACGCCGCGCAGCTCGCAATGCTGCCCGAGCTGTAGGCCGAGCTGGCCGTATCAGCCGTCCCCCTATTAAGCCAGACACCCGGGAGCTTATTAGTCTGAATGAGACAAGCCACGCGCAGTACAGCTCGAACTGGGCCGGTGCTGTGCTTATTGGCACGGGATACACCTCTGTCACCGGTGAATTCACCGTTCCCACTCCGAAACTTCCCTCTGGTGCTTCGTCTAGCGAGCAGTACTGCGCCTCTGCCTGGGTCGGTATTGACGGTGATACTTGCAGCTCCGCCATCCTCCAAACTGGAGTTGATTTCTGCATCCAAGGAGGCGCGGTTTCATACGATTCCTGGTACGAGTGGTACCCAGATTATGCCCACGACTTTTCCGGCATTGACATCTCCGCTGGAGATGTGATTAAGGTTACTGTGACCGCTACCGCCAAGAGCTCCGGTTCTGCTGTCATCGAGAATGTGACTTCAGGCCAATCTGTCACCCATAAGTTCAGCAATGTCAGTGATGGAGACCTCTGCGAGACCAACGCTGAGTGGATCGTCGAGGACTTTGAAAGTGGCGGCCAGTTGGTTCCCTTCACCAACTTTGGAACCGTGACATTCTCAAAGGCAGAGGCTACGTCTGGCGGCAAGACTGTAGGCCCATCTGGGTCTACTCTCTTCGACATCAAACAAAGCAGCACAGTCTTGACCAAGTCTTCGGTTACTGATAATAGTGTTACTGTGAGCTATGTCTAAGGTTAGATGAAATGGTTCAGTTAGCCCCTGCCGCAGCATTGGAAGATTGGAGACCCAATACTGGACTGCACTGGTGGGCGAAGGCGAAGGAGGGTAGGGAGGTTGCAAAGGAAACAGATATTTTTGGAAAGCAACAGGAGATCAGATGTGTTATCCTTCTTTGGAGGATCGTCATTCGCCCCCCCCGCCGGGGCCCCGGGGGGGGGGGGGGGGGTGATTATTTTCATAGCGAATATCAAGCTGGGTTATACTTGAGTGTTGTGTCTCTGGTTGAGATTCTGATTCATCATATTTCTCTCGGCCGTGTTAACGTCCACGGGTGTATCTGCAATGTCGAATCAAGTTGGCCGGACCGGCCGAGAAGTGCTTTGTGATGACAAATGTTGGTTCTCGTCAGAGTCGTCACTCTTTCTCGGCCGGCCTTAAGTACTGAATGAGTTAGTCTTGGATGATTCTGCGGTTTTCTTTTCGTGCCTCTCGTAGATTCTAACTATATAGACAAATCCATCCTTCTCTCATCATGTAGAAATTATCTCTCATCATGGGCCAACCGTCAATCCCCCCTACCCCCACCTCCGCCAGTGTGGCCGGTAAAACCGCCATTATCACCGGCGGCAATACGGGAATCGGCTACGAAGTCGCTCGCCAGCTCCTCCTCCTTAAAGCATCACGCGTTATTATTACCGTGCGATCAACCAGCAAAGGTCAGGAAGCCGTCGCCTCGCTACGGAAAGAAGCCAGCCCCACTGCCACGATTGAATTCTTCTATCTCGATCTCGACGATTTTCAATCCGGCGTGGAGTTTGCGAAACGGGTCCGCGCCGAGGTCCCTGAACTACATCTTCTCATCTGCAACGGTGGTGTTAATCTGATGAGTTACGAAGCTAGCAAGACTACTAGCCATGAACGTGTTATGCAGGTCAACTGCTACGCTCATTTCCTGGTTATATTAGAACTCCTTCCTCTTCTTCGCGCGACGGCAGTGAACCACGGCGAACCATCACGTCTCACGTTCGTCGGGTCGAATAACCAAAACTTCCACACGCTAGCGAAAAATCCTCTAACCGATTCCGAGACCGTGATCGAACACTACGACAATAAGCAGACGTATAGCGGGTTACAGCGGTACGCGGATAGTAAATTCGTCGTACATGCGTTTGTACAGCGACTGGCGAGCGTCGTGCCATCTTCGGAGCTTATCATCAACGATCCCTCTCCTGGCTTGGTGGCTACCAAATTCGATCGTGGACTACCGCTCTGGTTAAAGCCGATTATGTCCGTGTTGAGGAAGTTGATGGCGAGAACGGTCGATGAGGGCGCAAGGACGATTATCTATGCGGCTGTTGTTGCCGGGCAGGAGACCCATGGAAAGTTTTTGCAGAATAATAAAGTGGATCCGTAAGTATTTCCCCCTGTACTGAATACCCGAGAATGCTAATCATTACTTTATCTAGCGGCGCACCCATCTTCCAGGAGAAAGCCGGACAGGTTTTTGTCGAGAGATTGTGGAAGGACACTATCACAGAGGCTAGCCAGTATGACGCCGAGTTGCAGACCTTCGCTTGATTTGGAGTTGGGATATCTATTCGTTTTTCTTTAGCTATATTTAGTTCGCTTTAAATATTAAGCCTACTACAAGTTATCTACAGATATAGAACCGGCTAGGAACTAGTTAGAAGCTTATATCCTTTACTATATTATCTATACTCTCTCTTATGATACCTTGACCGATACTAAGTAAGTATACATTGGTGGAGCCTTGATTTGTTCCAATATTGTGGGACCTGCTCCACTTCAGTCAACTGGCCTCTGATTGGTTCTAAATGGCGAACCAGAACATTTCAAACCACCATAGGAATACCTACATGTACATATGTATGTTGTAGGTCACTCTACGTACCATATTTCCTCTGCCGGGTGGGGCTATCCTATCTTAGCTGCCGCCGCTTTTACGAGGGCTCAGAGTCAGGCTGACTCAGTAAATTTCAGTCCGGGCTTAGACTCAGTGAGCTGCTCAGAGTCATCATGTGATAAATCACAGAGGTACAATGAACGCTCACTGAGTAACTTTGATTGGCTGCTCACTGCTCACTGATTACTCAGAACTTATCAAAGAAAACATAACTAGGGCCCCGGCGACAAAAGTACCTATTTTTGGGAGGGGGTGGGCCTGAGCTTTTGGGTTCAAAACTTAAAGCGGGTCAGCAAGACTCCCTTCTCCTTTCGTGGTCTGATCCAGGAATACAGATAACCTGCAAGGTATATCAAAGCAGCAGCCGTGGCAGAGAGCGTCACCCAAAGGCTTATTTCCATCTTTTGAAGGAGGTTAGTGTAGACATGGGAGGCATCGAGGACCAATAGATCTTCAATCTCTACTAAAGAGTTCGCAGCATATACTATCATCTCTACCACACATGGTAGAAAGGCCAATCAAATACGTATGTAGCTACATGAACTGGATTTTGAACTACGGGTGGGATTTTCTATCTATTCTGCCGCCGCTTTTGCGAAGGCGCTCAGGCTCACCGAGTAAATTTCAGCACCGGGGCATGTAATCTGAGATAGATTAGAACGAAACATTGGACCATGGGGCGCTAAATCGATTGTTTTCGGCCGGGTCTCGTTCGTGTGACCGACAATGAGATCTGCAATGTCAGAAAGCAAGGGAATGTGAGGCTGCGCACTGACAGTTCGAGTAGAACGCACTAAGTGAGAGAAAGTCCCAGGGCTTATGGTGGCAACTTGAGGTCAGATTAACTCTTGCTTGAACTGGAAGGAGCCGCAGTTCTGATTCTATACCTGGAATTGCCAACGTGCGTCAAGCTAAGAGAACGGGGCCATTTGGTATCATCCTAGCGCCACCCTGTTATACCAGAAAAGCTAGTCCTCATGATATACAAGGATTGAAACCTATTTTTGCCTCACTCAAAAATTAAAATATGGGGGAAATTATGTATGGGATAGACGCCCGTCATATATATATGAAATATGCCGGTAGATGACAAGTGCTGTCTGCAATCCCACTAGCACCATTTCGCTAAGTGATATACTTTGGGGATGGGGACTTTAAAATAGTGGCCAGGTTTGAGTGTTTTCTCAGGTGTCCATTTGGATTGATGTCAGTCTGGAATAAAATTTAGACAAGGATCAATAGTGGAGAGCCCGAAAGCTACGGCGGTTGTCTCTAGAACACACTAATTGTAGTGGTATAGTAAGAATTAATGTCAATCCCTACCAATATGATGTGAATCTGCTCTGTGCCTAGATCGACAGAGGAGGGCTAGAGAAACCGAGGCTAGACTCATCTGGTTATGCGCACCGTCCCCTTTGTGGAAGTAAATTGCCTAATAGATCTGCCTGGCTTGCAGGATCTTAGTGACTTTGTCCACCGTACACCGAAAAGCTGGCTCCGCCGTGGCAAGCCAGGATCTAATATTTCAGACTGCCATAGCGCAGAATACGATCCTACCACTGCAAATTCCTTACAATGGATTTTGTGCGGACTTTCAGAGTCAAGGCTTGGCATACCGGTCTCGCGAATACAAGGATGGAAGAGGAAATACCGACTTTTAATGGACAAATGGGAAATCTCACCCTGCTCCAGGCATTATGAGAGGCACAGTTCACACTAATGATGTTTGGGTTCTCGTAATGCCCTGTGGCGTTTTGTGTGATAGTATCCTTTCAACGGACGAACCTGATCGTCAGCTAAACTCATTACACGAGCCGGTGGCGCACCCCACTGCACTCTCGCTGAGTGACAAGGTACCATAACAACTGTGAGTGCGCCGGCTGCATGAGTCAGGTCTCCGTGCGCTATGACTCGCCGGCTATTTCACCCGGGTTTTGTTCATTCTTTTATCTCTATGCCAAAGGAACTGCCGCATTGGCATGACCTAGTATGGGATTAGCTCCTGATTGATGGAATGCCGTGGGGGGCGCTGCTTTTCCAAAGTACATGGCATATATGATAGGTCCCGCCCGACATCTGGCAGGTGGACTGTCTCCTTCGCCGACAAGTTATTTTTTAAAAATATAAGCCAAATTTCTCAACTAAAGTAAAAGTATCACCAGTTGTTATCGATTTCCAGTAGCCAGTTGTTTGTCACGCAAAATGAGCATCGGTCGGAACTAGATACGATCGACAGCATGATCAACCCCTTCAAACCAGAGACACCTGGGGTGAGTGGTCTGGCTTTCCGAATCACCGTTTCGACCGTTTAATGTCAACGTCAACAATGCCGAACCAGGATGCAAGGACCACTAGTATAGACCTTATATGATCATTAATGTAGGCTATTCTTTGATCAATTCTCAGCAAATCACTAATTTAACTTAAAACATGTATGGTTCCGCTCGGACAGTGTAGATCGACACTCGCGAAGTTTTCCCATCCACTGAAGCGCGGCCTGAGATGACCGGAAGAGCCCCAGTCGTTTAACTCAAGAAATAGCACGGATATCGGAAACACAGGGGTCACATGTACACTGAGGTCCAAACCTTATTGTTACAGGTGCGTAGGAATCTACAAGTTCCTTATTAACCATTCAGCTCCACATATTCGTTCTATGCGTGCGCCGACGCAAGGATATTTTGTAAAAGCCGTGAAAATATCAAATTTATAACTACATAAGGAGGGTAATTTTTCTTCTGCAATGAACCCCTACGCGCGCCTCACGGGTGATCCGCATTCCAGGCCCGTTATATACGGCACAAGGCAACTAACCCGTCGCACGCCAACAAACACGCAATCGATTCTGTTTCCGTAGCGGTAATTTTTCTGATGATGGCGTGGATGAGCCAAGGAGATAGAGGATTACGGCCGGGCCTTTTGCATACTCGAAGGTTAAACTCGGCTTTTGTTACAGCCAGTACTTTTGTTGTTAGCTCCATAGAAGGATTGTGCCCTGTCAGTAAGCATATATCTTTACACTTTTGACAGGTTTGATAGCGCTAGCGAACATGCCACGCCTTACAAGGACCGGCTGCTGTCAGCTAAGGTATAAATATATGTGGTAGATCCTGTACGCTAATTTTTGTGGATCTGGACAGTGGATAAACTCTTCTTCTCTCTTTTTCATAGCACTTACAGCATCGTCGCTGTTATTCAATAGCAACTGTTTCTTTCTGTCGGTTTTCCATTCTCACATTCCATGCTTAGTGTTCTCTAGGCTAAGGATTCAACCAAGAAAACCTCCAACCAGCATGAATCCGCGTTTCATTGTATGATAAATTACTAGGTTGACTACTGGATTTCAATGAGCTGACCGCTAGCTAGGCACCGTCAAGCATGCCAGCGGAGGAAAAGTTGGAGAGTACGCTTAACACCCAATTTTTACTTATATATCTCGACGCAGATGGCAAAATTCGTCTACGAACCTCTGGGTCAATCGCAGATAGCTTCCCGGCGATACTATCCATGAAGGTGATGGATGTATTTCTGGAAGCCATTGATGTGTCAAAAGAAGTCTGCTTCTCAAACGATCAAGGTGGGCATCGCGTTCATCCCCGCAATGATTCTAACTAATGGGTAATATCAGCTGAACACGGAATGCCAATGTCGCCTACCCAAGCAACGATGGCCATGGCCAAAAACCTCTCCCCTTCATCACAGATCGCTCAAAGCCCCTATGTTGGAATGAGCCTTGGGGATGAAGGGCACATGGGAAATCCTGTCCTAGCGGCGACTCCCTTTCAACCTGTGGTATGGCCTGTTGACAGACATCCTTGGCTCTTCTCGCCCACAAAAGGCCCCAACTGTGAATGCCAGAACTTATGCAACGAGGAGGTCAAACATAGGAGTGCCAAGGAAGCAATGATATCCGTTGAGGACCGAGATATCTTGGCCTTATATTATGAAAAGGCCTTCGAGAATCTCCAACAGACAAATTGCCGAACACTTGCGAAAGCCTATGTCAAGCTCGTGGAGCCTCGCAAGCAGGTGAACTATCCATACAATGGACGAAAGATTGTTGCGGGAACTCTAAGGCAGTTTGATCCTAGTCTGACTAAACCACCATGGTGGCCCTCTGAAGTCAGCCACCGTGAGCCAGATCATCTTCCTAAAGTTGGTAGGAGAGAACCGTCATTATTTTCACCTCCGGGATATATCTAACCTTATAATAGAACGCATTCGGCTTCTAGTTCACATTCTTCGGGAGCTTCGAATCAGTCACGGGATCTCGGCTGCAAAGCTAAAAGAAGTTGATCAGCCAATTCGTCGTCAGATTTCTCCACCCGAGCGATTACGGATTTTGGACGAGCTCTATCAAGTCAGGCAACAAGAAGAAGAATTCTTAGACGGAAAAACTAGTAGGCGTTCAGAAGAAAGCTTGTTTGACTATTCATTCGGTTAACATCTCTCCCGCAGACGGCCCAACGATGGCGTGGATCTCTCGTGCAAATCTTCCTAAAACAGAAGGGACCGCTGGCGCCACACACGGCAGCGGAAAAGGCAGCGGGAACAACAGCTCCGCTGATCCAGTTACCGTTCGAGATATGGAGACATCTATAGGCTGCTGGGGATACGTCTGTGCTATGGATGCGCCTCAGGCTGTATTTACGCCCCGTGGAGACTTCGCAAATGCATCATCGAACCATCAAGCCCTCCTAAGTCAAATCGACAAGAGTGAACCGACAGAACAAATACTCCCGCACCAACCCAGTTTTGACTCTATTGTGTCTGTCCCTCCTCGACATTTGAAGAGGAAGCGCGACTTCGTTGGATTCCACCCGGCTAAACCAAGGAGCCCTAACGCCCTTTCGCACAATTTCCCTCCTCCCCCTAGTCCTAGTCAGTCATTGTCAACGAACGTCTATGGCCCTGATTATCCAATCCAGTCCCCGTGGTTCTAGGGTCCAGGAATTCAATGAGGGGAGTACTAAAGGAGCCATTCGAGGGTTATGATGCTCCCTATTAATTTGACTTTTGAACGTGAAATTTTTAAAAAAGATTTGGAAGGGCCTATGACTTTCCCCTTAATGAATGCACTTTCTTGTAAATTTTTCAATAAGCCGGTAACCGCTTTAATCGATTCCTGGCGGTATACGGATAAGGGACTCGATGATGGGAACTTCCCTGGGATGAGATATTAATACTGGGAAGTATTTCATTAATGCACAAGGATAGGCGATAATGTTGGAGGTGAGATAGTATTGGAAATAGGAGGAAGATGTATTAGTTTCGGTGAGGCCTTGGGATGAAGGGGAATAGGTCGAGTTGGGAAGCTGGAGAGGAGGCAGGGGAAGGCGAAATGAAAGTTTCTGTGCTCTCCCCTGCTCATTCTGCGCGCCGGACTGCACTTGCGAGGTCACAACCACAAGCACTTTCCGGTTTATTACCAGTCCTCATTCAAAGGCGCGAGATCAATGTCTCCAATTCGCTCCAGTACCAGGTGAGCTTTGACCAGGCTGGCGAACCAAGCCCCAATTTTACACCAAAAGCCCCTCAAACTCAAGAACTCGAACAACTTGAACGGAGTGTTGCATCCAGCACGCTCCTTTGTTCGTCCAGCGGTCGACCAGGCTCTGTGACCGAACCTGCAACAACAGGGGCCAAGGAATCTTCGAACTTGAAGGAAAGTCCCATCCAGCATAGTCAATTGTTTGTCCAGCAGTCGATCCGAACCACTCAAATGGAGAGTTATGTCAAGCATGGGCCCTTGTTCATGGAGCAGTCAAACGGACTCTGCGACCCAATCTACAGCTGCAGCGGTATCGACTGGAACAATTCGAATATCAATGTATTTCCGAACTTCGGCGTCTCGGCCAATCTACTCGCACAATTCCCAGGAACATATGGGCAATGCACTTCAAGATAGGACCTATCATGCTTTCTATTAGAAGATTTAGAATTCGAAACAGAAATTTCCTCCTAGGAACATAAGTCCTACTCCTAATAAAGAATAATAATGCTAGGTACTAGAGCATTAAGACAGATAATACGTCGCAGGTGGGCTTCCGCACGACCCAAAACGCAACCCTGTCTAGGTCTAGGTCGAAGGCCCATAATCCAGCTGCTTCTAGGAGCAAAATCTTTAGAGCCTCGCAAAAGTGATGATCAGTGAGCGGATTAGAGCGCTCAGGGGCGTGCTCAGTTGTACTCAGTGAGCAAAAAGCGGCAAGCTCTGAGCACTAAAACGGAAAGAGAAAGCCAAGAAGTGGCAGAGGAAATCAAGTACATAGGTAACCTTCAAGGTTGGAAGCACTAAAATCTTGTTACGGAAGAAGATAGCAGACTCCCGCCAAAGGATATTGGTTGAGGATGCTTGGAGGAAGAACCTTGGAATATTGACTGGGTATGTATCTGTGAAACGAAATACGGCGTATTTTACCACTAGACCATAACAAAAACCAAGGTACTTGTTTAGGGCCTAGCGGGGCCATATCTGTCCTATTTCTTGTTTGACAGTATCTTTTATAGACCATCAGACCGCCTTATAAGTTCTGCCACAATCTCTCTGATAGTGGTTTGGGGCGATATTGGAGCCCTGGAGGACTCCTGACATAAGATCGGACCCTCCTTCATTCTCCCCCTGGACCCGCGGATCTTCCCTCTGGCCCGCATCTCGAGCCCACCCAATCCCCGATAGAAGTTGGGAGACTGATCATGATGCGCACGGAGGCACGAACCATTTCTCGTACTCGCCCTTCGTTTACTTGTCTGCCCTGTAAGCGACGAAAGGTATGATCTTCATGAATCGACAATCGTATTGATCTGATTTGGTGTAGATTAAATGTGAAAAACAACGCCCCGCTTGCCGCGAATGTCGCCGACTGAATGATGTATGCGTCTATCCGCCCGTCACTGCCTCCGATCAGCCCAAATCCGCCGAACATTCGCCCCGAAGAAATATTCAGATCGCCGATCAGCATCATGCGTCTGCTTTTCCCTTGCCTATACCCTTATATAACAATGACAGAAGTGTGGAAAATACCCCCGCCAACAATGAAATCAACAATGATACGCATCCTGGAGGTCAATATCGACAAGATGAGATGGTATGGGCATCAGACACTCTCAACTTGCTGGACGACTCGATGCTGTCGCTGACTGACTGTCCTGTCGACTTCCATGAGTTTGGCACTCTCTCCGACGGCCCGCCTCCGCCCTGTCTACCGGCTTCATCCCGTCCCTCTTCCGCCATCGACCGAAGATCTCTCTGGCCAACTCCCCAAAGCAGCACGCCCATCTCCTCTCGCAAACTTCCCGACATTACCCATGACTCTATTACCGATACTCCATCTGACCTGCAAGAGAGTCCCCAACTGATGGGATGTTTGAGCTCCCCACAGGGAGACCTCCGCCGATATATGGGCCCCTCGTTCTGGGCCCTCGCATCGAATCAAATGGCTGATTGTGATATGTTGTTGCAGGCGCAACAGCGTCAACTCCTGGCCCAGGAAGACCACGGCCGGAACTTGGGGGAATGGGCTCGGATGCTGCAAAGCCTACCTCCGAAGAAAGTATGCGACGTGCTTCTCGAATCGTTCCTGCTCGGCGTGAAGCCATTAGCCCCGTTCGTCCATGTCCCTACACTGCTTGATGACTATGATGCGTTTTGGGAACAGGGCGCCACAAAGACTCGTGTCAATCAGGCAAGCACGAACGGTTCCTTTGTGAGTTTGCTATGGTCGGTTTTATATTGCGGAATGGTTGCCGCCTCGCCCTCATTTTTAGCAGAGAGTGGCATTCAAGTGCAGGACTCGGGCGTGTTAATTAAACGGCTGAAATTGATGCTGGAACGGACTTTGGTCCTGAGCCATTATACAGAGCTGCCCACACTGAATGGCTTTATTGCGGTCTTATTGGCCTGGGAGTGTGATCCTACTACAAATGATATCCTGGCAGCCCCCGCCTTTGTATCCCAGGCGATGCAAGTGGCGCGCACTCTGGGCTTGCACCACGAAGAAGCTATTGTGCCTCGTGGGGAAGTCGAAGCAGAGCTAGCCCGTCGTGTTTGGTACCATATCATCTTCCTCGAACTATATGCTTGCATCGCATCTGGAAGTGCCTTGTCATATGGTACCCAGGAAAGTTCCTACAATACACAATTACCCCAGTCCCTGCATGATTCATCCTTAGACTCTGGACGAGGCCCACGAATTGGTGCACCCTCAGTGCGACGCAAATCAACAGCCATGCTGATGGCCGTTGGTCGCTGTCGGATGACATGCACTCTGCGACGTATTATGGAGTCGTGCTACAAAACACGGCCATTGGGCAACCAGGAATCTGAAATGCTAGAAAGAGAGATCCGTCAGTTTGAAGTAGCGATTGACGGCCTCATAAACCAAATAGTTGTTCGCGGGATGCCAGAACAGGGATATTTATCTAGTCAACTATTACGTGTGAACCATCAAACTCATCCACATTACTATGATGATACCACCCAGGAAGAAACTGTGTTGAATGCATACGCTCGCATCCAGCTGGATATGATGAAGCAGTATGTGCGAATCTTTTTCAACCGCCAAATCCTGACTGGATCGTCTGGATCATCTGAATCATCCAGTGTTTGGGATGAGTAAGACCCTTTCGATACCTTTTAAAAAGTTCTATCCAGCTGATACTGCATGTTAGCCAAATCACAGCTTGTCGCCGGTTCCTCAAAAACTACGTCAACCTAGCCCGACTACCGGCATTCTCCCCATACTGGTGGTTATGTCCCGGCAAAATGCAGCCCCTGCATGAATGTCTCATAGTCATCACCTGCATAAAAGAACGCCCTCAGAACCCCGACACCCAAATCCTCTTCTATCTGCTGAGTGAGATCTTTGAGATTTTCAAAAGTACTGAAGCCCGCGATGACAGCCTGCTATCTCGATCATTTCGTCGATACGAGGCGGCCTGGCAAACACTCCAGCAGCGACGGGACGAAATCACTAGCGCAAATTCCCTTAATGAAACATCTAGTCCTCTGGGGCCTGCTCTCCAAGAAGATGACGACCGGCGCCTGTGGCAACAACCATCATTGTCGGGGAATCAAAAACGCCTACGACACCCCGAGATCGCCGCCAGAACGGAGCGAGCCGCAGAGCCACTACCCGATGGATTCCAGCTTCCTGCCTGCTTGGACTCCCACGAGTCCACACCATCGTTCGCCCGATCTTCGTGCACCAAGCGTCGAAAATCAAGCAGGTCCTCCTCCACTAACAACTCTGCGCCCCCGCAGACGGACATGGACGCAGGCTGGCCACTCAGCGATTGGAGTGATCCGAACACGAGGGTTAGAACAGTCCCGCTCACCACGCGAGCGTCCGTCCCAAACTCCGGTGATGGGTATTTTTCAAACAGTGCTTTTGTGGAAATCATGCCACCTGATGCATGGGAGAAATGGAACTCTCCGAGGGCTGATGATGAGTTGCACGAACTTCAAACCGATTGGACTGATGTCTTTAATATATAGACTAGACATCCGTTAGAATATCAGCCTCTGTATAAATCTGTTTAGGTATGACATAAAAAATTCCATTCTATCCTACCAACACTAACAGATTCAGACTACTAAACTATAAGTTAACGATATGCATCCTTTCAAATGGCAAACGAGCCCTCAACCATCGTCTTAACAGGATTAAACGGCAAGGCCTCCGCTCTAACACTGCCCAAATACACCCCATCCCCGCCCAACCCATGCACCTTAGCCAACGGCAAAATTTTGAAAACTGGGAAACACAAACACTAAAACACGCCTACATGAACATAGCCTACAATACGTCTCCACCTCGACGGCTTCCCATCATGAACAATACCCAGTACATGAAGTACAATGTTTCATTTCTGTCATCTCATCTACATACCCATAAACTTGGGGCGGGATGGATATTTACATCAAGTAGATTCCAGCTCAAGTACGAAAATTACCTCCTCTCTCGGAGAACGCGAACACCCTCCACTGGGCCTGAGGCCATCAGTACCTCCTTAAAAACTGTCTCTTTTTGCAATTCTATCATCAAACTTCTCGCATGAGTTTCGTCTCTGGCTAGGAACGCGCACGTTGACCCCGAGCCACTCATGAGACTAGCAACCGCACCAGCAGCCTTTCCAGCGCGTAAGGCAATTTCAATATCTGGCAGCAGCTCTGTAGATGGGCCTTCGAGGTCATTAACAAGCGCAGATAGCAGATCCTCCGGATGACTTGTCCCCCAAGGAACTTCAATGCAATTTTGCCGGTTTTGTAAATAAATCTTCTCGGCAGACGGAGATCTAGCCAATACGTGATCGAATCTCTCAAACACCGATTTTGTTGATAGACCAGCAGCAGGCACACCTAGAACCCAGTTCCATGTATAATTACTCGTCTGTAGGCTCACAAGTGGCTTCTTATGTCCCAAGCCCAGGGCCATCATGCCTTTGATGAAAAAGGGTACATCTTCTCCTAGATTTGCGCCCAACGCCATAAGATCGTCGTCACAGACATTCGATCCCCACAGCATATTACAGCCGACAAGGGCGGCCGCCGCATCAGCGCTTCCACCACCCAGCCCGGCTTGGGTGGGTATCGCCTTGATGAGATCGAAATGTATATGCGGTTCAAAGCCTACATGGTCTCCGAGAGCTTGCGCTGCTCTGATGACCAGGTTGCGACCGTCTGTTGGGATTCGCTCACTCTCCGTCCCCGTTACAGTAATTGTGGGACCTGCGGGGTTGTGTGAGATGCGCAAAGTGTCATAGAGCGATATCGCCTGGTAGACTAGTGTGATATCATGATATTGATCTTCTTGGAGAGGCCCGACTCGGAGCTGCGGGTTGAGCTTTGCGGGGACTTGGAGGGAAATTGATCGTGTGGTGATAGTCATTGGGTGTTTCTTTTTTTTCCTTTCAAGTTTCAAGGTTGATATATACGATGAGTAGGATAGCTTAGCAAAAGAATTCATAGTGTGATAAAGGGAAGGTGCTCACGCGACATAACGAGTGAAGGAGCCAATCAGATCTCGGGGAAAGTGCAGATCGTGACGTAGGCGAAGATCTTGGAGGGGCATGTCGATAGCTATTTCTGCATCTACCTGTAAATGCACCATTTGAAATTGTATATAATGACTACTTTAACAGAAAAGCCCACTATTGGTATTGTTATACCAGCTGCTGGTCGCGGCACACGTGCAGGTCAAGGCTGCCAAAAGGCCTATCGCCGAATCGGGGGTGACACAGTGCTCAACCGTGTTCTGAAGCTGTTCCGATCATGGAATACCAATTGTCCGATTGTCATCGTTCATCATAGGGATGATACATCTTTGCTCGAAGCTTCCATAGACCGTGACTGTAATGTCCATACTACCTCGGGAGGCGTCGAACGACAAGCATCCGTCCTACAGGGCTTACGCTTCCTCTCTTCTCTCCCGAAGAGCCCTTCACACGTCTTCATCCATGACGCAGCGCGTCCATTCGCACCCCACAGTCTACTCAATGATGTTCTGGAATCCATTATTAGGGAGCCCTTAACAGGTGTGATCCCGGCCATTGCAGTGTCCGATACGCTCAAAAAGACCGACTCAAACGGCCTGATTAAGGCAACAGTTCCACGCGATGGCCTTTTCCGCGCCCAAACTCCGCAGGCATTTACGTTACAGACAATCCTGAATCTCCACGAAATGGCAGCTACTTCTGCTTCATCGTACACGGATGACGCCTCACTCTTGGAGGAAGCAGGACTACCTGTACGCATCGTACAAGGCGATTCACAGAATATTAAATTGACCTACTCTTCTGATTTCGAAGAAGGGGAAAGGCTACTACGAGCCAACAGCCCGACACCCGCCTCGGTACCCGACGTCCGAGTTGGTCACGGGTATGACACGCATCGTCTTGTCCCTGGAGAGGAGATCACACTCTGTGGTGTAAATATCCCGCACACTTCCACACTCCTCGGTCACTCCGACGCAGATGTCGGTCTACACGCTCTGACAAATGCATTCCTCGGCACGATTTCCGCCGCGGATATTGGAAGCCACTTCTCGCCGAAGGATGTCCGGTGGAAGGGAGCTTCGTCTGATCAGTTCCTTAGACATGCGGCTGAGCTTGTCAAGCAGGGCGGTGGTGTTATTACGCATTGCGATGTGAGCTTTGTGTGCGAGAAGCCGCGGATTAGTGATCACCGTGATGCTATGCGGGAATCCGTTGCTGGTATTGTGGGGTTGGATACGAGTCGCGTTTCGGTCAAGGCGGGGACGAATGAACGCAATGGGTTTGTGGGTCGTGAGGAGGGGATAGTTGCTTTCGCTACAGCTACGGCTGTTTTTCCGAATGGCTTGGTGTTGTGAAGCATGTTTTGAGTATTTGTTTGGTATTTTGACTGAATATACCATTCAAATGTTCTTTTTTACAAGACTAGAAAGTCATGCCCATATACGATACCAGATAAAAATACATCATAAGCTGAAGAATCGTGGCGTAGGCCACAGTAGCTGAGATCTACATCCCGGCGGTGCGGTATTCTTCCACTATATTCGGATCACTTCCATGTTTGATTGACTAGGGATGTGCGAACAGCTACCAGTGGACAAGAAAGAAAAATTAATGGGGCTTCTGAAGAACAGGATCGATTACGTATCGCCGATCTTACAGCCATGAACGAGGGGTCAATGCTATGTATAGGTGGGGGATCGGCACGCGATCACTCGCCTAGGCTATCAGAAGAAAAGCACAAAAAAACACCATACCACCATACCTCCAAAGTCTGTCAAAATGAAGATCTGTGTCTTTCAATCATGCTTCGAAGAACTCCAAGCTTCGGTCGGCGAGTCTCAAAAGCTATGCATGAACCCCGGCCAACACATCACCCAGCACACAATATCCCACAACACCATCCACAAGACCACAGCGCAAGCCCAAATAGATGCCGCAGTCCGCGAAGGCCATGACTTCTATTTAAATTTCATGTGGGGAACACACGACGACTCACTAGCTGGCATCAAGGCAATTCAATACTTTGAGTCGCTCAACCTGCCTAGCGCTGGTATCCAAAGCTCCGAGCGCGAACAGTCCAAATGGGACTTCTTTGCCGAGGCGAAACGTGCTGGGAGTCCCCTCATTCCGGGGACGACGAAATTTCCTTTATTCGTTAAACCTGCGTCGAGCTATGGGAGTATGTTCATTGATGAGCATTCTTTGTGTCAGAATGAAGATGAGTTGGACCGCTGTATTCAGAGATTGAACAAGTTGATGCGTTCTGTGCGCGTCTTGCGTGCGCAAGCGCTTGGATACGCGGATCCAGACCAATATGCTGATGCTCGGGAGGCTGAAGGGAGGGATAGTTTGGACCTTGTCGTGCAGGAATTCATCGACGGAGAGGAATACTCTGTTGTGGTTATTGCTATGGGGGAGAGTCCATTTCCTCTCATTCCGCAACGTGCGAAATACAAACAAGTTTCCGGCCAAGGCCGATTCTTGACTTTGGATTTGAAGTTTGATGAGGCGTCTGGATATGAGCTGCTGGACGAGAATGACGACCCGCGGCTCTGGAGGCACTTGCAAGCTACGGCCGTCGAGGCTTTCACGACGAACAAGATGTATACGAACTACATGGGCTGTGATGTTGATATGCGCATTGGTCGGGATGGGAGGGCTTATGTCATTGAAGTTGATCCGCTTCCTGTTTTCTTTTATCCTATTGGATCCCAGCTTGAGGATACAGATATCCAGCGGGGGTTTCCTGGGAGTTATCGGGCCGTTGTCAACACTTATATCACTAATTACTTTCTGAAGCATCCTGGCAAGCGTGGGGATGATTATATTGAAGTGGCAAACTTCTATGACTCTCTGGCTCAATCTCATGCTGGCCGGGTTTCAGCAGCCGACGCTGCCAGTTGTATTACAACGAGATCTTATCAAGGAACTGCACTTGATCTTGCGTGTGGAACTGGAACTGTCGGCCACCATCTGAAATCGGATCCGGAAAACCAAATTACGGAAATGGTGGGAGTCGATATATCCAAGAGATCGTTGGATATCTGCCACCAAAACAATTTGTATACCCAACTTGTTCATGAAAGGATGGAAGTATACATGGCGGAAAGGACACAAAGGGTAGACCATATATTCTGTATATGGGCACTACAGCATCTTTCCATGGAGGAGCTTGACTTTGTACTCGCCCGATGTTTCCAACTTGCCAAGCAGTCCATCACTTTGGTGGTTGATGCAATTGGAGCGGCCTCTAGTAGCCCCCTTGATTTGATGTACGAAAGATTCTCGACGGATCATTCCGAAAGCTTGAGAACTTTCGAAATTCCGCATGGATGGTCTGTCTTGCCAAATCATTGTCGGGATAGTCAATATTTGCGCTTCTGTTTCCAGCGAAAAGTGTAATAGGATTTGAATGATGTTCAAAGTTTCTATATTTTGTATATTCTAGGAGGCAAATAAATGCCACGAATCCAAAGAGTCTAAGAGATGATAGTGTACGTCGTGAGCAGCAGGAGCATAGCACGGTATGCGCAGGAGGGGATTCCATAAGGGCGGCATAGATATTAAGCAGAATGAAGTTGCATAAACTAGGTTGACCGCTCTAATACCTATAGACGAGGCTGGAGATTGAAGAATCTTCCAGTTTACTATACGGTAGGGTTGGTAATAAGTGAAATGAAACGAGACAAACCTTTGATAAACCTGGTAAACCTTGAAAAACCCAAAACACACAGAAAGGAGAAACAGACCAATGAGAGCGAAGCTTGGCGCGAAATTTGGCTGTGTTTCTTGCGTCAAATCTCCAAGTCAGCCTCGCGCAATGCGGTTTGTAACTCCTTTCACGCTGTTCCTTCGTTTCGGGGCATTATTTCACCATTGCATTTGGTTCATCAACATCATTCCTGTCTTCAAACGGTGTCTTTGGCCTATATTATTGCCTAATTACCTTATCTTTTCCTTCTGTTGCGCGCACTTACTGCCCGCGTTCTAATTTGCATTCTTAATATTGATGACCCGTTTCCGATCCTGTCAATCTCGTGAGGGGCTAACGTTCCAGGATCCATAGCATGGTTCTCCCAGGAGCCTTCAGATTTGGCATTAAGCTAATATAATTTGGGCTCCTAGAAGCGACTCAGAGCGTGTCTAGGATGCAAACTCTTCCGGGAGTGGGTATTGGCTTCCTTACAAGATATATTAATCGTTATTGTGAGTTGAGCTAACTAACACGAGAAATCAATAGGCTTAGTGCGCCACATGGTTGGCATGTGGTTGCACTCCACAGGGTTTGACATGATTGGACGAGACATACAAGACAGCTTGATACCCGTTTAGGTCAAGGAACAATCTCGGCATGGTTCCGCAGACGTACGCTAGCGCATTGCCCGCCGCTTAAGTTCGCGTCTCCCACCGTTATCATCAACGATCATCTTCTTCCCCCTCCGGCCCTCTTCGCGATCATGGGTTTCTTCCGCACCCTGAGCCTGATGGCTACGGCTATGGCTGTGGTGGTTGCAGAGCCCCATGCATCTCGAAACCCACCTACTTCTCCCAGCGTCACCATCGAGCAGGGGTCCGTCAAGGGCTTTTTCCAGAATGACACCACCGTCTTTCTAGGAATCCCCTTTGCCGAGACCACTGCTGGCGAAAACCGCTGGAAGGCTCCTAAGCCCATCGGCTCGTTCCCAAACGGTCACTTCGAGGCCACTGCCTATGGACCATCCTGTGCCCAGGCAATGTCTGGCACGGCAATCACCCACCAGAGTGAGGATTGCCTCAGCCTCAATATTTGGACCCCGCAGCAGGGTGCCAATCTTCCTGTGTTCGTCTATATTTACGGCGGTGCCATGGTCACCGGCGGCAGCAGCAACGCCCAATGGCAAGGGTACAACTTTGCCCGTAATGATGTTATCTACGTCAACTTCAATTACCGCGAGAGTATCTATGCCTCGCCCAATGCGCCTGAGCTGCAGGGACAGTCCCAGAACTTTGGAGTCCTGGACGTGGAGTTGGCCATGGAGTGGATTTACCAGAACATTGAGGGTAGGTTCCTCTTTCTCTTAAACCACCTTGTGGCCTTTAACTAACCTAGTCGCTAGCTTTCGGTGGTGATAAGTCGCGCATCGTGCTGGGTGGCCATTCATCCGGTGGAGTCCACGTTGATCACTATCTCTGGAATCACCCCGATACCTTCCTGGCCGGTGCGGTCGAGATGTCTGCCAATGCTGTGTCTGGTCCTGGCTATGCACCCGCCGGTGTCGCGCTGAAGCAGGTGGTTCAGGAAATGCTGGATGCCGGCGTGACTCTGGACTGCACGGCTGAAGACTACACTCTGGACTGCCTGCGCGCAGCAGATACTTACGCCTTCCAGACGAGCTCCTTTAACTCGACCTTGAACACCTGGTTCTCACCGTCAGTGGACGAGATTACCCGCTTCTCCAACTACACCGACCGCTTCGTCAAGGGTTACTACCCAACATCGGTGCCGCTGATCGTCGGCAACTCCGACCAGGAGGGCAAGATCTTCGGCTACGTCTACGGCGGCGAGAACACTGACTTTTCGTCCTGGATCCGCACTTTTGATGCCGACCTTGCCTTCGTGCCCGCGGACCAGCTTCTGGCGGCCTACAACGAAGCCGACTACGGCTCTGTCTCCCTGATGAGCGGTGCATCTTACGGCGACGCGCGCTTCCTCTGCGCGATCGACGCCCTACTGGACCTGCGCGCCGCGAAGCAACCCACCTGGATCTACCGCTGGTTCGGCAAATATTCGAACGTGCTGCCGATCCCCAATCTCGGGCCCTCGCACGGCAGCGAGGTGCCCTTTTACACGGCGGCAATGAGTGCTTCTCGCTGCTGGGCGGCGTGACCGATGCGGAGCAGCAGCTGGCGGACTACATACACTCCGGGTTTGTCGCGTGGATTCAGAAGCCCGGCGCTGGGCCTGGCTGGAAGCAGGCCCGGCCTGTTAATGGTCCCCTGGCGCGCGTGGGTGTGCCTGGGCATGAGGAGGAGATCGTGATGAGCACGACTGGCGCGTATAACCAACGCTGCCAGAAGGTCTACAAGCCCAACTATCCTAACTACCCAGTGGTGCAGAACCCTGTGTTGCTGGCTGGAAGTGCCTGAGAAATATAAGGTTCCGGCCTTGGCTTGTTCGTATAATAGAAAGTTAGATCTAAAGTTATAATTTCTATCCAATCGTGGTCCATCATAGAATGACCCTAATGCAGGTACTACCACGGGTCGCGAACAGCCCCCAAGACCGGAATCTTGTAAACTGTAAACAGCATTGCAACTGCATCCCGAGGTCCCCACAGTGGAGATAGCACCTGTGCTGAGCCGCAAATCAAATACTCTCAGGAACACTCGGGGGTTTGAAAGTTCCGACAGGGCGTTCTGCAGAAGTGGCACTAGTAGTACCTGGATCGAGCCCACGTTCTACCTTTTCGCCACTGCGGATCTAGAAGAGATCACTCGGTGGGGGGCACACGAAGTTGGCCCCGATGTAAAATTCCCCTTATCTAATATGTGGGAAATAATACACGACCATAGCCGTGCCAAGCGCCCAACACCACGATACCTGGCGTTGGTGCGCGCCAGCAGATACCGGATTTTCACCAGATACCAAGTCTAGAAATTAGGTATATTTTATATGACTTGCACATACAAAAGATACTTATGCACCTCGTAGGCACCATATAAAATTTCTTAATCATTGAACTAGTTCGCGAAGAGAAGATATATATAGTGTAAAGGAAGTCTATTACATTTCTCAAACTTTAACAAGCAATATTAAGTTTGCCAAAAGGAAAGAAAGTACCTAGTAGCATACTCCGGTACGAGTTGATATACGAGTTGATATAAAGTGTTTTTTTTAAATTATTATCCTTCTTCCATATTATATATTGAGAATTAATACTAGTATTAAATTAATTAAGCTAGACTTATATTATATATTTAGTGGATTGTTAATTTGAACCCCCCTCCCCCTTTTTTCAGCCTATTCTGACCGACGTTGCCTGAATTTTCAGTACCGCCTTCCCGATCGGGTTCGACACTGAATTCTGCCGTGCTTTCTGCCACTTCATTTCCTTTCTGCTATATATTCTGCCTACACCTAGTTTATATAGTAAAGAAACATGTAATTTGATTAGAAAGAATTGCTTATTCTACCTGATTCCTATTGACGATGGAGCTGACGATAAAGCCAGTGACGATGAAATAGTTGAAAGGGTAGAAAGTGAGATATGAACAACAATGACTTAATCCTATTAGGAGTTTACATAATAAAGCGCAGGTACCTACCGTATTACTCTATCGCATGGCAAGTTTGACATAAAGGCGGTGTATAAAATTAGAAGGCGGTGAGGGAGCGGTGTCGAGGTAGGTGGTTAACCCAATTAGGAAGGTGCACCTGAAGATTCGGGTCAGAATAGGGGTGTCAAATTAACAACCCCCTACATTTATACTCTTTCTCTTCCCTAGTTAACTAGTTTCGAGGGTTGAGAAAATTTGTATCGTGCCTGCGAGGTGCATAAGTATCTTTTGTATGTGCAAGTCATGAAATATACCTAATTTCTAGACTTGGTATCTGGTGAAAATCTGGTATCTGCTGGCGCGCACCAACACTACATATGTAGGTATTGTGGTGTTGGGCGCTTGGCACGGTTAACAAAAACTTCGGTTCCTGTTTAGGGCAGTTCCACATAGTAAAATAATTACCAACGTTTACCCTAAATATATATGTATGTATTCAAAGCACAAATGTAATCTTACCAAGAAAGATACCATCCTATATAATACAAGGCAAATCGCACAGACCCCCAATCTAAGTGTAAGTTCGATCCATGGATAAACCTTGGAAGGATCTGTGCTAGCGCCTTCTAAGGCAGTGGAGTGGGCCTTGGAAAAAGGTGTGTCAGTGTATTCTCTCAATTTGGAGAATGGCTGTAGCAGATCAGATGTCTTGTAGATAACTTAGAATAATAATTACTATCCGTGCCGCACTTTATTTTCATGCTCGTCTTGCCTTGCCATTCCCTCTCTCTACGGTTCGTGACTGAGACAGAGGCAAGTCAACATGGCGCGTCCGGATCTGGGGCAAGTGGTATGCTGTCTTCTCTTCAAACTTTACACATCCTCCTCGTCGCCTGCTAGCTTGCTAATGTGGTTTCCGGTATGCAGGTGGCCTGGTATGTCTGCACTGTGGCGGCGTGCATCTTCCTGGTCTGTCGCCTAGTGGTCCGCCTGCGGCTCCTGAAGCGGCTTTACCTCGACGACTTGTTCGTTTGCCTGGCTGCCTTGTGTCTAATCGGCGATCTGGCAATCCAACATTATATGTTCAACCAGGGTAGGTGTTTCAAGTATTGAACTGGTGGAGCAAAATTATAGAGGACTCTACTGACGATGGCGGGCATAGGCATGTCTGAAATGGCGAATACAACCCTGGATCAGAAGATTAATATGATGAAGGTAAAACAGCCTGAATAGGAAGTATGTACCATCACATTATTATTAATGCCCAGTTTATCCACTAGATGATCATTCCGGGCTCCACATTATATGTCACTGCGCTGTGGCTGATCAAGTCTAGCATGGTGATCTTCTACAAGCGCCTGGCGGATCGCACCCGGTACCAGATTGTGTACAACATCACACTTGGTATCCTGGCTGCGACCTGGCTAGTGCTGTTTTTTGATATTGTCTTCAAGTGCTATCCGCCCAAGCGGCAGTGGGAGGGGCTTACAAATGCTGAGTGTGAGGAAGCTTCTATATCAACTACCTACCACAGACGCAGGGACTGACGCTCTTTCAGTGACATGTCCCCAAGGACCGTCCACAGTGAATTACTGGCTCACGATACTCTGTATGGCCCTATTTCTTCCATTTACTGGGATAATCAACTAACCCTTTGCAGTCAACATCTTCAGTGATGTCTTCAGTAAGGTTTCGAGCTCAATTCATCTCAATCGCTCCGTTTAACACAGTTCAACCAGTCATATGCCTCCCCATTTCGCAAGTTGTGCGACTCAAGATGCCAAAGAAACAAAAGTGGGGTGTCATCTCTGTCTTCCTCCTGGGTGGTCTTGTAGTCATCACTAGCAGTATGTCTCCCCTCCATCTGCTCCTCTAATCTCCTTCCCACAACTAAACCACGATGTACCCAGTTATCCGAGCAATCTACTCCTACAACAACGAACAAATGATCACCTGCACCGTCTCCATGGTCGAAACCGCCATCGCCATCATCGCTTCTTGTCTCCCCGTTCTCCGCACCCTGGTATTCGGCTCGCACTCTCGCACGGGAACCTATAGCGGCCACCGCGGCTACGAGCTCTCGCACTCTGGCGTGCATACCGGCGCCCAGACCAGCAAGCAAAACACCACCGTATCCGTCTCACAAAGTCACGTTGACCGCGGCGCCGATGAGATTTCGTTCCATGACTCCGAGGATGGATTGGTCAAGGATACGGTACCGGTTTCTGGACCGGGGATTGCCGTTAGGCACGACTATTTCGTGCACGAGGATCGTGCATGAGGATGCACGGAAACTCTGTGAGGCTAGCTTGTGAAGCGCCCACCCTGTCGATTGTGCATCTCTCCACCACACGCTTATCTTGATTAAAACTAATTTCGATGTGTATGGCACCTAATAGTACTTGTTCTCGATCCTTTCTTCCGCTTGCTTGTTACCATTATCGACCTTCTGCTACTTTGAATGGTTACTAACTGCGTTTTTCAACAAATAATCCTTCCCCCAGACTGTGTGCACCAAACCGAACAGCCCGCAAATTGGCCATTGCTGCCACACCCACACTGCCAGTCTCCATGGTCTTTTGAGGCTCTTTCCAGATAGCGACTATTCGTCAGGCTCTGATCGTACTTCTGATACAGGTTTGGTAAATGTGCCGCATGGTACTTTTTTCGCAATGCGTCCAAACTTGATCGGTCGTAGATCTTCCAAAATTCTTCTTCAGTGTAATACGTTCGCGTATACAGCCACTTCTGCCCCCCAAGTTGTTGCACCAATTTTTCGAGCGCACGATTGAAATGCCGATATGCCACCTCTCCGGATGGTCCGGGGCCCCAAACTCCAACGTAAGTAAGGAAAGTAGCCCTGGAGTACAGTACTGGTAACGAAGTGGGTGGCTGCCTGAAGGTGTAGTCACATACTGATGGTGGTGGCTTTGGATAATTGTTTGCCTTGTTGCCTGAAGTGCCGGGCCATCTGCCCAGGTGACCGCCTGTGATTACCCTCAATTTCGCTCTCTCTCTGTCCAATATCCTCTCGCCTTTCTCATTCACCACATTAATCACGTGTTTGAAAATTTAGTACGTGCTGTATTATTGGAATTCCGATAGGAAGAGCACCCAATTTGAGAAAAACGTACATGGTATGGTCCATCCTGTCGAGATTGGCAGTGCGTCTTCTCTGTGGCTAATGTACACCAACCAGTGCCGAAATGGTTACCTCATCAGAACAAGATAGACCACATAAAAGGAAGAGAATTCTCATGTCCTGTACAGAATGTCATCGGCGCAAGCAAAAGGTAGGGACACAAGAAAGCACATAAACAAGAAAAAGAAAGTTACTAAATATTGAATAGTGTGACCGCCAGTATCCATGTTGCAACTGCATCAAGCGAGGAACGCAGGTATTTACACTTCTAGACGCAATATTGCTTTTGGTCTGATTGGCAACTGCAGGATCTTTGCCACTACGACGCTTCACCCAAGGGCTGCCAACCCACCCAAAGCAGTTCTAATGTGAGTGGCTCCTCGAAAACGGAAACCAGCTCTAGTAGCAATATGGGGAATTTGAACCCACCTGCTGGACCGGGCCCTGAATGGACTAGCGAATCTCAGGACAAGATCAGAAATTTTGGATACTCCAGCCACGGCAACCACAACTCGATGAGCTTATTACGGGCCGTAGAGCTTTATGGAGATCAGGACACGAGCTTAGTTGGCTCCTCTACCACAAACCAGCCCCCGTTTCCGACCGATGCAGACCGCAAGTACAGGGAATTAGTCCGCCAGCTACCTCCGCAGCCCTGCGTCGATATCCTGGTCCAAACGTTTTTCTCCGATATCAATTGGCAGTATGACCTGCTCGACGAGGAATCCTTTAGAGAAGACTTGGATGCATGGGGAAAGATCTCATACTCTGACCTTCAAGTGGGCTTCGGAAGACTGGCGCTGGGAACCACTGTGTTTCCAGCATTACTATTTCAAGTCCTCGCACAGGCGCTTCTTTTTCACTCTCCTCATGATGACATGATCAATTCTCTCATTACTATGGCTGACATGACCTTTCAAGATATTGGGGCTGAATACAGCGATAAGGGTGCTGAGTTACTCGCAGTTCTGGGGAAAAAGGAGATCACAATCGCCACGGTCCAAGGAGGTGTGCTACGTGCCTCGTTTTTGAAAAGTAGTGGCAAAGTTGTTGAAGCCTGGCACACACTTGGGGCAACGATCCGAGATGCGCAGGAAATTGGCCTACATACCGGACAATTTGTGTCAGGTGGGCCCGGGCGCGAGAGACAAAATATCAGTCTCGTTGGTCACAGAATTTGGGTGGTCTTGCATATTTGGGACATCCACATGGCCGTCGTTCTCGGTCGACCGATTGCCACCGATCTACAAATAGATCGCTTCGCTTGCACTATAGAGGACGAAGAAAGGCGGCGAGACTTATTCTCGCATTGGCAAACCGAGACTGATCTCCCTCGACCGTTTGACCTCATCCTCGCCGGCTTTAATGTGGCCTACCGATATTTCAAGGATGTTCACAAACTGGAACATAACGGTGCCAGCCCCCAAGACTACCCCATGGTCGAACACATTCACGCTTCAATCAAGATGAATTTAGAGCTTTTACCATCTTGGAGCCGGATGGAAAACCCAGATACGAAGTTCGATCAAATGCATGGGTGTCAGTGGCTACCTGTTGCCCGAGAAGGGCTGTCTTCGCTCATCCACCTTGTTATTCTCGCACTTCATCGACCCTACGTATTCTCCGTTGCCAACAGTCGCACAGAAGCCCTCAAAGCTGGCATATCCATTCTTCGTGCGCAGGAACGACTATTTCAACAGTCACAGCCGCACCACTGCAAGGTGTTTAATCCGGTCTACGCTTCGTTCGATGCCATTGTGCTCCTTGCAGCACTCTGTCTTGTTTTTCCGAATGAGAATCACGAAATACGGGAAGAGTGTATTCAAGTTGTTGAAAGAGGGATGCAAAGGCTGGGCATCATTGGTCAATTTAATCCCATGGCAAAGTCAGCACATGGCGTTGTTTGCAGCTTGTACCGTCGCCTAAGGCATCGGTTCGACATCTCCGAAACCGCTGATGGCGCCGGACCACTTTTCAGCAACGAATGGATCTCTCCCAACAGCGATACATTTCTCTATAATGGGGCACCGTTGGAACTCTCTTTTGATGCTGTTCTGCCTCCGCGCCCAACCCATGACCTATTCTACAATCATATTTCAAGTACACAAACCCCCTTCATGGAGACACCGAACAGTTTGCCCTTTGACCCGCTTACTGTGGGCATTATAGATAGTTGGAATTTTGAAGGCGCCTTCTCAGATGCCAGCTTTTGGAGTTGGATGAACCAGCCTAATCATTGAAAATGTACCTATCGCCAACTATCGCCAATTGCATTCTATTTAATCTCCGCAAACCAGGCCGCAATATCCCCCACATTGCGATCAACACAGTCCGGCTGGTCATAGTGCTGGAAGTGGGAAACCTCGTTGTTCCAGATCAACTTCTTTTGACTCGTGGGAATGGACTCGTAGTGGCGCTTAGCTGCAGCCGCATTCATACAGTTGTCGCCGTGGATCAACAGCGCCGGCTTATCCAGCTTCGCCACACCAGGAACGGTGGTATAGCTAAAGTGGTCCAGGTCACTCATCACCGCGTACCGATTCTCAAATTCCTTCAGGGTCCAGGGGCCATACCAGGACCAAACGACTGGCCCCGGAAGGCCGGCCAGTGACCCAGTATTAGGGTCAGCGGGCGTCGGATCAACCAGCGGCTGGTACACCACTTCCCCGGTCTTCTCGTACAATTCACGGGCTTGCTGAGCTCGCTCAAGTCGTGCTTTGTACAGGGCCTCTCCTTGTTCGGGGGTGGGCAGTTTCATCGCCGCGATATCTGCACCGGGCTTCCATGCAACACACCCAGCGCAAATCATGTAGATGTCGGTTTCATGATCCCGGTAGTATCCTGAGACCGAGGCCACACCTATGACCCGGCTATCATACGATGCCACATCCAGGGATTCGGGGCCGCCCTGGCAGATACCGACTAAGAAGAGCCGCGATGGATTGACATCGCCGCGTGTCGATAGGTAGTCAAGTCCTGCGACCATGTCCTCGTTTTTCATCTTGGGGTTTTCCAGTCGTCGGGGTTGGCCGGTGCTTTCGCCAACAGTGCGGGGGTCGAAAATCAAGGCTGCGTAGCCTTCATCTGCGAGACGGGTTGCGTATTGCAGCGGTGCTTGTTCTTTCACAAAAGAGTATGGACCGGTGATAACGACACCAGGTGGATTCGTGACATTTGTGGGACGGAAGAGGATTCCACTGACAGTCTCTCCATGAGAAGGATATGTGATCTTTTCAGTGGTGTACTGGCCGTGGGAAGGCATTTTGAATTCGTTTTAATGAAGTTTGGTTGTAAAGTATGAGAAGATCTTGATGCTCTTTAGCATTGAATCTCGCCAGGTTTAAATAATCCAAAGTCATCGGCGTTATGCAACAGTTATGATGGCCATCGGCCCCTCCGATGGCTCGCCGTAGTCTCACTATGCATGGCAACTATGATGCATTAGATTTAGCGGACTCTAATGATATCTCCGATCTCCATTTTAGTACTCCACAGATACATGTCCAATTATCGCCGATAAAAGCGGGTCAGGCTGGAGGCTAACGCCGATACACCAATCAAAGGGATGCAACAACGGAACTCAAATTAACGCCGAGATCCGAACCATAACTCTGAGCCGTGTGGGACTACCGGATCTGGCAATGAATGATGTGCATCATAGTAAAGCTGGCCGCAAAGGGAGGGGCAAGACATAACAAAAACTTAAAGCTGCCCGCTCGCTCACAGCGATTCAACCTTCCAGTACTACCTCACTTCAACTCTCCCATCTAATTCAAAAGCACAACCAAACAAAAATGGCACCCAACGTCCTCGTTGTTCTCACCTCCTATGGCAAATTCGCCGCCACAGGAAATCCAACCGGCTGGTTTCTGGTACGCAACTTCAATTGCAGCTGCAATTGATAAACTACAATTCCTTCTTATCTATAACATTCAATTACGCAAATGCTAACGATGTATCCAAAAGCCCGAATTCGCTCACCCCTGGGAGGTCCTCCACAAGAAGGTCTCCTTGACCGTCGCCTCGCCCAAGGGTGGCGAGGCACCATTGGACCCAGCTTCCCTGAAGATGTCCGAGTCGGATCCCGTGTCACAGACTTTCTTTAAGGAGCAGAAGGAGCTGTGGACGAACACGCACAAGCTATCGGAGATACTCCCGCGTGTCGCCGAATTTGATGCTATCTTCTATGTTGGTGGTCACGGACGTATGTTTGTCGCCTGCTTTGAAATATATATCCTAACAAGATAAAACAGCCATGTTCGACTTGACCGAAGACCCAGACTCCGTGGCTCTAATCGAAGCCCTCGCAGCCGCCAACAAGCCTGTCGCAGCGGTCTGCCACGGACCCTGCGTGCTGCTAAACGCCAAGGCACCATCCGGCGTGCCTCTCATCTCCGGCGTGACGGTGACCGGACTCACGAACGAGGAGGAAGATGCCACGGGCCTTTCGTCGCTTATGCCGTTTATGCTGGAGACGGAGCTACGTCGTGCCACTGGCGGCAACTATGTCAAAGCTGCGGAGACCTGGGGCGAGAGTGTTGTTGTTTCTAAGGCCGCTGGAACGGGGTCGATCCTTATTACTGGACAGAACCCTGCTTCGGCGGCGGGCGTTGGTAAGGAGATTTTGAAGGCCTTGGGGTTGTAAAGAAGATTTATAGAAATATCGGTGTTACCGAAGACCCTACGAATATTAAGCTGCGCCATGCGACCTATTAAAGACTAACGTATTGTCTTTTAGAGGGGGTATAAGAGGAGCCAGGCTTGTCCTTGGATACGTGCCCTCGATTCCCGTACAACATGTGTTCACAGGCAGTTGACTCCACATTTGAAGTCTCCAAGGAGCTTCAAGATCACCTAGTTTCACTCTACTTTACATGGGAACAGCCATAGTTTCAGCTGGTCGAGGAAAATTTGTTTCGGGAGAGCTGGCAGGAAAAAGGGAGATATTGCAATTCACTGCTTTTCAACTGTATATTCACCCTGGGCTCTCGCTACTCGGATAGAACAGAAGTACTTTCCAACCCAGAAGATCCTAATACAGCAGGCCAGACTTTTCTGGACTAAACTGCATATGTAAAAAAAGACATTTCCTACCTTAGAAGATTTCCAAGTTTACATAATTGGGTTTATTCCCTAATTGGGAAACCCCGAATTGGGGGGGCGGGGCCCCGGGGCGCGGGGTGACGCCCAAATTACTCAGCGTTTGTGGTCCACTCTCATCCATCATCCTTAACCTTGGAAAGCACAGGCACGTCCACCGCTGCCCCAAGACAACGAGCAAAGTTGTACTTAATTCGTTGACACTCGAGCTTCAATCATTCATTCGAACCCTGATCATTCCTATTGTCACCTCCAACATGTCGATGGTTTCTACAGTCCCTTTTCAGCTCTCGGGCCGGTATGCCGAGCGAAATCGGTGGGAAGTTCTCAACGGCCCGGGCGACTCGCGTGTAACAGGAACTCAAATCATCCAAGATGAAAGTCTAGTTGACCAATGGGGCGACAAGGTTATTCTGATTACTGGCGTTTCTTCTGGAATTGGTGTTGAGACTGTGCGCGTCTTGGCATCTACCGGAGCGACTATCTTTGGCACAGCCCGGAATCTTGATAAGGCAAAGGAGGCCTTGGTTGACGTACTTGACACTGGGCGTGTTAAGCTTCTTTTCATGGACCAGACAGACCTTTCGAGTGTTCGGGCGTGTGCTGAGGAGTTTCTGAAAGAGAGCTCCAAACTCAATGTTGTTATCAACAACGCGGCGGTGAGCTAGTTGAAAAAAGTCTCTCAAAAGAGCGTCAGCTCACTATTTGATCGTTATAGGTGATGAACACCCCGGAAAGTCGTACTAAAGACGGCTTTGAGCTACAGTTTGGAACAAATCACCTATCTCATTTTCTCCTCTTCTATCTACTGAAAGATAGCCTACTGGAAAGTTCAACGCCTACATTCCATTCTCGCGTTATCAATGTTTCCTCAGCGGGCCACCGTTATAGTCCTATTCATTTGGACAATGTCAACTTTGAAGGAAACTACAATGGTTGGCTTGCTTACGGATCTAGCAAAACAGCCAATATATACATGGCCACCCAAATCGAGCGTTTGTATGGAGCGTTAGGTCTTCATGGGTATAGTTTAAATCCTGGGGCCTTCATGAGCCCCAATCTCCAGAAACACTCCCAGGAAGAAATGGAAGCAGTGATGCAGAACAAGCGCGCACTGGCATATTTGTCTAGTCTCGAACAGGGCTGCGCAACCACTATCTATGGCTCTGTCTCGAGCGAACTGGAAGGGAAAGGCGGGTTTTACTTGGAAGGAGCATCTGTGGCAGCTTTGCCGACTCCTTCGGACGGGGATGGACTCGAATATGGATACGGCAGTTGGGCATTTGATGAGGCAAACGAAAGGGAACTGTGGAAGCTTAGCAAATCGTTGCTAGGAGTAGAGTAATGCCGAGATTCATCAACATCACTATATATAAAATTGTGCGCAGGTGTCTGTGTATTGAAAGCTGGATATTGCCGTACAGCCCAGCCCTCCTCCCCCCAATAGCCGAATTTTATCGTTATTGGCAAGGGAAATTGTCTAAGAAGCCACGAAGACTGAACTGGTCTACTAGGAAGAGAATAGAAGACGCAAGCCTGAAAGAAAGTGAGTGTTTAAGAGAAGAGAAACTAAAGAGGAGCAAACTGCCACTCTATACACGAACGTAGTCATCTAACTGAGAGAGGCCTGAAGCCGTTGACAGAAATAATTGCGATGGATATAGAACATCGTGGGTACATGCAGAAACGGGCTTATCATCATACGAGATGGCTCTTCAGTGTCAACCAATTGTTCTATCACTTCAACCACCAATATGCCTACCACAAATCTTCATGGTTGGCTTGACTTTTCAGCAATTCGTTGGAACACTGCCGATGGCTCCAGGAAGGTCTCTGCCCGATAGCACTTCACACGCCCGGCATCGTCCTTCCGGACAGAGAACACGGCAAAACCGGGAATAGTGATTTCGTCGGTGTCTAGGCTATCTCCTTTGACAAGATATCGGATGGTCGCAGCTTGGTAGATACGAGGGGCGACATAGTCAAAGTAGCGGACCTCGTGGGTCATCATATCTAGTTGGCCGAGGACGGTTTTGAACATCTGCCGCACCTCGCTGCCCTTGATCACAGGGCTATTTGCATATTGCATCTCCACATCGTCGGTCATAAACTCGTCAAGCCAGTGATCGGTGTCAAGGGTAGCACTCGCTTGGTGGAACTAAGTATCGCTATCAGTTGGTTGTCCTGCGGTTTACGAGAAGAAATAGACTTACCGCTTCCAGCCACTTCAACACAGCGTCATTATCAAGCTCAGGACCGGCCGACATTATGAAAAAAAAAAAATGAGGGCTGCAGGTACGAAATCTTTTGAGATACCAAGTACGATAGGCTTTCAAAGCTGGCGAAAGACCTAGTTTTATAACTACGAAATAGCCCCCCAAACTGCTTATAGCCCCCAAACTGTTTATAGCCCCCAAACTGCTTATAAATTCAAAATCGACTTACCTTGAAAAAGTTGCGATTCACAGCTTATCTCCAGAAAATTGGACCTTGCATATCTGTTTCTAATCACAGGTCTATATTCATTTCCTTCGGTGTGACTGAATATTGATTCGTTTGTCTCTGTAGCCTTAATTATATATGTTCACCGTAGTAGTGCGGTCTTGGCGCCACGTCAATTTAACTCACTAACTTTAACTCTTAACTATACCACCTATAACACCCCAACGTCCTATTAATTCAAATAGTAGGCGTAGGAATAATCTATCTCCCTACCTTAGGGGCTAGATCGTTAGTTAATATAAAGTGGGGCTCTTAATCATTACTCCTACGCGATATTACGAATTACCTAAGTTTAGACCTCGCCCTCACCCGTATGGACTCGGAACCGACCCGACCCTTAACCCGCATTTTAGGGTTAAGGGTCCTTACATACCTAGAACTCGCGGGTAGAACTCGTAGGGCTAGGGATCCATTTGATCGGGAGTGACAGAAGGGATGAGATGTTTGTGACTAACACAGAATTTACGTCGGGCCAATCCCCTAGCGCTAGATATGTTGCTTAACTAAGTATTCAAAGTCGAACTGATCCGTCGAGTGCCGGAACACTATAGAAAAATAATGTTATGTTGGACATGCAGGCAGTATTTGATATCGTTCATCGCCATGGAATTTGGTTGAGCGAGTGTCAAACCTAGTTATTGAAGCTTCTCAAGCTGATAATGCATTTGAAAGCAATAACGCGGCAGATTGCGATGGCAGTGTTAAGAGCTTTTAGCAGAATTTACCCCAAGTTTGGCCGGGGGTTGAAGCATTATACTCTCAACTCGACAGGACAATATACGACTTGTTTGATAATAGCCTACCAAGCACCTTTCGAGACCCAGCTGCATGGAATTATGTCCTCTTTGTATTGAACGACAATATTACGCCGGAAACGATTCTCATCTCGCTACAAACTTCCTGTCTCCTGATCTGGAATTGAGCAATGAATTCGTGTAGTAAAACACTAGTTCGGATTTGAGGGATTAATTATAGTGCTAGTCTGAGAACGAGACTACAGGGGATTTATATTGGATCTTAGTCTGCTGGACACGATATGGTAGGGAAAGTACACCCTACGTGCCATCAGTTTTGCTAACCTAGAGGCTTTAGATTCACAACATTAGCATGCTAGTCGATATTTACCTGTTAGGCGAAGATGGACATCTTGATAGGGGCCACGGCCCGTGGGTTGCCGAGGGCCAGTGAACAGTTTGAGACATTAAAAAAAAAAAAAAGCATGCGAGCATTTCTTGAGCTCCGCCTCCCGCATTGCGGCCCAAAGACACGGCTTCGATTGAAGTCACAGGAATGGTATTTTCTTATCATCTAAATTGGGGGCTTATATATTAACCTGCAAAAGAAGAAGCTAACCCTCATAAGATGCTATTAGACCTAAGACAACAATAATATCTCTAGATACAAACCTTAAGAAAAAAAAGGTGTATAAAAATGAAAAGTTTGGAACGTGCCATCGGTGAAAAGCTTAATATAATGACGGCTGCCTACGTCCTCATGCGGCCAGCCAGAATTTTTTTCCTTTGCTCTTTTTCCGAGGTATTACGGAATACATTTGACTCATAGCTTACTTAGTACATTTATTTCATTTAAAAAAAAAAAGAAATTTCAACCAAATAAATGGGCCCAAAAGGGAAAAAAAAGGCTGAGCTCTGGTAACTGTCAGGTTGGGTTGCGGGATTTAACATGGAACTCCATAAAACTCTCTTTGCTCCCACTTTCTCTTACTACCTAAACTTCTTTTTGTCTCTCCCTGTCAGCTCAACAAACTACACACACACACTGTGTCCAATCACTCTGAATGGCTGATCTTCACTCTATGAACTTCCTTATCTCCCTTGTGTCCTTCATCCCAGGCGTATTGGCTTGGCCAGAATTATCCTGTGGCTCGTCAGAGATCACCCACCCGCCTTAATACCTAGGTTAATACACCATCCAAAAGCTTGATCTTCTTTGCATACCAAACGCTCTTTATATGACAACTATCCATTGCCCAGTACGCCGCAATGAGGTTCTATCGTCCAATCTTCCTATGTGAGGTGGAAGGGGCCGCGGAGACGCAGGTTGTTATTCAATTGACCCAAGGCAAACATGAGGATAATTCTGTGATGACGGTTAACGATGTTTCGGGCTACAAGCCTAAGGCAAGCCCACGACTCGTCGATCGATGGCTGGATATCGTTGTGCGAGTAGCGGGCTCTGCCCCCGTGTTCCTCTTGATCATCGGCGGTTTGCTCGTGTGGGCCTTGATGGGAATACACTTCGGCAACTCGGACGTGTGGATTGCTATCATCTCTGATGTGCAGGCTATCCTGTGTTATGTATTCGACTCGTTCTTGATGCGACAACTTCTTCGGGAGTACTCCGAGCAACGCACGGTAATGGCTGAAATTTACTCTCGCTCCAATAGCAATCACCGAATGCTTGCTGAGCTCAACAGAAGGCTGGGACCGGAGGCCACTCGTGGTATCGCCGAGATGTGCAAAGACGAGCCTCTGCATCCACTTGACCCACCTGTCGAAACTCAAACTCTGTTTGCTCGGTGCATGATCTTCTCGGCGAAGTGGTTCGGTCACCTCATCACTGTCGGCATTTACTGGGTGTGTATCATCATCTGGTTGGGGTTCGGTCACAGCTGTGGATGGTCAAACCGCTGGCAGCTGTATATCAACGATGCCACTTCAGCTCTGATGATTTTGGTGTTTGCTTTCCTGGCTTCTCTTCGTGAATGCTATGCTGATTATACCAAAACTTGTGTTGATGCAATCTTCAAACTGGATGCGACGCTGGAACTGGAACTCCGCCGCCTTAATCATGACGAGCTCCCAAACCCGACCGAGGTCATTCTGCCGCGCAAAGAAAGCTACTTACAGGTGGTTGTCTATTACTATGCCGACGTAATTGGCACACTGGTGGGTATCATTATCCTCCTGTTGGTCATCTTCACCTGGGCTGGTGTGGGTCCTGTCTTCAACTTCAACAACACTTGGTGGCTGCTCATTGGCACCTATGCCGGGTTAGTTGGTCTTTTCGACAGCTTTGTCCTCCGGAACATCCAAGGAAAAGTCCACAAATCCATCAGCAGTCAAATAAGCCGTGTGGAACAAGGGGATAAGGCAATATTTGCCGCCCTCTTCATGCCGGTGCCTTCAGCCAACGATCTAAAGCGCCCATCCTTGAGCCGCCGTGTATCGCGATACATAGATAAGATCAGCTCCCACCTGCTAATGGTGCTCGCTGGTTTCCTTCTCACCATCGGCTGTATCATAGCTTCGAGCGCAATGCACTGGAGCTTGACGGGCCAGTTGATATCAAATGTCCCTCCTAGTATCATCGAGACTTTCTTCATGCTCATCCTGATCACTGGTCAAAATGATGCAGAAGCTAAATCTCGCATTGACTTGACAAGCGCTTACTACCGGCGACAGCGGCTGCTTTCATTCGTGAAGCACGCACGGGGCCTTTGCACACCTGAACAGTTATGTGAGGCTTAGGTCGCCACATGGTGAAGTTTCCGTGATCCTATTTGCCAATGATTGCGGTGCTTTGAGACAACTGAGCTATACTTGACTTGTTTTTTTACTTTTTTTTTTGTTTATTTGTTGGAAGGAAGAGCTGATTAAAGAGTCATGTCGAATACTAAGATTGAATACATGGTGGAAACAGGGTATTTTACCCGGAAAATCTTATGGCAACTGGTACCAACCATACCATACAAAAGTGCATATTACAGTTAGTCATCTATGTCCGCACAGATTGTTGAAAAAGCGGGCTTTGTCATTTTTGTTAGTTAGAGAGTTTCAATATATCTGATTTTGTCCATACGTTGTCGTACTGCCAGATTTCTGTCAAGTCACCCTATCAAAGTCCAATTCCACCGCGCCATCTCAATTCCAGCGTACCATTATACCACCAAAAATGCAGTGATTGAGTATTTAAAACAGGCATATTAAATTTAGAGATCTAATTTATAGGGAGCGGTTGTTTCTGACCAATGTATCTCGCTTTTTAGGTGAAAATGGGAGGTTAAAAATAGCGCAATATGTTATAGTGGTTATGCGAATAGCTTCATAAAAATTTTAGCCAGCGGCGGCATTATGTGATTAGTACTTTGCACTGTGGCTAAGTATCATGTGATAGCAGTGTCAATTACTGAGGCGATACCTCAATAATTTACAGACACCGCAAATGTTTACCCCTTATTCTGCTGGACAAATATCCACGAATAAAACACTAAGTATAGCGGGCGGTATAACAAATTCGGAAGGCGGTATAGCAGCTTAGGAAGGCGGTAGCGGGAGGGGTGTTAAAACCTTTGCGGTGTCACTGTACATAGTCAGGAAAAAATGCCGGCGCCTTACCGGGTCAGGTACGGATGTTATGTAGTCACGTGACTGTGACTCACCTCGCTTGACCGCCCTATTCTGCAGGTTTTATCGCGGGGTTATTTGGACCGACTTTTTCTTTGTGATCTTTTCCCCTTACATTATTATTACTGCCCATCCTTCAATCTGTCTAACAATGGCTTTATCTGCGAAGTCAAGATTTGATCTCATTCGTGACAATCTCGGCGAGATTCTTAACCCGGAATTGATCGAGAGCATCCTTGCTGAGGGGCGCAATCCCCGTGTGTACTGGGGTAATGACTCCCTACCTTTTAACATTCAATATGGTGAACTGATATGGATTTCTTATCCTATTTTAGGCACTGCTACAACTGGGAGGCCTCATTCCGGTTATTTCGTCGCCGCAATCAAGATCGCCCAGCTACTTGCGTCAGGATGTGAGGTGGTAATTCTCCTTGCTGACGTGCACGCGTTTCTAGATTCAATGAAAGCGCCTCTCGAACTCGTTGAAAACCGTGTCAAATACTACGAAAAAATCATCACGGCAGTCCTAGAGGCTGTTGGCGTGTCGACGGAGAAGCTCGAGTTCGTGCTCGGGAGTTCCTACCAGCGGAGTTCCGACTATGTTATGGATGTCTACCGGCTTGCCGCTATGACCTCTGAGCATGATTGTAGGAAGGCTGGTGCAGAGATTGTGAAACAATCTACCAACGCCCCAATGAGCGGCCTTCTCTACCCGATCCTTCAGGTCCTCGATGAGGAGTATCTTAAGGTCGATGCTGAATTAGGCGGTATGTCTAACTCTACTTACATACCTGTACTATTTCTAACAAACAGGAACAGGCCTCGACCAGAGGAAGCTCTTCACGGCAGCAACAGAATGGCTACCTAAACTCGGATACCGAAAGGTAAAGGATATATCTATTAGGCAAGGCTTACTGAACATTACTAATGATTTTCAACTCCTAGCGTGCCCATCTTATCACTCCAATGGTTGCAGGCCTAAGCGGGGGCAAAATGAGCTCGAGTATCGAAGGTATATAAAAATCTCGTCTTTCAAAAACGGTCTAAACTAACCCCAGCTAGATAGCAAGATTGATCTCCTCGACCCACCTGAGGCAGTCTCCAAAAAAATCCGTAAATCGGAAGCGGTCCCTCGAGTCGTCGAGAACAATGGCGTAATTGCCATGGTGGAATTTGTCTTACTCCCCGCAGCCGCCCTCACTGGCAAGAAGGAATTCCGCGTAGAACGCCGGGATAACGAACCTCTCATCTACACTGACATCCAACAACTCAAAGATGATTACACAAACGACGTTGTATGTTAATACTTTTTATTTGCTCCCGGGAACCTACTAACAATCACCTAGTTAACTCCCCAACTTCTAAAGCCTGCAGCATCAGAGGCTTTGAACCGTCTCATGGCACCTATTCACAAAGCCTACGCAGAATCGCCCGAATGGCAGGAAATCACCCTTAAGGCTTACCCGCCTCCGGTTGTACAGAAGAAGGAAAAGAAGGTCAAAGATAGAGGTTCCCGCTTCCCTGGAGCTAATAAGGAAAAGGATATCCCAGAGCGTCCCAAGGCTTAAGAAATACATAAATGAATGGAGACAAGCAGGGAATTTACCCGGCTGGCTAGTCTTTTTATTCTTTTTGTTTTGTATGTACGGAGTAACTCATTGTTTACATATGTGAAGATGTCAACTTCCAGTTTTACCAGAGGCTGGAGGTATTGTTCGCCTAATAAAGTCAATCAACAAAGCTTAGTTGCGCAAGAAACGAATGTTCCAAATCCTGCCAATTATATAGCACTAAACTTGACTAGGCGAGGGATTTTTATCCCATCATCCATGCAATGTCTACATGTCTTTCTTACTGATGATGAAACAAATACATACGACCATAGGGTGTGGAAAACAGGGCTTCCCGTCCGCTCAGCCGTACTTAAGCCACACGCCGGTGAGTTAGTAGTTGGGTGGGTGACCACCAGCGAATCCTCACTGTTGTATGTTTTTTGCTTTCTTTTTGCAAATATATTTTTGTTAGTGGTGTCGTGTTGTGTTGTCGAAAACTGCTGGTTGGGCCAAGATCTAGAGAGGAGAAGCATCATCCTTAAGTGTAGATCTCCGGGGGCCCTAAACCTGACGTGGAAAGTTGCTATACGGCACCCTCCGTACAGCTGGCGGATATAAGATATCTCATGCCCTTCACGCAGGTACAATGCGACCCATTGCCTCAGCAATGATGGTTAAAAAGGTGAAAATATTGTATATTTCAAGAAAATAATGATGATACAGTGAGGAGGAAGAAGCGATATAGTCGACTAAAACAATGAACAAACATGCGCGTACATAGTAAAATACCACACACAGCCTGAGGCAATCCGTAGCAGATCAGAGCTTGCTAGAAACAAGGTAGGGAATGTTCTTAGCCTCATATATATCCTTGTGCTCAGATTTGATGATATCCGCGCCCTAGAGTATGTGTTAGTTATGTTCTAGGAGCCCGCGAATTTGTTACTAACCTTCTCGCCAATCATGTAGACCGAGTTTTGAATACGGCAATCAGGGATCACGGGGATGACAGAAGCATCTGCAATTCTGAGGTTGCGCACTCCGTGAACCCGCAGCTTGGAGTCAACAACACCCTGGTGAACGCTCTTCGAGAGACGTGCAGTACCGCATGGATCTGTAAAGTAAATTATTAGTCTTGTTTCAAGATATTTGAAGGGGTCATCTTACGGAATCCAGTCTGGCTGCGATCCAGAACAGCCCGGTTCATATCATCATCGGAGTTAAGGGGCATCTTCCAGGGGTACTCCGAGAGCACAATGTCCTTGAATCCAGCACCCTTGGTCAGAAGGTCATATGTCCAGCGCACACCCTCCCGCATAGCCAGAATGTCCAAGTCATTGCCAAAGAAGTTGAGGTTGATATTCGGCTGAACCTGTGCGTTCGAGCTGTTCAGGGTAACTTCGCCCTCGGAAAGGGGTCGCAGCAGATCAACAATGACGGTCATGTAGTTGCCCTTCTCGGGCAAAGGGTAATGCCACTGGAATGCAGTGCTGAACAAGCCGACGAAGTCCAGCTCGAAGTGAGGTTGTCCTGCTGGGCCAAAAGGATCAAGTCCTCCGTTGGCAGCCTTGGCCTCGCGGTAGGCAGGGTACTTCTCCAGGCGTTGGTCAATTCGGGGGAATCCCACAAGTTCCAAAAATCCGGAGCTTGCAGGGCCAGTCTTGTCCTTCTGGTAGGTGGAGAGTGCCTTGTCATTCAGAGGACCGGGGCGGAGGATATGGTTATCCAAGCTGTACCCATCCTTGACCTCAAGAACGAAAGGTACAATTGGGTGGTCCAGAAGATGCTGGCCGACGTGAGGGGATTCCACAATGGGAGTGATTCCGTGTTTGGCCAGTTCCGCTGCTGGGCCGACTCCGCTGAGCATGAGAAGCTTGGGGGTCTCAAAGACACCCTGAGACAGGATGACCTCTCGGCTGGCATAGACACTGATCTCGTCATCGGAAGCTTCGCTTATCACAGTGACACCGGAGCAGATGCGCGTGGTAGGGTCGATGAGCAGCTTCTTCGAGTGAACGCCGTAGAGGATTGTCACGTTCGGCTTGTTCTTTAGGTAAAGGAAGCTACCCTGGCGCTCGCCCTGGTGGATAGTATCAACACAGTGGGTGAGACCCTTCATCTCGCCGGAGTAGATGTCCTCGGTCAGAACTTCGCCCTTAGAAACCCAGGCCTCAGTGAGCGCATCACGGAACGGCTTCATCTCCGGCACCAAGTCGGCGTGGGAAATCTGCACCGGGCCACCGGTTCCAATCTTGCTCAGTTCGGCCGGATACAGCTTCTCGTCATCATGGTAGGTGGCACATTTGCGGAGGTACTCCACACAGGAGTCCCAGTTCCAGTCGCGGCCACCGAAGGCCTCCCAGTCGTCAAAGGTAGGCTTCGAGCCAGGAATCCAGGTGAAGTAGTTGGCACACGAACTACCGCCAAGGGCCTTTCCGCGGGTGTTGGGCTTCTCAACACGCTCATAATCATCGCGCTTAATCATAGTTGTCTTGTAGGACCAGTCGTACTTGCTTCCGCGAAGGGTGAAAGCCTTGGACGGGGTAGTGATTTGCTCGATCTGATCCGGGTTGGGGATGCCGGCTTCGACAACCAGAATGCGGACGGAGGGATTCTCAGCAAGGCGACCAGCAATTGCATTGCCAGCGGTACCACCGCCGACAATGATGAAGTCGTACTCTGAACCGTTGGAAACGAAAGCCATGGTTTGAGATTTGTTGTTTTTAATAAGAGAACAGGTGAGAGTGAGGTTTGTTCTATGTTTGCGAGACTGTGTGTGTGAAAAACAAATATTGACGAGACATCGTGTCGATTTTATATTCTACTCTTCGCAAAAATGTCTCCAAATAGACCGTGTTGCCGTTTTTGCCGGTTACGAGAGACATCACGGCGAGAGTAACCCCTGAACCTTGAACTGGTAGGGCTGATGGAATGAGGCTTGGATGTAACCATGTAGTTGGGAGAAGGTGTTCTAGAAGGAACGTAAGCTCCAAGTGTGACGATTTCGACTCCTCATGAGGGGAAAAAACCATCCCCGCACGAGGTGTCGAATTTTTTGGCCAATCAGAGGCGCAGGAAATTTTAGCGGGAACGGCAATAACTCGGCAATGGCTCGGTGACCGCCTTTTGTGGCTGATCTCCATGAGGCTTTTCAAAGCCACCTTTTCAAATCATTTGATTTTGTCTCAATCCCCTCACGTCAAGATGTAACGGACGTATCTCGGATATTGATTTGGAGTGTCCCTCATGGGGGGTGGTGTCAAGATCTTGACTCACCTCTAGAGATCCAACCCAATAAAAGCCCGGCTGTTTCCTAGCAGACGGACTGTTTACAACACATCAATTGAACTTGAATTCCTAGACAAACAATCACAATGCTGAACCATACTTTTACCTTAGCAGAAGGTATAGTACCAATAATGCCAAAAGAACGTTATCATTCTGACACCAGACAGGCCAACCAGTTGCAGACCCATCCGTCAGCACCACGTTGCCTACCTTTGGCGGCGGCGGCCACACGACACTGGGCGACACGCTTCTCATTGAGACACTTTCGCACTTTAATCGCGAACGTATCCCTGAAAGGTATGAGACCATTCGACCCTATTTATGGAAAGAAGAGGTATCCTAACGCTGAACAGAGTCGTCCATGCTAAAGCTGCGGGTGCATGGGGAGAATTTGAGGTCACAAATGACATTTCTTCCCTCACATCGGCCAAGTTCCTCAATGGTGTTGGGAAGAAAACACCCGTTCTCTTCCGTCTAAGCACCACTGGCGGTGAAAAGGGCAGTGCAGACACTGTCCGCGATGTGCGAGGCTTTTCTGTCAAGTTCTTCACAGAGGAAGGCAATCATGATATTGTAGGGAACCACATTGTAAGTGTTCACCCTCGACTCTTACGTTTCATATTCTAATGTCCCCGAAGCCGGTGTTCTTTGTTCGCGACCCTATAAGGTTTCCTTCTCTCAACCGAAGCCACAAGAGGCATCCTGCCACCAACCGGCCGGATTGGACCATGGTGAGTACCAATAGAAGCTTTTATATTGGTGATGAAGCTAACCGTGTAGTTCTGGGATTTCCACGCGAACCAACAGGAAAGTGTTCATGCGTTGATGCACCTTTTTGGTACTCGGGGTATTCCTGATTCCATCCGTCGAGTGACAGGATTCGGTGTACACACCTTCAAGATGGTGACAGCCGATGGTGGCTTCCGCTACTGCAAGTTCCACTTCCGACCGACCCAAAATATCACACACTTCTCTGGCCAGGAAGCTACTCGCATGGCTGGCGCAAACGCCGACTTCCACAATCAGGATTTGTGGGATGCTATCGCTCGGGGAGACTTGCCGGCCTGGAAGCTTTACGTGCAGGTCATGGAGCCCGAGCAGGCTGAAACCTACGGCCGTGCTCTGTTTGATATCACCAAAGTTTGGCCGCACAAGGACTTCCCCTTGATCGAAGTTGGTCAAATGACCCTCAACAAGAATGTGGGTAGCTCTTTATCTTGGATACGAAGCAAATACTAACAACAGCCCCAGCCTGAGAACTATTTTGCCGAGATCGAGCAAGCGGCATTTTCGCCTTCTAACATGGTGCCTGGCATTGCAATGACACCTGATCCTAGTAAGTTTACACTAATGTTGTCGTCAAAATGTGACAATGTGACAGGATACTAACCATTTTTGTCTGTACAGTGTTGCAGGCACGCATGTTCGCTTACCCGGACGCTCAACGATACCGTCTGGGAGTGAACTACACACAGCTTCCTTCAAACCGTGCAATCTGCCCCGTATACGCGCCATTCGAGCGCGACGGCATGGGAACTGTGACGCGAAACTATGGCGGTGACCCGAACTATGTACGGAGCTCACTAGGGAGTGGCATCCCGAGCCAGATTGTTTCCAACGTACGACACACCGAGCGCATCGCCCATAATGCTATTCTTGGCCAGAATGAGATTCTAGTTGATGATGAAGATTTCCTTCAGCCACGAGAACTGTGGAACAAGGTCTTTGATGAGCCTGAGAGAAGGCAGTGGGTGTCAAATGTGTCGGAGACTTTGGAAGACGTGCCTGATCAGCTCAAGGAGGCTGTCACTGCCATGTTCAGCAAGGTCGATCCCCGTATTGGCCAATTGTTAGACGCTAAGGCCAAGAACAGTTCGCGTCTTTAGCTATTTGATTCTTTAGTTTCTATGGACCTAGTCTTTCCATTATATAAATCGATTGTGCTACTAGTCGCCTTTACTTATCCTTTTATCATTCCACCACTCAACCATCTACATTCTATTATCCTCTCCCACACGTTATATGATACATACGACCATAGGGTGTGGAAAATAGGGCTTACCATCCGCCCAGCTGTCAGGAATCCTGCGTCACACCTGAGACCTGATCTATATTGGACAGTACGCTGCATATAGTGTGGGGCGAGACAACAAAGCAAAAATGTTTATCTGCAGATCGAAATTCGACATTGTCGTTGCTTCTGCCGTCAAGGAAGTGATTAGTTACATGATGCCAGACTGTCAATAACCTTATTTCTGAGTAATTCTCCAACCTACATAGATAGGCAAGGTCGCAGCACAATTGCAATAGATTTCGTTCAGTGCTGCAGCACCCGCCAAGGCCAAATCATGCATTATATTATTTTTCTCGCCGACTTTTATTGCTGATATGCTCACTTAAGATAAAGTGATTCTGAGACCTCTTGGTAGATCTATCAAATGCTATTTGAATCAATTTTGTGTCGCTATAGATTATGATCGGTGAAGAGGTTTTGTGGTACGATCCCTGTAACTACTTGGGGGGCTGGTCAATCAACGAGGGGCCACCGGGAGCGAACCAGTTCCCAGAAGTTAGGCGTTTGGTAGCTCCAAGTCACGTACAGTTCGTATAGATCGAGTCTCCAAGTCTATGATCACAAAACTTTTTGACATTTGCTTAGATTTAGTGAGCAAAGATATGAGCAGACCTACTACCCGAAATTATCCTGTCTATAAGTACAATGTACCGAGTAAGTCTGAAATTGGTAGGCGGGTCTGTAGTGGTAACCCGATATACGAAGAGATCGAATAATCTAGCAAGCAGCTTCACAGGCTCACAGTTCACTAACTTACTATTCTTCTGTTTTGTCGTAGTGGTTTAATCCGTCGCCCATACTTGATCCGTTGCCCATACTCGTAGACACAGCACAACCTAAGAGCAAAAGATTCTAGCTCTGGAGGGGCAAACCCCTAAGCTAAGCAAGCGGATATTTTCCTCAGAAGTTGAAGTTCCCTGAGCTAGGCATGCAAGGAACTAAGCAGCAAAGCCCACATCGCTATTTCCAAAAAGGACGATTGGCAATTTATGTTGAACCGATATTAACGAAAAATGCCAACAGGCTCATTATAGATTGACAGCACACAAACATTTTCGATTGTCACTTCCTAAAACAATCCTTTCTTCTGCTTTCACCTGCGAATACAACCAGTATTTTGCCTTCAGGGGGAATGCAAAAAGGGATGGATTGCATACTCCGTATGTAGTTGGCCACTCATGATCATCCAATATTGTCGATCCGATCGCCCTGCCCCACATTGCATACCACTATGTAAATAAATGGTTGGCCAGTCTTTCAAAAGTTCGTAACCAAAACTTTCACTAGGTCAAGTTTATAAACCTCAAGCGATAGTCCTGCTAGTCCGATTTAATTTGTATCATATACTTTTAAACGCAAAACGAGCAGAGCAGCACCATTCCTTCAACATGCAATCAAACCGTCTCCTTTTCGCATTGCTGATTACCACTGCACTAGCGTTGCCAGCAAATGAAGACAGATCCAAAATGTTGTCCGAGCGTCAGGTGAGAGTAGCCGGAGACTTCTCTAAGGATAAGAACTGACAAGAATGGCCACCAATAGGAGGCTGTAAGTGATATTCATCCCGGTCTAAGAAAGATGACTATGTGTGTATAGAACTAACAGAACTGGCGACCAACAGATAGTAAGTAATAGTGCCTCATACTCGGAGGAGGATGAACTCTATATGGATTAAATCACTGATATGAATATGAATTGACAGATTGTACGTGATGGTTATCCTGATCAGAGAGATAATCATATTCACAAAGCTGATAGAATTGGCGACATATAGCAGGTAAGTGGTAGCCCTTGCCCAGAAAAAGCGATTGTGTGCAAAGGGCTGACGGCTCTGGCCTCCGATAGGATGTGAGTGCAAGCCCTCCTTAAGCAAGAAAGGATAAACTCTATACGGATTACTGATATTATCATGAATTGATAGATTGTACGTGACGGTTGCCCCTGATTATAAAGAGAATACCGTACACAGAGCTAATAGAAATGGCAACCGATAGGAGGTAAGTGGCGATCACGCTGGATCAGTGATGTCGTGCACGAAGCTGACCCAAATGGTAACCTATAGAAGGTAGGTGGTGATCTTTGATCAGAAAAGGATGATTGCATACAGAGCTAACAATAATGGCCACGGATAGGATGTAAGTGAAAGCCCTTCTTAACCAATAAATGTGCCACACAGAGCTAACTGAAATGGCAACGAAAAGGTGGTAAGTGATAGACTACCCTAGTCAGGAGGATGACAATGCGTATAGAGCTCACTGAATGACAACCGATAGGCTGTGAGCGAATATCCTCCCTTGCCAGAGAATAATAACTGTGCAGAAAGCTAACTGAAATGGCCATTGTTAGAGGGTAAGCAAACGGCCTCCTTGGCCAGAGAACGATAACTACATACACAGAGCTGACAGGAGTTACCACTCAGCTGGTAAGCAATATTTCTTTCTAGTCAGAGAAGGGCGACTATTTGTGCATATAGCTAACAAAAATCGCATCCGGTAGGCTGTAAGTGATGTTCCCCTCTGGTTATAAGGATGACAGTGCACAAAGCTGACAAATAGGGAAACTGATAGGATGTAAGCAACACTCCTTTCTAGTTAGAGAAGGATGACTATGTGTGCACAGAGCTGACAGAAATGCAATGATAGAACAAGGGTGTAAGTGATGGTCCCTTCTGGATAGGAGGAATACTTAACGCACATAACTAACAAAGAATGGCAACCAACAGTTGGTAAGAGATGACCTTACCTGTTCCGAAAAATATGATTGTATAAGCTGACAAAAATTGCGATAGGCCAACGCTGTAAGTAACCCCCCCCCCCAAAAAGCTGGTTGGAAGGAATACTTGACGCACACGCATGTAACTGACAAAGAATGGCGACCAATAGGCGGTAAGAAATGAGCTCCCTTCGTTGGAGAAATATAACAGTGCATAAGCTTACAGAAATGAGCACCCGATAGGGTAGGATTGTAAGTATTGGACCATCTGGTTGGAAGGGTGATAATGGTCAAAAAATGCCCTTCCCTGGTCAAAAAGAGATGATTGTGGCCAAGCTGACAGATATGGCATTGGATAGAACAATTCTGTAAGTGATGGGGATGGCCCTACCCCGTGGTCAGAATGAATACTCAACGTGGAAAACTGACAAATAATTACAATTAATAGCCGGTAAGAAATGGGCTTCCATCAAGAGCTGGTCAAAGAGAGATGACAGTATATAAGCTGACAGAAATGGAACCGGATAGAGCAATGCTGTAAGTGATGGTTCCCCCTAGTTGGAAGTAATACTTGATGCACATAACTAACAAAGAATGGCAATCAACAGGTGGTAAGAGATGGCCTTCCCTGCTCGAAAAAAGATGATTGTGTATAAGCTGACAAAACTCGCACCCGATAGGCCGAAATTGTAAGTGATGCCCCCTCCCCTGGTTAGAAGGATGACAATGCACAAAGCTGACAAATATGGAAACTGATAGGAGGTAAGTACCGATCCTCGCTGGTCAGAGAATGATGACTCGTATAGAGCTGACAGCAATGTCGCCCGATAGGCCAAGCTTGTAAGTGATTGCTCACCTGGTTGAAGGGATGACAATGTACGGAGTACAGAGTTAACAGAAATGGAAACTGATAGAATGTAAGCAACGGTATTCCCTGGTCAGAGAAGATAACTTGCAAAGAGCTAACAGAAATGGCAACTGATAGTGGGGGAGTGTAAATGACGGTCGTTTCGGTTGGAAGGTTGATAATGCACAGCCCTGGAGTACTAACAGAGATGGTCAGCGGCCGGACCTGAATGTAAGTGATGGTCCCTGGTCAGAAAGAATACTCAACACAGAGAACTAACAAAGAATGGCAAACAATAGCTGGTAAGAGATAGACTTCCCTCTAGGGCTGGCCAGAGAGATAATTTTGCATAGAGCTGACAGAAATGGCAACCGATAGGTTGTAAGTGTGGTCCTCCCTGGTCGGAGAGGGGTGAACCTCCACAGAACTGACAGATATTCTAGTAATGGGTACGTCTCCGGTTTTCCGGATTCGAAATCTAGGAACTCTGATTGATTCCTATTTTCTTTGCCTATACTGCCTTGATGTGGGTTTTCCCCTATGTACCATAGGTTTCCCTGTATCATTTTGCGAATGCAAAGGCCTTCTGATTTTATATATCCACATAAAACGTATTATGCAGCATAATAATTTTGGTACTAAAATTAAATTTAAAACATGTTGGGGAATGGGATGGCAAGAGGGGGTCTGTGATGAAAATGTTGACCTATGCTCAAAATTTCACTTCTATGAAGTGGGAGAGAACAACTTGAAAGTAGACTGGAATGAAATTGTAGTCTGCAATGTCTATTCTCCTCGAATTGTCTCTTTGATAGGTGTTGGTAGCCTTGCTGTCTGCCCAAGGCACATATTGGACCTTGTGACCACCTGCATATCCTGACTTGTTGTATCTTTATTATATTTTCAACCCTTTTGGTAAATCTTTGCTGCCTGTGAAAAAGGGTAGCTCTGTTTTTATGTACCTTCCCGCCTAGGCCAGCAGTTGTCGTGTTATTTGTACCAGTGCAGGTAAGGTAGACTGATAGGGTGAACATATTGACAAAACCCACTAAGCGACTTGGATTTTTGTTAGATATCAACATGTGGAAATGGTGCCAAAGGATATAAAAGATCCGGGTCTCTTCGATCATCTCCAGGTGTCGCATTCATGTCATTGTCGGGTATGTGGAAGACCCACCCAAGGTCGATGCGATCAGTCGAACATTATCGACCATGAGAATCTGAAGACCGGCTGCGTGTTGTACCTATAGCAAATGAGCCGCAATGTTCATTGGAAGGGACGGGAATTTTTCATTGAACTTACTTTAGCATTCTCGGGGATGTTGTTTAAGGTGCCATAAGACCCACAGATCAGACCTGATCTTTTGACATAGCCCACAAGTCTTGGGCATAGGATCAATGTCTCAGAAGCGAAGACAATGCCGGCTAAGTTCCATCGCTTCGAGAAACGGACCGCGGCTTGTAGGCTACTACCCCTCATCTCCATGTCCGACATTGGTAGTTTTCCGGCGTTGGTGATAAACAAGACAGGATATGTATCTTGCTTCGTAGCCAGAAGAATACAAATTTCGGGTGAAAAGGAGGAGAGTATAATGGACCTATCACTGCTGACACGGAATATCTGGGCGAGTATCCGATCAATAAATGTGTTGATCTCGATAGCGATTGGTCCTACGCCCGCCTCAACAGCTTCATGAAGCCTCGGATACTCTTTATTCATGTTAGCTTTGCAGTTTATAAGATGAGCCGATTGCTCATTCTGATACCAGGAACGTACTTATCTCGACATTGAAGCTGATTGAGTCTGGCAGCTCTGTAAGTAGCTCTTCCAGCGTGGTGAAAGCATCCTGCACGGAATCACCCCTTGTGTTCGGCTTGAATCCTTTATTCTTGAAATCCACGGTGTGCTTCATTCTGTCACGAATTCGCACAGTCTCTTGCTCTTCGTTGTTTGTCAATGAACGTGATCGAACTCTGTTCCCACCCGGCCTATGTGACAGGCCCTGTGAATTTGGCCTTCCGAGCACCGACACTGGTTCGCCTCTCGGTGACTGAAGTTTGCTCGCGTACATAAACTTTAAAAATCAGAATCAGAAAATTATAAAATCTCGAGAGACAGACCTGTTCAAAACTGAGATCATGAATAGGAATATCGGTTCCGGACTCGCTTAACGAGAAGTCATGATAAATGATGGGAAAAAGGTCTCTAGTAAGTTGGACATCTAGTTGTATGTTAGTAAAAGCGAAAGGACCAGTTTCACATGAATGGGCTATTACCGAACTATTAACAGTTAGAAAATGCAAGCTTCAGACGCAGAACTTCAGGGCTTCTTACCTCAATATATGAAGCGCCTAGCCTCGCAGCAGAAAGAAATGACTATTACAAATGTTAGTATGGTGGGGTTTAGAAGTACGAGTGAATATACCTCTGTGGTATTCTCTCCTAGCTGAAGCTGGCTGTGATTGGCAGTGTTTTGACCAAGTCCTTTTAGTGTCAGCAATACTGAATCACGCGGCATAAAGTGCTCATTAAATGGAGTAGATACCTCTATGACCGACAAGCTGTAGGCCTTCTGCCGAGAGTTTCTGCTTTGCCAATGGAGGAGGATTGGAACCCATCAATGGCTTAGCAATGACGAAGGTGAAAGTGACGGTTCCCATAATATCCATTGTATTCCTTTCCAGAATTGGGACAGTACGCTCTCTGACAAGGCTCTCACGATTCGCTCCAAAGCAACCTTTGTCGCTCTCTAGTAAGTACGCAGCACTGCCGATTAGCTGACAAGTTTCACAGGATGAGTCTGCAGGGTAAAACTTGAAAGCCAGGCGGGCTTCACTAGGGTTAGTAACAGGAAAAACGAACGGTGTGTTGATCATGTCGCTTAGCATGGGAAATTTCACCCACTGTGAGGTACCCTCCACTGAAATTGACATATTCATCGAAGTGAGATGTTTCGCATGGAGTAAATTGCCCGGCGAGGAGCCTTTGAAGTCCACGGCTTTGACGTCCTTGCCGTTACGCAAAACACCAAGATTGACAATGAGATGATTTCCGCCCATTGAAAGAGGGGATCCGGCTGCAGACTTGGACTTCAGCGACATGTTGGCAGGTCCACCAGTGAGGTGATGCGTGTCCCACGACTTGAGCATTTCAGCGACATGGAGATGGCCCCTCAAGGCAGCATGTTCCTTAGCAGTCCAACTGTGATGATCATATAAGTCCTGACTCGCTCCTGATTTCAGAAGAAGCTCGACAATGGTATGGTGACCTTCCACGCAAGCGATAAATAATGGAGTCCAGCCATGCAGCTTTTCGGCAGTGTCTATATAGACATGTTTGGAGTATTCTAGCAGCACATTGACATAGTCGCTACGCCCGATCCGAGCGGCAACATATAGGGCGGTCTCTCCATACAATGAGGATTCGTGAAAGTCAAAGGAGCTTTTTGCGAGGAGGAATACGATCCCATCATGCTCATATCTGATAGCGAGGATCAACATATCATTCAGACTTTTCACCAGATTTTCGGGTCGAGCCTCTTGTCCGGATTTGATCTCTGAAATCAAAGCTTCCAGAAACACTTCCGCAACACCCACATGGTTTTTGATGACCGCGTAGTGAAATGGTGTAAATCCCTGACAATCTGGCGTTAAAATTAGGTTCGACGAGAAACCCGGACCCCGAACATGACAATAGTCCATGATTGTTTGGCATATGAAAGCCATGCCGTGTAGTGCACCATAATGAAGGCTAACACGACCAAAAGTGTCCTTCGTAGAGAAAATGTTTTCCTTACGAGAAGCAAGACATCCAATCGCAAAATCAAACAAGCTACCACGTCTCTTCTCGCCGGATTGGATGCTGTCTTTCAAGTCATCGCTTCCTTGTGAAGGTCTGAGTTTCCCTTCCATGATAATGACATGGTTTAGCAAGTCGTGATCTAGCACAACACCATTCACGCTTAACGTTTCTGATAACAAATGTCGGAAGCAACGTTCAGAGTGACAGGTTGCAGCAAGCTCCGCCAGTTCGTAAAGGAAGTCACTGGACTTTTGCTCCAGAGGATCGCGCAAAAAAAGATTGAGGGGATCAGCCAAAGCTGAAGGCTGGTCGCTTCTGATTGCGCGGTATAGAGCTGAATATTCGGCCGCGAGGGGTGGCAGGTCATCTGGTCCAACTTCATTGAGCACCTCCTTCATTGCGGAGGGACCGTACCCATCAAAGGATGCCTCAATGACGCCAGTCCTCAGGGGCTCTGATCGGGTTATGAAGTTCGCACATTGTGTACGAAGGCCAATTTGCAATGTTGACCATTTAGATTTTTGTTCCTGATGAAGTAGGCCCTTGCAATCACCCACCTTCTCAATTTTGGCGAAAAGCCTCTCGATAGCTTCTTTATTCAACCGAGAGTAATCCTGAAGCTTCTCAAAATCATCATGTAGATTTGTGACGCCTTCTAAAAAGCTCTTTGCCCCATGAAAATTATCCTCGCGGTCCCTTGAAAGGAGAATTGATTGGAGCAACTTTTCATACTTCATCTCAAGCTTTGCTTGTCTTGCCATAAGAAAGTTGTAGTTTTCATGGTGAAATTTGCCAAAGGACTGGATGCTACCGTCGAGGAGGGCGTATACTTCTACTTTCTTCGTTAGATATTGTTTTGGGTAGACAAAAGCAAGCACGAACCTGAAAAGTCTGGTTCAACTTTCGCATCAATTGACTTCCCGACCGCCAGATTGAATGCGCTCTTCACCGAGTCGTAGGGGACATAGAATGATGTCCATTCTGGGACCATGTACTGATGGAAATCCCGACCGAATCGCATATCGAAACCGAGGAGAGACAATAAGTCCTAGGTCAAGCTGTTATATCGAAACTCTGTTCCTGAACCTTATGTGTTAAGATGAGGCTCGCATGTCGAGTCCACGGGTTGTTTGCCCTTCACCCGTGGGCCGGTCCCGGGGGCTCCCCTGAGATGACTAAGGAGCGGGGGAAAGCGGGGACTGTCGACGGGTGATAACCTTGCAGTACGGAGCCAACGATATCCATGGATATATACCACCAACATCATGTTCACATGAAAGACGCACGATTTGAAAATTTTCCAGAAGTTCAGAAAAACGATATGTTACCAACTCTAGATTTGTTGGTCCAGATAAAGGAAAGGTCCAAGTGTAAATGTGGTACTAGTGAGACAAGCCGAATTTGGCAGCAACGGCGCCAATTTACTTTGCTTTTTTTTGGATTGCATACAAATAAGGAGGGGGGAAAGATGGCAGAATCTTCGAGTTAGAGCGCTTTTCGACCGGTTGGCTCGGAAGGCCGCTAGGTGAAAACATGGAGCTAAACATCCATGGATGCATAGAAGTCACAACACTATCCAATCAACAGCTATTGAACATTGGAGATAACGAAATTAGCGCGCAAGGCAAAAGTCCCCCGCAGCAACTTCCACCGCTCGGCGTTTGCCTCTTGAAACTTATGAAACAGCCCCATATTCCTACATTTATGGATACATATTCAAAAGACATTCCACATACATATTCTGTGCCTAACGTTCTTTGATCCAACGTTGAAAGCTTATATTTCCGATATGGATCCACTCTCATTCGGGGCGAGTGTGATCGCTATCGCAACACTGGCCACTCAAACTTGCTCCGCTCTCTCAGACCTACGGGCGCTTTGTGAAAGCTTACCAGGGCGCCTTCACGCGGTCAACAATGAAGTCGCGGATCTCAACCTCGTGCTGCTCCAAGTCTCCTTGCTTATCAAAAGCCGAGCCATTTTACCCGAGTCAAAGTTTTCAGCTATCCCACATCTTTTGCAGCAAGCGAATAAAAAACTACTTGAAATCAAAGATATTGTTTATCAGCTCACCGTGGCCTGTCGCGCTTCAAGAATGTCGATTTCCAGGGCACATGCCTGGCGAAAAGAACAAAGCCGACTGCAGGTTCTTCAAGAGGATATTAGGACGGTCAAGGCCAATTTGAATGTTATGCTTGGCGCCTCAAACTCGTATGTTGATCGAGTTAAATACTGTATCTTTTAATGCAAGAGCGCAAAATTTGCTGACTGTTAAATAGGCAAGATATGACAAAGATCCGTTTGGACATCGAGGCAATCTCGGCTGTCACATTTGAATCTTCACAACAGCAGATTGCTCTAGGAACCAACTTTCTGAGTGGACTTGCTGCTGTCGATCAGCGTATAGCCAGAGTTGAGGAGATGCTACTGACCCAGTCACATCAAGTTCAAGCAAGCCAATTTACCCAAGTTGGATCATCGTACCACGTGTCCACTCCTCGAACGCAGCGGCCATCCTCAATCGAAAAGAACACACACCTGGCGACGACAAGCTCTGATGGGATAGGCATTCGTGTCACTCCATTTTCCGTTACCTGCCGCTCGGGCTGCCTATGTTCCTGTCATTCGCACCAGAAGGTGACAAGTCCCGCACTCGTAAACCGGGTTTTCGGTCAACTTTTCGTTGGCTACGCCGGACTTCCCTATTTCAGCCCGAAGTGTAGTTTACACGCATGCAATAAATCACGGGCGAAGCAAGTCAGTTTGGAATACTGGTTTCCCTTTGCATTTCTGTCATCTGCAATCGTGCGACTCCAAGTTGGGTATCAGCCCAATATTGGAACACTGCTACATCTCGATACACTACGGAGGGTACCTGACACCGCACAATGCGTCAGCTTCGCATTAAACGGAAACATTGACGGCCTCAAATATCTCTTCAGCAGAGGTTTGGCTTCTCCACGTGATGTTAGTACCTCTCGTGGGTATTCGGTTCTTCGGTGGGCCCTCTACGGCAAACAGTATGAGACATGCGAATTTTTGATCCATGCAGGTGCAGACGCAGACTACAGACCAATCTCTGGCAGTGACAATAGCCCAAGAAATAAAGCATGTCATTTCCTTCTTGAAGGTGGACTTCCTGAGACAGCCGTTGGTGCCCTCCGCATCATCACCAAAAATGGTTATCTTGAAGACTTCATAGATGAAGCAAGGTTTACGAAGACTCATAAGATTGTCCTTGGCCTGTCAATGTTGAGCCTCGAAGACGAGATAACTCACAGTCCGGAGGATATCAACGCGGTTGATGCCATGGGTCGCACTGCATTGGCCTGGGCGGCTGCCCGAGGTGATACGCGAGCCATTGTCACGCTCCTTAGCCACGGCGCCGATCCAAACATTACCGATGTTCAATTATCCGGTCCTCTCTCAAATGCCGCTTCTCAGGGTCACACAGTTGCCGTTCGTCTACTTCTGGAGGCGGGAGCACAGCCAGATATATCTCATCCTAGCGGTGAAAGGAAGGGCAGTCCACTCAATTGCGCTACCCGAAACGCGACCGATATTTTGCTTCTGAAATCTCTGCTCGATTTTGGCGCAGATGTGGATGCAAGTGGAAATGACGGGAAGACCGGTCTTATTCATGCGGCAAGGATTGATAATGCTGGATTTGCTATGCTATTATTGGAATACGGCGCAAACATCAACTCAGTATCGGCTGACGGATCAACTCCTTTGACAACCGCAATCATCTACAATAGTCATAATGTTCTACGATTGTTCCTTGATCGATGGCATGAGTACTCGATCTGTCCCCGTATGAAGGGCCCCAACCTTCTCCAGATCGCAGCACTATACGCTGATCCTACCACGCTCCAAATTCTGGCGGCGACGGATCATTTCCGAAGGAAGTACGACAGACAATACACTCTTGGCGATTTTGGAAATCACCTAAAGCAGCGTCCGGACTTTACGGAAAAGTTGGCATTAGCATTTGATGAACTACTAAGTGTTGTTAACCAGGTGCCAGAACTGAAGAAGGTAGCCTCTCCGATATTTGCTGACTCTGGGTTTCTTTCTTGGTGCCTCTCGCGATCTAATTCAGGCTTTGACGAGTTTCAGGATCCTGGGAGCGCTTGCAGCTCTGATGGGAGCTTCCATGATGCCATTGAAAAACATCCACTGATTACGGAGAGTTTCGTTGCCATAGAATAAGCCTTCTGCGATTTCTCAATGAGAAACTTCTATCCATATTAATACTACTAGAGGGTTCTCTACAGTCCTCAAGGCTGGTATCCTAGGCCTTACGCTTGATTTCAAGTAACATCACATTTATCTCGGTCGCACAATAAGGTATTACTTGTACACATCGATAAAATGATCAATCTCCACATCTTTCACCTCCTGCTCGCTCCATCCCAGTTCCAAGAAAGCATTTTCAATATTGCTTATAATCTTGGTATCACGACAGAGCGTATAGGACTTTCCTCTCGACTTGTATATTCGGCAACTGCCCCTGCCTGGCCATAACAGCTGAACCAAAGCCACACAAGTCTGCTTGCTATTCTCCAGTAGCAAAGGCATCATCCTCTTTTTGGATTCGGCGTCGGCAGCCAAAGAGGTAATAGCGTGCGTAACTTGAGACCCGTAGTCGTAGAGTTCAACACGCTTCATCAAGAAGGCCTCAACCTCACTTGCAAATAAGACTCGGATACTTTGTTAGAGTTGACTTGACAGACAGGGAAGGTTGCGTACAATTTACCGCCCTCAACTTCCATAAATCCTGGGATGAACAAATCTCGAGAGTCTCTTGGAGAATTTGGGACAGCAATCCTATGGGTTGCTGTATCTCCAAGATAATTCGATAGTTCTCCAGTGGAAAACGTAGCCTTTCAAGGATGTGCGGCAGTTTTTCTGAGTGACAGGTAAGCATAGTAATCTTGGCGAGGGCGCCTGGACAAAGCCGGAGGTTATGAAAAGTGGAAAGCCATGAAGTTGAGAATTAATGCCCTTTTAGTCTGAAGTTTATGGGAGGCCCAGGAGACTCTTCTATCTTCTCCGAACAATAAATCTGTGCGTTCCAGCCCCCTACAATGCATACCCCAGAAAACCATTTGTGAAACATCAAACTATTATTGCTAATTGTAGTCCCGAAGTCTTCTAAGAAATAGGGACTATCCTTTTGCTAAATTCCCCCTAATTTAATGTTGAGATGTACAAAATTGAGAATGAATGGGATGGGATATACGCTCAGAAGCAAGTACTGTGAAAATTGCTAAACTAGTCAAAGCTAGCCTGGTGTCTGCATGCCTTCTCACCATTAGTACAGCTTGCATCAGCACGAGTGACTTCAAAATCTTGATGAACATGTACAACCCTTAAGGGCGACATGGGCACCACATCATTTGTGGGTGACTCGACATCCCCGACCGACCGCGACAGATCTTGGCTATGACCCTCTTTTGACCTTTTCAGAATAGGTTCGTTCGTGTCATGGTAAGCGCCCCTTGCAGATGAGCTCTGAATATGTGAGGTGACGAAGAGCTGCCGGAGAGAGGCGACACAGGAGACAATAATCGCTACCAAGTGAAGGTCAGTATTAAGACAACAACTTGATAAATGCTTGAGGCAACTTACCAACATCCACCTCAACAAAGCTCCAGAAACATAGCCAGTCGATATTCATCTGACGGTCATAGGTCATCCCGACGGCCACCCGGATTATAGCGGTGACCATAATGAAGATAGTTGCTGAGAAAATGCTGAGCAGAATGAGCTTGTTGCGGAGCGAGATTCGTGTTTTCCATAAGGCAAGGAAGGGAATAGATAGGACTAAAATGATAAATATTGTTAAATGACAGGCTTGGAAGACCCTTGTCTTTGCAATGAACTCACTCATCAAGTCCGTGATAACATCACCAGCACAGTTGGCCCAGAACATGCGATTCTCATAGTGAACGTGATTAGGTTGCGGACATTGGGCTGCATTGTTCAGTGTCAGCGTAAACCAATCGCATTCAAGTTTGCTTGTTCTCACTGATAATATAGTCCAGCCCTCCGAAACTGCATTTATATTCGACATCGGCCACCGATGCAATATAGACACTCGCTGTACAGAAAAGGACCACGAACCACCATATACGGAGGGACTTGACCTTGGCACTGATTCGGTAGAACAATGCCATGAATGAGAATTTGACACACCACAGCGCCGAATAAAATAGTAACTCAAGTGGAGCATTAAAGCGCATGAATGTATTGTACCTTGGCAGGAATTCAAGATTGAATGGCTTTGTGCCAGCGCTGATCGCGTATAACTCGTAAAGAACCTTCCCATCGACTTGCCAAATGACTGCGGCTGTGAGTATAATGATCCATGCGAGAACAACGAGGAAGTCATCTAGGAATAGTCGACGGAATGAGGTAACTTGGGCATAGATGCGGAATACAACAAAGATCAACGACGTGCCTGTGAGAGCCCATAGTACGCCCTATTGGTAGAAGGTTAGTTATATATACTAAAACAATCTTCTCATTAAATTGGATACCGACCAAAAAAACCGACTCGGGAACTCTGCTGTGTTGGTCATCAAACTCTGCCATTATTGCTAGCGGTTCGATATAGAAGTTCTGGATATATTGTCAAACGACGACACGTCAGAAATATATCGACTGGAAAACTATATCGCCGAGAGATTAGATATACTATTCTTTGTTGGTCTCTTGCTAGTGCTGGTCTGGCCACCTTCCACATAATTCTTGCCGAGCTTATTTCTATTGGCCCGGCTAAACGAAATATTGGTTAAGTTCTTTGAGGATATCAAGTCAGACACCTTGAGCCATGTGCAGTTTACTCAAAAGGAAGGAGCTCAGGCTTCAATATTGACGCCACCGTTGTTAACGCCATGAGCGAATCGTGAGCCCGGCAAACAATTATGGTCGTGCAGTTTGGAGGCGATGCGAAAAGAGAACACCAAGAACTCTTTCAACGTACTCTTTCCAAGGCTGACACTCAAACTCCTAAGATCACCTCATTAGTGAGGGGTTAGTTCCACTAGGAAGGTAGCCAATCATCAATATACTTCACACAGGTCAGAGCCCAGGTGGCCCTGGCCTCCCGGAATATCCCACGTGCAGTCTAGTTGATCCCTGTTAAGCGGGGTGCAGCCATCCATCCAATCGGGGCACCAGCCTACTTCCCATGAATACGGTGGCTCAATCAAAAGGATAACCATACATCATTGCACAACTAACCGAAGGTTCAAGGGTGTCAAAGAAACCACGTTCCTACGGGATCCCTCGATATCTCCGAGAGACAAAGAACGCCTCGAGCTCGGACATCCAAAAATCTTTGACCTGGATAAAATTCGAATACTTCGGTAACGCCAAATTACTCCATGAACTCACTAGCCAAGTCCATCGTGTGCCCATGCCAGCCCAACGCCATGTCCTTCATTGTTTGGAATCCTATCCACTGCCGCGGTTTTGCACTCTGTTGTCTGATTCCACCGGCCTGAGCTCCTTGCTTTATCCATTAATAAAAGCGGATTCTTTTGGGTCTCTCATCCATGCGGCAGGTGTGCATCCTGTACTGGTTCCACGCTCTCGACGCGACTCCGTGCGTTTTCGTGTGAACGAGCTGGGAGAAGTAGCGAAAGAGCTCTCAGGAGCGGTTTAGGGCCTTAAGTTTGGGTTTCCCTATATTCTGGGCGATAACCGATGGGAACACTGGGAAAGTCACCCGTAGACCCCTAGATGGGATTGGAAATATGTAGACTGGGGAATTCGACGATTCTTGTCGGATGACAAGTCCATAGCGCTGAGTTGAAGTAGGTCCTCCGCAGAAAAATCAGCGTTGGAAACGGGCTGCTCTCACTCTGCTTTCCCTCTCTACTCTCCCTGTCTGCTCTCTGAATGGAGTGAATCGAGTAGACTTCAAGAAATCTCAAGACCAGATTACCAAAGTACTAGGCTCCCGAGCGGGCATTGCCCAATGGTAGGAATGAAGGTTGAAAGACCAGGTCCCCATGGTCGACAATACTTGTGGAAGGAGCACCTGTTGGATCATTCCTGGATGCCTCAGTCATCTCATCCCATTGATGCCTTTGCACGTTTGCAGACTGAGCGTTTCTTTGTTAGTCAGGGCATAAATACCCTGCTTTTGATAGATTGAATACTCAATGATTCTTCTCTTTCTCTCTCCCCTCAGCTAGTAGCCACAAGAGTACCTATATACTCGTTAGCGGATTTGGAAGGACCCATGGAACCCCAAGTGGTCTGATTTGTGGTCCGATATATCAGGCACTATTCTAACCTCGGAAGGTTTTTACTTGCAAATAACCTTCTATGGAGCTTCCCTGATTTGTTCTTCTTCTGCGCAGATGGGTTTATGGAAGCCTCCATTCGATCCAAATTCCAACGTTAGAAGGTTTGCATGAATGCTGACAGAGCAATTTATAGTGTCCAAAATACAACGCTGGACCGCCTGAACACATAGCTACCATTACCACCTGTCTATCACCTCAGTCTATTCTCTGTATATATGTAGGCACTGACACAAGAGCAAGCCACATAAGCCAGCCCCACACTATAAATATGAGCAAATAAGGGTACATCCATGGATAGACTCTAAGTCAAAACCTTACAAGATATCAGAGATTTGACTCGTGGAAGCTTTGGGCTGAGCCAGGTAGCTCGACTTCTTCAAGTTTCGACTATTATTCAGTGCGAAAAATATTGAGATATGTGAAAGCATATCGGAGTTACTGTTTGCCTCCGAAGGGTATTGTCACGAGGACTTGATGGGAGCCCACCGAATGTGAAAACCCCCTTGTGCAAGCAATAGGCAAGCAATGGCAAGCCATTTGTGTACTGGAACATGGCAAACAGCCTTGCACTAACGGCCATTGCCTCTATTTGGCGTGATGCACCTGATTATTTGTTGCAGGACCTCAGGAATTATTGGACCGTGGACAGAAGCCCTGTGTTACTGTGCTGCAACCGTGGATCATCTGAGCCCAACGTGGAAGGAACGATTTCGGAGGAAAGAGCAAAAGGGCCCAGTCTCAGATTACACTGGGACTTACATTATACTATGTTATCTTCTCTCTGTTTTCTTTTCCTTCTTAATTCCCTCTTTGTTTTCCCATCTGAAGCGACACAAACGAGACAGAATCCATCAATCTTCAATCATACCATATTCGAACCATGTCTGATCCACCCGCAGAGGGTATTGCTATTGCAGTATCCACTCCAGAGCTTATCGATGAGAAGACCGCTGTCACGGTTCTGGAAAAGGATGAGGCCCAAATCAACGCGCTTGGTAAAAATGACCGGGACTCTGCAGATGCTGTCATCGTCACTGGAGCCGATGTGGCTGCTCATCTTTTGCCGATGCGAGATGACTTCGACCCTACTTTGACATTTCGCGCTGCTATCCTGGGCTCCGGTCTCGCGGCCTTCCTGGCTGTCATGACCCAGATTTACACTGCAAGTGGACCTGCACATCACTTCACTCTTCACTGTCACAGGACTGCTAATAACTGTATTCCTAGTTCAAACCAACCCAAATCAGCATTTCAGGCGTTTTCCCCGTTCTTGTTTCCTACTTTATTGGTAACGCCTGGGCCAAACTGCTCCCCCGCGGTGATAAGTTTGAGGCGAGATGGAGAGAACGATATGGGCAGGGCAGACTCCCTTGGTGGATTACGATCATCAAGTTTGTGAATCCTGGGCCGTTCGGCCTCAAGGAGCATTCGATCTCTGTGATCACTGCCACGGCAGCCGGGTATGTTACGGATGCGACTAGTGTGTTTGCGGCACAAAAGCTGTTCTACGATCTTCCTTTGAGCGCCACCACTGTCATCCTAGGCATCATCTCTATCGGTCTCTTTGGCTGTGGACTCTGTGGATTCATGCGCTCTTTCGCGGTATGGGATGTTGAGGCTGTCTACTGGGGTTCGCTGCCTGTTGTGAAAACTCTCCAAGGGCTTCATTGGGACCGGGTCGAGAACTCAAAGCCACTGAAAGACTTCTGGTATGCTTTCACGGGTATGTCTCTTTATGAGATATTTCCTGCATACATCTTTCCATGGCTCAACTCTGTCTCCATTCCGGTATGTAATTTACACACCTTCTTGCAACATCCCTTGCACCATATCTGACTAGACTGCAAATTCTTAGTATCTGGCTTCGCAGAAAGCAACCGGCAACAAGGGTGCCATACTTACCAATCTTTTCGGCGGTGCTACTGCTAACGAAGGCCTCGGTCTCTTCTCTTTGTCCTTTGACTGGCAATATGTGAGTTGACACATGATGCTCCTGTGATACTATATATTAACCAACCGGGCTCCTGCATGCAGATTACATCGTCTTCAACCGCTATTCCTCTCAAGTTGGTACTCCATACTTTTGTGGGAACCGGCATCTGCGCCATGGTGATGATTGGGATTTACTTCGGAAATGCCTGGGGCTCGAGATCACTGCCGTTCATGGCGACTAACCTTCTTATGGTCAATGGCACAAAGTATCCCGTGAGAGAGGCGTTTCCCGGTGGCTTGCTCGACAAATCAATCATTGAAAAACATGGACTGCCTCAGGTCACCGGGCCTTTGCATTTGGTCTGTTTACGGCTAATGCTGCAGTGAGTGTAATTCTTCTATCCTGAACTCAGATGCTAAGGGTTTCCTAGATTGGCGCCCTGATTCTTCACTGCATCCTTTTCTGGCGCAAAGATATTTGGAGGGTATATCAACGCGCGAGGGAAGGTAAGCATGATGATCCGCATCACACTCACATGGCCAAGCACTATAAGGATACCCCGTGGTGGTGCTTTGCTGGAATTATCATCGTCAGCTTTGTCCTTGGTCTTGTCGTGGTGATCAAAGAGAATATTACTCTTCCGGTCTGGGCGTACCTTGTCTCCCTAGCAGTAGGGATTTTCATTTCGCCTTTTGTGGGTATCCTCGACTTCACGCTTTCAGAATGATTCTAACCAATGTCATGTTCTAGAGCACCATCCTCTTTGCTCGCTTCGGCAACGGCATTGCCACCAACAACCTGTCAAAAATGCTGGCTGGGCTCATGCTTCCCGGTCGCCCAGTTGGTAATATGTACTTCGCTGCTTGGTCGCACAATGTTGTCATGTCTTCGGTCTCCGTGTCCACCGATCTAAATTTGGGCGAATACCTGAAGATACCCCCAAGGATCATGCTTTGGACTCAAATGTATGGCATCATACTTGGTGGATTCATCAACTATGCTATTTTGTCTTCCATTATCTCAGCGAACCGGGATCTTCTTGTCGAGGGCAACGGAAACTCCTCCTGGAGTGGTGCGACCATGCAAGCTTTCAACACGAAGGCGGCTTCCTGGGCCTTGGCTCCCTACTTGTACAAGATCGGTGCCAAGTATGAGCTGATTCCTATTGCCCTAGCTATTGGTGCTTCTGCGGTGGTTATCCATAGGTCACTCTATCAGGTCAGTAAGCCTAAATCAGTTCAAGGTTGTTTAATTAGTTGACGCTGACCCTATTTTGCGTTTTAGATTGTTCCCAAAATCGGACGGTTTGACATGTCGGAAATTAACCTGCCACAATTTATCCAATATGCTGGTAATATGTCCATGCAGCCGCAGACCTGCACTATTCTCAGTGGGATACTCTGTGGCTTGTTTATCCAGGGTTACCTTCGAAATTACCACCCACGCATCTTCAAAGACTATTCATACATTATTGCTGGGGCCTTCGACGGTGGAAGCCTCTTTGTTGTCTTCATTCTTTCTTTCGCCGTCTACGGAGCGGGTGGACCGTCTCGTCCGTTCCCACTATGGTGGGGAAACAACCAAGAGGGACACGTTGACTGGTGTCCCGTTTCGAAGTAGAGACAATGGGTTGAAAACGGGTGTCAGGTAACGGCATGTGACAGGCGGGCAAAGTCACTAAATGTCTTGAGCGCGAATATATTTTTCCGATGTCTTCAAGCATGTGTTATCTTCCTGAAAGACTGGCGGTGACGGCGAACTTCTAATGAATGGATTCGCAATGGATTCTAAGCTTTAATATGATGTCTGCAACAGTTATCACTTTACCCTGAATAAACTATTTCGTTGTTACAATTGTTTCTCCTTGGCCCATATTTGATTGCCCCTTGTGAGTATGCAAGTCTTCCTTGTGGTACGAGGCTGACTTTGTACGCATTGCAAGATAGCCTTTTTCCAATTTTGGTGCACGCAATCTTTAAAAGCTAAATATTAGGAGACCTAAGAAACAGCTAAGGGATTTATTCAACGCAACTACCGAGGAAGCAAGTGACACTTCTGATATGAAGTAGCCGTGCTTGAAGGATATAGATTTTCGTCGGTGAGTAAAAGGCTAGCTAGGTCCTTCAGGCATCACGCCATGATTGTACCCAAAGGTGAATCTCAAAACGAGATAAGCATAAAGGGATCATGTTTAAGCGAAGTTCAAGGACCAATAACAACATTGAAGACATTAGCCCAGATGGCGTGTCTAAATTTCCGAATGATGCAACTCGCTTGGACCCCGCCTCTAGAGTTACCCCGACTTGTCTAAGTATTATCCCGCAAATGATAACTACTCATTATAGCAAGAATATGGAAGTCTTGCTAACGCGAATTGTACAAGTCAAAATTTATTCTATAGTTAGGTCGTTTATTTTGCGATTGTCTCATTCATGCCTAAGGGCACAACATAACAAGTCTTCCTAGGGCATAATTGCGTGACTGCCATGGCGACGACGCATACTTCTTGCATAAATAAAAAGGCCGAGGTAGACCGTTTTATGATGCTCCTCGCAATTATTTTTTGAAAAGGTTCCGCCTTTGTCTCTTCCTGCAATTCAGAAAGATGTCTATAGATGGAACAAAGACAGCGCAGGTTTCTGCCAGTAGTGCAGATAGCTTGGATGAAGAGTGGCAGAAGAGTGAACATCACAAATCAGAAGGTACATTTGAGGCCAGGGAGGGCCATCACTTCTACCGGCCGATTGATAGCTATGAGGGACTCCATCGCTGGGATCCGAATTTTCAATGGACGGAACAGGAAGAGAAAAGGATTGTCAGAATGGTCAGTTACAATTTATGTTACGACCCAAGTACCAACTAACCAAATTTGGATAGATTGATGTTCGTGTATGCACGTTCGCCTGCGTGACCTTCTTTGCATTGCAGCTGGATCGAGGAAACATCGGCCAGGCACTGGCAAGTACGCTTCTACAAGATCTGAAGATGACCAGCAACGATTACAACTTGGGTCAGACGATCTTTCTGGTCTGCTTCTTGTTGGCCGAGATGCCCTCCCAATTACTCTCTAAGAGAATCGGCCCAGACCGTTGGATCCCTATTCAAATTGTTTCTTGGAGTCTCGTCGCGGCTTGCCAGGCCTTTTTGAAAGGGCGTGGCTCATATTTGGCCTGCCGAGCTCTGCTGGGATTCCTAGAAGGCGGCTTGTGAGTATTCATTATTTGACAAAGATCTTAACATGGAACTAACCGTGGTTTGTAGTATCCCTGACACAATCCTTTTCTTGTCTTTCTTCTACAAATCCAGTGAGCTGCCGAAAAGACTGACTTGTTTCTGGATTTCCTACACCGTTGCCGGAATTATTGGTTCATTCCTAGCCTTCGGCTTGCTACACATTACCGACGCCAACGGCGGCGGTGCCTGGAGATACTTATTTGCATACGAAGGTCTCATAACTGGTGTGATTGGAATCATCGCTGCATTCTGGATGCCTGCGTCACCCGTGCAAACCAAAGGAGGATTACGCGGGAAGAACGGATGGTTTACGGAACATGAAGAGAAGATCATCGTGAACCGCGTCATTCGGGACGATCCTAGTAAGGGCAGTATGCACAACCGACAAGCGGTGACCCCACGCCGCTTTTGGGAGTCGCTCAAGGATTACCATATGTGGCCAATATATGCTCTTGGTCTAATCTGGATGATACCTACCACTCCGGCGCAAGGTTATCTCACGCTTCAACTGCGATCCCAGGGGTTCACAACGTTCCAGACCAATTTGTTGGTAATTCCATCGGCTATCATTGCGATTATCACCATGATATCTATTACCTGGATCGCGGAGCGTACCAACCAGCGCCTGCTGTGGGGCGTGGGAGTAGAAGTCTGGAACCTAGTCCTACTGATTGCGCTAGAGGTGCTTCCTGCGAAAAGCATGCCCTGGCCCCGTTGGGCGATACTTACGCTTCTTGTTGGTGGGCCGAGCATTCATCCTGTTGTGGTAGCTTTGACTTCTCGGAATGCCGGATCTGTGCGGACTCGCACTGTTGCTTCTGCGTTGTATAATATGTCTGTGCAAGTGAGCGCCATTGCAGGTGCTAATGTGAGTTCCAGTCCTTGTTCTTGACTACCAATGGCCTAGAATAAATCCATCATTTGGCATACTAACAATCATGAATAGGTGTACCAAGCAAAGGATGCGCCATACTACAAAAATGGAAACAAAGTTCTTATTGCATTGGCTGTCGTCAGTGGGATTATTTTCGTCTTCGCCAAGTTCTACTACGATTGGTGGAATAGGTACATACCCAGAACACGCAAATTTGAATATGAAGCATGCTTGCTAACTTATATACAGGAAAAACTCTGCAGAATGGGATGCTATGACAAGCGAGCAAAGAGAAGTTTACTTGCGTGAAAACCCAGTATTGACTAACAAGAGGTATGTCGGCGCTGTGGAGTATACCTACTGCCAGTGCATATGAGCTAACCATCTTGTACAGAATTGACTTCCGGTTTGCTCGCTAGAGCTGTCAATCTAATGAATAAACTCGAGAAATTCGAGTGTATCATACATGTATGTTGCGATGAAATAGACATCGAGTTGATCCATAGAAACAACGTTACTTGTAGATCACTGTTGTTCATAGGAAATCGATTAGAACATAATGGCTTTATCAGAGAAACGAGTTTATTTACGTCACAGTTATCAGCAAATTGAGTCTGGATTCTAGGATAGTATGAAATAAGTAATTCGATAAGAAGTTGATATGCAGCCTCGTGGTGAATAGTCAGAAATTGCACCATTATGGCTGAAATGAGGTTGTTCGGCACCATCCTAGCACCATGCATTGATGGTACAATATGTCGTCAGTGATGGCACTGGATACGTATTTCTTCAGAGATCCTACACTCCCTAATTAAATTACAGTTTATCTAAAGTGGATAAATCGTATTGTATGGATGGTTCTGAATATGTCGGGATTGTTGAAGCAAATCATGCATCATTATATGAACCTTTCATTCATCCAAACTATTTGAACATCTACCCAACACAAGCTCAAGCCTTAGATTCACTCTTTGGAACGTAAGGTGTCTGATAAGGGCGCTCAGCCTGTGGGGTAATGCGTGCCAAGTGGCGGCGCTCACCAGTCGTCCAGTCAATAATTGCAGAATGAGCCGTGACACGGTTCTATATTGCACACAAATTAGTCTTTTGAACCGTTGATCAACCATCCAAGATTTCACTCACATCCCAGACAACAACAGTCTTCGGGGCCCATCGAATACGAGCTTGATAGTCAATTCCACGACCCACGTGAGCCAGCAGGAAACCTAGAAGTGCGTCGCTCTCCTCTTTTTTGAGTCCGACGATACTGCGAGTGACTAGGCTTGGGGTAAGTACTGATTTTTTTTCCAAAGAAGACGGGATGATACTTACAGCCACCATTAACGAAAAGCGCTTTCTCGCCCGTCACCGGATGGGTTCGAATAAGAGGGTGCTCGCTCTTCACGGGGTCCCGCCTATCAACTCCCCCACGCTGTAGACTAAACTCGGCCTGTTCAACCCCAGAATGCACAGCTTTTAAACCATGCAGACGCTCCTTGAGCGCGGGCGAAAGCCGGTTATAAGCCTCAACTTGGTCGACGAAAGCAGTATCCCCGCCCACTTCAGGGCCGTCAAGAAGGTACAAGAACGTGGTACCGGGTGGCTGCTGCTCGTATGTGACATCAGAATGCCATGCAACACTGCTGTTCTTTGTCGCGAGATATTCATCATATTCCCAGGCATTGTTATTCCGGTGAACGAGATGAATCTCAGGATACCCCTCCGGAGCTCCGCTAGTTGGGTGGATATGATGGCGGCCAAAGTAGCCTCCAAAGTCAAGGGCCTCTTGGATTGGCAGATCGGCGAGATCTTGGTCTCTGAAGGCGACAACTTTACGTTGGGCGACGAGTAGAGCGAGCTGGTCCTTTCCGGCAGGAGTGAGCTTGCTTAGCTGAATTCCTGTAACCTCAGAGCCGATAGTTGGTGTCAACTTTTGAATCTTGGAACCCTCGGGGAGGAGGTCTTTAAAGGAGGGGTCGGCGTCTTTTCCGTGGTCGACGTGAGTAAATGGTTCAAGGGGCGGGTATTTCTCGCCATAGTCCCATACAGGCAGGTAGTTTGGATACTGCATAATTGTTTAGTCAAGTTATACATGAAGAGACAAAGTCTAGGCATGACCTACAGTAGCAGTAGTATTTCCCCCTTCCTCGTCAATTATCCTTCGCACTCTTGCCTTGGTCTCGGTTGTTCCAGGAGCGGCCTTTACAGGAACAACAACTTCCGCAGTGGGAGCTTGGGCAATAGATGGCGCCATGTTGTGCTAAGATATTGGTAGGTATTGTCGTTGATCGAGTTTGAACAGGTATCCCTTGGTATCTGCGAGGAGCCACTGACTTAAATATAAATGATTATCAATTCCCTTTTCCTTCGCGCCATTTTGTCGTAGAATCGCGTATGAATTCCAAGCTTCCTTGGTATGCGATATCCGATCTACGCGAGAGTGACAAGCATCATGTGAAAGGATCGGGTACACAAAATATCAACATTGATGCCGCGATATCCGTTCTATCAAATGACTAATTTAACATCGTAAGACGGGAAATTGATCAAACCTGACGTGCTATATCTGACAATAACATCATGCGCTTGCCAATGGTTGGGATGGTATAGAGTGTCTTGGATGCATTGATAATGTTGATATGGCGTGATATGATGCAAGTGACAACCCCGCAAATGATCATAGATCCATACTACTACTATATGCATAGCAGGCTCTGCATTAGCAATGACAGATGAAATAGTAAAATACGATGGTAAGTTCATTATTTGCAGAATTGTTCCGCAAAGCGGGCGAGCTTGCCGCTGATGATATAACTCACCTTGAGAATAAATGACCTAAGTATTTAAATCCTTCCATTTTTAGAGGACAACATATACATTTCAAAGAAGGTCAAGTAGAGCATTTGCCATGATCGAGTTATATTGGAACGTTACATATCTTGTCTGCTGCTATTATGAGTGGGTACCGACCTTGAATAAAATCCACAAGACATCAAAGGAAACAGGCGCGCGTCTCGCTGTAGTAAACATAGGTGGAATGACTGGTATAATCGGATCCAATAGGTTGCCTACTACTATAATGGGTTTGTGTCCCTCTAGGCTACACAATCGGCCGCTAGATTCCTCTAAAGTGCCTCTCAAGTTCCGTCATAATGTCTCGATTACGCTCTGAGGCGGAAGTATTATGCAACGGAGGAGTGTCTATGATCAAGATGGTTGTGTTTGGTGTCATCGGAGGGCAGCAGAGGAATATCGGAAACGGTTGAAGGGCAGATGCATCTGATACCGTCAATTGAAGTCTGTCGGCCACCGAGCATACTACTGTCTACCCGGCAACATATCTGCTCCCACGGTTGGAGAAACCAATCTGTCAAACAGTTCCTTCCCGTTCGATGGAATCATAAAACTGCCTTTCACGACCCATTTGACTTTTGTGTTATATGTTGATAAATCATTTTCGATGTCAATTTGGCCGGGTCGGCTCTCGACCTTCCTTAAGTTAGGTCGTGCGAAAGATTTTGCGACGCTAGATGGGCTGTCAGTTTTCGGTCGCGTCGCGCGTTTCATTGTCTTTACGGGCTAGGTGGCATAGGATTCGGTCGGCTGTGGAGAACGAGGCCACGGGTTCCAAGGTTGTTTCCCCAGGTTCCATTATTTACAAGTCACGTGATTGCCATCCCCATTTTCACACTCTTCAAAGAGAGAAACCATCTGGATTCCTATCAGTCTACTCTGTCGAATACTAAGATTGAATACATGGTGGAAACAAGGTATAATACCCAGAAAATTATGTGACAACTGGTACCATCCATACCATACAAAAGTGCATATTACAGTTAGTCATCTATGTCCGCCCAGATTGTTGAAAGCGCGGGTTTTGTCATTTTAGTTAGTTAGAGATTCCAATATATCTGATTTTGTCCATACGTTGTCATACAGCCAGATTTCTGTCATACTCACTTTGCAAAGTGCAGTTCGTCTACCAGGGTCATAGGAACTTCACTTCAGGTTCAATTTAGTGGTTGTCAAAAATAGAATCATAGTCAATCAACCCTTTGCTTGCGCCACTGGGCCAAATATATCTTTCTCGACTTGTCTTTCTCTGATCCTACGTTAGCTCCCAACTTGTCCTTTGTTCTTTGATACGTGGAGAAAATCTTTAAACCGAGCATCACAGCTTTTTTCATTCATTCTAGTTTCTCCACAACAAATAAAGGGAGCGGAAATAGTATGGAGAAATATTTTGTTGTAAGAAAACGAGTCCTATAGCTTACAACCATTCCTTTCGATGAGATATTCTTTGTTATAGCTGTACTTGACCGTGTCTTTGAAGCTTTGAACTCAAATCCACTCGATTTCAAGTTTGCCCTTTCTCTGTAATATTTCTTTATTATCACGGATAGGCTGTTTCTATTCCTTCAGGTATTTGTATCTCCCAGCTTGCTTGTCATTTGTATCGAGACATTTCCTAATTTGCGAGACTACATCTTCTGAGGCATATTGTCTTCAACATGACAGATCGATACAACTTTCGACGTAGTACTCTCGTTCAGCAACTACCGCCCCAAGGACCTGGAGGATCACCAAATGATCCAACCCCACGCATAAAGCTCAAGATAGAAGACCTAGATCTCGATACATCCTACGCTCCATTTTTTGTGCCATCTGCGCGACCAAAAAGGCCAAAGAAAAGCAGACCATGGGCCAAATGGAAAGCACCCGGGCCCCTTACCGACCCAGCTAAACTTCCTAACGGCTGGCATATGAATGAGGACGATATTGAAATTGAGTGAGGCGGGATTCAATCCAAGTGTTCATGCAAACAACGAGCTAATTGAGACTCAATAGCGATGTCGATGGCCAGATCGAAAGATGCCATGAGAGAATTGCTGAAAACATCATGCCCCATGTTTTTGAGCAAAGGTTGGAGGAGTATACAGCTGCGAAGGCCGAAAATGAGTGAGTCTGCTACATTGATTTTACTTGTGCACAGATTCTCACCTTGTTATAATGTAGGCAGATGAGGTTTCTGGGGTCTGAGCAGCTCAGCTGGGATGCCATTCAACGGTTGCATCAATTGGAGGATATGAGGATAGATCTGGAGAGTACCGAGGATGAATACGAGCAGCTTCCAAACATCGAGGCTCTTATAGAAGCATATCAATCGGGTCAGCTTTATTGGAATACCGGTCTTGTTACATACTGGTCGAAGGGAGTCCAGATTTCTCAACCAAGACCATTTGACTGGGATGAATTTGAAGCTATTAATTCCCACCACGAGGGTTACAAAGGATTTTGGACGGAAGGGGTAATTGATTTCCTCAGCTTCTCCAAAGCCACTCGCTAATGAATAATATTAGGTCTGCGGCCCTGAAAAAGACAGCTCCTTTGCATCGGCCACGATACTTCCAGATCCACACCGTCCAAGAATGACTGGCGTAAGACCCATACTACTGGCCCAACCCTCTTCCAAGTTTCTCTAACTTTTTCATCTAGTTGACATTAGCACTCCGTCTTCCAGGCATACCGTGGTTTGCCGAGTTGGGCTTTATCCACGATACTGGGTGCAGTAGGATGTCCATTTATCAAGGAGATCTTAAAATGCTTCTTGGTCCTTTTGGCACGACCTTTGGGCCAAGCGTACCGGTTGTCACCATGTCAATCTCTGATACTTGTAATGGCGTTATAAGAAGGCAAGTGATTGAAATAGAAGTCACAATCCTTGATGCAAATCGTCAAAGAATGACCCCTTGGACTCGAACCTTGTGCGGTCTCAATCCAGGAGGCTGGACAACCAATACCACCCCCCGACTAGATGGCCCAATTTTGAAAGATTTGTTATATATGGCAAGCGTACCTGATGGCACCCGTCGTGTATTTATCTCAAGCTCGAGATATGAACTTGGCCTGCCAGACCTGGACCTCGTTGCCAACCCGCCACAGCACCGTGCAACAGCGCCCTATCCTGTGCCACCAGGAACCTTCGCCACTACACATGGTGGTTGGTTCCCTGTGGCGGGAGGGGCAATGGCGATGCCGCGACCAGCAGCTGGAGTTCCTTGAGAGACTGAAAAACCTGTCATTCCTTTGCCAGACTGTCGCTTGTCCTTGAACCCACTCAATTTTTGATCCTTTTTGTTTTTTCTTTTTCATTTGCTGGGAATATATCGCTGTCCCGATTCAGCATAGTTTTTCATTATTTGTTGAACATTTCTCTTGTTATAGTTGTGTTATATGCGCGCAAACCAACCCTGCCAATAAAAACTTGTTTTTTTTATATTGATGTAATACTTTAATGGGCTAGAATAGCGTATGTTCCATCCAGGACCGGCATACTTTTCACTCTCGTGACGCGCCTTAGCTTGTATGATATTATGACCTTGATCACGGCTAGGTAGACCTCGCAAGCTGTTATTGATATCGTACTCATTGAGAAACTGAATTATGAGGCTCATGGGCTTATTTAACAGACCCAGCCGTTCAAGTAATTCCACAGTTCGTTTCCTTCATATGCTCTTTCATGGATAGGGAGCAATGTTGCATGCTAATTAATGGGTGCCGATCTAACCAATATCCAGGGCAAAGCGGCCGATGCAGATCAAAGGCCTTTCCTCCTTCCTTTTCCTCCTTTCTTATACTGAGACAGACTATCATGAATTACTTCCAAGAACTTCCTAAGAGAAGATGGGTTGACCGACGAAGGGTGGCACTCGGTAGACAAATATAATTATTTTGTTCCTCAGCAGTTGTTGTGATGCCCCAGGCCACGATCGGCACACGTGGTAGGACCCACATCGGGTATTTCGCCCTCCTTCTATCCCTTCTCTGCTTCTCTCCCGTCCGCTTGTTCCATATCAACTGGAGTCATAACGAGCAAGCACGATCATTTGTGGTCACATTTAGCCCCACGCCGCTTCTTATGTGCTGTGGGTCGCTGGTTTAGATTAGAGAAACAGCGAGATGGCAGCAACCTCGTCTTTTTTTATTTTCATTTTTGTGCCTCTAAAGAAAGCAATCCTCGCTGCGAACGAAGAGGAAGAAGATGATTGCAAATGTCGTCATGCTCGCTATTCAGGAAAATTTACTAACTTTCGCGAGGTCAATAGATTAACTACAGATAAGCGTGGCCGCGGAATAGTACTTGTGTATTGCAACTAGTGGCAATTTATCAACGCTTGCAATGCAGGGTCCACAGTTAATTACCGCCATAAGTCTCTGAGACGAAGATAACAATACCCTTGTAGGAAGTTTTTTTCCTTCCCCGTGGATTTTCTTTTTAAACTCTACTTTTCCCAGGGGTTCAATTTCCGAGCCAAAGTCAATCATCCATCATGACTATCAATGAGAAGGCAAGCGTGGATGACACGGAGCTGGGAAGCCCTAGGGACTCCACTGAGGAGCACGAGGTCTTCAAGAAGACCGAGGATGGCGTCAGCTTCCGCGGTGTTGGCTGGTTCAAGGCGTGTATTATCTTCGTGAAGGTCCTCTTCGCGACGGGTGTGCTGTCACTGCCAGCTTCACTGTACTCCCTCGGTGCAGTGGGTGGCTCGATCAGTATTATCGCATGGGGCGCGTTCAACACTTACTCTTTCGTGATTCTGGGCAACTTCCGCAAGAAGCATCCTCACTGCCACTCTATTGCCGACATGGCAGAAGTTGCCGGCGGTTTCTTCGCGAAGGAGCTTACCGGTATACTCTTTCTCATCGGCTACGTCCTTGTCACGGGTAGTGGTATCATTGGAGTTTCGACTGCCTTGAATGCCCTCTCGCACCACTCTGCGTGTACTGTTTGGTGGTCTTTGATTGGAGCGGTTGTAATTATCGCGACGGCTTCGGTACGCAAACTCCAGCATGTGGGCTGGCTCACATATGTGGGATTCATTTCCATCTATGCTGCAGTTCTGATCGTTGTCATCGGAGTCACAACGCGCGACCGGCCGGCCGCTGCACCCCAGGAGGGCCCTTACGAGCTCGGCTATGTGGCTATCAACAACCCCGGATTTGCTGCTGGCATGGTTGCTTCCAGTACTATCTTCGTCTCCACAGCTGGTACCAGCGCTTTCATCCCGGTGATGGCGGAGATGCGAAACCCGAAGGACTACAAGAAGGCGTTATACCTGTGCATGATCGTGGTTAATGCGTCGTACCTTGCTTTCAGCTTGGTTGTCTATCGTTGGTGTGGACAATGGGTGGCCAGTCCATCTTTGGGTGTATGTATCCTTTGCTTGACGCCGGGTTCGGATGAAATTAGCTAATTGTTGTTATACAGAGCGCCGGACAGACGATCAAGATGGTTTCTTACGGTGTTGCACTGCTAGGACTGGTCGTGAGCGCCACGATCTACTTGCATGTGAGTATCTCCCTCGCGACCCATAGTTTCGGAAACTGACATTCCTATTTAGATCGCCGCCAAATACATCTTTGTGCGTATCTTGGGTAACACGCGTCATTTGCAAGCCAACACTATCGTTCATTGGGCCACTTGGTTGGGCTGCACGATCGGTCTCGGTGCTATTTCCTTCATCCTCAGCGAGACTATCCCTATCTTCAACTATCTGGTTGCCCTGATTGGATCCGTTTGCTTCGCCCCTCTGGCCATGTGCCTTCCTGGTTTCTTGTGGCTGCACAGCAATAGTCACTACCGGAAGGGTACACTTATGCAGAAGGTGATCTACCTGCTGCACTGGGGAATGGTGCTTCTCGGAATTTTCTTCCTTGTTGGTGCGACGTACGGTGTTATCGTTCAGATCATTGATGCGTACGCAACGGGAATGATTGGTATGTTTTGGTATACCCCCAACAGTGCGGAACCTGCGACTTACTCTTTTTTATTAGGCTCCTCTTTCAGCTGCCTCGACAACTCGAACTCGTCGTAAGCATGCGTTTTCGAAAAAAAAATAATCATTGTTTGGTCGAGCTGCTTAAGGATCGGCTCCCAACTGGAGTAGTGATATATATGCTCAACACCTGGTTTGGAAGGTTATAATGAGTGGTGGCGATGAGGGAATTCTATAACGAGGGCCCGGGTGGCCATAATGTAATGAGCTGTCATAGAATGGTATCAAATTTTGTTTTCAAGACTCGCCTAACTCAGAATTGTGTTACTAGTGTCGCCAAAACAAACGCTAGTCTCCCTCTAATGTGGGTATCGCCTCCACTTCTGCCCAAATCTCGTCTCCGTGTGGTTCACGGACGGACTTCCGCGAGCTCGGGAACCCAGCTCTAACCGCATTCGGCCCGGTCTTTGTTTATCAGAACTTTAATTCCTTCCCGCTTCCCTTTTGTTTTTTGTCGCGCATGAGAGGTTCCTGTGCAACATGCCGAGGTCCTGTTCCCGCTTTCATGATACATACCATTCACGCCGTTATCTCACTGCTCTGGACTCCATCACGAAACTTGAAGGAATTTCAATTTGTGGCATCCCATGTGGATCCACCCGCGTCGGCCCACCGGACGACATGAAGTTCCGCGGCCTGATGGCCTCGGATGTGGGGATTGAAAATCGAAAGTCCACGATGTCTTATCGCAGCTGCCAGCCGCTGTCGATCTTGAGCAGGTCACAACACGAATCCTTCATTCCGGGTCGCGCGACGCTGAGGCGGAGCCCACTCATTTCTCACCAGGCGGCAAATTATCGAGTACAGACTTTGGATAACCAGTACTCAAATGGTCTGCCTATGCAATACTTAAGTCAGCACATACAAACACAGCCTTAGAAGTGCTGGAAGCCAGGGATCTCCACCCGTTCAGCGATACTTGGACCGCACGTGGGTAACTTGGTAGGTCATTACCAACGAATTTCGGAGTGATCCCTTTACAAAGACAAATCTCATACCTGCGAGCGTCTCGCCTGCCTCAAGCCGGAAGATGAACTCCAGTCGTCTGTTACATACACTATCAGTCAAAAAACCGTGGACCTTGACTGGGCTCCACTTTTGATAAGTGAGGATTATCGCATGGAGGAACACGTTCGCAGCCAAATGTGATACCAAGGCCCCTTTACCTTCCTTAACCTGGACACAAAGGTTGCGGTATTAGGACTCGAATGATCGAATGCCTTTATTATTCAACTTCCCCGGTTATGGTCGGTTATACCCTTTTGGATTACCGGCTTGGCAACCGTCCCGGCAGTACTCCTTCTCGGGGCGAACGCGGGGTATCCTATACCGGCCTGCCATACAAAAGACATATAACCTCGGATGGATAAAGCGAAACAAACTGGAGCTATAAGTGGCATCACTAGGGTTTGCAGTCCTTGCGACATTTCGAGAACCAACCAACACCTGCCATTATACACTGTATACCTACAATTTAGTTGACAATGCCTCTTCCGAAATACACCTACAATGGCCCAATCGACCACACCGTGGTGCCCGATCTAGCCAATGCCAAAGGCAAATCTGTCATCATTACCGGAGGTGCAAACGGCATGGGTGAGGCCATGGTGCGCGCCTTCACCGCGGCCGGCGCCTTTGTCACTTTTGGCGATCTTCACCCCAGAGGAGACAATCTCGCCAAGGAATTGAACGCGAATGGTGAGACAGCCGCGTTTGTAAAGTGCGATATTACAGACTGGGATAGTTTGATTACACTATTCGAGACGGCCAAGGACAAGAGTCCGCATAACAGCGTTGATATTGTCATTGCCAATGCGGGAATCTCGCGTGCCTCGGGTGACAGTCTTTGGAACCTGGATGGTAAGTTTGTCTCTGCCTGGTATCTTAAATTTCAACTCTTAAGATTTCAACATACTCGAGCTTTAGTCATGTATAATTATGTGTAACCAAGGCACTGACAGTTCAAAGACCCCAGTGGCGCACCAACCAAGCCCAATCTCAATATCGTCCGTGTCAACATGGACGGGACATTCTATACCTGGAGACTTGCAGTTCATTATTTCAGGAAACAACCCGATACTGAGGACCGAGACCGATGTTTCATCATGACTGGAAGCATGGTCGCGTACATTGATTCACCTGTAAATATGCCGTCTATGTCTTTGTTGAATTGGTCGTCGTTAATCCGAATAATTTCACGACTAACCACCACATTAGGGAAACTGGGAATACACAGCGACCAAGTATGGCCTCCGCGGCTTCATGAAGACCGTGCGTCGAAGCAGCTGGGAGCAAGGAATCCGCATCAACTATGTCGCACCATGCTGGATCAAAAGCGCTATTCGGACCAAGGAGTACGAAGATTGGCTGATTGAGCGTGGTGTCGAGTTTGGGGAGCAGGCTGATTGCGCCGGTGCGATGATGCGGATCGCATGCGATAAATCTATTAACGGTATGCCCTCTTATACTCATCTGCTTTGTGCCTTGTCTTTAGGCAAGATATAATGGCGATAACACGGCTAACTCTTCCAGGACGCTCACTTATGATTACCCCGAGGTCCTTCGCCAAGGAGGGATTCGTGGATGTAAACAGAGAAGACTATTCCGATCCCAAGGACGAGTACTTCGCGAAGAAGCAGGCGTCGCAGTTGGTCATTATCGAGGATAAATGGCTGGACGACTATAAAGTGAGGATTTACAAAGATTGAGTCGCTTTTCATTGCTGACTCTGAGCGCAGAGACAGGGTCAAGGGCGGAGAGCGTGAGTACTAGTAGGTTTTACTACAGTGGCACATCTAGTCCAGTTTTCGAATCAAATTCCAGTTTAAATGGCTTCGTCGCACAGTAATTAGCATGCGCTCAAATATTCCCAATGCAATGTCTCTGCACATCCGCCCTCTCGGATGATTCAATACGTATAGCTCCGGACGATAATCCGGAAAATGCTTCGGTACAAAGTAAACGACGATTCGGTAGGTCCGGCTATGTCGGCAGCGCACAGGCGAACGGCAGATCCTAGTAAAGAGGACTAATTCGCACAACTCTCGTGCATATACATATAAAGCGGCCGTAGTTGAGATATTAGCACTCACCAGGTTATACAACATATATCAATACATCATGATAGTTCCTGCATGCATTAACATTCCGTCGTCCATGCACGCGTGGACGAAGCACAAGGGAAACCCCGAGCCTGTGAGTAGCCGCATATTTACTGGGAGTAACCATTGCTGATAGACACGCTGGTCTGGGAAGAGGTCCCGGTCCCTGTAACTCCCAAGGGAGGATTCTTAGTCAAGTTACTAGCCTCTGGGGGTGAGTATTGGATAGTTGGCTCCGGTAAAAATGATGCTAACATCTGCTTGCTAGTGTGCCATAGCGACCATTCACTTCTTACTAGTGAAAAGCAGCGTCCTTGGTTTCAAGAAAAATACACTCTGGTGTGCTCATCATATTCCGTTCATCAAGGCATAGGAAATTCGACAGGCTGACCATGTTTGCTCGTTTCAAGGGTCATGAGGGATGTGGCGAGATTGTACAGATAGGCGACCAAGTGAAACATGCCGGGTTCAGCGTTGTACGTTCTCCAAACAGTCTTCTAGGAGATCCAATACCTAACAAACTTTGTAGGGAGATCGAATCGCGACTATCGCTGTCCCTGGCTGTGGCTCAGAGGACTGTGCAGAGTGCTCACGGGATCTCGCTCAGCTGTGCGAGCAAGCCCACCACGCCGGTATTGGTCAGGACGGTTTTTATGCACCATATGCGGCACTGGATCTTCGAGCAGTAGTTCGAGTCCCGGAAGGTTTGTTTCCATCATCGTCTTATGCGGCTTGATCTAACAAGAGTGCAAGGAATTCCGTCGTCTGTAGCTGCAGTGGCAACGGATGCTGTCAAAACGAGCTATCACGCCATTGTAAGACGTGCAGAAGTCAAGTCCAATGAGACGGTCTTTCTGTTTGGTCTTGGGGGCCTCGGGTTTAACGCGTTGCAAATTGTTCTGCATATCGGTGCTAGGGTCATCGTTTCTGATATTCGACAACAACGGTTGGAGGAAGCTGCAAGGTGGGGTGTTCCTGGACAAGATCTGGTGCCTGCTGGAAAGTCAGTACAGGATTTTGTGCGCGAGAATGGGTTGCAGGGCAAGATTGACACCACCCTGGATTTTGTGGGCACACATCAGACTTTCCAGGATGCACAAAACATCGGTAAGTGTTCTGCAATAGAACTATGTGTTGTACAGTGCTGACCATTTGAAGTTCGCAGAGGAGGCAAGCTTTTGTGCGTTGGTACCCTCGATGACGAGAACACAGTCGACATGAAGATTGGCATTCAGAAGAGGCTGAGCATTATCTTCACATACGGCGGGCAATGGAGAGATCTGAAGGAAGTCCTCGATCTGATCTCGAAGGGAATAATTCAGCCGCAGGTTGAGACGGCTGCCTTGAAAGAATTTCCCCAAGTTTTGAAGAGTGTTTGTGACGGAAAGGTCAAATCCCGGGTTGCCTTACTGCACGAGTAGCATGGCAGCCATAACACATTGCACAACATTATATTCTTCTTCGAAATTATATGTGGATATGTATATCCCATAATATTCGTGGATCTTATTACGAGCTGTTCATCATATTATTTTCTCCAAGTCCTTTTTATTGAATGATATAGCTGTATCAGAAATACCTCCCAGTTGCCCCCAATCGTGCTACTTAAGTATCGAGGTTTTTAGATCATATTATGGAATTTCCTTTTGAGAAACGAAATTTAAAGCTGCCAGGCTAAGAGACATTTTCGTAAAGTAATATGATGTCAAAACTGCAATAGCCATTTTGGCTAGGAACATGGAGAGTGTATGCAGACCAATAGAGTATATATATTTAAGCGCTACCTGATGGAAAATGCCGGCATAGTGATGGCTGATGATCCTATGATTCTCATTTAAATAATTGTAAGATCCCTTTTACAAGCCCTTTGACTTCCAAAACGGTTCCAAGTCCCTAAACCAAGTCCACTTTACGTTCTGGGCCCATCCCTTCTCCTTCCAAGCATTGAGACTCAATGGGAAGTGATCCACCCCATCTCTGACACTGGAATCATGTGCAATGATAACAAATATGTTCTCGTCACAGTCCAATTCTTGCAATTGGTCACGAGTCTTTTGTGCAAGGGGGATATCATGACCGAAGCACATCTCGTACACCGTATCTGTTGGTTTCCTTCCTCTGGTGTGCTGCAGATCATTAAAAACACTTCCAGGGCAGAAGGGTAGATCGCTTAGTGTATTATACGGATGTGGGGAGATTTCCGGAGGAACAGGGAGATATTTCGACGGTCGAAATATGCCCGCGTAATGACAGATGTCCCCTCCCATCATGACAAAAGTAGGAGGAGATACAGTCGTTCGCGCTAGACCGCAAAGATGCCCGATGGCATGTCCTGGGCTGTCTAAGAGATAGAATGACCCGTCGCCGAAGTAATCGACGGCAGGGAATTTCCCAATGCGCAGGGCATCGGGACCATCAAATCGAATCTCGCGCAGACATCGACCACTATAATGAGTTAGATTCAAAATCAGAAAGATCTTCAAGTTTATCCCGTGATGGCACTAGGACTTACGCATAATCGCTCTCCCGGATAGGGGACAGGGGATTGGCAGGATAACCGGGTAACATGGCATCCTTGAACCCGGATCCCACAATCAAGTCAGTCCTGCTTGGAAATGTTGATGGGTCTCCTATGTGGTCCCAATGCCAATGGCTGTAAAGTGGTTGTCAGACTTTTTGTTGAAAGTTGCAATGCTTCGGAAATAAATACCTCCAGATGACTGCATTAATGCTCTCTCCGGGAATACCGTTCTCTTCCAGGATATCGACCACGTTCTTTGATACTTGTATGTCGTAATTCGTTGTTGGTATATAGTTTGCCACGGTGGGAGCATAGTTTTGATAATCCTTACGGATCCCGAGATCAAATACTAGCTTTTGACCTGAAGGATGTTCCAAAAGGAACGTCAAAACGGGCCCGGGTTTCTTTGTTTCCACACCAGGCACAGGGGGCTCCATGAACCGTTTGATGATAGCTGGCCCGAAATTGACCGGGACAATCATTTTCACGCTCAACACCTCCTTACCAGGAGGCAGCTCAATGAGCGGTCGACTAGTTGCCATGTTTGAAGTTATAATCTTCCTTTCAACATCAAGCGGATATGATATCGATGCCTTTTCTTTATGAGACCAGGCTCCAGTCCACAAATTGTGGGAGCCCCCGCTCCGGGGCGCTATCGGCCGGTTCTTCCCCGGGGCCACTATCGGTATTTCCGGATTCGGATAACCATGGCAACATTAGAACTCTTCGGTCTGATTTACTCCATTTTTTTCTCCCGGCTTTCCAAGGTTCCACCTCGTATCCGCACGCGCTTCCCCGCATTCATGCCCCCGCATTTTCGGGAGTTAGACGCTCGTAGCATCACCTGCTCATCATGGACGGCTGTACATTTTTGATAAACATTCCGGCTATACCATCGGTAATCCTGCTAGGGATTTTCCGTCGGCTGCCTTATTATGCCTACTGATAATGACAATATTACCCACAAGGCGCAGGTTAATTATGCCCAGAAATTGGCAATCAGCAGCTCGGTATGGATCATTTCCCCCGGATTTCAGGTCGATATGTCCGGGGATAAAAAGGGACTCCCAGCCATCACGGTGAAGCCTGCTTTGGTCTGTTAAAACACAATCTCATTACATTCAGACATTTATTATGAGCTCAATTAAGGAAGATGTCTCCCATGTTTCGAATGGCGAAGAGGGAGGCTTGAAAAAGCTCGACACAGCGCACGGAGATGAAGCGATTAAGGTCCTCGCTGTATATGATGGTGATCAGACATGGACTGCAGAAGAGGAGAAGAAGCTGCGCCGAAAGATCGACCTGAAGCTCCTCCCTGTCCTGTGCATAACTTATGCATTTCTTTATGCCGACAAAGTCCTGCTTGGACAAGCGGTATGACTATCATCTGACCTACAATACACCACGAACTGATGATCTTTGCAGGCTCTTTTTGGCATCAAGGATGACCTGGGCTTGAACAGTGGGAATCGCTTCTCCATGGCTTCTTCCATTTTCTACCTTGGATTTATCTTGGGCGCTTATCCAGTCACTTTCCTAGCCCAGAGATTTCCCATTGAACGTGTTGCTTCTCTAGCAATCATAGTTTGGGGAACTACTTTGATCCTCACTCCCGCTTGTACGAATTTCCAGGGATTGTACGCGCAAAGATTCTTTCTTGGCTTCACGGAGGCCGGCATCAGTCCTATTTTCATGATGATCGTCGTATGTAACGCTTACTACTTCCATCAAACGATCTCCGCTCACCACGATTTAGGGTGGATGGTATAAAAAGGATGAACAGTCCCTGAGAATGGGGTATGTTTCCACATCAACACCGTGCCGACTTGAGCTCCAGCTGACTTGCTTATAGTGCCTGGTACTCATGCACAGGTTACGTGTCCATTTTCTCGCCTCTTGTTAACTACGCGATCGGGCACCTCGGAGGAAATCTCGCCCCGTGGTTCTATATGTACCTTTTCGCTGGGGCTCTCACCATCATCTGTGGTGTCGTGATTTACTTTGTCCTCCCATCCGATCCTATCCGAGCCAAGGGCTTCAACGACAGAGAGCGCTTCATTGCAGTATCTCGCATGAGAACGAACAACTCCGGAGTCAGAAACACGCATTTCAAAGGTGGTCAGGCCATTGAGCTCCTGACCGATATCAAGTTTTGGCTTATTTTCTTCTACGCTCTGTGTGGTATGTTCGCTAATGCACCGATTTCGACCTTCCAGGCTATCATTATTGACGGCTTTGGCTTTAACCCACTTAACTCGTTGCTTCTCATGATACCTTCTGGCGTTTATGCCGGTACCATGATGTTGATCACAACCTACCTGGCTTACAAATTCCCCGGCTGGCGTGCATATCTCGTCATCATGTCCCAATTGGTTACGATGACTGCTGCTATTATGCTCTGGCTTCTGCCTCGGTCGGAACTTGGAGCACTGCTGTTTGCCTGCTACATTCTCACGACCACCGGCGCTGGATATGCAGTGACAATGGGTCTTTTCCTTGCGAACAACGCCGGCTACACCAAACGATCGCTCGCTTCTTCGGGCTTGTACATTGGATACTCCCTTGGTAGGGTTATCCCGCGGAAATGTGAAAGTGTTGTCACTAATCCCCACCAGGCAATTTCGCAGGACCCCAGGTCTTCCGACATGAAGATTCACCTCATTATAATCTGGGATTCATCGTGGTGGTCATCACCGCGATCATTGCGGGTCTCTTTGTTTTGGTATACCGAATCCTCTGCTCAATGGAGAACCGCCGCCGTGATAGGATGGGAACCGTGGAAGGCTTTGAACATGCCTATGAGGATGACTTGACTGATAAAATGGTCCGTGACACGAGCTCCAATTTGCTTTCATTTATTGACAGACCCATAGAATATGCAATTCCGGTATTCATTGTGAGAGCAGCGACAATAGGCGGGTTTGGGGTAAGTTGAGACTCGTTTGGGGGAACTTGAAGTACAATAGGTAGTTTAGCCTTGAGCTAGGAGAATAAAATCTTTTGTCTATGGTGGATCTCGCAATGTTTATTTAGATCTCAGTTTAGTAAATTGTCATCCTCAAGGACTTGTCCCCAACCCCTTCTAACTCCCTGTTCGTCGGACAGCACACATCTACCTCTTCAAATGTCCAGCGGCTGTAACCAGCAATCCCAAGTGTAATACTGCATACTTGCTGTATTTCCCGACATGTGGCGTCAAATGGAGTAACTAGTATTTACAAATGATGCTTGTGGGGTAGATGTAATCAACGCAATCTGGCTCGTACTTCGATCTGTACTAATGAGGAAAGGGGGGAAATATATTTTCGTAGGCTACAATTCTCGACTGTTGCTAAGTCTACTGATCATTCTTATCCATTTATCTGACTCAATCATCGAAGCAGAAACAATTTTTAATAACATGCATAGGAAGGTATAGTATACAAGGGCTGCTGACCGCACTCGCGCGGTCCCCACCCTTTTCGTATGAAAAGACAATATGACCTTAAATTCAAATAAATCAGTTACCTTAAAGGCTTTATATAGATCTATAGTACTTAACGTATTAGAAAGGTAACTTAACCTATTTATACAACAAAGAAGGAAATTTAAAAAGGAAGATAAGGTATTCGAATAAGAAAGATGGAATTATATATGTTCAGAGAATGTGAACTATATACTCTAACGCAAAGAAGAAAAAACCGAGAATAGGTATAAGATAATAATAAGGTGGAATCTTGCTGTACATATATATATAGCCGAGTGGCAACATTTCCATGGTTTTGATGATTCAAGTTGCAGACTGTATAAAATAAACATAACGAACTCCGATCAAGGCATACCGACAGGACAGCAGGAGCGCGTCCTCGGGTATTCATCTATTTCGCTACCCAGCTCTTATCATCGCCAGCATAGGCCTCAGGCCCCGGTTTAGCGACCTTCACGTACCATCCCAGATCGGCGTCCTCCTTCATTTCCCACTCAGTGAATCCGTTGCCCAGGAAGCGGAAGGGATTGCCCGAGTTGTAAGCAATGTCATAGTGTTCTGAGCGGATCTCGCCGAGCAGGCGGCGGAACAAGATAGCACTGCCTGCGAAGAGATGTGTGACTCGGCCGTCCACGGTGCCTCTCTTGTACCAGCTGCGACAGGAGCCGGACCACACCAATGTCTTGTGGATCTCGTCTTGGTATTTGCCGAAGGCGTGCACGGACGAGGCCTTGGGGACCATGTACTTGATGTCTTCTGTGGCGATCTTCTTGATCATTTTGACAAAGTAATCGCCTGTCCAGTTCAATGCTTCGACGAGGGATCCGTGGCCGCAGAGGCAGTTGGGGCCGGCCATTGTGAAATAGTTGGGGAAGTCATCGGTTCCTACTGATAGGTATGAGGTGGGCTCATCCTTCCATTTCTGGGCGAGGTTGACTCCGTTCTGGCCGACGAGCGGGTATTGAGGGCATTTAGAGACATCGAAGCCAGTAGCACAAACCACTAAGACACTGTGTTAGAAGTGAAGTGAAAGATGGACTACGGATGAACCTACAAACATCGCACTCAAACTCCTGCCCGTCAGCAGTGACAATACCCTTCTCGGTGATCTTCGTAATTGGACTCGACGTGAGACTGCAATTCGGCTTTGAGAAGGACTCTAGGTAGCCAGGGCCAGGGGTCACTCGACGGCAACCGATCTCCCACTTAGGGATAAGCTGTTCGCACAGCACAGGATCATGGTTGAGCTTCTCGGCCATCTGGGCTGATGCTAGTGCCACGGTAGTTTCATTGGGCTCTCCTTTCATGAACTACATGATGTCCCATATTAGCTTTGGTTAGGCAGAGGGGTTGAAGGCTGTGAACTTACCAAGCGGAATGCCTTGTTGGTACGGTGGATAATTCCTTTACGGTATTCCCGATGTTGAACAGGGTCACGGAACCGCTCTTTCTCTTCTTCGAGGAATTCCGGGTTGGTGTCCTCGGTTTCTCTCCCAAGATGCTTAGAAGGTGGGACACGGTAATAGACCCAAGCTGGACCACGAATGAAGTTGCGCACTGTCGTACCCGGCAGTTTGGTCATTTGAGGTACAATCTGGATGCCAGACGATCCGTTGCCAATGACAGCTATCCGCTTGTTGGAGTAATCGAAGTCGTGGTCCCATCGTGCAGAGTGCGTAACATGGCCTTTGAAATCGGAAAGTCCGGCAATCTTTGGCCAGGAAGGGCTCCTATCGACATGTCAATTGATATTGTTCCTCGAGTTCACATGAGACGGGTTGAGTACTCACACCAAGTTACCCTGGCCTGAGATCAAAATGTCACAGTACTCAGCACGTTCAACTCCACCATGCTTCACAGTAATCTTCCATTTTCCTGAATCTTCTTGCCAGTAGGCACCAACAACCTGGGTTTCTAATTGCACATCACGATCAAGGTTCCACTTCTTTACTGTCGTCTTGATATACTCTTGAATCGCAGGTCCGCTGGAATAGAAGCGGGGCCAGTCTGGGTTCGGGTCAAATGGGAAGGCCTGGGTATGTCAGCAGACCATCCAAATCGGGAACGGTTGTCGTAGACTTACATAGATATGAGAGGGCACATCGCATTGCACGCCTGGGTACGTATTGACTAGCCATGTTCCTCCAATATCGCTTCGACCTTCGAAGATCGTGTGATCAACAAAGTCCTGAAGCTCCGGGTAGGCATGTTGGAATTTGTGCGCAAGCACTAGTCCAGAGAAGCCCGCGCCGATCGTAATGATACGGAGTTTGCGAGGGTTTAAGGCGTATTGGTCATTGAATGGAATTGAGTGTTCCTTGAGCCGGTCGGGAGTTGTGGATTTCGGACCATCGGTGGTTTTGCCGTTGATCTTGTCAGCGAAATGCGAAAGCAAGGTCTCTGGAAGGTCCTTCGCGTCTTTGGTGGTGAAACCCACAGGGACCTTACCGTCCGCCACAGATGAGGTTGGTAGGTTTGAGGTCACGATTGATGGTGCCATTGCCGTGGGAAAGTGGTTTCGATGAAGGGTGGAGAGGGGCTAAAAGATCGCAGTTGAACTTTTGATAACCAAAAACTTCTCTTGTCAAGTAAGTTGATGGACTGATTGGACTCCTTGATGCATTTCGTTGTCGAAAGTTCCCACCTTTATACTAGAATAGGAGTGCGGGAGAGAACACCCGCTACGCCTCCATCCCTGCTGCGCAGGCCAGCAGGAGGACGTTCCATGCCGACAGAGCGACTCATCCTGCCCCGCTAGACGCCGTGACCTTAATGCAACAAATTGAGTGCCGAAGGGTTCAATCGTATGTACAATCAAGGCGAAGGCTGGGTAGCCGAGATGTTCTGGCGGAATGGAGCTAGCGCGACACCTGCCTACGGTAATCCGCTTCGGGAAACACCGATATCGTCTGTTTCTTATCTCTCGGCTGTGGGGAAGTAGATTCCCAGTGATTCTTTGAATGGCAAATATGATTACTCATTTGGGAATTGCCCGCGCGGCACTAATCGGCTTACAGCCCTCGGCCATACAAGCGCAAAAAAAGGTCGATTGGAAGCCAGATATGCGTCCACCGACTACGGATTAAGTGGGTCAGAAACAGTTCAAAGCTCGTCTATGGATGGGGACATCCCATTGAGTGCTGAGTGGCAGTATACCTTGAGCTCTATAAATTACCTGTTAATAAGATAATTAATATACTGACCTTGAGAGGCTCCCCACATCCTGCATTCTCGCTCGCGATCACCACGTGGCACATGACCAAGCTTGTCTCTCGACGTTCTTCAAATAATATCGACGAATGGTGCGGATGGGACCACTGTCTGCCACCGCATTCCGTGGCCGCGACGATGACTGAGTCGCAGTGGGTGCAATCTGCCCCCGGGACAGAAAAGCGCAAACGTGCCGGACTCGCGTGTATGCCATGCCACTCCAAGAAGGTTAGACGTTCCCGGAAAGAGCTAGTTCTTCCACACTTGTAGAGCTACCTCGCATGACCGTGTGCCAATAGCAATCGCCTCCGACATCTAGATTCAGGACATTGGCTTTCCCGCTCTGGGTTTCCAAGATTTTTTCCACGTGCAGCTTCCACGGAATTCGCCACAAAAGAACGCGGGGTACGGAGTACATGGACCGATGCCGCACCGTTTCTGCGGCTATGTCGGTTATCCTGATATAGAAACCCGGGGTAGAGTTTTTCGGGTCATATTCCGAAAGTACATGTCGTACCTTCTCCGTATCACTCGGATTTTATAATCCAAGCCGGATATTCGGCAAGACTACCCCTCCAATGTCTATGAAAAATGTTTATTTATGACCACAACTCCATGCTTATAGATCAAACATTCCTCTGAAAGCCTGAGATAAATAACGATAGACATTACATCCAGACAAGGCTTTCAGGCTACTGAGAACACAAGGTAGTGCACAGCATTTTCTCTGCTTTGAGCCATGTCACCACCCGCAGCAACTATAGAGCCAATAGCTCCCGTTAGGAAGCCAGCTCTCCAGAATGTCTTTAGCAACAAGACCACCCACACCGCTCATCAGTATCGCCTCAACCCCGAGTATGCCATTGTTGAACAACCCATCGGCACCAGGCGGCCACTTCGCGTCGTCTGTCTCGGCGCAGGGTACTCTGGTCTTATGATGGGTATTGTCTTTAATGAGCGCATGAAGGATGCCAATGCAGAGTTTGTTATTTATGAGCGAAACGCTGATTTGGGAGGAACTTGGTATGAGAATCGGTGAGTTTGATGAGCCCTGGACTAGATCTACGATTTCATCGAAGCTAATGCGTCGGTTATAGATACCCGGGATGTCAGTGTGATATCCCAGCGCACAATTATGCCTATAGCTTTGCTGCCAACCCAGAGTGGCCAAATTATTACGCGACATCAGAGCAGATTCACTCCTACATGAAAGATGTGGCCAAGCAATACGAAGTTGAGAAGTATATTAGCCTGCAACATTCAGTCGAATCTGCTATCTGGAATGAAGAAAAGGGAAAGTGGGATCTCCAGATCAGGAACGGTTCTACTCTGATCCGAGACGAATGTGATGTCTTCGTCAATGCCAGCGGTGTATTGAAGTTTGTAATCCCTTTCTGATCTTTTCTCATGCGGGTGCTGATAGGATGTCATTACAGCAATTGGAAGTGGCCCTCTATTGAGGGACTAGAAAGTTTTAAAGGAAGACTCATGCACTCAGCGCACTGGGATTCCAGCTACGATTTCACCGGAAAGCGCGTTGCCTGTATCGGAATCGGATCGTCAGGCATTCAGATTGTCCCTAAGCTTGCGAGTGGTACGTTCACACGCATAGTCTATCAAGCCTATCAGACAACTGACTTTTCTAGTCGTCGGGAATATGGATTGCTATGTACGGAGCCAAACTTGGATCAGCCCAGCTCCTGGAATCAACGAGCCGACAGAAAATGATCCAGAAATGGACAAGGATTATAATTTCGCTGAAAGCACTTTAGAACTTTTCAAGGATCCAAAAGTCCTCCGTGACTATCGCGCTGCCATTATGAACCGAAGGGCAGAAAACTTCAATCGGGTGATTGCTGATTGTGACCTTCAACAAGAAGCTCAAGATCTCTTCCGAAAGTCCATGACCGACCGTTTGGGTAACAGTGAGAAGGGAAAGCGCGCAGCTGAACTTCTAGTTCCCTCCTTCCCAGTTGGATGTCGTCGCCAAACACCGGGACCTGGTTTCCTGGAAGCTATTATTCAGGACAATATCGAGTTGAGATGGGACGATGTCTCAAAGATTACCGAGCGAGGAATCCTTACTCGAAGCGGCGTTGAGTTGGAATATGATATAATTGTCTGCGCAACTGGCTTTGACACTTCATTCAAGCCTTCATTCCCACTTGTGGGCCGAAATGGAGTCAACATGGCGGAGAAGTGGGAAAAGGACGTCCCAAAGGCATACATGGGCATGTGCGTGCCGGAATTTCCAAACTATTTCTGTATGTTTTCCTTTCTTCCACTGTGACATCTTTTTTACTTACATGTTTAGGCTTCGTGGGACCCAATTCACCGCTGGCAAACGGGTCACTAATTCTCGGAATCCAAGCAACCGCCGTCTATATCTACAAATGGATGGAAAAGATGCAAACAGAAGGAGTTCGCAGTTTCGAGGTCGACAACGACGTCAACGAGGAGTACAATCAGCACATCCAGAAGTACCTTGAACGTACAGTATGGACTCGAGATTGCCGCAGTTGGTACAAGCGTGGTACAATCGATGGCCCAGTCATTGCCATATACGGCGGATCCATATTCCACCTCTTAGAGGCTATGAAAAACCCTCGCTGGGAGGACTTCAAAATGGATCGGACCCCTGAAGCCAAGATTAATCGGTTCTCATATCTGGGTAATGGGACCACTTTGAGAGAGGCCAAGGGAGGTGACATCGGTGCCACGCAGACACTAGACTTTGATGAGTTCTGGAACCTGTTTGTCCTCCCACAAGTCCATGACTAGGAGGTGTGTGGGAAAGGTTGTATATATAATTCAATGTCTTTATCCATTTTGTATTCTGAAATTCCTAAGTACGTACAAAGACACTAGATAGGTATACATGAGTACTTGGGTTTTTTGAGATAGTCCCAAGGGGTAAATCCTGGTTTCATTCATGCATAGCCTCGTTAATTGGAGTACTAGCTGTATTCGGATATTTACAGCACATAATATCAAAGAATCGTATCATAGTTCGGGTATTTAGCACCAACCCACGAGGCGGGGTAGATGGGCACGGATGCATCCATATAAGGAACTTCTGACATCATTTTCGACTACTGCCGTACCCTTTTTATTCTTTTTTTTATTGTGCTGCTGTAGTGCCTTGGTGGCCGTCCTATCATTTGAGACGCGAGTAAAGAGAAGACGTGAATAGCAGATATATTTCGAGCATTCACCACATGAAAGAACATATACTGAACGAGCAAGTATTGAGCCGAGATCACAAGGCATCTTATCCACCTGAATTAACACCTGTGGACTCCTAGTTAGCCGAGTCGATACAGGTTACAGCGGAGAATCTCTTTCTTAGCTGCAGTATTAATTGCACCTATAGGGCCTCACCAAGCTCGACTCTCTGCGTAAACCAGGGTATTGTTTGTAATCACAAACTGCAACTACTACGGAATTAATTCCGATGCGTGGAGCAAGTCTTAATATCACACCCTATAGGTATAGTCAGGAACCTCCAGAGGTCACTAAAATGTCGATTAGGAAGCGAACCAACTACTTAGGGCTGTTTCTTCGCTATGGCTCATCACAATAGGCTTAAACCATCAGTCTCCGCATTGTCTGGCCTATAAGTATGTTCATCAATCAATACCCGACGCGGAGAAAGGGTTGGCTAATTGCCGATGCATGGGGTGTGTGCACGTATACATATATGCCGAACTGCCGACCCATCCCCGCGAAAAGCATTGCATATTATGGGGCCCCCGCAGTCGCCATCTTGGCAACATCCCCAATGCGAGCATCGATACCCATAACATATGCACAATTTGCCTCATGGTTGACACCATATCCTGCAACCCAGTGTATATGCCAAGCGAGTCAATTACCGATGTGCAGATATTTGATATCTCAATTGCCGGGGTACTGTCTGGAGAAATAGTATATATACTTGACGAATTTGCAAGCCATCATGTCTCAATCAACTCAGAGCGGTCTTTGCATTACGAGTGACTGTTGCACGCCTCGCTCAATAACATTCGATATTTGGTCGCCATGAAGTTCCTAACGGGGTTGTCTTTCTTATCTCTTATTCCTTCTTCGTTTGCGGTCCCTACAGCCAGCCTTCATCCACGCAGTGAATTATTGGCTCACGAGGAACAGCCCTTGCTCAAGCTAAAGCCCCAACGAACTCCCTCCCGAGACCTTGTGAACCTTGATGGCCTGTGGAAATTCACCCTGGCTTCCGGTGTCAACGACACAGCCCAACCCTGGACCGCGCCATTTCCCAGGGGTGCTCTCGAATGCCCCGTCCCAGCTTCTTACAATGATATTTTCGTCGATCGGGATATCCACGACCACGTGGGATGGGTTTACTACCAGCGCGATGTTTTCGTCCCAAAGGGCTGGTCTAAGGAGCAATATTTCGTGCGAGCTGAATCTGCTACCCACCACGGTCGTATCTATGTGAATGACCGTCTGCTCGCCGAGCATGTGGGCGGTTATACACCTTTCGAAGCCGATATAACCGAGTTTGTCACTGCTGGAGAGAAGTTCCGCTTGACAATCGGTGTCAACAACGAGCTTACCCATGAGACGATTCCACCTGGAAAGATCGAGATTGGTGAGGGCACCGGCAAGAGAATCCAGACCTACAACCATGACTTCTACAACTATGCTGGTCTTGCTCGCTCTATTTGGCTGTACTCTGTGCCTCGTCAACATATCCAGGATATCACCGTTGTCACTGATCTTGAAGGTGAAACTGGACTCATCAACTACAAGCTCAAGTTGGCCAACAACACGACTAGGCAGATCAAGATCTCTGTGATTGATGAGGATGGAGTCGTTGTTGCAAAGGGCTCCGGAGCTGAGGGTACCGTCAAGATCAGCTCAGTCAAGTTGTGGCAACCCGGCGCCGCCTATCTTTACCAATTTGTGGCCAACATTGTGGATTCCCGCGGCAAGGTGATTGACACCTACAGCTTAGCCACTGGTGTGCGCACTGTCAAGGTTAGCGGATCGAAGTTCCTGATCAACGGCAAGCCCTTCTACTTTACCGGGTTTGGAAGACACGAAGACACCGCAGTCCGCGGCAAAGGACACGACCAAGCATACATGGTTCATGATTTTCAATTGATGAACTGGATTGGCGCAAACTCTTTCCGTACCTCACACTACCCATACGCCGAAGAGGTCATGGACTTTGCAGACCGACACGGAATTGTCGTGATCGATGAAACACCCGCGGTGGGTCTGAACATTGGTTTGCTGGGTGTATCTGGAACCGAAGCCCCAAAGACCTTTACCGAGGATAATATGAACAATAATACCCAGAAGGCCCACAAGCAAGCCATTCGCGAACTCATTAGTCGGGACAAGAACCACGCCAGTGTTGTTATGTGGTCTATTGCCAACGAGCCTGCCTCCCAAGAAGATGGGGCACGCGAATACTTTGAGCCTTTAGCCAAGTTGACTCGGGAGCTTGATCCAAGTCGTCCTATTACATTTGCCAATGTCGGCAGCGCAACATTCGAGACGGATCTGATCTCGGACTTGTTTGACGTTGATTGCCTCAACCGGTATTTTGGGTGGTATTCCGAAACAGGAGACCTCGAGGCAGCAGAGGTAGCGCTTGAAAAGGAGCTGCGCGGCTGGGAAAAGAAATTCAATAAGCCGATTATCATGACCGAGTACGGCGCTGATACTATTGCCGGTCTTCACTCCACTCTTGGTTTGCCTTGGAGTGAGGAGTTCCAGGGAGATATGCTCGATATGTATCACCGCGTCTTTGATCGTGTCGAGGCCATGGCTGGCGAGCATGTTTGGAACTTTGCTGATTTCCAGACGACTTTGGGTACCAGGCGGGTGGATGGTAATAAGAAGGGTGTGTTTACCAGGGACCGGAAGCCAAAGATGGCTGCACATGGTTTGAAGGCGAGATGGACAAATATGACCACAAGTGGGTAAAGTCATGTTGCCCAATATATTTGTTCAGCTTAGTTATTGTTGAGAGGCGTGGATGTCCATGCACCTTCAACAGGTAGGTATATAGGACTGCACTTGTGTGCAATCTCAATTGTAACCAATGTCAACTAAAGTTTGCCTAGGTTTTCCCCTTTGGTCTTTTTTTTCATCTATCTCCGCATAGTTTACATGGCCGGGATATCAGGCAAGGAATCTCAATACACGGTCCCAATCCGATTATGTTAAAACATTATTCGAAATGAAAAAAAAAATGGGTGGGTATCACATTGACATATCTGCAGCAGGAAATAAATCCCTGTGTCAAGATGGCTCATATCATAAGGACATTTACCAACACCTATACGGTACCTAGATACCTATACGTACATGTGAATTTAATCAAACACTGCTCGTGGTTACATTCACGCCGAACTTCCCTCAGGAGACTCCAGGGGCCGAGACACTGAATGCGATCGCTTATCGTTGCCGCCTTTAGTCCGCCCAATGCCGACCATCTGCAACATTTCTCTCCAGAAGCCGGTAGGCGGGTCGAGGAAGCTGTCCTCGTACGCATCGATCAGGGGTCGCTCCCAGACAAGATCGGCTTGATCAGCCTTAATGAACTTGGTTTTCTTGAGGACTTTCCAGATGATGAAGAGGGGAGGGATGACGATTTGCATGGTGTAGTTCGACCAGAAGGTTGACACAGACCAAGGCTTGTATGCAGGGTAACCGTAGACGATAGTCACGATGATCATCCAAACGAGTGCGATGTATGCGCAGTAGGGTTGGAGACGTCCGTAATAGGAGAGGGATCTGCGATCGAGCCCCTGCGCTTTGCAAGCGCGGTGGAAGAATATGTATGTCAAGGTGATGACGATGTAGTTGATGAGACCTGGGTTATGTTGTCAGTATTGTAATGGGGCTCCACTTGCAAATTCCATCGTGATTTCTTACCTCCGGCAGTGACGAGGTTAGCGAACCATGTGATGACGATGGACGAGCTACTGGAACATTGCAAAAAGGAAAGCATAGGGAAGATCATCACGACTGCGAAGCAATACAGGGGTACACCGTTGCGCGTGGTGTAAGTGAGAACTCTTGGGGCTCTTCCTTCTAGTGCCAAACCGTAAAGAGTACGGATAGCGCAGTAGGTGTAGGTATTGCCAGCAGAGAAAATCGAAGTCAGCAAGAGGCTAAAAGAGTATTGTCAGTCATCGGCTCGTCAAATATATGTTTCTTTTTGATAGCACTGACGCGTTGATGATCGAAGGGAAAATTGAAATGCCCATGTTTCGCATGCCAATAACGTATGGCGATGCTGAAGCAGAACCAGCGGAACCACCCGTCACAACCGCCTTCAGCTGCGGGTCATTAGCAGCACAAACGATACCGACGGCCAAGGCGCCGCCGATAAAGAAGAGACCGAATCGAATGTAGACTGTCTTGAACGCATTCTTGATATAGATGCGAGGACGCTTTGCTTCAGCTGCGACCATGGAGATGTACTCAGGACCGACAACGGCAAAGCAAGCCGACCAAAGAGATCCTAGGAATCCTTCAAACCGACCAAGGGCGCCGGTATCCAGATACTCCATGAAAGAGCCGGGGTTGTTCCAGTGGCGGAAACCATAAGCATCATGGGCCGGATTTCCACCAACCATTGTGATGAAGGTGAAAAAGAACAGGGAGAAGATCAGAATGACCTTACCACCGGACAGCCAGAATTCGGCTTCACCATAGGCTTTGACGGCCAAGACGTTAAGGAAGCTATGCGAAAATCAGCATTTGAATGAAACTTCATGTGTACGCAACTGGTAAATGGCCGAAATTGGCGGAAGAGGTTCTCACCCATAGATCAAGATGACACCAATACAGACGCCTGCAACTGGGCCTGGTTCAGTAATCGTCGGACTCCAGAAAGACAATACAAGCGTGAAAGCTGAGATCTCAAAGGGAATCAAAAGGGCCTCATAGAAACTAAAGGGGGTGTTAGCAAAGATAGCAAGGAGGCCGGGGATTTCGGCGAAGCCAAAAAGAGGACGGACAAAAAGTTCCAGCCGACCATGAAACCAAGAGCGTCGTCGACCCATTTTCCAGCCAAGCGAATGAAACCACCACTGACAGGGAAGGCAGTGGTCATTTCAGCGAGGCAGTTATTCACCATGGCCAAAAAGATACATTGAACGGTAAAGGCAATAAACAAACTGCCAGGTCCGCCATGGTAAAGACCCGAGCCGATGCTCACGAAAAGGGCTGTTCCAATAGAGCCACCAATGGCGATCAGCTGGATCTGACGGTTTCCAAGATGACGTTGAAGGTTGTCGGCATTTTCAGCCATCACACCTTCTTGCACATCACGAGGGCCGCCCTCAGTCTTGAGCCCGAGTGTTTCCGACACACTGCCGCTCGTTTCTTTATCTTTGTCGCTTAGGATAGCCATTTTGTTTTCATTCCTGTCTGTCGTGTTTAGTGGTTGATACTGTGTGGGTAAGGCGCAGGCGGAAGAAACTAGATGGGCTGATGTCGCTTATTCCGTCTAGATTCTGGGGTATGGGTTCTGCAAATGTTGGGGTTGATCGGTGGAGATCCGGGGGTGGATCTACTACAGAAAGTGGGATGTCGGGCTATGTCGCGAGGGCCTGGGATTCGATCGCGTTGTGGGCAATGTTGTTGCTATGGATGTTGAGATGTTGAAGGTGCAATGGCAAGGGCAAATGTCGGAGATGTCGAGTCTCTAGGGTAGGATTTCCGTGCAGTACGGAGTTTAGCGGAGAGACTTTGGAACTTTCCACAAAAGAAGGATATTTGGAGAAGTAAAAAGGAAAGATGCAGTCAGAAGCATAAAATGTAAGAGACCAAAGACATCTAATAAAGAACTTTGAAACTCGGGGCAAAAACGTGGGAGTAAAAGTGAAAACTCAAAAAGGAAGAGATTTGCCTCGAGACAAGATTAGCCAGATTAGCGCAATAACCCCATGTAGGCCATTTCGAGCCATACAAAAGCCAAACCAGGCGATTATGACGCAGTTCAGTTGGTTACTTTTGATATCTTCCAAGATTGATTGGCTTGGGAATATATATGGCCCCCGCACGGGCTGTGACTTAACCCGCATCCGGACACGAGCCGGGCATGGGTTTTGTGTTTTATCACCTTTGGATTTCACTACCTAAACGGTCTTAGATGGACACATCCACGGGTTATGGCCCCCAACCCAGCTATTACGTTCGGTCGGGTTACGGCTTGGGAACCGGGGTGTCCGAGTCTAAGCGCACGTTCCCCTCGGCCAAGACTGCATTTTCGCACCCGGTTCGATCCAATGTCTCAATTTATCTGATTTTGTCAGTTGCCCCAAACTATGGAGTAAATATGTACAGAATAATCTGTATGTACATATACGGATTTTAGTCTTGGCCTTAGTTCAATGGCCTTATCGCGTGTGCTCGCTAACCCTTTCCAGCTACGAGATCTCAGGGGCGAATGGGTCCCGAGTGGCCGAACCTTCCAACCTGGAATCTTGTATGTTACGTAAACTTTCCAGATAACCTTGGAACCTTGGAACGGTCGTGATAAGTACCAACGTTGAAGTTAATGAGTGACAGGCCAGTATTCATATTTATTGAACGTAATATAGATCTAATCGGTCGAATTTGCATGTCACACTTACCGGATACGTGCGTATGCCAAGACACGGTTCAATCAGGTAATCAGGTTTAATTGGTCAACCAGTTATACCTGGAGCATCCTCTCTGGGCGTATCATGCCACTATACCTTTTGTTTGAGCCTCTTCAACAGACATAGCCATTCTCGCAATGTACTTGGCTCAGGAATTATTCGGATCTACTAAAAGAAGATGACCCATTTTCCCTCATCTCAAACAACTGAGATATATTAGTTAATGGTGTGGTATGCGTGTTCCTCTTTTCTCTTTATGCTTTGTTTTATGCTGGGTAAAAAAGATGCGAGTACTTGCTCATGTGATTCCAGAGTGACTAACTTCCGTATACATTGCGTGCCTGGATCTGCATGCAGACCCTGATAAATGGGTTGGGATCGTAGAGCGAGTCCCGGTCTTACCCTCGCCTGCTACATACATATGTAGCTAAGTGTCAATTGGTTAGTCGAATAAATCTTAACTCGTGGTATTTAATTACCCAATTACTCCATTGCTGTGCTATTATGAAGTACATACTTTCTCTCCTTAAAACCACATCGTGATGTACATCGATCTACGGAGTAGTTCCACGCTAATCAGACCCGAGGACAAAACCCGGGATTAATTTTCATGTCACGTGGCCTGGGATTTCCGGGGTTGATTTGAAATTCCCTCGCCACAAGAGGCTGAAGCCCCCGGAAGACGAAATCACGTGATACCGCGCCTTGTCGACTCCCGAAGTCGGGGACTGGGAAAAGTTTGCTTAGATTGACTCACCAATGTCTCCGTGTTCGATGTTGTTGAAGCGCGTGGCTAGGCCTCCGGCCACCACAATATGCAGAACGGTGAGTACCACTTCGTCTAATGATCATCCAATTCAATCTGACTCCCCCAGGTTCGGCCGCGGTGGACTCCGTCCTTCGGCGCCCCAAGCAGGACAATTCATCATCCCTTGCGATCGATCTCGAAATCCCTCTCTTCTCGCTCGCTGAGCACGACAGCCTTCGCTCAGGCCGATGGCTTCCACTCACAGCAAGAGAATGCTTCCTCAATGCCTTTCTCCGAGACTCCCTCCGAGAGACGCACGCCGCAAACCTTGACGGAGAAGATTGTACAACGCTATGCTGTCGGTCTACCCGAAGGAAAGCTCGTACGGAGCGGCGACTACATCAGTCTAGCCCCCGGGTACTGCATGACGCACGACAACTCGTGGCCCGTCGCTCTCAAATTCATGTCTATGGGAGCTACGAAGGTCCACCGCCCAGAGCAGATCGTCATGACCCTCGACCATGACGTCCAAAACACCAGCGCAGCGAACCTTAAGAAATACGAGCAGATCGAGACTTTTGCTGGACAGCATGGTATCGACTTCTACCCTGCGGGCCGGGGTATTGGGCACCAGGTTATGGTGGAAGAAGGATACGCGTGGCCGGGTACCATGGCGGTAGCCTCAGACAGCCACAGTAACCATTATGGTGGAGTTGGTTGCCTTGGAACTGCTGTTGTACGGACAGACGCTGCTAGTATTTGGGCAACGTCGCGGACATGGTGGCAGATTCCCCCTGTTGCGCGGGTAACGTTCACCGGAACGCTACCAGTAGGCGTGACAGGTAAGGATGTGATTGTCGCGTTGTGTGGTCTCTTCAACAGTGACGTTCTGAACCACGCAATTGAGTTTACCGGCTCTGAAGAGACAATGGAAAGCCTTCTTGTGGACAGCCGCCTGACGATCGCTAATATGACGACTGAGTGGGGCGCGCTCACTGGTCTCTTCCCAATTGACCGGACTCTCAAGCGCTGGCTACGATACAAGGCTACCGAGGCAGCGATGTCTGACGACCGCACAACCCGCCAGCGCATCACACACGAAAGAATCGAAGAGCTGTTCGCCAACCCCCTCACAGCCGACCCTGATGCTCAGTACGCCAAGCAGCTCTACCTCAATCTCTCTACTCTCTCGCCTTACGTCTCAGGTCCTAATTCAGTGAAGGTCGCAACACCACTGAACGAGCTCGTCCAACAGAACATCAAAGTCAACCGCGCATATATCGTCTCATGTACCAACTCGCGTGCTTCCGATCTCGCGGCGGCTGCCAAGGTCTTCAAAGACGCCGCCAAGGCCAACCCCGGCACAACTCCCAAGATTGCCGACGGTGTCAAACTCTATATCGCAGCTGCTTCCATGCCCGAACAAGAGGCCGCTGAATCCACTGGCGACTGGCAGGCTCTCCTCGACGCCGGTGCGCAGCCGCTTCCTGCTGGATGCGGACCTTGCATTGGCCTCGGCACAGGTCTTCTGGAGCCCGGTGAGGTTGGCATCAGTGCCAGCAACCGTAACTTCAAGGGACGCATGGGCTCAAGAGACGCGCTGGCATACCTGGCAAGTCCCGAAGTCGTGGCTGCTAGCGCTCTCAGCGGCGTTATCTCTGGCCCCGGCGCCTACCAAGTGCCAGATAACTGGTCTGGCGTGGAACACGGATTCGGCACCGGCGTTGAACCCACCACCGAGAATGAGCTCACCAACCTACTCCAACAGATGGAATCTCTGATCGATCGGGTTGAGTCCGCCGGAGACGAGTCCAAGCCCGCCACCGAGATTCTGCCAGGCTTCCCCGAACGGATCAGCGGCGAGATCGTCTTCCTCGATGCCGACAACCTCGACACTGATAGCATCTACCCCGGTAAATTGACATACCAAGACAACGTCTCGAAGGACGATATGGCCGCCGCTTGCATGCAGAACTACGATCCCGAGTTCAAGGGCATCGCCAAGCCAAGTGACATCCTCGTCGCCGGTTTCAACTTCGGTTGTGGATCCTCAAGAGAACAGGCAGCGACCGCAATTCTGGCTAAGCAGATTCCGCTGGTCGTCGCTGGCAGTTTCGGCAATATTTTCTCCCGAAACAGTATCAACAACGCGCTCATGGGCCTTGAAGTTCCCCGACTTGTTGAGCGCCTCCGTACCAGCTTCGCCCAGCCAGCTTCTGGTGAGGCCGCGGGGCGCCAGTTGACGCGCCGGACAGGCTGGACTTTGACTTGGGATGTGAAGCGTTCCATCGTTGAAGTTCAGGAGGGTGAGACAGGAGAGAGCTGGACTGAGCAGGTCGGCGAGCTCCCAGCCAATGTACAGGAGATCATTGCGGAAGGTGGCCTAGAGGCTTGGGTCAAGGGCAAGGTTGCGAAGTCCGGGTGAGGACACATTAGGCATGCCAGACCAATGCCGGTGGAAAATACCAGTTCAGAGAACATGCTGATGTACTCATGTTCTAGGTGACCACCGCCATATTCTTGGCTATTGTATGTCTTTGCATATTTACTTTTTGTACTATTTTTTCATCATTATCAGGTACCATAGAGCAGGTTTCTGACTGTTCAACAAGGACACATCTTCAAAAAGAATAAGAATATACTAGAACACTTTCACCAGACATGATCTTTCTTTTATTCCTCGTTATGAAACTAAATTTTCAAAATACCACAGCCAAAAGTATGATGGTTATGAGTACATCAGCGGAGAGTTTTCCACGCCGGGCGAGAACCACCAGACCGCGGGGATCTAGAAGGTAGTACGGCTTTTCTCTAGGGGAAGCTTATCGAGAGCCGACCACTGGATGTACGGTTCTAGCGGGTCGCTAGCGGCGGCTGGGGAAGGGTTGGCACTGGGAGGGTACTTGGCCGGGCTATCAGTCGGGATAGAAAACTCCTTCTTCTATAGTAACGCGAGAGTACCGTAGTAATCCAAGGCCCTATTCCACATTGTGGTAGCTGTGATACACCAGGTGAAATCCCGTTGAAGGAGGGCGACAGACTGGTGCTAACGCGAGGAGATAGTCTTTAGGCGGTGGCCTTCATCGCAGATTACGCGGCAGAAGGACGACAGGATGACGACTTGGTCTGTGGGGCAGTCGCGTGCATGTTTTCTGAACAGATCATTCGCTCTGCTCGTTGGCCTGGCAATTCAGCGTTGGACGAAGACTGGGGAGCGCCACCGGACACTATTCAAAAGTGTCAAATCTGCAACATTCAAAGCGATCTCGTGCTCTCCGACCTGCGGCGCTCGATGCATGATAGTGACGAAATCGAGCATCAAGGGGGTGCCGGAATTCCGCCCTTTAGATGCATGCTGCGGGACTATTTCGGGTAAGAGGCACAAGGCACCGATTGCTGACCTCGGTCTGAACCTCGAAGTGACGTGGTACGTGGGAGATCAGTTGACACGTCGATTAATACCACCAGTTTGGTTTCTTGTTGAGTATTTGTATATCGCCAATCAGCATTGTGGCGGAACGGTTAGGTGAAGTGAGAATTCAAAGAGCAGTTGAGGAGTTGAGAAGGGATCGAAGAGAAAATGAGGATATAAGTAGGTACGGTAACAGAAAATTGAGGGAAGGTGTGCGTAAGAGGACGATGGAATTAGTAAATTGCGAAGTCAGGACGGTAGATAGGAGTGGGTAATTATGGAAGAAAAGTGTATGAGACTCGTGGGTGTAGACCCAGGGGGAGCTGAAAGTGCAGTGAGAGATAAGTAAGAATGAAGGCAATTCTAGCACCTTCCCAATATGGGCACACCCACGGCCACTCAATTCTGCTATTTTTCACAACACTTTGAAGTAAGGGCCATAGTTTCGACAAAATGAGGGTTGCAAGCGAAAGTTCCGCCACCTATGAGAAAGGGTTTAGCCTTTCTCCGTCTCAGGATATAACTTTACGCGCTTTACTAAAACTGCAGTATCATTCTAAGTACAGTATATATTGTACATATATGTTTCAATGCCCACATACATAGCCAGCCTACTAAAGCCACGACCCACACTCGATATATCACTCCTCGATAGCCTCTCGGAGATGAATCTCCAACTTCCTCTTCCATGAATGGTTCCATGTCTTTTGCTTCTTGTGAAATCACCCAGCTCAATTTGGAAGTTGGGAGTGCAATACGTAAGGACATAGTAAAAGGGGAGGACCGATGTGAGGGATTTGATCTTGATATTCAGCCCATGGCTCCCTTGTGAGAGCTTACCAATATGTACTCTGTGTGCAGTGCAGTGCCCCACGCCCTATAGATCCGGGGTACAACCCACATGCTACAGGTCTCATTCTTTCTAACATTTAGTCCTATGCCAATACATAGAATGTGATACCTGTGAATGTCTACAATGCAAAATAAAATCCAACATCCTCCATATTTTAGCTTGTATACTGAAACTTCGAACTATATAATGGTCTGTCGCATGATGAGAAAATAATGAGCTAAAAAGGAACTATTCTATTCGATACTCATCTAATGTGGAAAAGGCGAGCACGGATGGTGTTTAGCAGCTTCAAACTCAAGATTCCCACTGTCTCATTCCACAAGAATGCTCCAAAGGCAAATGGCCTACTTTACTTTGCACCATGTCGATGGCGAAGGCTGTGGTTTGCCAGCGGATCGTGGACGAAGTGTCGGATATGCTCGCGTTGATTTCGAATGGCTGGTTGTAGGCATTTGAAATGTCTCATGATGATGAAAATCCGCATAAAGTCGTTCCATGCTTCAAAAAATGAGATGGATATAAATAAGGGGGTGTCGGGGCAAGTAATTTCTAAAGGCGCCAGCTCCTCACCGATTTCCACGGGGGTAACAGACGACAAACAACCAATTTGTGCCCGCTTTCAAGTTAAACATTCTCACCAAGATGCCTTCTCCCTTTTTTGCTTTCTTTCTGGGCGTGGGTTCGAGGTCGAAGTTCAAGTAATATACATTGAGCAAAGCCCTAGATACGGAAGTATGCTGTGGGGGTGGGGAAGCCTGGCTGTCTGGGGGCATGATTGGTCTCCGCCCCTCACCCATTTGCCAAGCCTGCTCATTGTCCGGGGAACTACCTACCTAGGTACCCTCTGCATGCATTGGTGCAACTTTCAAACCGAATCAGGGATCTTTTAAGAGAAATCTGATCTGGGGCGAGTGGGGTCGCACTATATATTGGACAAACCCGGGGAATGTGCGCTTTGTCCCACTACGTGCAGGAGAACGTGCAGATCCGGGGCGAGGCCATTCAAATAAGCCACAGATCGATAACTAGTCTCCAGTATAACCTTGGAAGAACCACGGCGAAGGCTTGATAATCAGCATCCCTGGCGACTCTACGTCTATTCTCCTTCCATATTCCCTCAGGCCAAACTTGTTCTCTCACCTCAAGGAGACAACCATGGAAGAGAAAACCTACCACCGAGCACAACGATCTGGCTGGATTGTCCATGGACCCCATTATACGAATTATACGAAGTTGGAGGAAGGTCCGCCTATTTCCTGCCCAAAAAAGCTTAGTCTCCGCCTATGCTAACCAGACAGGGATCATGGGGCTGTCGGAGAATCCTCGGAGTTATATACGCATGATAAAAGTGGATTGGGGAGCCGAGGCCAAAGGATATTCAATTGGATGAGGTGGGAAGAATATTGACTAAGCGGGAATTTTTCGTGATACCGCCTTCCTATCTAGGCCACCGGGCACAAATTCTGAAACCTTGGGAAAGTTTCCCCTGATCCATGGATTTACACCCGAACCCCCCGCATTGGCTGTTCCAAGGATCGTATGCATACCCCGAGAAAACGCTCGTGGTATGCGACCTAGCCCTTTTAATCCCCACATAGCTTTTATCTTTTGAATAGTCCCGAGGTCTCTTCTCACCTTCTTTCATATGGAACCTCGAACTTTACCCCACATCTGATTACTCTCCAGGGCTTCTATCATTGAGATACCTCTCAATCATGTTTATTGCGTTCAAAGCCCAGGACGGCCAAGAAGGTTTGCGTAACCCAAAGCATAAACGGCGAAGTGAACGACTCAGTCGACGGGGATCTACACCACGAGCTTGCACTTCGTGTCGCCGTCGGAAAATTAAATGCGATGGCGAGAAGCCCTGTGAAGCTTGTCGATGGTACAAGAAGCCTGACCTGTGTGGCTATACGGGACCTCGACCGTTGCAAAGGTAAACAAGAAAACTTGTAAAAGCTAGACCCAGGGTTTGAGGACACAAACTGATCAAATTAGCCAGCCGGAGAAATTGACAACACCCTCGCCCGACTACAAAAGCACACTTGAAAGGCTTTTTCCCGACACTGCCCCCGAGAACATCGCCCATTTTTCAAGGGATAAATTGTTAGATTTGGTGACCGCAGGCGGATCCCAATATTCTCAGCACCAAGATTCATCGATTGCTGCTGCGTCCCTAGACACCCACGACTCTGCATTGTCAGGAGAAATGCCTGGTCTGGAGTCACTACATACAATACCCGGAGAGCAACTTGACGAAACTCAGTGTGCTAGTGCTTCGGAATCAGTCGGACATATCTCAGACGACGTCAACGCATTATCCCTATCGGCTCGACACCCCACCTCATACCTAGGTGTTTCATCTATTCAGGCTGCACTGAAGGTCATTGCATGGCTCCATCCAGCAGTTAACTCATACTTCGCTCAGTCCTTGTCTAAAGACCAATGTTCGCAGCCAACCACCTCATTACCCCCATCGGGGACTGCACCTCAGTCTGACCCTCCACCCACGGAACTTCAAATGCTAGATGCGTACTTTGTCAACTTCCAGCCATTTGCACCACTTATAGACGAAGAAGCTTTTCGCACAACTTACATGCTTGGCCGTCGGAAGGATGATCGATGGCTTGCACTACTCAATATAGTTCTTGCGTTGGGAAATATTACAGCCGCAGGCGCAGATAACAATACCCACCGTGCGTATTTTGAGCGTTCAATGAATCACTTAAATCTTCGTTCGCTCGGGAACCCTAGCCTTGAAGTCGTTCAGGCCCTAGGACTCATGGGTGGCTGGTACTGTCACTATACTAGCCAGCCGAATCTCGCATACTCCCTTATGGGTGCATCGCTGCGGATGGCGGTTACTTTAGGTTTGCAGCGGGAACCTTCCGATATTCATTCGATACTCGACCCCAAAAAGTCCGGAATTCAGGAATTCAAACGTCGCGTCTGGTGGTCACTTTGTTGTTTGGAGACCTGGGGCCACGAAACGCTCGGCCGGCCAAGTATGGATTACTTTGGCCCGAGCATTACAGTCAATTTGCCTAGCCGGCTTGACAAGGTGCACATTCCCTGACCCTTTCTTTCCTGGTGAAAGACCCAGGCTCTCTTCCTAAATTGACTCTTGACAGGAATCTTATTTCGAGGTCCTCCCCTTGACAGAAAATGTCCAATTTGTGAAGGTTGCCTTGAAAATTCAAGAATCGTTAGCTGCGCTACCAACCCTATCGCACACGGAGATGTTCAATCTGGACTCGCAGCTTGTTCGGTGGTGGCATGACCTGCCGCCGGTCCTTAAGGATTACGAACCCTGTCCTGAATCACTATATGCAGTGCGTACTGTGATGCGTTGGCGATTCTACAATCACCGCATGTTACTTTATCGCCCAACTCTACTGAACTATGCAATGCGAAGAATTCCATTCATGGCCATTCGGGTTGAAGAACGCACCGCTATTCAGAAATGCCAGGAAATCGCAGCGATTTCCATCCAAGACATCTCCTCGATAACAAAATTGAATCAAATGATCGGTTGGAACGCTGTTTGGATGTTATTCCAGGCCACTATGGTTCCATTGATTTGTTTGTCCGCTGGTGTCGCAGATCACGATTCCGCTGCTTCATTCGAAGCTTGTAAGACGCAGGTTGAAACAGCTATGTTGGCCCTTGGCCGCATGAAGCCTTACGGGCACACCGCAGGACGCTCCCTCGAGGTGATCTCGGGAATTCTCGAGGCTAACCTTCATGGTCCCAGCGCAGGGCCGCTTGATGCAAGTGGAGATAGTCTCGACACCCAAAATTTCCCTCCTCTCAATGCTTTCAACACAGGCCAACAGATCACCCGCGATCGCGTCTCGGATTGGACTGCTACTTCATTTGAAACGATGTCGTCTCAGTACATGTGGGAGTATTTGAGCTGGGATCATAGCAATCTCTGGCCTGAGGTTTTTGACCTCAATACTCAGAATGAAGATGTGCCAATGTCTTTCCTGAACTCCCCTGGAGGAAATACGTGAGATATTGTCGCATTGCTCCAATGTATATAACCCTACCTCCCAAATAATACAAACAAATGTGCCATTCTTATGGATTAGGCTGGGTCTTTGAGCCTATTAACTCTTTTCACCTCGTTTATTAAGCCCTTGTGTAAATGGAGAAGGGCCACGTCAAAATGCATAGTGGAATGCAAATCCAATTGGACGTTGACAAAGCTAAGACAGGGGTGAGAGAAAACCAAAGTGATATCAACAATCGGATTCGCAAGGAAATGTAGATCCATTCATCTCAAGGCTCTTATTTGGATAATCTATCCTGTTTTCGAATATGTCGTTTTAGCGGATGTTGCACTCTTTCAGACTAACATAGATTTTCATCAAGTCTGATACATATAAACACAGCCGGTAATAAACCCTGGTGAGCAAACCATTGAGTATTTGCATAACGTGACTATGGTAGAATATTCGCAGTAATTAAAAATACACCATGCATGAACTGATCCTGAACTGGAAACGACTGGGTAGGATAACCTATGCACTCTTAACTTGCATCACCTGGTTCTCATTCTCAGAAACCAAGACCTGTTGTTTTTCTGTACTCTTCTTCCGTGGATTGGGGGCATCAAAGATCTCCGAGAGTTCTTCGAGGGTCCGATTGTTTGTTTCAACAGCGAAGAAGTAGATGAACACTCCCTGGACAATGTTCCAGCCAGCCAAAATGATATATGTGTGCCAGCCAATGGCGTCAATGGCATTTCCGACTCCGAACTGATTCACCAGCAAGGCGATATTGGTGAACACAGAGTACATGGCCATACCCTTGGCGCGAGTCTCGTATGAAAGACATTCGACGGCGTACATGGCTTGCAATGGAGTCCAGCCAAAGCTGAAACAAGCGCCGATCAAGAAGATGAACACGATAGAAGCAGTGGCCGCTCCTGGTGCCTCTGTTTTCGTGTACACCCCGGTTGTGGCTGCAAAACTCGCAAAGCAGATCTTTATATCCAGAAAGTTAGCAAGAACATTGATAAAAGTAGAACCACGTGAGACGTGTATACGTACACTGCAAGCAATAGAAGCGCCAATCATCATAGGTCTGCGTCGGATTTTTGGGCCCAAATAGCTTCCAAGATAGGCTAGGCCAGCAGAAAGAACTGTGTTGCCAAGATTGACGTCCAGCACTCGCGTCGTATCAGTGATACCAGCTGTCGCTAAAAGTCCGCCAATGTAGTAGGTTGTGACACCAGCCTGTGCCCACTGACTCATAAAAGATGCGATAGCCACACACAAAAGGCGCCATCTCGCAGCCTTTGTGTTAACAAGAGAACTAAAGTCCCATTGCTTCTTATCCGAGCCTTCAAGGTTAATCGCCTCTTCATATTCTCGGACTTGTAGATGAACATAGGAATTATCTCGGGAGCCCTCGCCGTGGTATTTGGTGATAACATCCCAGGCTTCCTCGCGGCGCCCATGGCTGTAGAGCCAGCGAGGTGATTCGGGTATAAACCAAACTGTTAACAGTACAATGCTGGACGAAATCAACTGACACCAAATGGGGATGCGCCACGCGAGGGACTCTCGAACCGCAGGCATCCGCGACAAGCACCGGCAGCAGCAATAGCGCCGATGAAGTACTGGCAATTGTATAAACCGGTAAGGATGTCACGGTATGCAGGATGGCTCATCTCGACGACGTAGGCGGGTGCGGCAGAGGAGGCCAAGGAGTATCCCCAACCTGAGATATGTTATTAACAACGCCATCCAAAATAGGCAATGCCGAGACACGTACCAAGGAAGAATCGGCTAGCAAGCAACTGATCCATGTGGTTGGCAGTACCACCAAGAATAGTACCCAGGATGACAGCACAGGATCCAGCAAACATGCCACACCGTCGACCCCAAGTATCCAAGATAACTCCGACAAACGGCAGCGCGCAGACACCTCCAATGGTGTACATTCCTTGAATCAAGGAGGCTTTAGCACCGACCAAGCCCGAGCCGAAGGTTTCACGAAACTGCGCTATAGGAAGCAGGGCACCCATAAGCGAGCCATCAAATCCTGAACTAGTTAGTGATGAATTTTCTATCAGCCCTCAAGCGTCTCTCTCGTACCGTTTACGGCTGAGCAAAGATATGCCACGGTCAAGAATAAGTATAGCTTCCTCATCTGAACGCTCCACGGCTTCGGGGGATTTTTCCGCCTGGCTATGTCGAGAGCCAGTGAGCCATGAACAGTCTCAACCTTGACGCCCTCCTTGTGTTCCTGGTGCATGGCATCGCTGGCACCTTCCTTCTCGACTATTTCGCTTGTATGTGAATTCTCTGCCATGATGCTGAAAAGGTCGTGTTCTCCACGCCGAGAGATGTAATCCGCGAAAAGAATGACTCAATTCATTGGGGAAAAGATGGCCGTGGCATGATATTTATTCTTGCAGTGCCGGAACTTGCTTTTCTCTCCCTCGTGGGCATGAAGTGGTACGTGTGTGAATGTCTCGGATGTCCTTAGCTGAAACGGATCTGGTCAAATTCCTTGGATTCTGTTTGTCCAATCATGAGAGTCTCTTCGGCTCCTTGGTGGGGATGGGAATTACCCCGAACGGGCGATCCAAGCCGATCGCTACCCAGAAAACCGGGGTAACTTGCCGGCAACTCGCCATCCACCGAAAATGACTCGGCTTCCTCCGCCTACTCCTCGACCAAAAAGGCAATACTCCGCCTTTTATTCCCCCGGATTGGCCTCGGGTCTTTCGGCCCCAATCACAATAGAAGCTCTCCGCAAAAATCATCTTGCGGATATGGAGCCGGAACTAGTAGGAAGTGACAGTCAAATGCCATTGCCATGTGATTTCTATTTCTTGCTTTTACCATCTAGCTCCTTTACTGCCATGTTATTAAGCGGAGAGAGGGCGATAAACGCTCCCGAGGTCGCAAACGGCTATCCTACATCGCTTCTCATAATATAATATTTATTTATTTCACCTAATAACTGACTATAGAACTGGGAGGGAGAACAATTATAAAGACGAAAGGGAAAGAAACCCACGGATTGAGCTACTAGCGAAATACCGAGAGAGAGGAATATATATCCTTTCGGTTTGAGATAGACGCCTCAATAATTATTAAATTAAGATTGTAATGAAGTCAAAACCAGCCCAGTCACCTATTATGACAAGTAGAAGGTGAAAATTTATTCTGCACAAAAGGCCTCACGAGAACTCAGAGGCGATGTTTCTCCCGCAACACACCGGAGTAGCTAACATCACAGTTTTTTCCACTATGTAGAGAGATGGTCCTACAAGAAGACTCTTCTATTTTCAAATTGCAGTCATGTCACAACTAAAAACTCGGATTGTCTCGCAGCCCTGGTTCTAAAATGGTTGAAAGAGACTATTGACCCAGGTAACGATACCCTAACGGTGGGTCACTGTCACTTAGCCCTGTAATCTCTACTATCTGCTCATCTCCCGGAACAATATCCATAGCGCTGTCGCTGATCCGCACATTCTCCCGCTCTTCAAAGACAAAACATTTCACCGGCTTCTGTGAACTGATCACCAGGAGCTGTTGTCCAGCTGAAGCTCCTGGCTGCGTCCTCACTTCTAGTCCACGATCAGAAAAATCGAGATACTTCAACGGCTGTGGCCAGTCGACGTCCCTGGCCACAATCTGACCGTCTATCCATAGCCGTGCGGCCAGAACATGTGGTTCGGGCTGGGTGACATGATCAATGATCCCACTTGTGATCTCGGAAGTACCATTGGCTGAAATAGTGACGTTCTCAAATACAGCCGGGGCGCGCAGATCCTTACCGGTCACCACCGATAAAAATCGTAGCTCGACGGTTCCATGCAGCACGTCCTGTCGGTTGCTAGCAACCCACACCTCGTACTCACTCTCTTTGGCGGGTTCTGCGTGCACCACACTCCAGTCGTGGTGGGCACGTCGTACACCGATCACGAGTGGTTGCATCACTCGCTTAACTGTGTAATACGCAGGTTTTGGCCGCAGGAAGTAGTCCACAATTGCCCACGAGATCGTGGGCCAGCAGTCATTTAACTGCCATAGCAGCGCTCCACCACATTTTCGATCATCACCCCATTGGCGGCGCCATCCACGATATCCGAACATCATCGTCTCTGCTTGGACGACCTGTGTGAGGTAGATGTATGTCTAAGTAGAGTGTGAGTAATTTTCTTCTTTCTTGATAGTTCAATCGACCGGGATAAACAACAAACCTCTAGATCAGTGGACATGCGTAAGTTTTCCACTAGATAGGTCGCCAATCGCCTCTCGTGTCCATCCGCCTTGTTGTGGAAGTCCATAACTTGTGACTGTGGGTGCTTGTCTTTCTCGTTTTCAAGGAAGTACTCGATCGTCGACATATGCGGGAAGGCTACCATCCCAAACTCGCTATTAAAGCGCCCTCCCAAGACGTCAAAGATCTGATATTTCTCCTGCGTTCCATGCCATACTATAGAGCCGTCAGCCAGAATATTCGATTGAAAATCCCATTGACAATACTTTTGGGAGCTGGGTTGGCTGACCATTCCATTGGTGTATATCTCCCACAGTAGGGTCGGTTGTGACCTTTCCATCGCCCCATGGGCTTCCCGGATGGTAGAAAGTACTCGGCGAGTACTCGGATACTACTTCTGGTAGTTGCTTTTCGTAAATGTAGCGTGCGGGGAAGTCGGACTTTAACCAGCTTTCCGGGTCCTTATCTTCGTAGTTGTAAGTGAGTCCGGCCTGCTCCTGGAGTTGATAATCTTCATTGTTCCCAACATAGATCACTATTGAAGGACGATGTCTCAATCGGCGAATGTTAAAGACTGTCTCCTGTCGTACAGACTCTAGTAGCTCTGGCCATACTGGGTAGTTGCCGCAAGCGAACATAAAGTCTTGCCATACTAGGACGCCAAGCTCATCACAAGCGTCATAGAAAGCATCGTCTTCGTAGATCCCGCCACCCCATACTCTGTTTCAAGTGATTGTTAGACGTTCCCTAAAAGTAGATTCTGTTCTAGCATACCTGGTCATCACTTGGCCACCCGCCACCATTAGCTCGATCCATTTACGGTATCGCTCTGCGCTGACACTAGGTAGTAGGCTATCGGCAGGGATCCAGCAAGAACCCCCACAGAAAATGTCTACTCCGTTGATTCGGAAAAAGAATGACTTTCCATGTTTATCCAGCTGCTGAATGACGTCGGCGGACCGAATGCCGAATTTCCTGGACACATGGTGTAGCTCGTTTCCATCGCATAAGAGTGATACTGACACTTCATACAAGGTCTGAGAGCCGTAGCCATGTGGCCACCACAGTTCGGGATTGTCGACCTCAAAAGTGGCTTGGGGACTTTTCTCGGCGTTTATGGGAATATCCTGGCAGGCGATTTCGTGTCCACCTAGAGTCAAATGGAAGCGAGCGACACAGTCTTCCGGATTAACCGCATAAAGTTCAGCAACTGCCGTAACGCTCGCCGTTTTATGGTCAGCAGCGAGGCTTGTTTGTGGCCATAGGTCTTCCACGCGTGCAGAGTAGATTTCCAATCGCACCTCACGCCAGATACCAGCTGTCATGATGACTGGTCCCCAATCCCAACCCCAATGGTATTGAGCCTTGCGCACGCCTAAGCGAGCCATGTCTCCGAACATGCCTTCCCATTTATGATTCGGGTCCTTCTTTCGTAGCTCGGTTGCTTTGAGCTGGGCGCAATCGAATTCGATATCTAGAACATTTGTGCTGTCGGATGACCCCAGGGCCTCTGTTATATCCACACGGTAGCCCAGGAACATATTGCTGGACTCGAGGATGACCTCGCCGTTGAGTTTGACTGAGGCAATGGTATCCAAGCCGTCGAACACCAGCGCCACGGTTGCACCAGCAGGGATTTCCGGTCGTTGAAAAACGTGTCGATATACCCATGACTTCTCGTTGACCCAGCGCGCCTTGAGTTCATTAAAGCCTAGGTAAGGATCCTCGAGTCTGTATAATAAAGAAACATCAGTCAGCCAAATTCAGGTTTATAAGGTGGTTGAGTCCCCGACTTTTTATTTGCAATGAGATCCTGCTGCACCGTGGAAGGCACTGTCGCCACGGGCATCCATGCATCCAGTGTCTCGTCATCTCGGTCCTTGAATGTCCAATCGGTAGACAGGGGTTGCTTGAAGAAAGCCATGTTCGTGGTTCAAATGGAAGACAAGTTTCTTACTGGTGTTTCATGGCACATTCAAGTGAGAGCAGTTTCAGAGAGCGTGAAATGAGCCAATTTATACCAGTAGTGGACAACTGGGGCCATTTCTGTGCAGTTAAACCATTGAGCTTGGAATCTGCAGAGAATGAACCATGCGCACCTGAACAGGACGTAATCATCGTCCTCTCGATACAATATCTTCATGTTGTAGAGGCCGCAGGGCGATCTCTAGCACATGCTGCCCCACCTGCAATGTAGATCGGCCGAAAATGTCACGCTGTGACCCCTTTTATTCCGTCAATTGCCTATTTGAGCCGACAGTGGGCGGGAGTCCGATTGAAACAGGTAGCCCCGAAGAACTCCGCCTTTTGATATATCGCATGTGGTCCAGTTCACCTCTACACCAACCCGTAGATCGTGTCCTGACACATGTTTAGCAAGCTGGGCTTCTTCAACCTGATCTTGAGGACTCTTTCCAACATTAGATGTTTGATCCCACGGATTCTGCCGTCTGCTACCGCAGAAGGGATGCACACCTGGGTAATCCCTTACCAGAGACTTGATCACCAACTCCTTTCTGGCCAGACAATGACCTTTGTACCTAAATCATTGAAAATACCGCATTTTCGGTTCTTGCGGTCAAATCCTTACAAACCCCAGTCTACCCCGGCTAATCTTCTCCGCGCTTCTCAATATATCGGAGAGGAGCGCGTACCCCATTATAACCCCAAGCATTTTTATCCTATGCAACTCCATATGATTCTCGCCAATAGATATCAAGTGGCTACTAAAATTGGGTAGGGTACCAGCTCCTCAGTCTGGCTAGCCAAAGACCTTCACTAGTAAGTCCTACAACAATACGACCTGTCTAGGCTTCCGCAGAACCCATTTTGGGTCGGAACCTTCGACCCAAAACCCAACCCAGACCCAACCCGGACCCAGTGACTGGGGCCCCAGAAAACCCAGTTTATGCCCAGTTTGACCCAGTTTTTGCATAAAAAGGGGTCTTGGCGGTCATAAAGCTACAAATCAGCAGAATTATACACATAATTAGCGTGTTTGTATAGTTTGTAACCCAATTTGGGGCCCCAGACCCAGTTCTGGGTTGGGTCTGGGTTTTACTGGGTCGTGCGGAATACTAGACCTGTCCTTCTTCTAACTTTCAAGGTGGCGCTGGCTTCCTCCACATTATGTTACGATAAAGGCTAATGCAAACAATTACACATATAGAGAATCTGCCGAAAGGGAGTTAAGAATCATATAGCATATAACACGAGTAAATCCAGCCGACAAAGGCCGGTACTTTGTCCGTACTTTGCTAGACTCATTTGACTTACTAGAGCCGCACGGCAACCATATCTGCATGGCCTTTGTGTTTATTTCAGGGGTCATATATGGAAGAGAATACATATATTGGCAGCCGTAGAAGATGGATTTAACCTTCTTACCTAGGTATGCTACGTACTAGTAAGACACTCTAGGGACAAACTCTAAAACGCCGGCTTATCCATGGATAGACGCCCGCGCAGCGGCCCCGAGTTGCATTACATAAACTTTCCTATTTGAGACCACGGTGGGCGGAAGTTCCGATCGAGACAGGTAACTCCGAAGAAACTCCGTCCAAGTATTTACACATTGTCAACTAAAGAAACAATTTTAAAGAATGATGCATATCGTTTGGTCTGACGCCTTATCTTTTCCCGTACCATTTACCTATGCTGTCTCATAGACATCCTCCTCGAGTCCATCTCCGGCTCACCTTGTTGTCTACTTCCCTGTTCAATTGTGAGACCACATTCGTCTCCTTTGAGCTGTAGTGAAAATTTTGAAACCAGTGTTGTACCTGAAACTACATCCGCTTAACGTAGAAAGATCTACACGGAACGAATGAGGAGAAAAACGGGTTTGCGTCCTCCTATTTCCCAAATTCACGCAAAATGCGAGTGAACTCCTCAATATACTATAAAGCGAGACATGAAACAAGATGATCCTTTCCAATTCTCGCACGGGAAGAAGGGGCAACAAGTCTATCATACGGTCCTGTTGATTCAGATGTGAAAATATACATGATGTCTGTGGGTATCAATTCACCATTATAAAAGGAAGCCACTGGTCTCGAAATCTTTGAAGCATCACAAATCCACCACCCAATCAACCAGCAAACAAATTCATTCTTTTCGCCTTGTTGCAAGATGCAGCTCCTCTCTCTTTTCGCCTCTTTGGCTCTCGTGTCTGCGGTGGTCTCATCCCCGGCAGCGGGCTTGAACTCAAACGTGGCCCGCGCAGATGACCGGGGCAGCTACATCGTTCCTGGGCTCGGAGATCGCAAGAAGGACATCTTGAATGCTGGTGGCAATACTCGTGACATGGCTATTGCCATGTTGGAGACGTGAGTTTACTTCTTTGGCCACTGTGCTGGATAAGCTAGCTTACAACTACTAGCAACAAGATGGCCACAGATTACACATATGGTATGTCCAAATGTTAGCCAGCGAAACTAGCAGCGGTGCTAACACTCATACTTTAGGTGATGGAAAGACCGGCGACGGCACCAATTTCGGCGTGTTCAAGCAGAATTGGTACATCCTGAGACATTCTGCGTCTGAATTCTTGGGCAATACCGTCGACGAGGTCAAAGATGGTGCTATTCTCAAGTAATTTCTGGTGTGGTTAACAGACCTAGATATATTTGGCTAATGCTCGAGCGCTAGTTCGGATCTGTCAAAGGACATCAAGGCTCGTCATGAGGGCGAGAAGCACTACGGGTATGAAACTTGGTTCAGTGGCCACCGCAATGGAGAATCGGGTATCAACAACCCGGGCACGGCCGACATCAATGGTGAGTTTCATCTGATATGATCCTCTAGTTCGCAGATCGCTTGGCTGACTTGTCGACAGCATACATCAGTGGGGTGGCATGGATTCAAAAGCAGATTGAGAGTGATGACAAGTACCAGAGCGATGATACTCGCTTCTGGGTTGATGTCGTCGCCATCTAGACAAGTGGTGAAAACCTTGCGGCAGACAACTACCTTCTGAAATAAGGCTGTGCGCTCTATACTATGTGATGTGCTTTTCAACCGTGACAGTCATCTCTTGGGACATTTGACATTCTTTTCTTTCACCCGCTCGGGCGATATTGTATTTTAACTCTTGTTATCTGAGCTTTAGATGTGAAGTTTTCGCATGAATACACTCCTTTAACAAAACTTTTATTATTCCTTGTGAGGTAAGATTGGGTTATATACTCCGCATGCATTCCTTAGGCTTGAAGTGGACGGGGGAGAAAGGAGAAAGAGAGAGGGGAGACAGAAAGAAGGGAGAACGAGAGAGATAGTACGAAGACGTACAGCGCTCGGGGTTCAAGCCGGATATAGGGAAGCTAGAACGGGGCGGGCGGTTTGTCTACACGGGCTCGCTAAACAGACCCCCGAACGCGCTACTTAGTACGTCGAAACTGCTAGAAAGTAACTATAAGATGTACGGATCGAAGATAAATAAGTACCTAGGTAATATATAGAGGAAATTCCCGCGACTAGCGCCAAAATATACTAGGTGAGATTGCTTGAAAGACCCATTGTTGGTATCCGAGATATTGCGTCGGACTCCGAGGCAAGTCCATTTCCTATCTAGGCTATGGTAGCCGATTGTCACCATTGCCGTATATCTTGTTAGTTTATAGGCCATTAGTCCATCAAATAAGGAGGATAGGCATGAGAGAGAGGATCTAGAGGATCTACTATGAAATGTAGGATACTCTGGAAAATCTCTTGAATGCGTAGAGAGAGGAAGAAACTATCTACAAGCTATCTGAGATTAAAGGCTAGGAGCAAACAGAGTGAGGGAGTCATATGATCTCTGACACTGCCACTAGTTGAAGTCAAAAGAGATGAACACTTTCATACTATTGTTGGCAGCAGATTGATACGCAAACCCAGCTGCGTGTTCGTGTAAGAATCACTGCCGATGTTTAAGGCAAAAGCGTCCATTCCTACATATTAGGCGCGCTCCATATCATCGTTATAGTCGCTGGCACTCTAGCGGTTGCTAACGATGCCAATCTAACGAAAATTAATACTATATTCATGATTCGATAGGGGATGCCGGAGTGCCATGCCATAAAGTGGCAGAAAACAAGCTTGTTTCTATAGTTGTCATCACAGCTAGCCGTGGTAGTTTATTTAGTTGGGGGCGAGGAAGCTATAATGAAGGGAATGTGGCCTAGTAGGGCTATCATGGGTCCCGGTAGTATGAGGTTTGGAATGGATGGATGCGTGAGTTAGTATAGGATCATAACGAAAGCTCGTAGTGAAAAGAATAAGGAAAAGACAAAGAAAGAGAAAAAACACTATGAGTTCGCGATCTTGATATACGTATTTGATTAAAAAGCGCACTGCCTATATTCTCGCTCACTTCTTAGGTGCATTTCTAGAAAATAGATGATAAACGTTCCTTGTAACCGTAATGAGGAATTTACTATAGAGGAGCACCCTAGAAGTCGAATACCCTATACGAAAACGACGCTGACTTCTGGAAAGAGTACTGGACATTTTTACTAAACAAGCCAAGTCCACTTCAACGGGCCCTTGCGTTGACGCAATGGGCGGGCAGTGGCGACATATGGTTCAAACGCGAAGATCTAAATGGCTACACAAGCTAGAGTAGATATGATATTGTTGGCCAGATCCTGTTGGCGCGTCAGATGAACAGAACGGAGATTATCACATGAAACAGGAACCATGCACATTTAAACCATCCTTTAGCCTCGAGTTGGCTGCTCTTTTCTGCGGCCTTTGTGCCATCAATTTTGGAGTCACTACTGGAATTTCCACCGACAACCCCTGACTACTTTATTTCCAATTGCTTTAACAACGTATCAAAAATTATATGTGTTGACTTCCGGCTCTTAACAGGGTTCCTTGGTACTGCGATCTTCAGAAAATAATCTACCACGGCTCTCATATTCTGAGTGAGTTGAAAAAAGATATCCGCCAACCGGGATACATGGTCCCTATCCTCATTTGCGTCTTTTAGGGCAGCCTATATATTACATAGTTCTCGTCCGAATTTGGTCTGGGCTCTTTCCGCCTGGACTGCCCGGGTGTCGGCGAAGAAATTCCTATTCTCAGATTAGATGGGGCTTCCGAGGAATCCTGTAAATATCGCATTTAACCATAGTGTTTTGGAATGGCGGGCGGATAGTGAATTATGACAAAAATATGCCTGTATGACAATGTATGATTACCATGAATATGTATGACTCTTAACTAGAATGACAAAAATCCGCTTTTCCAATCTGTGCGGACAAGGTTACTAAACATATTATACACTTTTGTCTGGAGCATGCCAATCTGCTGTCCGAAGATTTTTCGGCTTTCAATACCCTGTATTTCCACCATAGTATTCGACAAATTACGTTAGGGCTTGGCATTTGATGCCTGAGTCCATGATTTCCAGTGAGCCGGGTTGTAACAAAATAGCCATAGAGCTGGGGGGGGTGCTGGGTTATTAGCAAATGCATGTGAAATTAGAGGGTAGTAGGGATATGACGATGTTTGGCTAGTCAATTTCAATACAGGTTAGACCTCAGCCCGCGGGTATACCCGTCCGGGCTGTCCGTGGTGGGCCACGGGCCGACGGTGGACCCTGATTACGACCGCCAAGACCTTTTGGCGTTAATGCAGGGGTCGCGGTTTGCTTATTGTTTTAAAATGACCCACGAAGACCGTACATAAGTAGTCTAAAATATGTACTTTTACGTAAAATTCAAATTGTTAATTTCAAACCTCAGTTAATAATCAAGGTAGATCTGTTACCCCCTATTTTATAAATATATATTTTTTAATGGATATTATTTTACGACATTCAGAGTCGCGGGTTGAGAGGTCAGACATATCATATGGCCGGGGCGCGGGTCCGCGATAGTCCGGATCGTGCCGAGGTCTAGCCGAGGGGTCATGGGTGACGGGAATCTTGGTATAACCCGGCCGGCCTAAATGCCTGCCCCGTAGCGAGGTCTAACACCTCTCTGGTCCGAGGACGGTTATTAACGAGCAAACTTAGCCCCTCTTTTCGGGAAAAAGGATGACGGAAATACCAAGATCGATATGAATAATTCGCTTGTTTGCTCCTCTGTAGATCAAAAAGATGCGAATCGGCTTCTGATTCATTGTGAAACTCAAAATATACATCGGCCAGTAAGCTTCGCCTATGCTTCTTGACTGGCAGCTGGACTCTTATTCTAGGAGGGCTCAGGGGCCACGAAACAAAAAGACCACCCCGCCTATCATACTAGCCACGAAAAGCACTGTCAGAATTCCAGCTCCTGCTCTATCTGCCGTTGTGACAGGGGGCAATTGTGCAGGCCCCGAACTTTCCCCAGTACCAGCACTCGGGTCGCTTGTGCCGTTTCCTCCTGTTGCTGTCGAGACTGGTTTTGAGGATGAGTCGAGGAATTTCACCATAATAGCACTCATCATCTGACTACCACTGATTGCATTCTCCATTGAATTTTGTCCATCGTACCCGCCGTACCACCAGCGGTTACCACAGAGGTTTTGGCCATTGCCGGTGCATGACTTTGCAGCGCCCTCGGCAGAGACTTGAAGTTTTGGTAGGATCTTCTCCTTAAGGGAAGGGATGATCAATGCAATATCTGCAAGCCATGACACTGTAAGGCCTTTGAAAATTGGCCAATTCGCGTCTTTATAGCATTGGCCCGAAGGTTCGCACCGGTCTGTGATCACACCTCCGTATTCAGGTAGGAAAAATGTAGTAAACAATGACTCCATCAGGCTATTTGTGATGTTAAGCCACTTACTATCGTTCGTCTACAACGAGGTGTGTTATTAGCATATTAAACCAGGATATATAGTTTTGGGTTATCAAAGGGGTGGGAGACAAAAGAAGAATACTTACAAGGGCATACATATAAGCAGCACCAGACAGATAGGTACCATAGTTGTAGGTCCACCGGGTGCTGTCAGGAAGGCCACAGCCATCGGGCCCCCCCGAGCCTGCCCTAACACTATCTGCCACCGCCCAGGTTTTATTATCGACCAAATTCACAGTGGTAGACCAGTCCCAGACTTTCTCAGCCCATATAGCGTACTCTTCCTCTTGGGTATACCAAGCGAGACGCGCTGCAAGCATAAAAAAGCCACCGTTTGACACTGCGTTCTTCATAGTATAACCACTTTGCCACACATCTTTCTGCCAGCGAAGGCCACCTCCGCAAATACTTGTGTCCCACCCCCCTCCCTGTGGACTTTTCTGGTTATAGAAAACACGCTCAGCAAGGGTGAGCCAGGTGTCACCACTTGGACGATTCGGCAGTTTGTATTCTGCTGCTGTGATCGCCGCGAGGCCCCAGAACATTTGATCATCATTTCCCTATAGAATAGTTAGAATGGTGGCTACATATATTGAAATGGACACTTACTACGCCTATCGCCCACGAAGGCATATAGTCTCCGCCCGAACCCCCCTGATGTTGCAACGAGACGCTGACTTCTTCGTTATAGGTTGTGTCGTTAGTAGCATGCCAATAATTAAGACATGCCAGAAACAAAGCAGCCCCTTCCCACCAGGATCTTGAGATGAAACCCGGGTTGTCTGTCCCATTTCCTTTGTACCATGTCATCATGTTGTAGGCGGCGGTGCTCCCGGCATCTTTGATAGATTCTACTCATTGAAAAAACAATGTAATTAGCAATTCAGCCATTAAAACGATAGGATATATATGCTGGACATCCAATCTCTTACCCTGGTCGTCAACATTCAGGTCAAGCGCGTAGACATGGCTGGTAAACGGTAGAATGTGCAAGGCCACTATGGCCATATGCCCGGCACCTTGAAACATCATTGCGCTCAGTATGATCGAAGTGGCCAAGAATAACTGAGGGACCAAATTTCTTCGCCGGTGCTGCGTTGAAGCCAAGGATTTTGTTGGAACCTAGATAAGGAGACGGTTTAGCCTGGAAGCGTGCGAGGCGGCGAAGCATCGAGCCGATTTCATTGGAGTAACCCAGGGAAGCGAAACCAATGGAGAGGGGAAGCTAACCCCACTTAAGGATTCTCTTTAAACCGAACGATTCGCTAACTATTTATAGCATACAGGGCCTTGACGGTAACTATCACTCGCTCACAACCGATTTGTATCTACAATTCTGGGTCGTGACCCACAGATCTTCTACACAATATAACCATACAACGAGACAACGATATCTTGCGGGAACACAAAGTAGTTCATTGCACTTCGCCAGGCTGATTATAGCTAGCCCGATGGGCGGCGGAGGACGCTGCACGGATGACTAGGCCGCCTAAAGACCAATGCAACCATTCCAAGGGTCCTGCATAAGCGACAGCTTAGCGTAAAAGATAAGCATCCTAGCTTCCGTTTTGGTCAGCAGCACTAGTCACTGCAACAGGAGTTAGAGCCTTTCTTGCCAAGAATTTAATTCTAAGGATTTGCCTCAATGCGTGCTCCATTGCACCGGGGGTGGGGGAAGAACGAAGAACGACACAAATCTATTTAATTAAGATGAGCTTGTGATAAGCTATGGCTGTTGAGTTTGTTGCCGAGGCCTGTTTTGGGGCGAGGTCTGTTTGGGGCAGGGGCCTGTTCAGGGATGCCTTACAGAGTAACTGAGCCGAACTGATCAGGCCTGTGGCCTTACAGGGGTGATCTGAAATAATTGCCGCGCAAACTGCGCTATATCCGGTTTTACTTCGCCTTTGATCACACGTGGTTCACTTTCTTTAGTTGATTTAGGCATAGTGAGTGGATAGAAATAACCCCAAGAAGATAGGGAAATGAAATTCAGCCTTTTCGCTGTGAAATGCCCGATTGGTGTGGTGCACTGGAAGGCACTAACAGTATGTCGCCAAAAGACCCCTGTCATATCGATTACATAAATTCACTTTGCTAACTATTCAGAGAAGACCTATGTTCTACAGGCAGGTATGTTGTGTGATGCCGTTTTTTGAATTGTAAGCGGAGAAAGAGGGTTCACGCCAGGCAAATACAGATAGCTTCAAGAGTAAACAATATAGGACAGGCTTGGGGCAATTCTAACAGCTCTCTGCTGCCTAGGACTTGTGTCCGAACATGATGGGGAAAACATATGTCAACGTCCTTGCTCACTCTCCATATCCTCAATAGCATCCGCCCGCTGTACACGAGTAGGGATTACAGCAGCTCTGTGCAGTTTTGCCGCAGGCATAGCCTTGCGCAATGCATGCCTATGGATGACTTAGTTAGATAAAGTGACAATATGCCAACCATGCAGCGATACACGTACTCTTTTTTCAAACCCGTTCAATTCATTCTCCTGATGAGGGCCAGATACACCAATAGCTGAGCCAACAAAGGTCAAAATAAGGAGGCTGAGGAGCGGCATATTCTCGTCTTATGGTGGTGCTTGTGGCTTTTGCTACTCAGTGTCTTTGGGATGAAGAGTACTGATCGAGCAGGGTATTGGCAGATTATTTATAATAATTTCATTCTCGCTTCAGCTGTCCTTGAGGGAGGGGGCTGTGGTTCCATTGCATATCACTGCAACATGGCGCTGTCAATATCGTGATTACGCCGCGTATTTATTATTTCCGCATGAAGCGCAGATTATCTTCAGGTTATCTTTACTTTCTTTGGAAGCGGGCTACGGGCTATAATGGGGCCTTGTGCTTGGATTGAAATATCTGTAAGCAAATCAATTAATTGGACATGAACGCAATCATTCTTCAATTATAGGTGTTGAAGCTACTAGCTAGGGAGAGAGAGAAGAAGAAGAGGAAACATGATCTATTCAATCTATCTGAAGCAGGGGATTTATACCCTGCCAAACAAAGAAAGACAGGCTTAGTCTGCAAACAAATGGAGGCATCAATGAGATGACTAGACAAAGGCATCAATGGGATGGCCGACATTGTCCAACAATAGGTTAAACGACATCAACCAAAAAAGAAAATAGAAAAAAAATTCAGAACTCAATCCGGATATAGTGTTCAAAGCAGATCCCGCAAAAAGAGTTAGATAAAGAAAAACAATAATGAGGAGCCAGTGAACATTGATTTAAGCAGTCCTTTGGGCGAAGAGTGTTCAACGAACATACCCTTCTCCACTCAACTTCAAGACCACGTGAATTTGCTAATACTCTCCACCCCCAGATACCTGTTTACTTGGGACGCATGCTCGCACACCGCGGCCATGAAACAAAGAGATTAGAAGGAAAAACGGGGACAAGAAAGCAAAAAGTACAGTGGCTACCATTTGATTGACCCCTCTCACTCCGTTGCCTTCATATCCTTGATGATTGGTCTCTTCGTCTCCATCTCGAGCCCGGGCCGAGCCGTATTCCCCCGCTGTAATTGCTCGGTTTGACGTACACGTAGGTCATTCCTGGATAGTTAGGGCTCCTACTAACTAACTAGTTAGTTAACTGGTTGGTTCATGACCCACTCTTAAGATCATGGACCCTCTTGCTTCTCGTCTATTCCTCTCGATTTAGTCCCGTGTCTTTGTCTCGCAACATAATGCCTGCCTCTCCAGCTCTCTTGAACGCAAGAATTCTGGTGAGAGACGTCCCAGATTCGAAAGATGAAGATTAATACTTACTGCTCTGTCTCTCATAGCTATCTCCTGATCAAGCCTTTTCGTCCTAATGAGAAGAAGCCAGGTGGGACGGGGGGCCAGGGGGGAACGTAGCAGCGAGAGTTGATTGGAGGCAAGAGCTGTTTGGGGCCGAGGTGCTTTTAGGGCTGCTTGCTCTACGAAGTAACTGGGCCAAATTGATCGAACCACCGCCTAACAGGGGTGGTCTGAAACAGAAATCTCCCAATCAGCCAAAGAAGGCGTAATCAACATGATAATTTCCGAATTCGAGGGAATATAGCCGCATATACAAAAGACTATGGTATATTCTTCGGTCCAGTAAAGTCACAGTCATAGGCCTATGGGGTATCCACTTCGCTATTGATTTGTATAATGAAGCTCCGCAATACTCAGGGCTTCTGAGGCCATGCAGTGCTACGCTGTTTTACTACGGTAGTATATTGATTGAGGCATATATACACATATCCGTAGATCCCAGCAACCTCACGCAGGGATGAATCAACATAATACAAGAATCCTAGAGGCAGTCTACGTAAGCCTTACTGGTGAGATGGGGTAGCCAAATCAAAGGTATAAAGAACCTCTTCTCCCTATTTGTTCTTTCCTCATTAAGTCGATCTCAAGCCACCTGCAACCAAAGATAAAATGAAGTTCTCTGTTCTCTTCCTCGTCGGCGCCCTCGCCGCTATAGTCAACGCTGCTGCTATCGCTAAGCCTACTGAAGGTCTCGAGAAACGCTGCACCGCCGGTATGTATTCCTAGGAGTCGGAGGGAAAGATAAGCAAGAATCTAGGCTGATGGGACACAAGAACACGGCTTGTGCCATGTTAATAGTGATTGCTGCTCCGGAAATTGCTTTACCCACACTCAAGGTGGTAACTGCATCCCCGCATAAACCTGAATAAGTATGATTTTGGTTGCTTTACCAATCTTTTCTTTGGGAGTGGTGGTGCTGATGGCGAATAGGCATTTGTTGGCGGTTGGGTACGGTAGCACTTGGAAACTTTCATGATTGTTATAGCTCAGCTTCCGAATTGAAGTCCCAACAGGAACGGGAACCTAATTCCCCAATCTCATGTCTTAAGAACAGGTCGTGATCTAAACCAAGTTAGTACATGGTGATTCTAGGTAAATTTGTAACGCATAGTGATACTTTACCACCAGCAAGTGATTTGTTGCATGAGAACCCGCATTTCCTCTGTTTTTGTATGTAAAGTTGGTCAAATTTGCAGCTCTGGTGTTATAACCACCAAGTATCGGCGTATTCAACGCATTGGCTTGAGGGTATTCCAACCTGCCCTCGATCGCATGCTGCTCTCGTCGGCTATAGGGAAGTATCTTCTGTGGCAACAGTATCTATTCTTGTTGCGATATAGGGCTGGTGTAGATAAGAAACAAAGCCGCAACATTGGAAATAATTCTCGATATGTCTATACGAAGAACCAAGTTGATTGAAAATCAACTTGATCTTCCCGTTTTATATATAGCCTCCCTCATTTCCTCTGCGATATGAAAGAATCAATCTTCCTTTGAAGGAGGTAAAAACAGTTCTGATGCTTTGAATGGCGAAAATGCGATTTACATATTGAAGTTGGTGGCTTGGGAGGGCCGTGAAGGACAGTATTGTGCAGTACCTTAAGATTAATAGTCATTGTGCTGCGTCCTGTTCTACGGGATATCTTTACGATATATAAAACGCACATTTCGTGACGCCCTTCCCCGTGTGAATTCTACATACAGTAAAATTCAGAAAAAGATTCACCCCTCGGGCACTCACAATTTGTTTCTCGGCTGGTACTCAAAACGAACCAAAAGCCAGGCTTAGTCGTAATCAAGCACCACCTTGAAATGGGCCAAGTTTTACCCCCTAGTCTCTGTTTCTGAATTTTACTCTATGTAGAATTCACACGGGTAAGGGCGTCACGAAATCTGCGTTTCATATATCGTAAAGATACCCCGTAGAACAGGACGCAGCACAATACTTTGTCCTTCACAGCCGCAGCGTAATTAATTGGAAATACTGTTGTAGTAGACCCTCCCATCACCAATATTACGACACTGAGCGCAACGCTTACATTAGGCAAAAGTTACCTATTTATGGGATAAGACGAAACGCCTTGTGTCATCTACAATAAGCCTTTTGCAATAGCTTGGTCCTGCGAATTCTGGCATGGATTAAAAGTAGCCATCTGAAGATGTTTTAAGTTTTGTCTGCGCGCCAATGTTCAGGAGCTCGATTGAATATTCAATCCCAGCTTCTCGCCCTGTCTGTAGCGCACTGACACTTATCACTATTCAGCTGTTTACGTTATAAGTCTCTCCCACACAAAACCTCGTACATACGACCATAGGGTGTGGAAAACAGGGCTTCCCGTCCGCTCAGCCGTACTTAAGCCACACGCCGGTGAGTTAGTAGTTGGGTGGGTGACCACCAGCGAATCCTCACTGTTGTATGTTTTTATTTTTATTTTTATTTTTACCCCATAGTCTCGGTCCTCTGCACGGCAGTTATCGCTGAGTGCGGGTTGGGGGTTAAGTTTAACTTTCTTGGAAATGGCGGGGAAAATGACGACAGTGACAATTCCCCATTATCCCCTCTCGTTGGGGAAGTATTCCCCGGGTATTGTGATATGTTGACTTGGCGCCACGCCACAGGGGTGATCCAATCATCTCCAAATATCTCTTTGTTGCCACTACCTTTCCCAAATACGCCCAATTCCCCGCAAACTGTATCCCTGACAAACCAATGGGCAGCATAATCCATCCCCACCCCCGTGGGGAAATAGGCTTCCGCAGTCAACCGCCGATCATTCTTGGGTCCTGTGGTGGTAAGATGAATTGACGCAGTGTCGATTGGCACATGGCTATAAAACACCACCAATCACCCGTGAAGGACCCTCTTGTTGACTCTTCACATCTTCTATCCCCATAATTGCCTCCACTATTCTGAGATTCCTCACACTAAGATTTACAACGAACATGAGTCTTGACAAAGAAGACAAGCAATTGGAAGATATATCCAAGGATTCTGTCGAGCAGATAGAGCATGTCGAACCTTTAGACTATGTGAAAGATCAGTCTGAGCTCAGCAGCATTGAGGCAACAGCTGCCTCCAAGACAGCTTGGCTGATCTCCATTGTCGTTTCCATCGGCGGTCTCTTGTTTGGTATGTTAACTATGCTACCGCGAGAGATGATTGTCTAACGAGCAGTTGTCTAGGCTACGACACGGGCTATATCTCCGCCGTTCTAGTCACAATTGAATCATCCCTCGGCCATGTCCTTACCTCGAATGAACAAGAAATGGTGACATCCCTCACAAGTGGCGGCGCTCTGGTTGGCGCAGTAGGAGCTGGTCTCACTGCCGATCGATTTGGTCGTCGTTGGCCCATTTGGGGGGCCTGCCTGGTATTTGTGATTGGAACTATCCTTCAAACATCCGCCTTTTCCGTCAGCCAATTTGCGACCGGAAGATTTGTTGTGGGTCTTGGGGTAGGAAGCGTATCTATGATCGTTCCTCTCTATAGTAAGTTTCTTCCTTCCCAAGTCACTGTCTCAATGGGCTTACCAATCCATAGTTGGTGAGCTAGCGCCTGCGCAATACCGTGGCCGCATGGTTGCGTTCAACAACATGAGTGTCACGTTCGGTCAACTCTTTGCAAGCGCCCTTGGGGCGGGTTTTGCTAGTGTAAAAGGCGAGGGGTGGCGAGCGACCGTTGGTATTGGAGCTGCTCCAGCTGTTGCACTCGCTGGGCTGTTGTTTTTCTGCCCAGAGTCACCTCGACAGCTGGTTGCTCATGGCAAACTGGAAGCAGCAAACGCTGTTCTTCTAAGAATATACCCGAAATCGACTGTTGAGCAACGACAAGCCAAGATAAGATCAATCGAGCTATCTCTTCAAGAAGTGACTCAAGCTATGGACAAGGAATCCCTTTGGGTCACTTTCAAACGCATTTTCACCACACCCGCCACCGGCCGTGCAGTTCTGACCGCGTGCATGATCATGGCAATCAGCCAACTTGGAGGCTTCAACACTCTAATGTACTATGCCGCAACGCTATTTTCGATTGTCGGATTCAGCAATTCCACAGCCGTCGGTATCACAGTCTCCGCTACAAATTTCGTCTTTTCAATTGTCAATCTCGTACTTGTGGATAGGTTTGGCCGTCGTATTCTTCTAACAATCACCGTGCTCGGAATGTCCATCTGCATGATTGTCGCTGTCATTGCGTTTCGATATATCCCAATAGATACCCAGACTCTGGTTGTGGAGAGTAACAATGTCGGCTGGCCAGGCATCCTGGTCCTCGTCGCAATTATTTGCTACGTCGCTTGCTATTCATCCGGCGTCGCCACTATTGCATGGATCGGCACTGAGCTAATTCCTCTCGAAGTTCGAGCAATGGGAACTATGCTAGTAGGTTTATCCCCATTCCATCTTCTTAATGCACTTGCTAACGAGCTGGACTAGAACACCGTCACCTGCTGGAGCACGAACATCATCATTTCATCGACTTTCCTTTCCATGATGAAGAGTTGGACCCCAAGTGGTGCTTTTGGGTTCTATGCCGCAATCTGCTTCTTCGGTTGGGTTTTCGTAATCTTATTGTACCCCGAGTGCAAAGGGATGCCGCTGGAGGCTATTCGAGAAGTTTTCAGCGACGGATTCGGGGTCAAGTATTCAAAGAAGTGGCAGAAAGACCACAAACACGATGTCAAGGTGCGAACAATGGTCTTGGGACATTAGATCCGAGACGCGAAGTTATCAACACTAACTTGGACTGGTCAATAACTGCAAATTGAATTTAAATTGTCTTCCTGGGGCATTTCAACTTTCATCTAGTCGAAAGTAGATAGTCGCGTGATTGCGGTTAAATGTATAACAGCCTCTGCAGTACAATTGATGGCGAGGCAGTCTAGTCATGCATCAGAAGAAGGGTGCGAACTATTGGAAGCGAGACTTCATATTTACCCTAGAAGTGAGAATATAAGACGCTTAGGCAGGACCTAAGAGGATACCTAGGATAAATGTGGAATCGGAAATAGAGACCAAATATATACCATAGTCGCATAACGAACTAATAGTTACTTCTTAGGAGAAGCAGCCCGCGAATGGAATATATATAACTATAGGTTATAACCCTTAGCAGACAGGGAAAGGTTATGCAATAAAACTCCGCGAGACCGAACAATTAGGTTCCCCCTTCTCTCCGACGACAGAGCTCGCAGCATGGAACCATAGTCCGCAAATCAAGTGCGATCGCTAGGAATCGCCTTATGGCGAGCCATTGCAGCAACTTCCGAACCGGGCGGATTAAAATCCACGAAGCCATGTTTCAGGTATAGCGATGCGCCCTCCTTGCTGGCATCCACATAGGCCGCAACGCCATCCTTATCCGCCAGGTCGCAGCCCCACTGGACAAGCATAGAGCCAGCTCCGCGCCGTTGATAATCAGGATGAGTGCCAAGTGTATCTAGGTCTTTTTTTTTTTGATGTTGGACGTCAGTAACAATCTCTTCCATTCTGAATTTTAAAAGGGTCTCATTCATACAGTAATGTTTCTCATCACCCATGACGCGTTTCCTCGCCTGCTCCAATTCTTCAATGAAATCCTCACATTCCTGGTAAGGCGAGTCCGCATGCCAATGCGGAAAGCGACGACCTCGCTCTTCTGGCATGGCCAGGTCCCATTTTCCAAAGGCAACTAGCCGTGGTCGGCCTCGTTCATCTTTCGACTCGGTGTCAATTACTCTCAGGTATTTGCAGTGGGACTTCTGAATGTCCCCCAGGTGCCAATCCCGGTGCCATTGGTGCATACCAGGGGTGTTCGGGAAAAGTTGCCCGATCACCGGCTGTGTGAAGGAAGCGAACCATACCTCGGTGATGGCCGAGACGTCCTCCGGTGTCGCCGGCTCTAGCACGAGAGAATTGGTTGTTGATTCCATATCCAAATTGGTTTGAATACGCGTTCAAGTGTTTAGCGAAAGGCTATCAACTAGGGGGCTCGCACCAAAGCAGGCCTGTTTAATACAATTTGATTCAAGAAAGGGTGGGGGCTATTTCCTGTTGAAACACAGCCTCGAAGTGGGAATAAAACCCGCTTAATGGTCGCCGAGAGGGTATTGAGATGCATTTCAAGGGGCGGTTTGAGGAGCGGGGGGCGCATAGTACCTTCTAATGAAGGAAGAGGTGCGAAACTATAAGACAGTTGCAATGGTTGCCTGCACATGTGGATTTCTAAGCCCTTCGACATGGATTAATTCAAAAATACCGCACATAACAAGGGTCCTGGCCACTTGCAATGGCCCGTCCACGGGTCGGATGGGGAGTTATGCTTTGGCCCCCGACCCCGTGTTCCATCATACGATGCGGTCGATCCTTGCCTAATGAAACCATCCGCCCCCACGGTTGGGTTGAAAAGTTTAAAAAGAAGCAAACTATTTATGTACTTCGTATATTGGAAGCGATTGCGGGATGTGAAAAGCTTATTATTCTTATTTGTAAACTCAATTCGACGTTATTTCCATTCGGGAAGGGCAAAGCATGTCCATGTTACCTCCAGTATTAGTGTATAGCCATTACCTAGGTTGGTCGGGCGACCACTTGCCACCGTTGCTAGACGGGGGGTGTGTCTCCAAATCCGCCATTATGTGTGTCTGGCTTGACTGGCTGTCGACCTCCCAATCTTGCGTGACCAAAATTTGATCTCGTCGCATCGGCAAAGGGAAGTCTTTGCGATTCTCGAACCTGGTCTTGCGGTCCCGCGAATTGGACCCCCCTGTGATTGAGAGCGTATCTTGGAGCTCCAAGAGGTCGGTTCTTCCACGCCATCAAGCTTGAGCCCGTTCGATCGCATCCAGGACAGGAAGGGGCTGAGTTGTCCCCAACAGGCCGTCACGATACTGAGGCACTGAATGATCACTTCGAAAATGGTGATTTCACACATTTGAAACGTTGGGTCGTTGGTTTTCGTGCCATTCTTAATGAAGGCAAGCTCGACGATCGTTGCGATTGTCACACTATCGAGGGAAAGAGGATGAGCTTCGAGTTTAGAACTATAGGGGAGAGAGCACTCTGTGTAGCCGGGTCACTCACAAGAGCCGAGGTAGGAAGATACCCGCAAAAACCAGGCGTCGCCCCAGCGTCGTTTGGACGCTAGAAATCAGAATCATCGCCTGAGTGACAATCAAAAGGTCGGTAACGATGTTGGAGATAGCGATAAAGTAGCGCCAAGTTAACTGGATCGGCCCCGCCGAATCGCATTAGTATTGTCCAGATTCGGGGCGTAGGAAGTGATAGGGAAAAAGAAGAAACCGCTTACCAGGTTAAAGCATTGGCCGTTCTGAAAATCCCATGTATGGGGCAGAGAGCATTGGAATGCAGTTCCAATGATCACAACAGCTGCCCAGGCATATACAATAGCCTCGACGCCTCGAGCGAGCCATTTATCTTTGGCAGATGGTGTAAGACTCCGGATAAATACGACTAGAGATAGTTTCGAAAACGTGAGGCTCAGGAGGTAGAGAAGAGACCCGGCGAAAAGGTTCTGGAAATGAGCAAATTAACCTTGGTTCTAAAAGTCAAACAAGTGAACGATCGAAAAAGGCGGAAGATTCGTACTTTCATTACCTGTTCCATATCGGCGCTGGAGACATCTTTGAAATGCTTTCCATAACCGGACCCAACTGCCAGCGAAACAACAATACTCTGCCCGATGGCGAAAAGCAGAGACGTAATGATCAGGAGATCATCCGTGGTGAGCCTTTTGAACAGTCGAATTTTCGTTACGAGTCGAGCAGAGACACTGAAACCGATCGTGACCAAAAGAAACCATGTGGTGACATTGACCGCCGGGTCTTTGGTGTCACCTTTGAATCGTGTCCCCATTGAGCCAAAATATGTCAAGGAGGGTGAGTTACTTGAAAAGAAAAAAAGAAGGAAATGAAAGTATTATAATCATGCTGACGAGATAACATGCCTTTTGTTTTTTATTATATCGCTGTGCGATCTGGTAGTGCGCGCATTCGATTTCCAGTGCCCAGAAAAGAGCGACCAGGATGCAAAACCGCCCCAGAACCTTATAACATATCGGTGTTACTATGTATATAAAAGTCTCTAAAGGGGTGTTATGGCTTCTCCAGGATTCTTTATATCATGTGACACTTGTTCCCTTCCCATACCATCTCGATCTCTATATGCGATCTATATGTTTGCCTGCTTGTCACTTGAACGGTGTTTTTTTTTTAAATTCACAATAGTCATTGTAAAAGGACACGGTAACATCGAGAAGTCTTATCACGTTCAAGCTCCCCCTTTACTCGAAGGATTCGCCCGGAGTTCTGGCCCGGCCTCCTCGCATTAATACGAACCCTCGATTGATTATTGCCCTATGAGGAGCCGCCGTCGATATACCCCCCACATAGAATAACTGTGGCGTACATTCAATTGGGTATGGCGCGCTTCCTGGGGCAACCTTCCCGCGTGTGATCGACATTGCCGCATAGCACATGTTTGGCCCTAAACCTCCTTGGGGCGTCGGGCGGAGCCCAGAGCGTGCCTGAGATTAAATTTCAACAAGCATATGCATTAGCGTCGTCCACTCGCGTGCTTTCTATTATAGTCGATGTAACATACAAAGTTCATCTCTCTACTCCGTAGTCAAGTCTGATACCCTTCCACCTGCCTTCCAATACTTGGCCGACGGAGTTTTTCCCACCTGTTTTGTACTTTTAACCCAGCTGCATTCCTTATATTTACCTCGGTGTTCACTTCCCACTTTTCCTTCCATTCCATTCGTTCAAAAAAATCAAAAGCTATGGCGGCCTATGAAATGAAGAGCAGTACTTCCGTCACTAGCAGGGGCGGGGGGCAGGTAGACCGTGATAATGTGCATCTCCAGCGGATGGGAAAGAAGCCAGTCCTTAAGGTATGCAATGCCTCCTTCAAGCTAATAAAACTCACCTGGCCAGACTATTGACACTTCTATCTAATCAGCGAAACTTCGGCATTCTATCGATCCTCGGCTTCAGCTGTACTATTCTGGGTACTTGGGAAGGCCTGCTTGGGTGAGTCGGTCTAATTCCAAATTTTCACGCAACCCATCGCTAATCGGTCGCTTAGTACCTTTACTGGCCCTCTTACAAAGTGTGTTCACACGTCAACAACCTGCGGCTTTGCAAAATTCTCTAACAGATAATCAGTGGCGGCTCCGGCGGTGCGATCTATGCCTACATCTTCGGGTGGGTTGGCTGTTTTGCCAACTTTATGGTCTTGTCGGAATTGGCCTCCATGTATGTTGCTATTTCTTGATTGATATGGCCAGAGTCAGAGCTAACTGTCCAATAGGGCGCCTACCGCAGGAGGCCAATACCACTGGGCTGCCATGCTTGCCCCGCACAGACTCCAGAAGTTCCTGAGTTTCATTACAGGTAAATTTCCGCCTCGTGCACAGACTGAAAATAAAATACTATTTGTTGCTGACACTTGAGCCCGTAGGATGGTTTGCTGTTCTCGGCTGGCAGAGTGCCTTCGCTGCCTGTGCCTTTTTAACAGGAAAGATGATCCAGGGTGCCGCGATCCTAGGAAACAACCTCTACAATGCTTTGCCTTGGCAAGGAACATTGATTGTCTGGGGCTCGCTCAGTCTTGCATTGATCGTGAATTTGGTCGGCGGCAACTTGCTGCCCCGCATTGAGGCGATCATTTTGGTTGTGCATATTCTTGGATTCTTCGGCATCATAATCCCCCTCATCTATATGGCGGATCATAACACAAAGGAGCAGGTTTTCCTGACTTTCCAAAATGGAGGAGGTTTTGCCACGCAAGGACTATCCTGGTTCGTTGGCATGACCAGCTGTGCTTTTGCCTTCGCTGGAGGTGATGCCGCCGTGCATGTAAGTTTTCTTGGAGCTACGCTCTCCTCTGTACGCTTCTGGCTAACAACCCCTCAAATAGATGTCTGAAGAGGTCGAAAATGCTTCGACCGTCATTCCTAACGCCCTTATGATTAGTGTCGGAATCAACGGCTGCCTCGGCTTTGGTATGATAATAGTTATGATGTTCTGCACCGGCTCCGACCTCGGTGGTACGCTGGGGAAAATCACTGGGTATAACTTTATGGGTATCTTCATGGAAGCAACAAATTCAGTACCGGGTTCATTGACTATGTGTGCTATCGTTATCACTATTTATGCCTGTTCCCTCATGGGTCTACTGGCTGCGGCGTCTCGGCAGCTTTGGTCTTTCTCTCGAGATAGGGGAGTCCCTGGTTGGCGATGGTGGAGTCAGGTAAGCACTTCGCTATCAATCAGAAGCCCTGCATGGTCTAACATTTGCTGTTCAAGATTTCCTCCACGAAGCAATTGCCTATTTTCGCCATCATCCTTACAGTTACTGTCGCTGTGTTGATTTCCCTGATTAACATCGGTTCCAGCACTGCTATGGAGGACATTGTGTCCATGGCAGTGGCGGGTATCTACCTTTCTTACCTCATGGTTTCTGTTTTGCTTTTTTACCGCCGCGTCCGTGGCGACATCTCCCTATTTAATGACAACGAGGATGATATTGTCAATGTGCCCGGGGCAAAGCTTGTCTGGGGACCTTTCCATTGCCCCGGCATCATTGGTACCGCTATCAACGGGTATGCGATCATCTACATCAGCATCGTCATCTTTTTCAGCTTCTGGCCAAGTACAATGGACCCAACAGTGGAAACGATGAACTGGAGCGTTCTGGCAATTGGAGGCAGTATCTTCCTTGCCATTGTATACTACGTTGTGCGCGGCCGACATGTCTACAAGGGTCCTATCGTGGAAGTCTCCTTGTAGAGAGTTGCCACATGGGACTATTCAGGAAAAATTTAATGTTTTAATGGTACTTTTTAGCAAGGGCATTTACAGAGGTGGGCTAAATCAAGGTGGTAAACTATTCCACCACGGTGTTTAGCCATGCTGGAACAGTAACACTTGTCAGTTCAGTGCTGGCATCATTTATGTGTAACGTATAGAGTACGGCAGTTTATAGCCGCCAGTGCGCCAGTAGGGTTTTTGCCAGCAGTACTATGATGAATTTGCGTATTATATACAACAATATCAATATCGCACCAATTCTGTATACAGGTGTTGGATCATGCCTGCATGCCTCAGTCATCCTATTGATGCCTTTGATGCCATTGTACAGGCCTTTGTATAGTCATCAATCATCAACTTGTTTGCTTGCACACTGAGCGTTTCTTTGTTAGTCGGGGTATAAATACCCTGCTTTTGATAGATTGAATACACAATAATTGTTCTTCTTCTCTCCCCCCCCAATAGTCCTTTGTTAGTAGCCACAACAACAAGTTATATGACTTTAGTCCACTTCTCGATAATGAGGTCTTAACGCTTGAATTATTAACACCTGAATTATCGATGCCTAAATTTACTACTTGAATTCACTACTTAATCCGAAGTAAAGCAATCGAGTCATATTAGCTAAAAGAAGACTTGGTCAATGATATTCCGGGTGACTGACGTACGCTCCACTCCTTGTTTCACGCCCCCTGATGATGGAAGGAGTTTATGCCAGCCGCCCTTAAAGTTGATCCGAGTCAGAGAGATCTGCGTTCTTGATCTCAGAGGCATCGCATTCTATCTTTACGGGGCCCGCTTTTCAGACACGTAGGTATGTAGCTTGTGATGGGTGTGATAAGGGTGAATGATTTGATAATGGAAGGTACTTCAGTACTTCATTCTGACATTGTAGGAGGTTTGTTAAGGTCCCCATATCAGTGCTAACAGCAGGAATGCTAAAGCAGCCCAAGCCCATGCGAAATTGGTCCTTTTTTGCTTCCTGGGCATTACCCATCGAGGGCCTGAACGTTGCGGGAGCGGGATAAAGTTTAGGGCCACGGCGTCTTCGAGAATCTTCAGAGCTTTTTCCGTCGGTTGAGTTCCAGCGTATGGCACGTAATATCGCAGAATAAACCTCCAGAAAATGCTACTTCGTGTCTGCAATCTCACCACTATTCGCGAAGCCCTGTAAATCTTGGCCATGCGATCAATTTGTATTTTATTGAATCGGCGCAGGTGGTGGTCGATCTCCTGACCACAAAGCTTATGTGGGAAAGCCTTCGTATTCAAAGCATCATGTAGTATATTGGCTAAGGACGCAGCATCTTCAATAGAGCAGTTGGCTCCTTGTGCAAGGTTTGGCGTCATCTTCATAGTTTATTGTTAGAAAGTGTTGCGGTTTTTGGTCTATCAGCCATACCTTGTGCATGCTGTCTCCAATACAAACAATGCGACCACAGTGCCACGTCTGGAATATGTTCTCTTCCAAGGCTGTCATGCCGTAGATCTCACGGTTTTGCCATAGCTGCGCAAACTGAACGCCCCTCCATATGTACATATCAGTCAACTGTTCGCATAATAAGGCAGCATCTGTGCGCGAGAAGCGCGGCGCACTGCCGTACGGATAGGTTTTATCCAGCTTTACCACGACAAACCAGGCCAGCCGCCGCCTGTCGACGCCAGGGGCAATGATAAATGATTTTCCGTTGTAGACACTCAAGTGCATATGGCCAACCTTTAGCTCGGGGATCTCAGAGGAAATTCCGAAAATACAGGCATAGCCAACGGTCATCCCTGAATCCGTTAAAGCAGTTTGTCAGCCTTCTTTCTGTAGAAGCGTTGCTGGGACACAGTATTTTCGAAATATTTATAACCACTCTCAGCCACACTTACCGTTCTTTTCGGCCTCGGTAATCACTCCAGGCCGCAGCGCATCAGCGTTTTGCCACATTTGTGTCCGCACACAACTATGGACCCCGTCAGCTCCAACAACTAGGTCTCCCTCGTAAGAATGTCCATCTTGTGTGTGGACAAGTACACAGTCTTGGTTTTTTTGTTCAACACGGACAACAGTTTTGTCCACGAATATGTTGGACTTTATTGGATAACCGTCATACAGGATCTGAAGTAGATTCTGTCGACTAAGGAATCCCATTGGGAAGCCGAAACTAATGAAAACCGATTCAGTTAAGTTTCATGAAAAGACAACTCTAGTGGGAGTGATAAAATCATACGCTTCATGCATAGATTTAGGGTAGGGGCTGCTGAAATGAAATCCATCTGGAAAGCGAACGTGAGCACTATGCATCGGCTCGATAGTCCCCTCGACGGCGTCATAAAGACCGAGCTGGTCCAGAATTCGCGCCCCATTGGGCATGATTGCAACAGACGCTCCTTCATGGGCCGCAATTATAGAGCGTTTTTCGAGGATAATACAGGTGATACCTGCTCTGTGTAGGCAGTGTGCCAGTGCAAGACCCGCAATTGAACCCCCGACAATAATGACCTCGAATTGGGAATCGTTCATGTCTACTTCGGAAGGAGGGGTAACAGGTAGTAGAGACCAACAAGGCTTATTTGCGAGGAGACTAGATAAATATATTTTGGCAAACAAAGATTTGCGAAAGCCGCTACCCAATCTACTACTGTTAAGTATTCGTCGGTCCCGTCCCAGCTTGATTGGCTCCTGAGTGATGTTGGCAGAGTTACCACCCAACACATCCGCCTCGCTCAGGTCCATTTCATGCACTGGGAGATGACATTCCATGTGACGTTGAGCGTGTTCGTTCAATTTTGTACCGCTTTTGGGGCGCTTCCACCATCCTTCCAGTCGTGAGCCACGGTAAGCTCATCCGCAACCGTAGATCATTCCAGCTTCCTAGTTCAGCTTACCGTAACTAGCTTGTGGCCGTTTTTTTTCTTGGGTATTTTCAAGGACTTTTGCGTCACAGATACTATCAACGACGAACATGACCAAAGTTGGAAGGGATAATCCTGCAGAGTGGGAATAAACCAGATAAACCACGAATTTAATTTTATGTCAAACTATTGTAGCTTGCAATGTCTTTAGGTCTATTAGGCACACGAAAGATAATCTCAGATAAACCGCCGAGATAACAGGCAATATCCGTTCCTTCAACATTGGCAAATTGAACCCACTTATCGAGACATCAACGATTTTCTCCTTCAGCTCAGATGTATTAGCTTTGGCGTCCGAACCACTCATTGGGTCGCACATCTATGTTCCTTAGCTTGACGGCGAGATCCATGAATGTTTGCTGCAAAGACATAGCTGAATAACGTGCATTATTTGATCAAACGACTCCTGGTTTTAGCTTCATTCCGTCTTTTTTTGATGGGGATCAGAGGCTAGCCTCTCGGACCGGTGAATGTACCATAGAAAGGTCCCGTATGAGCCATCCAACAAAAAGAAAACCACACCACCCCACCAACCTAGCGGACTGTGCCAAAAGATATTGGAATACCCGTTTTGGTACCGTAGAACTTCATAAGGAAAGGTAAGAGCAGTCCCCACGAAACGACTGATCCTACAATCACAATTGGACGAGTCAGCTTGTTGATACAGATTAGGCTGCAGAGGTCATTTACCATATGAAGAAGGACGTGCCCCGTGTACTACCTCTGACAATGAGTTGACATAGCCCCCCGGCACTAAGAAACAGTTGGCAGAACCAGGCACTCCACGCCGCAGCCGGGGTCTGCCCAATGTGGGCGACCAAGGCCACATGCGCAGATATCCAACCGGCAATACTGACGGCAAATATCCAAGGCAGATTCCGCTTCACCAATGGCGCGTGTGCCCATTCGTTTGGAGCGAATTTTGTAGCAGCGTATACAACAATGAAATTCAGAGTCAACCAACTCGCAAAAATATATGGCCAATTCGGTATGTCGGGGGGATAGATAACTCCATAAACAAACTCGTAGGCAATATTGCAGCAGAGCGGCATCAATGGCATGCCATAGGTACGGTCTTGGAATGACTTGTGGATCACCGCGACGTAGTTAGCTAGCCAACATACACAGACTCCAATGCTGAGGATGGTGAGAGGCCAAGAATGCTCAAGGTCTGTGAGAGCTGTTTGGGAGGCATTGGACTGGGACATCTTGATCTTTGTTGATCTTTAGGATAAAAGAAAGGGCCGTTGTAATGGTTGATGCACTAAGGATATATATGTATGCTTGTAGACATCGACATACCTTGACCAGATCACTCAATATACGGCAATTTAGCAATTGCCTGTGAGTCATCTGTATACAGGAGACGAATAAGATCTAGGTAACATCACTGACGAAGGTTACATGTAATTTAATGAATACTGACTCTGTAACTCCATACGAACTTACCGGCTGAATGTTTGCGACGAATCAGACTGATCTGGTATATGGAGCTGCCGTGTGTACACAATTACGGGCAAAATTGGCAATTCGCCCACTGGATAGGCGGGGAAAGTCTGTGTTTGAGAGCTTGTTAATCAATATTAGACTAGGATTCTTTTTCATTTGACGTTGATTGAGCAATATAGATTCGCTCAATTCCGGAGGCTCAATTGACCGCACCAGTCAATCTCAGGTTTGACCTCGACATAGGGCCAGAATACAGTACCTCTGAACTACACTGATTTTAAAAGATTTTTGCTTTTTTGCATGTCGAGTCGAATTTTGAATTGAGCTTTTTGTTGAGAAAACAAAATTCCTCGGCGAGCATTCCACGGCCCGGAAAATTCTTCCGCGGCGGGAGTGTAACCTAAATCAATGACATGACATTCATCAACATCAAATGGAAATAGACGCAGTATACAGCAACCACTGTCTAGCCCTCAATTCAGAGTCTATGTATGTGAACCCGCAGATGGACGGTGGCTTGGACGGTTCGGTTGCACCAGGAATTCTCTAATTATATAAGGAAACATTTTTAACCCTTCCTCCTCGAAATCCAGAAACGGATAGGCTGTGTCTGGAACGCAGGCTGAATGCTGACCCTCGGGAGTTTTGCAGCGGGGTGTTACGAAGCTTATTACATTCAGTGGACAGACATAAGCTTCTACATCCCTGTAGCCCCACCCAGCTCACCGCCACTGTAGATTTATACCGCCTCTCGAAAGCGGGTGGCATGCACCATGCTAGAAGATTTGAATTCATAGGGGTTTTTGACCGGCGGTATATTATATAATTATGGGGGTGTGGGGCCCAGGGGTGTACCTAGAAACATATCCATGGATGCCCAGTCACTCAGTGGTACCTGAGGCCCCTGTTCACGCCCCTAATTTAGTTTAATTTGATTATTTCTTTTTCTTTTTCTTCAAATAACCAAATAGATTATATTTAAATCATATTGAATTTAGATCGTACCGGCCACCGTTGCACAGAACACTACATTGTTTGAGACGAAAGAAACAGACATTGAATAAATCATCACTTCATAATCGATCACTAGGCGTGAAAGCGCTGAACCACGCATAATAGAAATGTCGCTAGCATTTACTTCATCAATTATACCCCACTAGGTTGAGTACTTGGTAACCTGATTCTGTAGGGTGCATAGTCATATACCATGTTGGATGATAGAGGACCTAAAAGCCATTCCATAATGTTCTATTCATCCACACATCTCATCTGTAACCTAAGAATCCTCGTGTCGCAAGTCTTGAAAACAGCCAAGTCGAACACATAATTTGCTATAGAAAACTCGCCGGAACAGTAACTTCAAACGTAAAGGGTGACCCTGACGTCACAATCTTCATAAGCGCACTTATATTCAAAAGAGTGTCCTTGTCAAATTTAAAAATTTGTTTGTTCACATCGGACTAAATTTGTCGCTGCTCACCATCTTTAATCGTGCTTGTTTAAAACCATGTTGCAGACAATTGAGATTTCGACACCGATAACAACGGCCGTTGGGTGCCCTGAAGACGATGTGTTGCTGTCCAACGTCAAGCGGGCGCTCTTGCTTTCTACCCAACACAGCAGGGAGCAGGTGAAGCCGGACGGACACTGGTGTGGTGAAGTTGAAACGAATGCAACAACAACTGCGGAATACGTGTTCCTATACCAAGCTCTGGGTCTAGACCTCATGGCAGATCGAGAAGCAATCATCTCCTGGCTACTCTCTGAGCAAAGATCAGACGGCTCTTGGAGCATTGCCACTCTATATCCAGGGGACATCTCGGTAACAGTTGAGGCATACCTTGCTTTGAAGATCCTGGGTGTCCCTGAGGTGAGCCACGCATTGCTCAAAGCCCGCGACTTCGTCATCGCTGCTGGTGGTGTCGCCAAGGTCCGCATCTTCACACGCATATACCTCGCTATGTTCGGCCTGTTTCCTTGGACGGTCGTACCGGAGTTGCCACCCGAGCTAATCCTTGTGCCATCGATGCTACCTATCTGTATCTATCAATGGTCAGCTTGGGCACGGGCTACTGTTGTCCCACTCCTGATTATCTCTCACCATCGTCCAATCTATGCCCTCCCGAACCGAAAGCCTGAGTCCAGCACGTATCTGGATGAATTGTGGTGCAATCCCATGGATAAGATGGTACCCTACACTTATGGCCTTTTTGCCTTGTTGGGATCCGACAACATCGCCTTTGCGTTCGCCTTCGTTGACTCAATTTTACATTGCTTGAATGGGCTGAGGTCGTTCAACCCTATTCGTCGATATGCTATCCGGAGGTGTGTCGATTGGGTCCTAGAACATCAAGAGGAAGCTGGTGACTTTGGGGACATCATGCCGCCATTGCATGGAGCTATGTTCGCTCTGAGCTTGGAAGGATACCCGCTAGATTCAGACCCTATCCAACGAGGCCTGAAAGCCATCGAACGCTTTTCGTGGTGTGATGAGCGCGGGAAGAGAATTCAAACCACGGTCTCCGCTTTCTGGGACACCAGCCTGATGATTATCGGCCTGAGTGATGCTGGAACGCCATCAAAAATCCCTTCGCTTACAAAATCTATGGAATGGGTGCGAGGCCGACAGATTCTCAGTAAGCACGGTGACTGGACTGTATATAATCCCAACCTGAGACCAGGTGGTTTCAGCTTCGGTTACTATAACACTTGGTATCCCGATGTGGATGATACGGCGGCGGCTGTTGTGTCGATGATCAAACAAGACTCCGATCCAGTGCATTCTCCCTGTGTTTTGGATGCCATGGAATGGCTTCTCGGAATGCAGAACAAAGACGGAGGCTGGGGTGCTTTTGATCGGGACAACAGCAACATGTTTCTCAATAAGATCCCTTTCAGTGATATGGAGGCCTTATGTGACCCGTCCACTCCGGACGTCAGTGGTCATGTCCTTGAGGCCTTCGGCCTCTTCTTACTAGCGAGCCGGCAGCACAATACACAAATGGACGGGAATGAGCTTGTCGATTCTCTGACGTCGGCCTCTCAGAGAGCGATTTATTACTTATCCGACATGCAAGAATCGTCGGGCGCGTGGTGGGGGCGCTGGGGCTGCAACTACATATACGGAACGAGTTCTGCCCTCTGTGCACTGGCATATTTTCTTGGCACCAGAGTGAAAAGCAATTGGAAAGAGAAAGATGACAGCATTTACGATTGTGTGAGCAATGCAATACAATGGTTGGAAACGACTCAAAATCAGGATGGCGGTTGGGGCGAGACTCTCGATTCCTATAAGGACCCTCTGCGAGCTGGCACTGGCCCCTCAACGGCAACACAGACAGCTTGGGCGCTTATGGCTTTGTTGCCATATCTACCACCGTCGACCGGAATGCTCCGAAAGGCGGTAGAGTATCTGCTACGAACACAGCGTATGGTAGGTCCTGAAGCGGCAACATGGCATGATAAAAGCTTTACCGGGACTGGATTCCCGAACCACTTTTACATCAGATACTCTTTCTACTCTCATTACTTTCCGCTGATGGCGCTCGGCCGTTACGCAAGTCTACTGGAACGATGTCCGCCAAGTGTATATGAACCTCCCAAGGAGCCTATAACTACTCTCGATAGCGACTTGGCAGACCTACGAAGGAGAAGCTGGCCACGCCCTAGCTGAGGAGATTTAGCGTATTCAAAATGTTGCGAATTCTTGGCGCTAAACAACGCGTCGCGCCTGACTCCTCTAACTTCGAGTTCGATTTCGCTATTATTGACTTTTCGCACCATAAGCGGCCGCCTACAAGTATTTTTTTTTGGCTAGTTCGAAGTTTAAAACGAATCAAATTCCTCAGTAGGACAAAGTGAGTCCATACAGATGAAAATTCGTTGTGATTCTCGCTCACCTGCACGGCCTCCAGTGCCTCAGTTGTCTAAAGCTCCTCCCAAACCGTTTGAGCATATACGTACGCGCCATCTAAATGGCCTTTCGACTGCCGATCGCTGTACAATTGTTAGATATCTTATGCTTGGGTGGAGCGAGGCTAAAATAGCAGAAGAATTTCGGGTACACCTATCTACTGTCTATCGCATACGGAGCAATTTGGTGACGTACGGTAGTGTCCGCAAACCATATTATCGCCAACTTGGACGTGCTCGGAAGGTTTCGAAAGCCGATGAGGATGCACTGTTTGAATGGCTCCTATATGAAGCCTGACGTAATCAAGATGAGGTGGTATTTTGGCTCTGACAGGAGCGAGGGTGATGGTCACTCAGCCCACAGTGTCTCGGCTGTTGAAGCGTCGGAACTGGACTGGGAAAGAGTTGCGGCGAATCTCTCTAAACCGAAGTGAAGCACTACGACGTGCCTACCGAGATGATATACGTCATTTCGTGGTGGAGGACCTTATCTTCCTTAACGAATCTATCTTCAATAAGAAGACCGGTTGGCGTTATCACGCCTATGCCCTATTGATGAAGAACAACCACCATGTAAAGCTGATATCAGTCGAGGCAAAAACTGGATCGTCTGTGCTGCTATGACACTTGACGCCTGGCTTCCTTGTACGGGTATCAAAGAGGGATATTGGAACTCCAAGAACTTCTTAGGTTGGCTTCGAGATACCCTCCTTCCTACAGTCAATCAACCAGATCGTCCTGTCTCTGTCATTATCCTAGATAATATTTTATCTATGTGAAGAGTGAGGCAGGGCATCTTATACGCTATGTGCCCCCATACTCACCTGATTATAATCCTATTGAGCTCACCTTTTTAATGTTAAAGGTATGGATAAAGCGAAATTGAGTCTTTCTCCGGTAGGAGTGTCACTTATATAGAGATTTTTTAGAGCTTTCGATCAGGGAGAGTAGGTGTGATTAAACTTCGGCAGAACCCATTTTGGGTCGGAACCTTCGACCCAAAACCCAACCCAGACCTAACCCGGACCCAGTGACTAGGGCCCCAGAAAACCCGGTTTAGGCCGAGTTCGACCCAGCTTTTGTATAAAAAGGGGTCTTAGCGGTCATAAACCTGTAAAACCAGCAGAATTGTACACATAATTAGCGTGTTTATATAGTTTATAACCTAATTTCCGGCCCTAGACCCAGACCCATTACTAGGTCGAAGGGTTCGACTTAACATCCAACCCAGACTGTGTTGGGTCTGGGTTGGGTCTGGGTTCAATCAATCAATCAATCAGTCAATCAATCAAAGTTAAATTAACCTGTTGCAGTCTAACTAGTTGCGTATGATTATGCAGGCGCTTCATCCAACTGAAACAAGAACTCGAAGCCAAACGCAGAGTTGGGATCACTCCCAAGAGTATACAGATGCTGATCGTAAAGATCGTGGAATCAGCCCATTCCTGTAGATCCTGTAGATCCATCCGTCGTGTGGAAGACTAGTAGCACCATTCGCAGCACCAAAATTGCCTAGGTGCTGCGGGACTTGTCAAGGCCTAGTCGCAAATAAGCTCCTAAATAGTCTTAAGGTATTCAAGTACCGGTCTAGGAACTTTAATAGAGTTATTACTACTAATATAGTTTAGTAACTAGCGTACGTCGTAGTTAGCATCTAATATACGCTCGTTAGTATTACGAACTTGTATAGCCCCCTAAAAGGCCTGGCTATTAGCTTCCTAGCGCCACTATAGTATCTACTAATATAAAGTTGGTATTAGAAGATAGAGCCGGAAGTTACAATTAACTTACAATTAAAATGAGGACCGTAGCCTAAGGCGTTGTGGTACAATTTCAAAAATTAGATTCGCGTAAAGATATGTGTTTTTAGTCCAATCCTTGAGAACATTGCTATCCCTAATGTTTCCATAAGAGCCAAATATCCTCTTCAAAATCGCCGAGGTAGTCATATGAAAAAAGTCCCTTAATTTAGAAACTTCACTCCAAGAGTCGAGAATTCTTTTTTGTTCAGCACTCGAAGGGCTCAGTGTCCCCCATACTTCTCCGTGGAGTTGGTATTCAATCGTTTGCGAGTCAGAGACCCGTTTCTAAAACTCCTCCGCGATGAAATCTTGCCAACTATCCCTTCGACAGCGGTATTGGTGATACAAAGCTAGAAGGTGTCATACGTCGTCAACACAGTATGATGCTATCTCGTTCAAAAGCGGCCATGCATTAGAAACACCGTATGGGCCCTGTTTTTGAGGATTCCATAAAATGTCTCTCCTTTCCTTACAGAGCATTCACTCATTCCTTTCTCGTCCGCCTACAACATCTTTCATGCATTTCGAAAGGCCACCTAGGAACTCAGCCCTACATTGAAGTTTCGCTGCATTACACGCCACACCATGAAATGCTTGACGTCATAGTATGACGGTCATACTATGATCAGCACTAAGCTTCAAGTTTGGCAAATCGGAGCGCCGAAATAGGTATGGTTAAATCACAGAGGTTCGAGACTAGCTGGACAGAAGTGGTGAACCTCTCCCTTTGAAAAAGAAATAGTTAGCATGAGAATCTGACAATAAACCACTTTAGGTTTTAAATAAGGTCTTTCCTAGGCTTTCTAGTGTCCGTACCCTAAGGATTTTAGTATTCGGAGGAGGGTACCGTCGGAAGCGGTTAAACCACTTTACTCTCAGATTTCAGAGTAGAGAATAAAGGGATCACGTATAATAATACGTAGAATTAAGCGTTTATCACTAGACTTCGCCATAAACCGCAAAACCCATAAACCGCCCCACCCCAAACCGCAATTGGGGCGGGTTTTGGGGCGAGCTCTAGAAACCGCAATGGTTCTTGGGGCCCCAGTTGGTTTATTAATTACAGGCCTAGTAATTTTGGTATATCTTATACATATATAAATCTAAATATATCATTAATTTAGTAGTAATTGAAGGTTATAGGTGATAAAAAATATTATCGGTACTCGTGGATTACAATACGGTAATTAATTATAATGAATTTTATGTAAAATTATGTAAAATTATGCAAAAATGGGTTTTAAATGTTTTTTTGGGGCCCCAACAGAACCCATCAAAAACCGCAGTGCGGTTGCGGTTTGGGGGTTGGGGCGAGGGTTTGGCCCGAATTGCTGTTTATGGCGAAGTCTATTTATCACTATCCGATAGAATAAGGGGGGGGACCGAGGCGAGAAATCGTTTTCCCTTTAGTTCGATGAGCATCTTATTCGAGGGTATAGGTGATAGTGGAATACGCCAAATTGTGGATACGCGTAATTGATATAATTGAGCACCCTACGGTCCCTACCTAGGCTTGACCGACGATTTTGCCCCATAGATTTGGAGAGAGCTTAGTTCCGCGCGCCCTATTAGAATTAATAGGGCGTAGAGGTGTTCTTAGAACCATGGTTGATAGTTGAAAAGGGTGGGTTAAATTGACGTGTAGGAGAAAACGCGGGTGTGGCGCCGAAATCACGGAAACTTTGGCGGTAGAACTATACATCTAGTTCTACATTGGTCTACTAAAGGTTCCTCATCAGCTGCATTACACGTCACACTATGAAATGCTTGACGTCAAACTCTGATCAGTAATAAGGTTACATTTAGTCCTACATTGGACCTTTCGGATCCTAAACTGAACGGAGGGTGATGAGGAGTGGAGTATCTTTAGTGAAGACCTCAATTGGACATACGCAGGTCTTAGATGTCATGATGACCACAACGAAAACTTAAGATTTATTGGGCTCCTCGTTCTATTAGGCAAATGAGGAATATAAATAACTACATATTTCCCTCCTAAATGCCTGTGGAAGTGCAAACAGTCAAACTAAGCCATCACTTCTACTGAGTTGACTCTCCCTATCTTCTGCGTGAATTCATACCTTCCATTCATCTACTATCTCAACATGAGGTCTCTTGTACTTCTTTTGCTGCTCTATGTCCCCTTTTCCTCTGCTACCTGTGCCTTCCTAGGCGGACAAAGGTGCAAGAAGGCCGGTGGATCAGTCAATGGTGATTACGAAAGAACACTGCAAATCTGTAACGACGTTTCAAGTGATATGTGTTACTGTGTGAAAAAATCTGAAGACTACTGTACTTCGTACAACACTACGGAGGTAAAGGCCTTCGCCCAGGAGTGCACAAGTGAAGCTGGCTGGACTACGTTCAATTGCTAGGCTACTCAAGTGTTTTCTCAGTATACGAATTGTCCTTGAACGGAGGAACTAAAAAAAATTATGAAATACGTGTAAAAAAGCAAAGTTAGTGTCTATGTGCTTTTGACCAACGTGTTCGATCGGTATCTGCTGCGGTTTGGGGCTTTCTGTCGTTGTATGGAGTTTTTCCCACTGGGTTTTTATCTCGGCCGACAGATAGCGAATTTTAAATATTGCGTATCTCGCAAATATATGGTTCACTTAAAAAGCAGATTCTACATGTTCAATGAGGCCATTAGTTTTGTAAGAACAGTATGATTAATCCCCATGCAATAAAAAGCGCCTCGTGGAAATTTACTTGATTGTTGCCAGGCTATCACCAAACCAAAAGAAGGAGAAATTGGTCAGTCAGCTGAAGCTGATCCAAAATAACTATTGGATCAAGAGAAATTCTGCCATGGCAGCGGAAGCTGAAGAAAGCGTAGCGCCGCAGTGCTCCTGCGGTGAAAAATGGAATTTTATTGATCCATTTGGTCTATGAGACCGCCGCTGCGGCAGGGCTGGGATAGCTATTGGAACAGTATTCTACAGTCAAATCAGTGGCACCTAGCGAAACCGACGCCTATAGGTGTCTTATGACCAAATTAGACATGAGACGACTATTCTAGGATGTACTCCCCTCAATGAGCAGTTTTGCATGATAGACAGCCCCTTGGTTGGCCTGTTCTCTTAAGCGCAACTATTGAATATCACGGAAGTCATAGCTTATGTTGAAATAGTACGCGGAGGAACTATACAGCATGTAACAGAAGGATTATCTCTTGCAAAATGAATACTTATGAAGTATCAAAAATAAATTGTAAAACTGTCTAATCTCTTTATACATGGAAACAAGCCCATATTTATATGTTTCTCCTTCTCTCCCCTGGAATCTCTCAGTTGACCAATTTGTAATAGAAACAGAGTGGTGGAATCAAAAAGAAAGAGCTGAATGAGCGGTGATAGCACTGAGTGTTGGATCCTCCCGGATTCTATTGACTGAATGCAGCCTGAATTGAAATGGCTTCCTGTGATATAATAAACTAGCGGTTGTATATAGAAATTAGTGGTGTAGACGGTAAAATATATCGACGGCGCTAATCTCGATTCCGTAGGACTTCGAAGTGCTTTGCGTGCGAGAATTGTACAGTGATTCACAATGTATAAAGCACGGCGAATTAGGGTTAGCGTTAAAAGCTCTATGTTAATTACTAAGAATTAACCTAGATTCTTAATCCCCCTTAATGCTAAGCCGTAAAAATGCGACGAGTATCTATCTATCTATAGCTAGTAATAATTGGCACTATTTCTAGTTTCTATAGCGGGGAAGCTCCTATACTTTATCGATGTTCGTAGATTCGGGAGTAATAGTCCGTGGGGCTTGGAAATGGCGGTTTGTGGTTGATTTGGCTGTCATTGAGGGAGCTGGACAAGAATGGCAAGGGCATCGGGGGAGATTGAGGACATTCGGGGATAGGATGGCATGATTCCGGCGTCAGCATGCCATCGACTCCGCTGTATTGTTCAGTGCCGTCTTTCTTGTGTCTCTGAGACAACACTTCATCCAGAGAGCATTTCGGCTATGGACGACCGACCGTTATTCAACCACGCTTGCTGTTGTTCAATATTCTCAATGTATCTGTTGAACCTTTAGTCGTCAGCCAGATGATTAGATGTCTGCTTCTGACAAAAGAGCTTATGTACTCCTTGGTGCAGACGCTGTTGTGGGCTTTATTTCGCTTTTTGCTGACGCACACTGCGTTCTTCTTTTGGCATCGAGAACAAGGAATAGCTCCGTCACACTTCTCAAAAGTCAGTACATCTAGCTATGCGAGCATTTACTTGCTCGCCGGAACTCTTCCCACAAACCTTGGATTTCTTCACATCGCACCGATCACATGCCAAAAATACCCTCTTGCGGACACTATGACACATAGATTCAACATTTGATGCGGACTTTGTTCCACGAAGTGCCATGGTGATCGAGTCAATATAAAACAAGAAAAATGAATGTTCATGGGAGGATAAATTCTCAGGCCTGGCCGAACCGGTGTATTGAATTGTTGGGTAATTTATTGGATTTCTTTTACTTCAGTTCTTCCTGAGTTGAACATATAGCAATTTTATTATGTTAAGATATCTCCAAAATTTATTTTATTTTATGCTTAATGGGGGCTATAACCCGGAAATGGGGACGGACATATGCCAGGAGCGAGACATTCTAGAATTGGCGGCTTACAGATGAATCGGATATCACTCGGTCCCGAACAACCACCGACCATTGCTTCTCTAGCTGTACTTTATAGTCCCAAATCTTGCTAAGGAATTTACTCGTAGTTATCTACTATCTATTCCTGGGTTTACTCAGTTTCAGACTCTTTCTTGATTCCCCCTACAAGCAGGTAATTTGGCGTCAGAAGCCGCCAGTTCAAACCACAAACATGGCCGCAGCTGTGCTATCCAACCAATCTACTTTGTCTCACCTCTTAACTTTTATTGCGACAACAGGTATGTAGATCTTTCTTTGTTGCATTCTATGCGAGATTTATGTGTATCACCGTCAATTCCGTCATATCTGATCAAGATCGGAGTCCCTTACAATTTTCCTTGATCTGGGGAGTGGTCTATTGAATCAACAGCTCCTGACAAATTTCTAGCGGGTCGTGACAAGATTCTGCGTACACTGCAATACTTCTCGCGCTTCTACGGCTGGTATCTTCGCCGCGCCAGTTACCCGCAATCCGCTATCGACCCTATCAATGCGATAAAGAAGCAGTTTGAAATAACACGCAAGGTCTTGCGAATTGGAAATTTCATCGAAAAGTTCAACGCCGCTTCCATTGCGTTGAATAGAAAGAATCCTATCGATCCTGTGCTCCGCTACCTTACGGTCGGCCATCATCTTGGCTATGGCGCTTACCTTGCCGTCGACACTTTCACTGTCATAGATGTTATTGGAGTTCGGAAGCTGGCCAACACCAAGATTCTGCAAAAGTCCGGCTACCGTGCTTGGATGGCTGGGCTGACTTGCAGTGTTGGGGCTGGTATATACTCGCTATGGAAACTGCAACAGAAGGAGAAGACACTTGATTTGAAAGTGGGCAAGGGAGCTATTGAGGCAAAAAGAATTCACAGGTTTGTTCGCTGGGAGATCAATTTTATTGTCAGACTCTCATGCTAACTATTTCTTTTTCAAAGGGAGAGGTTCACCACTTCTGTCCAGCTAGTCTCGAACCTCTGTGATTTAACCATACCTATTTCGGCGCTCCGATTTGCCAAACTTGATGACGGAGTTGTTGGCATAGCCGGTGCACTAAGTTCCTTGATTGGTGTCTGGTTTCAGTGGCGGAAGACCGCATTCTCAGAGCCACGTGGTAGATAAATTTCAAACAATACGGCTGTTGAAGACAGTGTACAAGTTACATGTTAGTGCGAGTGATAGAATGTTACTACAATATTGTGTACCGATCTGGCAATTTAGGCAAGGGGTCTTTTCTATCTTATTCTTTTCTGCATTTAGTTTTGTTTTTCCCTCCGTATATAGTATGCTCGTACGAAGGGACAGTTCATAGTTCGTCTTTTTGTTGATTAGAAAAATGGAGCCTTATTTGCCGAATTATAATTAATCACGTAGCTTTAATAGATGAAGTATCCAAGGGAATTGCTAACTAACTAGTTAACCAACAAATTGCGTATATAATAAGAGATGTATTCAGGACTTCGGCCCTTTAAAAATCAATTCAAGAAGCCAATCTCTACTCTGAATAATACAATGCTGTCTATAATACTCAAGTTGGAACAGTATTGTTCTATAGTCCATTGGGGGGAATGTACGAAATGCTTTTAGGCACGCGGACGCCTCGTTGAAGTTTGATTGTGGCTGCAATAAATTTGGTACCTGTCAATAAATCTTGTCGTCTAGATAATTAATTATCCAAGTGAAGCAACCTTTTGCACCAGAGAGCGAAAGTAGATCGCGATGCTCCAGTCATGTTATCTCCATTATGACCTAGAGCAGCTGGAGGCTTGGAGACCAAAACTGATGAGCGTAAATGATAGAAAGTCTGTCGACATAGGGGACAGCTTGCATCTCGCTTGCACAGCCATTTGTCAATACATGGCTGATGGAATAGGTGATGACATGGTAGTTGCCGAAAGATAGATTCGGAGCTCATATCTTCGAAGCACAGAGAGCAGGTGTCTGTGAAGTGGAAACCCGGAAGATATTAGCATCGAAAGTAGAAATTCACAATTTATTTTAATCCTAGCCTACCCTCATTGGCGTATTTCGACCCCACATAACAGGGCATCATAGCTAGTTCACGGCTTCTGATCCGTCGCAGCCTTCCTTCACTGAACGAGGGAGAAGCTGAATAATAACCGGACATGTTGTGGTAGCTTTGAAATGATAGATGTAAGAAGGAGTATCTTTTGTAAGCAAAATGACCGAAAACATCCTAACTGACAAGGATAGAGATGTAGAAAAAATGCCCAAGGTTTTCAACTTTTGCAGTCCTTTGAATTAATTTATTGGCTCAGCACGTCAATTGAAACGAAATATAGGCGTTTTAGGCTTTTGATTATGAAAGTTAAGAGAGCGAAAAATCTAGATTAGACGCTGACAACAGATGCACTATAGCGGATGAAACCTTAAGTACGGGCCGAGATCCATGGATAGCGTGCGCCAAGTTATCACCGAGTCTTTGCCGGGCTGAATGCTTGAGGATTATTCGTGCGGGGAACCTTTTCCCCTCATGAGGGGTCAGACACACCCGTCACCACCATCCCACCCAGTCCCTACCCAGTACCAACGAAAGTTGCAGAAACGCCTTCCGCAAAGTGTATACCCCGCTAACCATATTAAGTAGCACTACCAAATCGAGTGCTTATCCTCACCATTTTATGGCTCGGAATCCGGCAAGAATAAAGATATAATGGTGAAACACCAAACATTTGCCACGTTAATTTCTGCTCCACACATCAAATCTTCGAGGCATTGAAGATAGTTAGATTTCAACAGCTCCCTTTCCTCTAGAGAGAAAATCTAAAATTATGGCGACCGTTTCGAACGGTTCTAAGTACGACTTTATCTTCGGCGGTGGTGGCACGGCTGGCAATGCCGTTACTGGCCGCCTTGCTGCAGACCCTGACGTCCGTATTCTGGTTGTTGAAGCTGGTATTCCAAGCCCAGACGATATCGAACAAATCACCACGCCATCAAAGACATTTACACTTCGTGGGAGCAAATATGACTGGGCCTACAAGACGACCATGATCTTCAATCCATGGATACTTTTTCCATACAAAATTGATTAAGTAATCTACTTCTTTCTGCCATCTCTAGTCTGACACTGAAGGCACTTGGATAGTGATGATATTAAAAGCTATGACCTTGCTCATGCATAATATTTTCCCGAGAGATCAAGCACTAACGATTCTAAGACAACTACTTTTAGCACGTACGTATACCACTTCTCGTTGATTTGTGTGACGTGACCCTCTCTATTGCGGAAATGAAGATGATCAGGCTCAAAGAGGTAGTTATCCGCATTGCTAGAACAGTTACCTGCGCCATATATAATCCTACTGATTCAAGGGGGTTTCTTCGTCGAATTAGCTTGTGATATCCAATCAATTCAAGGGGTTCTAGACCAACCTCATCTGAAATACCAGCCACTTTCAGCTGTCATCCGCCAAGTCGTAATATTATCCGATTTGTTGTAAGACAGAGGGGGGTGTATTGGCTGATGGAAAATGCCCAGACCATGCAGCATTTCTTCATCCAATCCTCTTCTAAATTCAACATATCTGAAGCACAGAAGATGGGGAACGTAGCCTAAAAGCGGACATATTTCGGCCGTGGGTCGGGAGAGGGGTTGTTCTTTTTACTCCAAATATGCGCCCCAAAAGATCCTGGCAATATGCCATTCTTTGGAATATAAATGAAAATTGGGAGCTAGTCGCTAGAAGCGCACATAACACAAGTCAATATACTCCTGGTTCATACGCTTCAACGTTTCCTACCTTACCATTTCTCAAAACCCGCCCTCATATCAGAATGAGTAAAACAACTACTGCTTATGTCAAAGAACTCGATATCACCAAGGAGTCACCACATTCCAATGCAATTTCACGTCTCAGAAAGCACATAAAGGACATTCAGGTGAAATGGGGACCCCTCATGGCCGCCAAGGAGGAATTGTTCGACGAGTACAATTTTCCACCGGGCAGATATGCTGGGCAAGGTTGCATAAAGGAACGTCATAATGGTGAGTATTGGCGAGGATTTACGACCCCGTTAGAAAATTTACCTAACAATACTCAATAGATTTGCAAACGTTTCAGCGGTCGACACGGAATTCTGACCATTGATGGAGGGCTTCCATTCTACCCTGAACGAATGATTAAAAATAGATATAATGACTTGCGCATGGACTGATATGTCACGTTAACTGTTAATCCTGCTGTAGCATTTCGAGCTACGTCTTGTCTGTGAGTTTGTATTTAGCCTGACTGTAACAATTTGTCTGTCAACTGTACACTATTATTGCCCGAGCACGCACCATGTTATCGGGGTCGATTTCATGACGTTCACCTGCAGCACGTGTCTAGTGTAGGATTGTGTTTGTGAGCAGGTTGAGTTCAGGGTCAAGCACGTTTGATCCCCAGTTGGGTGTTCACTGTGCCCGAATCGCGGCGTTTCCTTTCATGACGGCGCTAGGTAGCAGAACCGCTGGTAGACGAAGTACCTTTTCTTCTTGCTCTGGCAATATTCCATGCTGCCATAGCTCTTCTTGTCGACCAGAAGGCTGTTGTATATCGTGCCACCCGCGGAGTCAACCCAAACCCCAACGACTTAAATCGCCCCTGTGCTTTATCTCTCTTCAATCACACATGTTGCTCGATCTGAAAACAAAATTCTGTATCAACCCCATATATACGGCCAATAAGACCGATAACGCGACGAATATGAAACCAGGTCAAATCTTTGATGTAACCGATTTTCTAGGTTCGCCCGGCAAAAAGACGGCTGAGGACCGCGGTCGCGTCACTCGAGTTTGTTGGGCAAGACTGTACATAGTTCGTTTACTCTCTCTCCCTTTTGTTCTCCTTACCCCCAGTTCTCTATTGATAGCTAGTACTAGTTATATTGCTCTCTCCCTTTCTCTACCGCCCCACTAATAGGTTATGACCCTTTACTTCTGTTTTGAGCACCCGTAGTTGATAAGAATTTGATGAACGACCCAGGACCTGGGTTCCCATTGGGATCCCATAAATACTCAACTTTGCATGCAAACCAGGTTTTGGCAATCATAAAGCCGCTGATTCATCCTAACTAAATATTCTCATTTATCACTGTTCTAGTAACCTCTGTTCAAATCACACTTTCGAACTACAACATAGGAAACTTCGGGAAATTAATTCGTAAATCGAAAAAGGACTATTGACCCTAGTACTTTTGTCGATTTGAAGTATTTACGGCCATATAAAGTAGATTCTTATATGGTGTTATAGTCAGTTGTATGTATTAGTGTCAGGTATATATCTTGAACGTAAAGCACTGTTGGCACAGTGGTCTAAACCCTTTTAGTGGTAATACTCCATGGCGCCTATTTTTCAACACGAGTGCCATTCATTATGGTATCGCCATAGTAAAAAACACAGCCTTCGAACCACTGTGCCAATAGTGAAATTCATATGTAGTGTCTGTCTTACGTTCCTCTCTAGAGCCTAGTGGGCTAGTGGGGCCATACTCTAGTCTGACAAATCTTATTGCAGGTCACCCGCGCAACCTTCGACAAGGGTGTTCATTACTCGCCACTACGCGGTTTAATAGAGATACTATCGATATATGGGGACCAATCTGGTAAAAAATATGAGGCCCCTATCAACATTGGGTGGTGTCTCTAATCAATCCTCCCTGTGATCCACATGAATAAAAAAAAAAAAGGTCTAACTAGCCGCGGCAAAAAGTGGAGGTTGAACCGGAAACGGCAACGGGCTCTTGGCTTCTTCTCCGGTTCAGTCGGGCGAATTGAAGCTCCGAGTCAAATAGAAGTTCGGCCATGGAACAGATCAATCCCGACCTTCATTCACAATAAGTTGACTGTCTCGCTCGGTATCGAGTAGCTTCCGCTGCTCTTACAGTAGACAAGATGCTTTCTATCAATATTCCAAAGCATACTACGCCCGATCAATATGAGTTGGGCGAAGTTCTCTCCCTGGCCGTGGGACGCCCCACCGACATCTTGATCAAAGTCCATGCCGCGAGTATCAACCCGATAGATGTCAAAAAAGCCTATGGGGCAACCAAAATGGTCCTTAAGGACAGGTGAGAGTCTTGTGTTCCCGGATTTATCCCCCATCTAACTTATATGTGAAGTTTTCCGTACAAAATTGGTTATGACTGTGCGGGCACGGTTGTCAATACCGGATCCCAGGTGACGCGCTTTAAGGCCGGTGACGAGGTTTTTGTTCGATTGCCTGAATGTCACAGGGGATCATGGAGTGAGCTCGCAAGGTCGACTGAAGAATTCGTCGCATTGAAACCGAAGGGACTTTCAATGGAAGACGCTGCCTCCATTCCTTTGGCGGCTATGACGTCACTACAGGCGCTTCGGGGTTATGAAGGGGATCTCGAAGGAAAAACTGTTTTTATACCTGCTGGGCGTAGGTTTTTCTCAAATTCTACTATTACCGATTGGATGCTTACCTTGTCACAGTGGGTGGAACGGGCCTTTTCGCCTGTCAGCTAGCGAAGAATGTCTTCAAAGCTGGCAAAGTGATCACCACGGTTTCCACCGCCAAAGTGCCCAAGGTGCGGGAGCTCTTGGGCGAGGGAGTTGTGGACGAAAGTAAGTAGACTCCATTTCAGACTCAAACCGCAAGATGAACTCACATCTACTGTACCAGTCATCGACTATAAAAAGTCGGATCCCAAGACTGTAATTCCTCCGCAATCCGTCGATTTTATTTTCGACACCACAGGAAGTGCGATGGAGTATCTGCCACTTATGCGACCTAAAGGAGCCATCGTTACAGTGACTATACTCACCTCGGGAGATGTTCTCCAAAACTCTAGTGTTATGCGACGATCGCCAGACAAGCAAGACAAGGCAACCGTGCCATTTGCTATCCGTATTGGCTTGAACGTGATGGATCGAATCCGAGTGGCTCGTGCATCTCGCTATGGAGTAAAGTACTCATCTATCTTCTTGGAACCAAATGCGACCGATCTGGATTCGATTCGGCAATGGGTGGAAGCGGGAAAGTTGAAGACGATTGTGGGAACAAAGGCAGACTTCAGGGATATTAAGGCAGTTCGGAAGGCATGTCAAGTAGTCTTTGATGGGAGAGGGGGCGTTGGAAAGTCTGTGATTGTGTTTGTCTAGATATATTTTGCTGGATGAGTAGGTGAACTCATGGATGCGCCTCTAATACTAAATGTGATATTAATCTTTTTTATACACGGCACAGCTAAATAAATACGTGTGCAAGAATTCGTCTCCCAAGTTCGATTTAGGAATACTTAAACGAGATCTTTTATGCTGACATTTTTCACGCAGTGGGTAGGTAAATCAGGTCCCTACCGGTAAGAGATCGAGAGGTGTTACCCGCACTGGTTAAAGTGTCTGCTTAGCCTCGCTCAGATGCAGTGAAACACCCCCCGACCCGAAATTGCGAACGGCGGTCTCATAGCTTTCTTTACTAGCCGACTTGGCCGGCCTATCGGTGCCGGTGCCGTCGCATATAAAGAAAGTCTTTGGCAATATCGCAGTTTGTGTGGACAAATCAAGGAAATATGCAGGGGGTTTGGTCAGTTTTTGATAGTCAGTCTTGATTTCCTTTAAATTTATGCGGTTCTTGCAAGGTGGCCCCATTTTTCAGGAGTACCATAGCACGAGTATATATCCTCGCGACCACCTATCCCCATCTGACAAATAAACAAAGGGTTCAAAGGGCGGGTAGCAGATATTGTGCAGTCGGATGACTGAGATGAGCAAGACCAATGAGCTTGGGCACCATTTCCACCATTATAGAACGGTAATATCGAGAATACATGCCCGGATTTATTCCAACTGCAGCTCGCAAGCATGGTCCGCATCTTGGGTGTGGCCGGATAGATTGTTGGCCCGACTGTCCTGACAAGGTTTGGGTGGACCCAAGCCCTGCAGGGTGCATAGTGAAGCCCGCCTCTTTTAGGTTATTACATGCGGAAACTCCCATGGACCCTGCAGCATCGCGGGCCTTCCGCCACCTTCTGCTAGAAACCACAGTCTTGAAAGCTGAAAGTTACGAATACTACATGTCGGAGTGGCAATCTCCAGTCCCCTGAAGCCATAGAGCGTGGCGTGCTGTAGTTAGATCGATCTTTCGGGTAAATGATGTCCTAGGCACAGGTATAGCATATACTGATGAGCAATGCATCACCCAAGGCCGCAATCATTCCTGTCCAACATACTCCACAGTATTATACACCGAGGTATATGCATAACCCCTATCTGACGGCAGCCTCGGCATCTGATCCCAAATCTCGCCCTTCCCTACGTAGGTATGTGCTGGCTCTTAATTTGATAGGTAATATCCACCTTAAGTAAATCAGTAGTTATAATAGGATCATGTTTCTCAATCGTCGGTCTGAAATTCATACATGAAATCAGCAAGTAGGCCCTGTCTGGCGAAAGATCATTGTTCAATGATGGGATCAGATATCAAGGAACCACTTGAACTACCATGCGGTTTAGTTCTGCCCAATCGTTTAGTGAAAGTAAGTCAAAATGCAACCACGCTCTATGTGATGACGCCAGCTGATGACCTTTGCCTAGGCTGCTATGGCCGAAGGGCTGGCAGAGAAGAGGCATTTACCTGGCCCGCGGATTTCTCGCGTCTACGGTGAATGGGCAAAGGGCGGATGGGGTGCCCTTCTTACGGGTATGAGGATACTGAATTGCTCCCTCGAGTTGATTTCCGCGTTGAAGCTGACGATCTGAAAAGGAAATGTACAGGTCGATGTTCGTCATCTAGGAGGGTACGGTGATCTGGCTACATGTGAGTATCAAGAAGATGAGCACCAGTCATTGCATGCTTGGAAGCAATATGCAGATGCCTGTCAACAACACGGTGCGCCCGCGATCGCTCAGATATGCCATCCTGGCCGCCAGTCCCCGAGAGGTGCAGGTGAACGAGGCTTTTTTGGGAAAGCCATTGCGCCGAGTGAAATACCCCTTGATATCGGAAATGGGTTGGTGGCGGCTATTGTCAGGAACATCGTGTTTGGGGTGCCAAAAGCTATGTCCCATTCCGATATTGCGCGAGTCATCGCCCAGTTTGTGAATTGTGCCCGTATTTTGGCGCGGTGCGGCTTTGCAGGTATTGAAATACACGCAGCGCATGGTTATCTTTTGTGTAAGTTCTTCATCTCTTGATCTCGAGTCAGACTCATCCGCGTACGTCGCTTACCTGAAACATGGATATAGCGCAATTCCTCTCCCCACGAGTGAGCAACACAATCCTACCCACCCTTTGGTCCCACAGTTTATTTAATATACGACCATAAACCCACAGAGCAATATTCGTCAAGATGAATATGGTGGTAGCGCTGAAAAGCGAGCCCGTATTGTTCTCGAAATCATCCATCAGATTCGAAAGGCTGTTCCTGCGACCTTCTGCCTCGGGATCAAGCTGAACTCTGCCGATTATGACACAGCACAATTTGAAGACACCATGACCCAAATTCGTCTCTTTTCTGAGGCCGGTGTGGACTTTCTTGAAATATCTAGCGGAAGTTATGAAGACCCAACGGTGCGTATAGTATATGATATCTCTCTTCCCTCGACATTCAAGGACAGAAGCCCAAGCTGCTGCTGGCTAGCTCGTTTATTTCACGGGTCCAGCTAGTAAACGTTTACTCCGATGCGCTGACAATGTTTGACACATCCAGATGATGGGCCGTGGGCTGCGAGACGAAACCAGAAACGGCAAGAGTCAAAATAGAGAACTTCGGGAGGCCTTTTTTTGGATTTTGCGACAGAAACAAGGAAGCGGTTCCCGAACCTCATCCTTCTACTGACTGGAGGGTTTCGAACCCGCAAGGGAATCGAGGCAGCGTTGAAGGGTGGCGTTTGCGACCTTGTTGGCATCGGTCGTCCAGCAGTTCTCAACCCGGACTTCCCACGACTCATAATGGATGACATATACTCTGACAAAGAAGCCCGGGTGGTGTTTTCTAAAGTTCCAATCCCATTCTTGGCGAGACTACTCAGAATCAGAATGTTAGGTGGAGGCGCAGAAACAGTAAGTTATCTAATGATTATACCTCGTCTTCCACGCATCTGTTCTGACATAACCTAGCAATACTTCCGTGGCCAAATTCACCGCATCGCCGCTGGACTTGTTCCACATGCACCATAAGCATTTGGTCTTGGGTTAAGAAGCATGCAAGAGGCGACGGGCGTTGGCTACATAATGGGCAACTTCCTTGTTCCTGACCATTGGTCATTCTTTTCATATAGAGGCTGAAACGTAATTTTGGCAATTTCATATGGTGTTGATTCAATCGGAAGAAGGATGCCTGTTCTAGCAATCTGTATCAGCGATGTTTAGTGTCTAACGGTTGGACAGACTGAATGGCAGTATCACAGTAGTGTGGAAAACGCACGCAACCCCGTGCACTGATTCAACATTTTTAGTCTACATAGTCACTTCCCTGGTCGACATTAATTGTTTTCGAAAGAAATATCTCGATACTCTTTGGATACTTCACAGACACCCACCTCTTCCGGTCATCATCTACTGGCTTGTAACGGATATCTCCGCCTTCATGTGCTATTTTAATCTTCGCACGGTATAGTGTCTAAGATCGTCGTAAATCTGCAGATCATCCATATGTGCCGTCATGTATCAATATGAACTAGTTATCTACTGTGTCACATGTTTCACTTCTGGCCATCTTGGATTAAAGATTTCAACTTATTGTGCCTATTAACAAGCTATCCTCTTATATTTTGTGGGAGTTTTGTTTAAATGACAAACAGCAGCAGAAATTGTCTCATACTAACGATATTTGGCTCATTCCTTGATAAAGCTAAGCAGATCTTTGTTGACTTCGTCAACATTGATGTTGTGAATAGCGTGGGATCCCCCTTTGTAAATCTTCAGCCTGCCTTGAGGCAGAAGTTTTGCTGACTTCAGTCCAGATGCCTGAATGGGAACAACTTGATCATCATCCCCATGAAGAACCAGTACAGGAATATTAATCTTCTTCAGATCTTCCGTGAAATCTGTTTCCGAGAAATCCGTGATCGAGTCATACGCTGACTTGAAACTGGTGTTCATGCCCTGCTGCCACCAGCTACGAATCTGTCCTTCGCTTTTCTGTGCACCAGGTCGGTTAAGACCAAAGAATGGTCCGCTGGGGACATCCAGGAAGAATTGTGCGCGGTCTTTCCGCATAGCTTCTCGGAACGAATCGAAAACTGACTTGTCCGTCCCCTCGGTGTTGACACTAGTCTTCACCATCAGAGGGGGCACAGCGCCGACAAGCACGGCTTTCTTGAAACGACTTGTGCCGTGCTTTCCGAGGTAATGAGTGACCTCTCCTCCTCCATGGGAATGACCAACCATCACTGCGTTGTTCACCTTCAGGTGGGCGAAAAGCTCCTTGAGATCGTCGACAAAGGTGTCCATGTTGTTTCCATCCCAGGTCTGAGTAGATCGCCCATGGCCACGCCGGTCGTGTGCGATGACACGGTAGCCTTGATCAGCCAGATACATCATTTGGTTTTCCCAATTGTCGCTGCTCAAGGGCCAGCCGTGGGAGAAGGCGACAATAGCGCCGTTGGGGTTGCCCCAGTCCTTGTAGAAGAGCTCGGCTCCATCTCGAAGCTTCAGATGTGGCATAGTTGGTAGAAAATGTGCTCGGTGAGATGTGAAATTTCCAATGTCAAGATTTTCTTATGGACTTGACACGATTGCAATTTGAATGCCATATATGTAGCTATATCTATCTTGGGCTCGTAGTGACACGCCGGAGCTTACCTAAACTAGTACTATGCGTAGTCGTGACATTGTCGTATCGTAGTCTTTCCAAGGTTGCTGCAGTAATGTTGTTCTCGGATAGTTTGTTCACCCGCTCGGTCTAAGCGTCTTTCACTTATTCCTTCCAAGGTTGGTTTGCGCCAAGAAAGATCTTAATTTGTGGGTCCCTCTAGCCACGTACGGAGTAGTACCAGGGCCCTAAAGTTGAAATGGGCCCACGGTCATTATAACCAGTCGCATCTTTTTTCTCAAAACAATCAAGGTCATTCTTCACGTTTAAGATGAGGGTATCTAAGTAAGTTATCAGTTACAGCAGAGTTATATAGAATCTGGTGCTCACAAACCAAAACTGGGGAAAAGAACTAGAAGAGTATATGATGGAACATCACTTTGAGAACCGACCGTTATTGCGCTTTGAAGAATTATCTTCAACAGTCAAACAAATTTATCTTCTGGACGTTTAGCAGACGTGACCAGCAATAGTAATAACGACCCGTATTTGTGACCATAGAGGAAAGATACTACGTGAAGCTTGAGGGGCACCAAAGATCAGTCAGTCTTTTACATCCTTCATTGGGACTCAATTTATACATAGGTATCAACAGGCAATCTAAATTACATAATAGTTCATTTATATCAGCGGCAAGTCAAGATCAGAATCAAAATACAAGTACAAAGGAGGGATTCCCGACACAAAAATAGCGAAGCTAGGCAAGTCAAAACCAAAATAGGACAGGAACAAGAAGAATGGACACCGAGTTCAGTATAGAAGGCTTTTGTTCAATCGTTACTGAAAAGCTCAGTGGCTCTGTGCACTTTTCCAAGTCCGGTAATGGTCCGTCAATGTCTCCTCCAGAGGCCGGTAAACGATATTCAACTGATCTAAGCTAGGGCGATTGTCGATGTCGAAAGGGATTCCCAGGTTCAGTCTCAGCCACTTTTGAGATAAGCCGAGCACTGGCCCAAACATGCGGACTAAGGTATTCGGGAGTTTATTGTTCGGGATTTTGGAAGATTGAGTGATAGATCGTAGGATGCGAGCAAGTTCCCCAAAACCGTGCGTTTTGCTGTCGGCCAGGATATAGCGACCGTGAGAATCAGGAGTTTGGGCAGCTCGGATATGGGCTGTTGCAACCTCTCGCACATCAACAATTGCGAACCACATATCTGGCACCCCAAAAAAGAGCTCACCGCGTAGGAGCTGGTCAAGCAAAGACAGACTGCCGGACTCGGATGTTGGAGATAAGGACGGCCCCAGGACAAGTCCAGGGTTGATAGTCACCAGCTTCCAGCGTGGGGGTGTTGGCTGCGCTTCATACAGCTCCCAAGCCTCTTTCTCGGCGGTCACCTTGGAGTAGGGGTAGGCGTTGTGATTAACTGAGCTGGTTGTGTTGAAATACTCGGAGGAGAGCGTTTTGTTCTTCATTTCCAGCACATCGGCATTGTCGCCAAAGATGGCTGCCACGGATGAAGTCAGGACAACGAGCTTGACCGTCTCGCATTTCTGAACTGCATCAAGCACGTGCTGTGTTCCTTTGAGGGCTGGTTCAACGACCTCTTTCTGGCCGTCACGAATTTTGTTTTCGATGAAAAAAGGTGATGCAATATGATATACCACTGAACAGCCCTTCATTGGAGGTTCAAAGGAGCCTGCCACGAGCAAATCCGCTTCGAATAAAGTCAGTTTCCCGGGCCATCGTTCCTGCATATCAAGGAGGTGCTTGATCTTCTTTTTATTTTTGGTACTGCGAACGGTGGCGTGGACCCGGTCACCATTTTCGAGTAGCTGCTGAACGACATGGCTAGCGATAAAGCCGCTTGCACCCGTCACAAGTGATATATTATCTGTCATGGTCGAGTGTGAACAGAATGATTCAGCAAGGGAAATAAAGGCTCTATTTTACCAAGCTCCCGCACTCGTAGCACTCCCCATCCCTTTATAATTCTATATTGTTCAAAGTCGGTCCTAGAGCTGTGGAGGCAGATACCAGCCGGGGTCGGTTCGTTAATTACCCCGATTTCGTTTTCCTAGGTCCCCAGCATGAAAAAACTTCATTTCCAGGGAGCTTGGCCATTGGTTCAACATCTTGTAGGGTAGTATTTGTCTGCACATCTTCCAAATCGCAAATTATTCACCTAAAGCCAGAATTTCAAGCAGGTTTAGAAGATCGGACAAAACATTTTGATGTTCATAGCCCGCCCCGCCCGCTGGATACGACTTCACAGTCGAAGGTCTCGACGCAAAGGCCGTAAGTTCAAAATTTTAAAACCCATCAATATCCACAAAATCTATAAATTTATGATTAATAGGCAATACATTTCTCACTGATGACTAGTTACGCACATAAACTTTATTTCCGGCTTCATTTGTGGCTTTGCGGGTTTGTGGCAAAACCCAATGGGCCCAGATTTGCGGGTTTTGGCGATGTCTACCTAGGTAATGCGACTGATAGGTGCAAATAATACATAAGCCAGGCATGCGGCCCCGGGGTGGACCGAGGTCTGATTTCAGTCCACGGGTGGCTCCAAATAACTAACCCTAGCCACGGAGCAACAATCATTCCGTCGGACATAGGGAGGAGATTACAACAACACGCACCAGGACTTTCAATAATGAGCCATAGATAGATAAAATAGGTGTCGATATCGTTCCTGAGACCAATATCATCACCTGTCACCGCTTACTAGCATCTTCCGACAAACGGGACCATCATATCCTAGTCTTTGTGCATAGCATACCGCCAGCATCATGTCTTCTACCGCAGGCCGCTCATCAGCGGAATCATCAAAGGCCTCCAAACCGTATGTGGCTATCAAGTCTACTTCTCACCTTGACGCAGTACTGACCCCTCTATGGATATGTAGACGCTCAAAGGGTCCGACCACCCAGGTCAAGTTCGGAGATCAGAAAGTCGATGTACCCAAAGGCGGTTACAATGACCGTTACCGCATGAACCCAAACCTGGACGAGGTAGCCCGCGACCCTGCCGTCGGACCCGAAATTGACTTCTTCCGGAATATCCCAAAGAAGCTGGTAGATTCGAGGGTCGGTGAGGTATACGCGCCCAACTTCTATTATCGCACTAAAAGTGTCCAACTCCTCTTCCTCGCGCCCCTCGGCCGCTTGCAGTCCAAGCTCCCATCGCCTTTGGAGCCCATCACGGCGTTCCCCGGTTACGGTCTGGTCGCGTTGACGTTTTACTCGTACCTCGTCTGCGACAACGATCCTTACAATGAGGTCTCGATCGCCGTCATCGTCCGTCAGCCGGGTGAAGTTAGTTACAGTATGACCCAACTGCTCAGTTCCATATGGAACCGAACCTTCTACGGATATGTGTTGGCTCTACCCGTCGATACCGAGATCGCTCGAGTACGAGGTGTATACGGATACCAATTGCCCAAATGGCTCGCCAACATCAATTTGGAGATGGACGATGACAACATCAAGGCCGACATCACCGCGACCGATGGAACACCCGATTTGACGCTGGAGGTACCCCTTCCAGTTCTGAAGACCTTCCCGTCGGAATCTTCGATCGGGACCAACAACGCGATCAACAAGATCGACGGGAAATGGCACAAGGTGGCAGTCCAGACGAACCCACTCCTCGCGGCACAATGTCTTTTCCCTAGGAACGTCAACCTCTCTCGGGGCGACGGTCCATTGAGTAAACTGCTGAACGAATTGGGCGTTTGGACCATCCTACGGATGGATGTCCTCAAGGATGCGCAAATGGTCTTGAACATGCCCACACCGTTGAAGGCGTTCGATTAATGCCAACTGTTGAAGTTTTCCATACGGTCCTGTTGCCAGTCAGGCAACGAGTATGCTGACCTTACCGTATGGCTCCCCGCTAACGATGATACGGGGCCGGCTGAAATCGTGGTATCTGCGGAGCCCGTCCTTGTATCAGAGTTGTCGCAAGACAAGCATTATACGACAGTTATAATGAGGTGCCTCAGACGAAAATCCATTACATTACGTAGGAACTATCTGGCACCCACCAGGGAAAGTGCATAAGGATACGTGGGACATAGCATTCTCAACGCTCTTCAAGTATTGAGTCATTATTATTGAGTAAATACACAAAAAACTTATAATCAATTAGTTTCCTCCACCATCCTCTCTTTGCTGTCCATCTCTGGGAATCTCCCTAACACCCGCACGGGCTGGTGTGATCCGGCTGCGACATTCACCTCTGGGTGCCTACTAACCAGGCGGTCGGTAATGGCGGTCATGACCGGCCGAGGGCGGCGACGACCTTCTTCGCGGTGTCCGTAGCAGACCCGGGATTCTGCCCAGTCACCAGGTTGCCGTCGACCACGGTGTAGGAAACAAACGGCAGTGTGGCCTTCTTGTAGTGGGCGCCGCGCTTCTTCAACTCTTCCTCGGAGTTATAGGGTACAAGCTTGTTTACACGGGCAAGAACCTCCTCTCGCCAGGCGAACCCGGTTATCTTACGCCCGGCGACAAGGTAGGAACCGTCAGAGAGCTTGGTGTTGAGCAAGCCGCAGTAGCCGTGGCAGACCGAAGAGACGATGCCACCCCGTTCGAAGATCTCTCGGGTGATCTGCTGCAGGCCCTCGCTGTCGGGGAAGTCGTACATGACCGCGTGCCCGCCCGTGAAGAAGATAGCGTCGAATTCGGCAGAGTTGATCTGGTCGGGGCTGGCAGTGTTCTCTAACAGCGCCATCCGTACGGGATCGGCTCGCCACGCTTTCGCAGTCTTGTCGTAGTTGGGGAACTTCAGCGACTTCGGCTCCAGGGGACAGGGGCCGCCCAACGGGCTGACGATGGTCTGTTCGAATCCTTGCTCCTCGAAGACTTGCCAGGCGTGCGTGAGCTCCGACAGCCACAAGCCGGTCGGGTGGGATGGGTCATCGTAGTGCCCGACGTTGGTCACGACCAGTAAGACTCTCTTGGCCATATCTGAGGTTGCTTACGGAGTAGTGCGTAGTTGATTGTGTTCCCGGGTGGGAAGTGCGGTGTGATGTCAGTGCAGTACCGCCCATAGGGTAAGGAAGTTAAAATGCTGACTGACCGCTGTTTGCAACTAACCTTGGAAATGTAGCAGGTTACATGCTTTATCTTATGAGACATAAGCTTTCGAGGCCAAGCCAATAGGCAAAAATTGGTTTTAGGTGGATCCATCGCCATTAACAAATGCCGACGGGTAGATCCTCCATAGTATTAGCGCTTAGCCCACTTAACCGGCCCTTACATTTTTTACCAAAATTACAGACCCTCGCTATGAATGTAAGGGCCGGTTAGTGGCAAACGGGACAAATAATCTCCCCGAAAGTCAATAACCGTGACTAAGCATTCACCTACACCCGTACCCGTGTGTAGGTGAGCCAATGCCTATTCACAAACCAATGCCTATTCACAAAAAATTCAACCTTCAATTTTCAACCTTACTTTTTACCACCAAAACAATGCCGATTTCCTCCGAACAAGAAGAGATCCTTCTCTCAAATGCCCTCGAAGCCTATAAATCAGGCCAATTCAACAGTATTCAGGCCGCAGCCTCTCATTTTGGCGTGTCAAAGTGGAAGCTCCGGAGCCGGCAGCAGGGCAGGTCAAATGGAAAAGGCCGTACAGCCACCAATAAAGCACTAAATCAGTCGCAAGAGAAATCCCTGATTCGGTGGATCGAGCTACTTAATTCAGTATATACACCACCGACTGCTTTAGATATTGAGGGTGCTGCAAATCGCATTTTACAGCACTGCGGTTCCGACCGGCAGGTCAGCAAAATGTACGGCTACCAATTTATTGCACGCCTACCACCGCATATCACTCTCCGTACGCAAAAGCCTATGGAAAAAGCGAGAATCGAGGCTGAGTTACACGGTGAATTAGTTCATTGGTATGAGGTCTTCGGCCAATTCCTTAAAAAGAATAAAATTCAGGCCCACGAACTATATAACTGGGATGAAACTGGCTTTCAGCTAGGCATTGGAACTAAGGAAAACGTTGCTTCTACCCGTGAAAACGAGACTATCGCGACCGGTGGAATAGGCCAGAATATCACTGGCATTGAATGTATTTCGGCCGATGGCTGGGTTATGCATCTATGGTTTTTAATGCGTGGTTCTGAACAAATGGAAGATTGGTACGACGGCGATAATGACCCTTCCAATTACTAGGTTATTAAACCAACTACAAAAGGCTGGACGGACGATAAAACCGCGATTCAATGGCTATTGGATTTCCATTATGCCACTAAAAAGCGAGTTGCCAGAGGCAGACCTAGGGTATTGGTTATAGATAACCATGGTTCTCATAGAACCCCGGAATTCGAACACATTTGCCAAAGCTTCAATATCATACCTTGGTGGTTTATACCGAAATTGACACATCGATGCTAGCCTCTCGATGGCAAGCCATTCTCAGTTCTTAAACAGAAATTCCGAAAGAAGAACAATGAGATTGTACGATGGGGTGGAGATGTTGACGATAAACGGCACTTTCTTCAGATGATCAAAACAGTTCGTAAAGACACATTTAAATCACGAACTATTAAATCATCATTCTATGATACTGGCATTTGGCCTTGGAATCCATATATTGTCTGTGATCAAATTGATCCTGGCTGGGAAGATGAACTAGTGATTGAGATCTATGGTCATACACCTTCGCCGGAGGTAGAAATTCCTAGTTCAATCACCAATTCACCGCCTAATTCAGATCAAAGGTTCTCAAAAATTGAGAATAAGCTTCAAACGATATTCGAAAACGATGAACCAGACCTTCCGAAGGTTCAAAAGCATATAAAACGTGCGATTCAGGGCGGCAAGCAGGCCATCCAAGACCTAGCCCTTACAAAACAGACGATCAAAAAGATGCAAAGCCACAAAATTCCTATCAAAAAGTCAAAGCGCATTATAAAAGGCGCTTCTAAGTCTCCGTTATCGTCAATTACAGGTAATTCGAGGGTTCATCGGCGCTGTACGAAGGAATCTAGATTGGACATTCGGCATGAGAACGGAAACGCAAGGATTCGAGACTACTGGCTCCGCGCCAACCAAGCTCTTAAAGAAAAAGAAGAGGCATTAGGAGGTAGAGATTATCTCGATGCTGAAAATGAGCTATTTCAATTTATAGATCCAGATGGTATGGTGGTTGAAAAATAGGTCTGAAATTGAAAGGTTGGATTTTTTGTGAATAGGCATTGGTTTGTGAATAGGCATTGGCTCACCTACACACGGGTACGGGTGTAGGTGAATGCTTAGTCACGGTTAAGTTCTTGCCGCATCAACAAGAACCGAGGTGTATCAAATTCCAGTCAACTGCCAACCGAGGGTTTTTTTCTCGCAAGTTTTGGGTTTATCTTCAAGTCGCATATGTTCATAGAAACATTTGAAAGATGCTGGCTCTCGCCTTGACTATCTTTTCGAGCGGTTGATAATGACGTAACGATAATGTGTATTTTATAGTCATCTCAAAAATGTTCGATGATTTTAAAAAATTACATCTCGAACTCATAATACTCCTTGAATTGTCCTCCATCTCGAAGGCCCGTTTCTAAACCACGCCCAAAAAAGCTTCCTGATCCAAAAGGATTTAGGGCTTCCCGTCGAACAGAACCAAGTTGGCACCAGAATTTGCTGCATTAATCGTAACTCAAATTACACCATCTGTGATCCTTCTACTATGGGCAGTTAACATGTACATTTGTTGATATTGAGGGATATTTTAATAATGTATTTCAACAATAAATTAAGAATCTCGGTCAGATATCATTTGTCTGAGACTTTGCAGACTGAGAGATGCCCTAGGTTTGGCTAAACGAGAGCATCAGTGTAGGGCTGCCCAGGCCTGGAATAAACCAGCAGTCGCCGTGAGAATTCCACTCGCCTTTACTCCTCGGCGAAGATACCAAGCAGAGCTGGACCAGGCAATGAGGGTAATCAGGGCAGCCATGGCACGGTTTAGTGGTTCTTCCAAAGCTTTGGGGTTTTGTGCCCAATGGAGATTAAGGAGAGCTAGAAATGGATTTGTCAATATCGAGAACCTTGTTTCATAAGAGAGTAAGATGTACCAGTTAGAACCAAGTAGGCACTGCCTTGATACCATCCAACTGTACTGCATGTGTATGCGATATTTGGCAGTTCCTGAAATTGGCGGAGACGCTGGAATTGTTTCCCGGAAGCCTGACAAGATAAAATGAGATTATGCTCGCTCATAGTATAGCTTTCTCGTTGGTATTTCGTTCGACACTCACCGCATGCTTTATGGCAACAAGAAGGGAGCCGTATCCGGCAGCTTTGAGGAGAGTAGGATCTGGCATTTTGTGCTAGACAAGAACAAGAAGTGACTTTAAAGCTAGCGGTCGAAACTCTGGATCCCTTGAATTCAAATAGTTGTGACAAACTAAAGAAACTGGAGGATAGAGGAGCGCGTACTATTAATCCTAAAATATTCCAGGTCAACTTTGACCTCGGTATATACTTTCCGGCATAGTGTAGATCGAATTGTTCGTTCGGGAGGCAACCTTGGAACAATAAGTGAAATATAATCAATCGGGAGGATCAAGCGGGAGGGCGGGCGAACAATTGGTCCGGCTCGTTGGCGGGAATTGCAAGGGACTCAGGGGCTCCAAGGCCGCGGGGAACATCACAACTTATGTAATCTCCGGGATTACCTAACTAGGTAGTAAGCTCGGTCATGTGATTGCGAAATTCTCACCATCCCGCGACCGAACGCTTCTGGACATGAACTTTCAAAATATCACTACGATAAAAATTCTACTATAAATATATGGACAGTCACCAATGTCTAGAAGCTTGAAAGTGGTGACCCCAAGAGGCAGCAGCGTATGGACCAAGAGGATATTGACGCAGACGCGTTTCGAGATCCTTAGCCGTTGAACAATGCCCTGCTTTGAATTCATCAAATGAGGTATGCCACACAAACGCTACTAATCTCATCGTGTGCCTTTTGGAACCAGGTAGATTGGTTTCGCTCGAAATATCTTTGGGTTGTGTAGTGAACAGGCCGGATTATTTTGCTTTGTTCGTCAACTGTCACTAATCCTGCACAGACAGAGACCATATCGACTACGTCAGGTAGGTTCTCTTCGTCAAGCTCCGATTCGCCAACTTCAACAGTAAGCGCAGCCTGCAGCTCGACTGTGGTGGGTTGTCTTGTTCCGTTAGTGATCCATGCTACGACCTAAATTGCCATCTCTATTTGGTCGGGGACTTGTCCTTTGATTCGCATCATGGCATCGTCATATGCAGAGTCGTATTGTTTAGCCCTCGAGGAAAGGTCTCTCAGGGCAGATCTAATTGCTTTTGGCGACCGTTTACCCACTAACGAATTATGATAGAGTTGCGCTAGTTAGAACGTATACAAGTTAGAGATTTTAAGCCAGTTATTAAAAAGTAATAAGTAAGGCTTGGTGTCAACTCACATTCCGTCAACAGCTTCAGTAATCACATTCGAGATCTACTCTTGTAGATCTTGGTTTCGTGATACGAATGACGGGAGCATTGTCAGATTGTCTTGGAGGTATCTATTCACGTCCTCCTTACTAGCACGAATCTCAAGTGTTGTTTGAACTTCCCGGTTATTCCTGGGATAACCCGTGAGCTTGCAATGAAGCACATGTCACGTCCACACTTAGACTGAAGGCTAAAAACCACGTCTAGGAGGATCTCCCGTGATCTACTAGAGACCTGACATTCGTCTAAAGTGTCGATAACAATGAAAACGCGTGGAAAATGGGATGAGTTCGAGAGTGAATGCACAACTTTTGAAATTTCCCTTATTGATAGTCTTGTTCCCGTGGACATATGTGTATCGTATAATGCCCTCACGCTGCTTGGCATAGTCTGTTGCCCCTGGACCAACTGTTTTAGAAGGTTCCCTACCAGACTGACCGCATCCTGTTCATTATGATGCTGAAAATTACAGTAGATATAAACTATGCCAACGTCGCTATCATTTTCATATCGATCATAGAGCTCGTCAATCAAAATGGATGTTAAAATTGTCTTCCCGGCGCCAGGAATCCCACGGCAAAACAATGTCGGCTTTGAATTCGAGCCCGAGATCCAGGATTTGAACTCAGGTGACTCTAAAAGCCATTGGTCGGTCCCTTGCTCACGTCGACTGATATAGTCATTTTGCAGAGTGGCGTAATTCAAGGGTGATAACCAGCCTAGGACCACTTGGCGTTCGTCGTCTTGATGCTGTACTAATCTCGTGACAATATTTCTCGTTATTTTTCCGTTGAATGCATTCAAAAGTACAACATTGGGGGTGATTCGATGGCGCAGTTCCTGGTTCTCGTTTGGTTCCCATTTCAGGCGTTTCCTGGCCCGCTTCACTAAGTTTTGTTTCGTGTCATTTGAAATTAGGACGCGATAGATATAAATCGTTTTTTCGACATCGGTGAGGACATTGCGGCAGTTTTTTGTTATTCCCTGCAGCTCGGTCTCTTGTTGGCTGCTTAGCTCCTTGCCCGATAAGTCGATTCCCACATCTTGTACTACGAATGATAGGTCTCTGACTCTGCCAAGAATTTAGTTACCAGAAATAAAACGGAAGCGAAAGTAAACCCACCCATCAGAAATCGCCTTGAATTGCGCAGGTACTTCCACAAACTTCTTTCGAATTTTGATCACAGCGATGAAAGTCCCCGACGCCGAAAACCGAAACTATCTTGAGTTTCCACTGCAAAAATACAAATATCTTGGTGAGAAGAATGGATGTCAGATTCAATCGAACAGACAGCTGCGGCTGAGGACTGAAGGGAGAGAAATCTAAGGCTGGGGGTGGAGTTGAGGTGGCGGGGGAGATCGACACGTAGCTGCAGTCTTTAGAAATCAACACGCCATTGGCTGTGTGAATTGATCTAACTAGAACGGGTTTAGGATATTAGTGAGATCGGAGAGGAGATCTGAGATATAGGATCTCAAGAATAAAGTATTGCTACATGTTCACTAGTACATACATACTAGTGAAAGTTAATCTCTGCCCCTTTCATCGCCCCACCGAATACGGGCTTGTTTGTCTCATTTTGAAGTTTCTGAAAGCCTGCTGATCGGAAATCGCCGGTTCCAGCTGAGCAAGACCGGAATTTGCTAAACTTAAAGAGTGATCGACAATTCTGGTTCGTGCATATTTGGGTTGGACACTGATTTTAGACTTTATACTATCTTCACGTCTTCATTAAGGCCCGGGTGGGCCCTTTCAATTTGATAGATTTTCGTTATTAGGTATGTGTCTCTGTTCAACTAAATTCGGAAATTTAATTATAGTCGGGAGGGAGTTCAACCCCGGGGCCCTGGCGCCCCGGCACTCGAGTCCTCAACTACATGTATGAAATGAGGGTCAATAGTACCTAGGTATCTTTTGCCGGTGCTGTAATAGGTAATTGGACTAGTGTCCTTCCGGCAATGCCGATCAGCTGAGTACCCGCTTAAAATTCAAAAGCGGGACTAGTACAGTACTATATCAGATCACAACGGAGAGATTTTCATTCGGGAGGAAGCTAATGAAGTCAGGCCCTTGCATATCTAGTTTCCACTACCAATAATTTTGTACTCGATTAGTGCAATAGGTAGCGAATAAAGTAAATATATTTATATCTCTCTTTCTCTCTTTTTTTGCATTACTCAATCGACTTTCGTATACTCGTTTGAATCCTTGATAATCCTACAGACAATAACACAACACCTGGATTTGAGGTATTATAGGCTTTGCTGCCTCCACATTATCATGACCCTGACAAGGCACGGCCAATCGGCTCATATGAGCACAACACTCCAACTCTTAGGGCGCGTACGTGATTTGAGGAACAAGAGGCGAAACATTGTGCTCAACGGCAACGACCTCGACATTGCTTCCATAGTGGCCGTCGCCCGTCATGGAGTCGAGCCCATTATCAGCACGGACGAGCTGCTCGCCAAGCGGCTGGAGGCCTCCGTCGACACTCTAGCCGATATCATCTCTCAGAAATATGTCATATATGGCGTCAACACCGGTTTCGGAGGCAGTGCCGACACTAGAACCAACGAACTCATCGACCTGCAGACCCATCTGCTCCAATTTATCCAAAGCGGAATCATCACTACCGCTGACAAGGATCCGTCCAGCAACTCGGAGCGGGAACCATCCCACGTCATGCCTCTCGCCTGGGTTCGAGCCGCCATCGTGGCCCGAGCTAATCAGAATCTCAGGGGTCACAGTGCCATCCGCCAGTGTGTGCTCAAGAGCCTGGTTGACCTCCTGCACAATGGCATTACTCCCCTAATTCCACTTAGGGGAACCATTTCTGCATCTGGAGATCTTATGCCCATGGCGTATATTGCCGGAGCAATCATGGGAAACCCAGATGTCTTTGTTCAGGTGGGTAAGGGTGCACAAGCCATAGTTATGCCTTCCTCCGAGGCCTTGAAGATGAGCGGGCTTTCCCCGTCGGGACTCGGTCCAAAGGAGGCACTTGGGCTAATCAATGGCACTGCTCCTTCTGTGGCATTGGCAAGCTTGGCATTGTATGATACGCAGCAACTTGCGTTGTTGTCTCAAATGTTGACGGCTTTCGCTTCCGAGAGCTTGGCGGGAAATGTAGAGTGGGCTCATCCGTTTATTCACGCCACTCGACCCCACGCTGGGCAAATTGAGGTGGCAGGCAATATCCGGCGCTTCTTGAAGGGCTCCAAGTTTGTTGTTGGCTTGGACTCGCAGAAGACATCCGGTGATGGACTCTGCCAAGATCGGTATTCGACAAGAACAGCTCCCCAATGGATTGGACCTTACATCGAGGACCTTCTCTTAGCGCAACATCAGCTCGAAGTGGAGCTCAACTCCACATCAGATAACCCTCTGGTGGACACTAGCAAGCAACACGATGGTTCTAGTGGGAGAGTGTACTCTGGTGGGAATTTCCAAGCAGCTGCCGTCACATCAGCTATGGATAAGGCTCGTTTGGCCATTCAGATGATAGGACGAATGATTTGGTCCCAGGTCACTGAGATTATCAACCCTGCTACAAATAATGGACTCGAGGCAAACCTTAATGCGACTGCACAAGAGAACTTCACCATGAAGGGAATCGACATCAACATGTCAGCGTACATGTCTGAGTTGGCAGCCCTAGCACACCCGGTCTCTGCCCACGTTATGTCAGCCGAGATGCATAATCAGGGTATCAACTCTCTTGCTCTGATTTCAGCTCGACGCACTATGGAGGCTGCGGATCTGTTGGCACATATGAGTGCCTGCCATATATATGTCTCATGCCAGGCTGTTGAGATCCGGGCAAACCACGTCCGATTCCTTTCAAAACTCCGCACCAAGATGGAGGACTTCACCGCAAGCGGAGCCTTGTATGGACTCGGATTGAACGATTTGCAGATTGAGACGCTATGCGCGTCACTCCTCCCCATTGTCCAGTCGAGCTGGTATCGCGCAAACTCCAATACTTGGAAAGACCGTGTCTTGTCTGTGGTTGATGCCGTTATGTCGCCAGTGAACGAATTCGTGGCCACTCACAACCCTGATTGTTCAGTGTCAACAATCCTCGCCTTTAAGAGTCATTTCCAGAGCGTTGTATCCAGCACAGCGGAGGAAATATTTTATCCCGGTCCGACTATTTCCCCCGAGGAGGTTGCTACGCAGCTCGGTGGGGGAACGGCACAGATCTATAACTGGGTGCGCTCGAAGCTGAACATCCCTATGAACTGTGGCCTCCAAGACGATCCTTTGTATAACGCCCAGAAGGGTCTCCCCACAAAGGGCAAAAGGAGCATCGGAACCTCGGTAAGCATGATATATGAGAGCTTGCTTAAGGGTGAAATGATGGATGTGGTTCTAGAGGGTTGGACGCAGGACTAGGCACATTGCACATTAAGGGATTTGAGAGTATTTAATGGTATTTAATGGAATTTAATTCAATCTAAAGAGTCAGGAACGCACTGGATACGCCCAACACAGGCCCAGTATTACGATTACATTGTAATATTAAAGACACTTCCCCAAGTGGTGTGTTGATAGTTTGAGATTTCGCCACCATGTTGCTATTTGGTGAGAAATGCTGTTGAAATAGTACAGTGAGAACTATACTGCATGTAACAAATGGAATAAAAATCTTCTGCAAAGTGATACTATAATATATTACCAGAAATGAAATTGTAAACTCTCGAATATCTTCAAGATAGAAAGAAGCCCATATTCATAGGTTTCTCTCCCTCTCCTATATATCCAGAAACCCCTCAATTGACGAATATGAATTTTCAATGTTATCATAAAGAAGAAGATGAAATGGGGGTGACAACACTAAGTGTTGATTCTATTGACTTAATGCTCCATGTGATACAACGTGATGGTTATTATATGTAGGAATTGGTGTTGTAGATATCAACTGCATCAACGGCGCTAATCTTGATTCTGCAGGAGTTCAAAATTCTTGGCATGCAAGAATTGCATTATGATTCATAGTGCATAAAGCACATTGTACTAGGGTTAGGGTTGAAATCCCAATTCCATGTTAATTTCTGAGAATTAACCGGGATTCTCGACAAAGGCCATAGCATTGATACGAACCCTATGGCCCTCGCGTATTTGCAGACAAGCGCCTGTCAAGTTCGTTAGCTGCCTCAATAAATCCAGCTACGTTCAGTTGAGAGTATTCAGGGCAAAACATCATATCACATGCAACATGATTGATTTTGTTCGCCATCTTGAGGATTTTCAGCAATCGCCAGGGCCGCCGTGTTCCCCTGTGGAAGTCTTCGACGCTTGCTGTTCTGGCTTGGGCTCCTGCAGTCTACGGGCAAGGATATTAATGAAATCTAGGACGAGGCTAAGATCGCTGAGGTAAAACTACAATAGAGTCAAGCTTGAGGCAGTGTAGATGAGTTACGAGAAGACCAATTATGGTAGACAACCTAGGTAGATCCGTATCTAGGCGCTACTATAAAAAGGGCAGCCTCCTGACCTAATAAGGGGAAAGAAAATTTATATAAGAAATCACCCCTGAAAAGAAAGAAACTCCCGCCCGAGACTAATTATATCCGAATAGCACCCTTAAAGCCCTACTGAGGCTTAAATTAGGCAACCCTTTCGGACGAAGTTAATACCGCCCTTAATATCTTAGAAGTTAATAAGCGAAACCTATACCTTAGAATATATAGAATAATAGACCACCGCTATGTAAATGGCTGAACACTATAGCAACTGATTCATCGGGAAAGGTGAGCTAGCAATGAGGTCCAATTGTGAAAATTGCGAAGCAGTGCTGCCGGCAAGCTCTCGAATGATCCTACCATAACGAGTTTCGAGAATACCACTGTCTCGCAATAGTTCTCACATTCTTCGAAAGAAAAAAACATTTCGCCAACTATTACAATACCAGCCCGTGGATGGCCCACGTGTATGCTAGCCTTGGCAACAAAGGCACCGGGAAAGCCGGGTGCCTTGACTTTAGGTTCCACTTGCCGAAAGCATGGCACTCATTGCGCTCCAGACTGTGGTTCAATTGAAACACAACCAAAGCTTAGCCAAAGCTTAGCGCTCGGGCTTCTGTATTGTACTAGTCGTACATTAATCAACATTCCGTATTGGCGCGCTCGACTTAATCACTGGATGCAGACCACCCTCATCGACAATAAAATACACCCGCTGAGCTTAGCATCTGCTCTGCAGAGAGAAGATGCAATTTCCACACGCCGATCGAACACGTGCTGATTGAAGCCAATACGCGATCGAGATCATACACGTGTGTAGGTCACAGTATAGGCTTCAGCCATACTGACAAGTATAAATAAAGATGGGCTGTTAGTCGGTCAATGTCACTATTTCAAAATCACTTGATTACTATTTCAGTTCCGGAAAGATGGGCTTCCTAACCAAGGCAGCCACTGCCATGGCCGTTGTATCTACGGCCTCCGCTCAGTATACCCTCCCGGATAGCCAGGTCCCCTATCAGGGTGGCAACGTCTTCAAGGCGAACGACCCTGAGCTCAAGAATTTCACCTTCACCTACAAGACTCCGTTCGAGCCTAAGCAGTATGGCGGTTACTACTCCTGGGCCGTCAATAACAAAACTGTCGCTGGTGCCAACTTCACCGGTCCTCACATGGAGCCCGGCTACGACTACATCCCCGAAGGTGCCTTGACCACCCACCCTTACTTCATCATCAACGAGGGGAATCCCAAGGTCATCAACAAGACGAAACTCTTTGGCGACCATCATCCTAGCCGTGCCCACCCCCGTGACCTTCGGGACGATCGAAGCATAGGCAAGGACGGTGAAGGCAAGGGCGGTGAGGGCAAGGTCAAAAAGATCCTTCACGTTATGTTTGAGAACGAGGTCTATAGCTGGACCATGTCCTCCCCTTATTGGCAGATGCTCGCCACTAAGGGAAAGTCTCTGACCAACTTCCATGCCATTACCCATCCTTCATTGCCAAACTACGCTGCGATTGTGGCTGGTGACTTTTTCGGCTTGGCCAATGAAGACTTCTACAATGTCAACGCTACCACCATCTATGACCTACTTGACGCTAAGGACATGTCCTACGCCTCATACAACGAGTGGTACAACCCGATTGAGACCCATCGAGGCCCTAAAGACTGCAACAATTACATCTTTAACGGCCCCTACGACAACACCAACCCGAAATGGTCTTCCCCTCTCTACCGCCGTCTCGATGTCCCCGCTCTGCTCTTCAGCACTTACACCACCAACTACGACCGCTGCTCAAAGCTCTATGATGCAAACAACACCTTCGCCGAGCACGTCAAGACCCACGCCTTGCCTGAGTACTCATACTATGTTCCTGATATGCTCCATAACTGCCACGACCCTGAGTCCAACAGCGTCTACATCAACCAGCCCTCCACCGGTGCTATCTGGTTCAACTCGTGGCTTGACCTGTACCTCCCCGAATTAGAAGCTCAAGGCACACTTGTGGTTGCTACCTTCGACGAGGCCACCTGGCAGAATGATGATGACTCCACCCCCAACAACGATAATCACATCGTGACCATGCTATTCGGTGCCGGTGTCACCCCTGACACCAAGGACGACACCTATATCACTACCTACGGTCTCCTCCGTGGTGCCATCCAGAACTTCGGCCTGGGTTCTCTCGGTCGTAACGACACCAACGCCACCAATGGCAATCTGTATGACCTGATCTACTAGGTACTCAGTCCCTTTGCGGCTGCTAGGCGCGACAAGAAGTCTTTCTTTTACATTTCCCTGTCCAAGTGCGTCTCTTGTATATCCTGACTTGTGAAACTGTGCAATCGATGAGTGGAGAGTTTTAATTCGTGGTAGACATCTCTTTTTCTTTAGATAACTTAACTTGAGGAACCATCTCATTTTTTTATAATTTGCGCTACAAACATTTTGCTCTCTTTCCTATAATCCTCAAGTTGACCTATAAATTTCTGTATTTTATGCCGAACTGGGGATTCCTGTTCAGAGAAGGAAAGTATTCGAGCATAGCGATATCCAGGTGAAACAGAAGTGACGTAGATACATTATTATGATAGAGGACAATAAAGCTGTAGACAGCAATAATTTAAATCTTGAACCATACATTTGTGCATCCTAGGTTGGTTGGCAAATTGTTGGTATTGACGGGCGAGGGTCTATTCAGGGTCGCCCTCTGAGTTGGGGGCTTGGGGGGTCCTCCTTGCTCGACCGGGGTGGGTCTGCCAATGTGTTCTCCAATTAGCTTGGCAAAGCTTAGAACGTGGACCAGACATCCATGGATGTGGTAGGTAGCTAGGTAGTCCGGAGACTTCTTAGAGTTTGGAGCTTGGACAGCATAAAACGGGTGCCTAGAGTACCAACTATATTCTAGAATGCTTAATACTCATAAACGTGTTCTATACAAGCTGGGAAACCTGTGAGGTCGGTCGGAAAGTGGGTCTACTATGGTAGTAGCTCGACCAGGGAATTGGGTTTAGGCATCAAGAATGCTGCATATGTTTAAAGCAATGATCACCTCTATGCTCAATCAAATGTAAAAACGCTTGATATCTGTCTTCATTTCTGTAGAAAACAATTAACATAACCACTTTGTAATGACTGATTTTTTTTTCACTTACCTTAGATCATTGCACCCTAATTCCTAGCAGAATGAAGAAAAAAATCCGTGCACCGTCTAAAAGCTTAATGCCTTGCTTAATTTCCTTCTCCAATCAGGGCCACGGAAAATCAGCCATCTCTCTGACAGGACGGCCGGACGGCCCACTTCATCCAACAGCAAAACAAAGTATTGCCACGAGGTCTGGAAATCGCATTTCATTAGATAGATTCTCTGAACGAATTTTTCGAGGAGAGAACTGGTAAATGGCAAACAGGATTTTGAAAACAAAGGGATATGGGGTTGGAAATATATAGCACGTGTCGACCGACGGAGACACGCCTATAAAACCTATCGGCCCTGGAGGACATTCAAATACCGTGTCATTTATTTAGTTAGATTCGTGAAAAGATTGCAGAGTTCGCGATGTCAACCGTCAAAAGCATTGTTTTGGCCTTGGCTGTAGCGGCTAGTGCCACCGCCTCCTCTGACTCTAAAGGCCACGCAGGAAGTGATGTGCTCACCGTCGGTGTTCTTGGCGGTATTGTTATCATTCCTAACTAGATATGTTCCCTGGACCGACTTGACTAACATTCACAACCTTTATTAGATTACGGCTGGACTGGCTGGGAGCCCGCTCCGGTGAACTTCTGCAACAATGTGATGCCCCGCCTGATCGCTAATAACATCACTATTCCTCGCGAGCTCCAGAATGACTGTGATGCTGGTGACCGTGGAAACATCGCTAATGCCACCGCGGAGCAAAGTAGGTTTATATTTACTCACCTTTTTCCATACGAATGGGCTCTGCTAACTGAATGGGCAGCTGCTACCGCATCTTATATCGGCAAGGTTTGCGCCATGAAGAACTGCAGCGCCATCGTGTCCGTCGGTGATAACTTTTACTCAAGCGCCATTGACTTCACCACTGGCGGTGTTAGTCGCTTTGAAAAAGCTTGGTCCACCATGTACAATGGCGGAATCTTCAACAACACCCGCTGGTACCAAACATTGGGTAACCACGACATTGTCAAGGGCCAAGCTGGTGTGGACTTTCAGACCAAGATAGCCCCCCTATACGACAGCAGATGGTATTTTGGTACTGAGGGACTTCCCTATTATACCTATGACCTGGCTGGCGAGGACTGGAAGGCCACCTTTGCAGTGGTGGACTCGGATTGTTTCATCAACGCCTACCAAAAGAACACCTCAGTTTACCAGAACGACTACACCCTATCCTGCCACAAAGATAAGCAGGTCCAGGTCGACTTTGTCGAGCAGGCCTTCGCTAAGTCTGATGCTCAATGGAAGTTCCTGCAAATCCACCACGGCTATGTCTCCTCCAGCACCAACTTCACTGAGCTTTCTCCGTTTGTTGAGATCGTTGAGAAGTATAACGGCATTGTTGTTAATGGTCACGATCACTGCCTCGCTCACTATCACCTTAACAACACCAACTTCATTCTCACTGGTGGTTCGGGATACGCTGAGCCCGGAGACTGCAACAACGGCGTTGCCTTGGGCCCCTTTGCAAAGTTCCTTGGTGCCAACTCCCAGGGTGCTGGTAACGGTTTTGTCACCATGGACATCAGTAAGAAGTCAGTCAACGTTGAGTACTACGCTCGTGACATGTCCTATGAAGGTGGTGACCTATACCCTGTTAAGAACCAGATGGAGCCTATCTACTCGTTCGTTGTCGATGCTAAGAATTGAGCTCATCTAGCCTGATGGGGGATTTTATATCCCGCGATTTTCTTTCACTTCCTGATACCCTTGCAAAAGGGACAGGTGGTGATGTTTCACCTAAGGCTACACAAGACTAAATGATGAATGGATTCAGATTTTTCAAATTTGTATTACAGGGAGCCTTTTTGAAGTAACGGGCCGAGTAGTGTTCGGTTTTTATTTTTGCTATATTTTCAATAAAATGCCAGATAGCTTCAAAATAAACGAGGATATTTTACCGACTCTCTCCTTTTACCCCCGTATTGGTACTTTTGGAATTCAGGCTCATAACATCTGATGATTTTATACTATGATGCAGCTAGGGGTTAGTGCGGCGGTCGTGCGATAGAAAGTGATTCCCACCCTAGTTCCCACCCTGGTTCTCAACCCGTCTATGTGCACGCGCCGCTCTCACCCCGAGTCGCGCGACGCTAAAACTGTTCACCCTCGCTAACGTGCCACCACGAATCGATTTAATTTACAACTCATATTTGTTAGAAATGAAAAGCAAGCACATACGACCATAGGGTGTGGAAAACAGGGCTTCCCATCCGCTCAGCCGTACTTAAGCCACATGATGAACGCGACCGATAAAAAAGAAGCCTTGATCATCAAAAGCAGCAAGAGCTACTTCACTAGGGTGAGTGTGGGCGATTTGGGTGCTTGAGGTGATTGAGGTGCGTTGGGTGACTGACGGGTGAGAACGTGAGCAAGGTCTTGGCACTACCACAACCACAACACAAAGACCCAGCTTGGGGATGCAGAATTTGTTGCATTACCCGTGAACACGTTAGTTACAGTCCTGTAGGGATTGCCAATGGATGGGTAAAAATTAGATTAGCTTGTCTCAAGCTTCGGGAACCAAATTGAAGGACTAAGATGGTAGAACTGATTTCGAATATCAATACATACGTTTCTAGATTAATGCGTTATATATTATGAAGATTGTCTAAATTCAAAATCCAGTATACTGTAGTAATGCTGCGAAGGAAAACTTCCAGTTAGCCGGCGCGATAAGTCCCGATAAGGTCAATGCTACATCTCCTCCACGGTCAGACCAGCGTACCGAAAGTGGCCTTCGGCGCTTTCCCGCGTTGAGCCAACGGCATCAACGCACCATTCCAGAAAATGATCGAACCCTTGGTCCGGGTTCTCTTCGCAGGAATACTAACTCCGCCGGATGAAAGCCTTAACTTCAGCAAAGAACTTTTCAATAGGATTCAAGTCAGGAGAATATGGAAGCAAATATACTAGCTTGACGCTGGCTTCAGAGCATAACTGTTCTATTCGGACCGAGTAAAGAAAAGATGTCCATGACCAACACTGACTTCGGCTCGGGCCGTTTCCGACAGTGCTGGAGAAAATGCTCAATATAATCCTCGAAATTCACCAATCGAGAAGCTTAGCAAGTCTCTGTGGAACACACCATTCTTTACAGAGGAATGGTAGCCTGTATATCGCTTGATTAGTGGCATCCCATACCAGCAAAGCAAGATCCACCAGATTTTAGGCAGGAACTGTCCGACTTACAGCTGATTGTGCAGAGTAGAGAATATTGAGTTTGTTGACTATTTGGAGAGTAGACGTATGATCTGGGCCTAGGGCCTTCTCATAGCCTGCCAGTGCTCGTAGGTACATCTCCTCTGCCTCTTTCAGCCTTCCCTGATTAGAGTATAGACTCCCAAGGTTGTTGACTACCTGGAGAGTAGACGTATTATCTGGACCTCGGGCTTTCTCACAGCCTTCTAGTGCTCGGCGGTGCATGGCTTCTTTCTCTTCGTACTTGCCTTGTTGTCCACCAAGCACTGAACCAAGATCCTCGACCTTATCGGTCTCAAGTATCAATCAATCAATCAATCAAAGCTCAATTAACCTGTTGCAGTCTAACTAGTTGCGTATGACTATGCAGGCGCTTCATCCAGCTGAAGCAAGAACTCGAAGCCAAACGCCGAGCTGGGATTTCTTCCAGAGAGTATACAGTTAGATGCTGATCGTAAAGAATGTGGAATCAGCCCATTCCTGTAACCCGTAAACCCACAAACCCATACCCATGCCCATACATAAGAAATATATAACGATCGCCATGGAGTGCACCCTCCATCTTCCATCTCTCACTTCTCACTCTCCCCTTCCATCCTCTGCAACCTCCCCCTGCCTCAGTTTTAATTGATGGAGTCGTTCTCCTGGCCAGTTGATTGGCATGTTTGTCGACTCTGGCTGAGTTCTCGTTTCACAGCATCTTTTCTCGTCACTGGCTAATACCCATCGTCTTCCACACCTAGATCCATTGCCGCGAGGCCTCTCGGTTCGTCGTCGTCGTCCTCCTCGGGTGTCACATACTGGAACTGTTGGAGGAGACCTGTTCGGTGCATGAAGTTGACCACGTAGCCGGTGGCCTGCGGGTTCGACACGATCTTGTCGTTCGGTCTCAAGTAACTGTGAGACGATCGATTCATGTCCGTTCCATATCGCATACCATAGCGGCGTCAAACCAAATGTGTCCTTCGCGTCCGGCCGGACGTTTTCGTTCTTGAGCAGCCGGCTGACAACGAATTCATGTCCGTTCCGTGCCGCCCACGATAGCGGCGTCCGTCCATCTTTGTTCTTCGCGTCCGGCTCTCCCTTTTCAATCCGGACGAGCTGTGCGAAAATCGCGTCATATCCGTTCCTTACCGCATACAACAACGGCGCACGTCCATCTTTGTCCTGATGGGTTGACCTTTACGGTCCTAAGGAACTTTGTGACAACGTCTTCGTGTCCGTTCTGTGCCGCGCATGATAGCGGCGTCCGTCCACTTCTGTCCATCGCGTCCGGCTCAACCTTTTCAATCCGGAGGAGCTCTATGACAACGTCTTTACGTCCGTTCTGTGCCGCCCATGATAGCGGCGTCCGGTCATCTTTGTCCTTCGCGTGCGGGTCGACCTTGTCGGTCCCAAAGAGCAGTGTGACAATCGCGATATATCTGTTCTGTGCCGCCCCCGATAGCGGCCTCCTTCCATCAATATCCTTCGCGTCCGGCTCGACCTCTTCAGTCTGGAGGAGCTGTGTGACAATCGCTTCATGTCCGTTCCATGCCGCACAATACAGCGGCGTCCATTCAATATTGTTCTTCGCATTCAGGCCGACCTCTCCGGCCTCGAGGCTCTCATTGATAACGGCTTCATCTCCGTTATATGCCGCATACCATAGAGTCAACCTGAGCTGAGGTATCATCAAAGGCATAACACAAAGTAGAGCTTCCTGTCTTGAGCCTAATTGCATCTCCGTTAATAGTCCAACAATCTCAATCACCGGGCTATTCTCGACACGAAAAGGTTCAGCTTCTTGGACATCAATGGGCCCAATGTCATCCACAATATCAAGGATACTTGTGATGAGTGATGCAAATACTTCTTGGGCGCATGGTGACACAAGCGAACATTTGCTCGGAGCGAACAGAAGGCTGACTACCGTGGAGTCTTGAACATTTGCAAAATGTGCAGCTTTCCCACCAACGAAACGAACCAGATATTTATTCTCCTTCTTTTTCCACACAGTACTCGCGTCTTCAATGTCAGCGGATACACTGCGTAGAGCGTAATCTACGGAAGTGATACTGTTGAAATCATCACCGAGCCATATCTTCAAATCTAGTCGCTTATTTTGATCACTTGGAACGATCCGTCGGGCCTGGATATCAATAGCTGTCGACTTCTTGAGACCAGTCACCGGGTCTCCGGTTTCTATTATTCGATCAGACTTCAGTGACCAAACCCACGGTCCTAGGATCCCTTCCAGTTCTTGTTTATCTTTGAACATCCAAGGGCTTTGTGGATCTCGATGAGCCAATTCAAGGTAAACGGTATGCTTCTTCCCAGATGTCGAATTGACATTGGTTTGTTCGCAGAGAGTGCAATCAATGCCCCAAAACATCGATGTGGCATTCTTCCACGTTTTCTTAATCTTGGCCTTGGAGAAAATCGTTTTCACGGTAGCCTCAATCAAAGCAGCTAGCTGCTGGCTCTTGCTTCAGACCACGACCATTTCACTCTTGAAATTCCTCGTAGGGAGATGGATAAAGCAGATGAAACAGTAAGCGAAGTGATTCGGGTTCGATACACTAATAATATAGCGGCGGCGTTCTTGGGCTCGTGGGAGAATGGATGTTGAACACTGATTTTATTTGGACCATAGAGTCTCCAGAAGTGACGGCACGGGGGATCAGGATTGGTGGATGACCGGACAGATGATGTTCTGATGTCATTTTGAATAGCGGGTCGGCCAATACGCAAGGCGAGCCAGTCTAGTTCGTGGCCAAGAACCTCATCCGGAAACTTTGTAAAGCAGTTGTCCTCAGATTCTAATCGCTACGAGCGGAGTGTAGCTCGTGCCATGCTCATGCCCAGAATTGCTCCCAGTTGGGCTACGGAGACTGCCGAATGTATACCTCGAAGGCCGGTGAACTATAAGATAAAGCCAGAGAAAGTCGTTCTAATAGCTATCCAGACTCCAAAATTTGATTCCTCGGACCCGTGATCTCTCCTTGAAGTTGTATACTTCTCCAATTTTCTTTTGCAATCCGTGTAAGAGAAGGCGTCGAAGGTTTGGTCACCGATAATTTGACCCCCAGGCTGTACCCAATACATTATGGATGATTTGTTGAGGTCTTCCTCTTCTTTCTCTTCTTTCCGAAGCCAAGCATCTTCTTTAGTGCTCTGGCCTATAAGAAATGCGCAATGAAACATCCCACCGCAGACAAGAAGAGTCTCGATAATCACAAGGGGGCAGGCATAGGATTCTGGGGGACTACCATCCTTGCCCCATTTCAGGTGGTATGTCACAACAACAGCGAACACCAAAACACCAAGTTGCAGAATCAGGCCAATAAGAGCAATTGCTTTGAAAACGGTGGTTGGTCGTTTCTTGATTCCGATGTTAAGAGAGAGATTCCTCGTCCATTGCCTTCTCGTTTAGCCTTTCCTCTGGTTGATATATGTTACAGTATAACACTACTGAGAAGAAGCTCAACATGGCCCCAAGATGCACATAAGAGGTCCTTCTCATTTGGCCAGCTCTCCTAACGGATATCTCTCGGCGCGGCCTGCCGATAGATCAAAATACCTATCTTTACACAATATTGTTGCTGGGTGACCATGTGGCAATAAATCAGTCACATCGATTGGGATGCAGTTGATATCCAGTTTCCATGCCATCTGCGTTGGATGGTCGGTATTGGCGGTGGAGCACCGAGCAAGTCGCCCAATACCGTAATACGCATGTGTATTGTATTTTCCAAAACCTTGGAACAGCCCAATATAAAGACCGTCGCGCCCCTTGAATCTCGACCACATCTCAAATTTTCAATCACATCACCTCCTTTTCCAATGGCAAAGACTCTGGAGGAATTCGCTCAATTAGAGCCACTCTGGGATAAAGCGATCCAATCTCCAGCGGAAATTTCAACCGAGGAAAAGCACCGAATGATGGAATGGCCGCCTCGTGCGGAGATGGAAGACACCACCCAGAAAGCCCTCGGAATTTCAGTCGACGAACTGGTTCAAAAGGCTGCCACGACTCCAGAGTCTCTAACATACCCGGAATGTCGTCTGATACGTGACAATTTCCGTATGTTGGGATACAGGGACCTGAGTGATCGATGGGAATGGCCGTTTATGCGGCCCGATCTTCAAACCAAGAAAAGGCAAGCAGAAGAGGCAGCCTTGCCATCACTGGAGCGAGAGGCCATTCGGAACTTAAACGAGGTCTTCTACGAGAATGAAACGACAGAGCTTGGCGCAAGACATGCAAAGCGAAAGCCACTAGTATTCGGTATGCCGCCCGAGTGGATACAAAGAATCATCGACCAAGGGGATGACAAGAGTTGGGGCTATGTATTCTACCATCACAAAGATATAGCCGGATGGAAGGAATTTTTGGAGCTCTTTAATAGCATGCTCGATATGGGTCCATTTCTTGATGGGGCCACAGAAATTAAAGATTTCAAATTGGCGCAATTTATCCTATTCGAGACGGCAGAAAGTGACATCAGCCATCTGCGACAGTGAGTGTTGCTTCTATATAATATTGAAAGCAAGTATTAACGCATAAGCTAGGGATTTTCTCAGTCGGCGCGAGAGAGGCGATTTAAGGACTGGAATCCTCAAGAACGTGTTCTTCTTGTTAACAGATGAAGCTCGACAATCATTTGCCACCTATGGGGATGAACAGTTTGTTGGTTATGTTTGGGCGATCGACCCTGAGTGGTCTTCTTCGGGTCCCGATGGGGATGGTTACGACGGCCGACTCAAAATCAATGCACCCCAAATCTTCTGGCGGTTCTACGAGTTCATGTCGAGCCCTGACCCCTCTTTTTCACTCAAGAATATTTGGCGTGACTTTCATGCTGTCAATACCGAAAAAACATATCCTAGATGCTTTCCGGAGCCGACTGCGTGGCATTTCACGAACCTTGATAAGCCCGCCTGGCCTTTCAACTAACTTCCCTGGAGTTCCAGGTGCGATTGTTAGTCTGGTAGCCTGCTGATTTTATCTCCTCGTGTCCTCTTCTTGCTGCAGCCAGCAAAGTCCAACAAGTGTTACGACGAACGTCTTAGCTTGTCCAATACAGTCACTCTTTATCTACTTGAATTTACATTTTGTTGGTATATGTCAAATCCAGGCCACAATTAGATCTGCATCACCACTAGACCACAGCAACAGACATCCGAAGCCTAAGAGAATAATAGTAGAATACTAATTGTTTGTGCTTAAAGTCAAAGGAAGTATTACGCGTGACAAAACAGGGGGATAGATCAAAGCTGATATCGTAGGTGGTTGAGAAGGCGATGGAGCGAGCAAAATATAGGAAAAGCCCATATAGATGAGCAAGGACGGCAAACTATGCAGATAATCTTTACGGAAGTCTAGGCCAGAGCTAAAAGTTGAGAGCAGATCATCTTTTTCAATGTGAAGGATGGTCTTTTGAACCTACATAGGATTACCATCTATATATATATATATAGTATGTGGAAAAGAGTATATTCAAGACCGTCATTATGTGCTAGTCTCGATTTCAGTTCTGTCCCGGCTTGATCGGACTAGGAGACCTTGGTCAAGGAACTGGTTAAATGAGTTGGAAAATTTGGAGTAATTGAAGCCGAGGGAAAATATCGGAGTTTCCAAAGAGGCAGAAGGAACGTAATACATACCTCGCAAGCTTCCATATTGAATCCACACCCTTAGAGACCAATAGACTGTAGATACAATGAGATAGCGGTATATTATATATTGTGGTTAGTAGTTCGGAGTAGTTCCGGAATAACTTCAAATGTAACATCGCTATATACTTACATATGTGGCAACGGCTTCCGTGCATTTTGCACCCTTGTATCTTAATTTACTGATTGAATAAGGCCATATGAGTACAAGAGACCCTCTCACTCCCAAGATCGTATCCTAAAATGGATGTGAAAATTGAACAAAACTCAGTCCAAATGAAATACCCAACTTTACAATTATAATACCGATGTTACATGCTACGTGTATCATTTATGTACGCGCAGTATACGCTGATTATCGAGGTTACTACCCCTTTTATCTCTGTTTTCCACCTCTCTAATTCTATCTCTATATTATCTGTTACTATAACACGCAGCCCTAAGCTAGTTCCGGACATAATTTTGTAGAATCTTTATAGAATTTATAGAATTTATCCTATTAATTTTTGGTGTACATATGTTAAATCTATTGTCTGTTTTGACACGGGGTAATAATACAGTTCTAGCCCTTCGGGCGTGGCTTCGGGGGCAAGCCTCCTGAGCAACCCTAACCTATTACGAAGTAGATCAACCGCTATGACCTAGTTCGCTTGTTGACTTCCAAGGCTTCCGTCGGATTTTCCCTGTCATCCGAGCTATCCGGTCTAGGCGTTGGCTGTCGCTCTGAAATTTGGGAGATGTCAGGGGTGGAAGATTAAAGGGGAGGCAAACAAAGTGATATAATACTGTATACGCAAATCTTGTATTATCTCAACATTGGAATATCAATAATTCGTGCTGTACTAATATATGTCCAATTCATTGGGATATTTTGCATCCTCCGAGCCTTCCACTTGGGTAGTATCACAGGTCCAAAGCTCGTCTGTCACCACATTGACCTCAAGACCCTTATCGAACCTGGCTTCTATGTTAAAAGAAACATGAGTGGGCACAGATCCTTTCTCAGGTAAGTTGTCGTAGGAGAATTCCGATAAGAGAGCAATTGCCTCCTCGTAATTTCTCTTTGTGGCGAGCTCGAGATCTGTTTTGTCTGGATGGACACCCTTTGCCAGCAGAAGTTTCACAATTTCAAGGTGCCCGAAATGTAGAGCGAAACCTATTGTGCTATAGAAAAACCAATCCGCGTGATCCCGAGTGGAGAACTGCCAGTCCAAGTTTGGGTCTGCACCTTTCTCAATCAAGGATTCGACCATATCTTAATGCCCGTGCATGATTGCGGAGAACATCGCCTGAGTGCCAAACATGTCCATCTCCAAAGCATCATATTTAATCAATAGTTGATAAAGATCTTTGTCATTTTTGCGCGCAATGTGCATTAGAGCTCCATCAGAATGCAGCCGTTCTCCTTGTTTGAGAAGAAGCTCAACCACGGGTCGTTGATTGGTGAATATAGCATTCGCGAGGGGACTTGGGCTTTCTGAATGACCTGATTTTGCTCCTGCCTCTCGCAGCCGGGGGATAATGAAGTCATTAAGCGAGGCAACAGCAACGCCTAATGCGGAGAACGCCCATCTAGCATCGCCCGCGGGGTCTAGAGGGGCGTTATTCTTGATCATCAGCTCCACAAGTTGATTATCGCGAGAGCGGATAGCCCAGTGAAGAACGGTACGCAGCTGAGCTGGCGAGCAGACTCGATCCGACCGTGCCTCGGAAAGCATGGAATTGAGAGTGCCGAGATGCCCGCCTTGGGCGGCGTATAAATAACGGATTTTCGACTTCCTTTAAGAGGTCTCTGGTATTGATGGTATGTGCAATCTCTGCCGGACTCTCGAATGCAGCTATATTCGCCCCAGCATTGAGTAATCTTTTCGCCAGATCAGTATATCCATTCTTAGCGGCCCAAAGCAAGGCTGAGCTCTGATGGAACTGGATGTTATTCTGGCATAGGAAAAAATGTAGAAGGCGGTATAGACTCTGGTTGGTCTGCACAAAAGCATTGATGTCCCTCTCGCTGGGCAACCCTCTTAGGATGAGACAAAGCAGTTCGAGCGGCAGTTGGTCCAACCGAGTCATAGCGTGGTGTTCTGAAATTCTAAGGCTTCGGAGAGAAATACTAAAAACGTGATTTAGTATTGACAAGACACAGTATCACCTGGGCAAAGGTGGAGGTGGCTGGATATTTATATTTGGGTGAGTAATATTTAGGTAAGTGAACTGCCCTAAATAGAGCGGCGAGCCGCCCACGCCCGAACCGTGGGCGCTAGGTCACCACCTTAGACATGCTGTTGGAAGTTTTTGTGTCTTTTTAAGAAGAAAATTAATGCAATTCCGACAGCCATTGGTGTGCTAACTGCTTGGCATGTTGTGTTATGGTGTTTCCCCTAGTAGTATTAATATTGGTAGGTGAGCATGAAGTCTGATCTGGAAAAATGGAAACCGCAAAATAATGGCGAGCTGCTACTCTTATCTTCAGGTCAATTACATACATATATATATGTGTGTAGTCCAATACGGCAACAGTTTCTTCATCTCCTTTAGAAAGCTGCTACGGAGTATTGCGTACATTTATACATACAACCAAATTGTACTCATTATATACATTCAAAAACATCACTCGCGTGGAAAATCTCTTAGCAAAGCGCCCCCCTAGGTGTAAGAAGTCATGTACCTCTAGCAACACGGCTCGTATTGGACAGACCGTCCAGGCTGTATCGAGGGCCTATTCACCCTGACTATTGATCTAGCGATATAACTGTGCGTGATCGCTTGGAGTCGGTCGCCACAGCTGTTCAGCTTCCCGGCCGCTGTCCCAACCATTTTGACCCATCCGTATGTTAATATACACTCATATGATATCCATCCATAACTGCGTCTTTTTATAGTCTCCTAATTGTCAAGATTGCCTGCGAGATTACATCCATAGGCTTGTTGAGGAGGGGTTCATTGCTGGCAATGCTATCTCCGTGATCCAGAATCCTCCAGAGGTGGTGTGATTCTGGTGGCCCGAGGATTCCGTCCTGTCATTAAATGATGACATATTTACTGTGTATTTACTGCTGTCATTTATGCTCTCTAATTTCTGTTGTTATTTGCTATTTGTTTCGCCGCCGTGATTTGTTACGAAATGAAGAAAAAGATCTAGAAAACCTCAGTAATATAACGTCGGTCGCCTTTGTCTTGACATTCCATGGCCATTGTGTAGTAGTTCCATGGATCCCAAGTGCTAGTGAACTGACACAAAATCATCGGTAAATACTTTTTAGACCATTCGTCATGCCTGTCAGCAGTATACTGTGCCTTTCTGGCCTCTCAGTACACAGGTAGCCACCCTGATTGTTCCCAATCAATAAGTGTAAGAACATGATAAGGTTCAGAGCGTGTGATCAAGATGTTACTGCGATGGAGATCGCTATACGTAAATTTGATCTCACTATCATTAGGCCAATTATGGCGGAACGGTTCGATTGGGATAGAATATGGATCCGGCGTTGGTTTTTGATATAGGAAAGTGAACTAGTTATAAAACTTTTGGACGGTATTGAACGGCCCTGCTTCTGATATAAACCTAACGTGAAATGCTCTATTATAAAGAGGAGCTTATACAATGTTACCTATATGCTTATAGAAGGTTAGGAATATAGATTAGGGAGTTCAAAACCCGTCGAGAACACTATACCTATGAATGAATCTGTTAGTTCCTGTTCGAGTTGGCGAATATTGTTATAGATTGTTCGGAGCTTATAACAGATTGAAACGCGGTAATTAGATTCCAGCCTATCCCACGCTTGCTCTAGAGTCTGCGTATAGAGATACTCCATATAAATGAAAGTCTCGTCACTATCATTCCGCTATCCATATATCTCCGGGACCGGGACATAACTTTTAAGGCGCTGACCGAGAGTATAGAGGCACTGCCCTTCTGAAATTCTCGTAACCCTTCCTTCTCCATTTGATAAGTAGCCCTAGGTCCTCTAATATCACAGGTGGTGGTCGCACATTAGGGCCGACCATCGAAACGGTTTTTCTATCGTCTAGACAGATTCCTGAGAGATCCTGGGCTTTGGCTTGCGAGCGAACTTCATCCGGTGAAGGCAACTGGGTGAACTTTTTGAAGAATGTAGAATCTTCCACGTCGATATCGTGAGGTGTTGGTATCATCAGAGGTGTCAACAAAACGCGTTCTTGTTTGGTGGGTACCCTACATTTCGGGTCGTATGGCAGCATGTTGATCATAGGAAAAGTCGAGTTAAGGATAAGGCAGCGTTTTCGAATTGAAACGAGTGATACTGATTCGGTTGGTATCTTGCGAGGTGTTATGGTTAACCGCGCATTTCAACGGATATGGGGCATTGATAATATGGATAAATGCAACATTTGAAGAGAGATTCAAACAACCCTGGACAGATTGCATTGCGCTTTTGTCTGCATTGTTTGCAAAGGGTCTGTGCCAGCCTACGCGATGCATATTGATCGAGCTTAAGCCACACGCCGGTAAGTGTAAGTGAGTGGGCGACCAGTGTGTTTTTTGTTTTTGCTTTTTTGTTTTTGCTTTTTTGTTTTTAGTTAGTCTTAACCTTCCAGTCACTTAAATATGTAGTCTCCCTTAATCTGTCTTATACGACAGACAATGGTTCCTTCACCTCCTTCGGAAAGTAACGACGGAGTACTCATACATGTTGTACATACAATTATGTACAGATAGAAAATCAACGTCTTTGAACTGTGATAGAAAGCGAAGAACTCCTAGTTCTTTTAAAAAGAAGAGCTTACTCGGATTCATCAACCCGATAGACTAGCTTGGAGGCTCGGACTTTACCTTCCCGTAATATCTGAAGACCGGCCAAGACTCCAGCCAACCCGCCTGGCTTCACCTGATATGGGTGAGGATGAATGCGGCGCTCCTCGAGTAGTTTCTGCGCTACTGCCCACCATTTGATTCCGAATTCAAAGTTAGTGATATCAGGGGATATCTCTTTCGTTCCCATGCGGTAAGGCTCTCCCAGGATGTCATACGCCATTGAGACATGTGAGTCAACGTCATCTCTCGCGGATGGAACATCCAGCAGGGCATTGTAGGAACCGCCCGCGGACGAAATGGCAGCACTGCAGATGGCAGCCGATTGGGGCGTAGAGATTGTATCAAGAACAAATTCCAGAGCATCATCAGTATCCTCTCGGATTTGCTCGCCCACCAGTGGATCGTGGTAGTCAAAAACTGCGTCTGCCCCAAGCTCAAACAAGAAGCTGCGGTTGGCTTCAGAGCATGTTGTGACCACTCTTAGTCCGGACAATTTTGCCAATTGAATCGCAAGGGTACCGGTGGCCGTTGCGCCTCCATAGATTAGGATACTTGTGTCGTCTGAGTCGCTCTCCTGATCGCCGGGGAAAGGCAATTCCATGATCTGGTAAAGATTCTGACCAACAGTTGTCAAACCGACACCAAAGGTGGCTGCTGCCTCAAAGCTCATGGACTCGGGTATCAACATTTGGAGGTCGCCCTTCGCAATCATATACTGAGCAAATGCGCCGCCATTATGGCGAACGGCATTGCTACCGTGTACAAACCCAGCGACCCGATCGCCTTTTTTGAAAGCCTTTTTGACTCGCGGCCCTACGGCTTCTACTATTCCGGAATAGTCGCAGCCCACGGTGGCCCCGGTACAGGGTACAAAATCAATATGACGCCAGTCCGTTGGATTCAAGGCGACTTCGTACTGTGTTAGTCTAGCTGCTCATGAAAGACGGGAGCGAAGAAGAGCCCAAGGAAAAAATACCGGCTTTCGTTTTGACAAGAATGTAATTATCCGGCAACTCAGGGAGCGGGACATCTTCTGCCAGCGTCGCGCAGCCAGGTTCTTGGACGACAATGGCGCTTTGAGTGGCCATTCTCAACAGGTATCGCGACGTGGGGGGAAATGAAGGGTGGGAGAGAGGTGGGGTATGGCTCGAATGTCTTTAGACAAATCGTTTAAATGGCAAATCGGGTGTTGTGAAGCGATTTGTTGTACATATATTATTACACTCCGTGCAACATTCTCCGTATGTGGCTTGAAATTACTCCGTAGAGTGATCCAGGATTCCGGGCGAGATTGAACTATTGAAGAGCTCAGACGAAGTACGCCTTTTTGCCGCGCGATAATCTAGCTAGCTAGCGTAGACTACGGAATACTGCGCATGGAGTAAAGCCTCTGAGATCGTCGAACTGCAGGTAAAGGTGCTCCATATGTTGTAGGTGATCTGGGTGGAGGGGAGGGGCAACCAAGTGTTAGTAGCTTCAATAAACCCAATTACTATTGTAAAATCCGCCTCGGCGGCCTAGAAGATCTCATCGTGAAATTGAGATCGGGCAGCCTTGGAAATGCCAGTACCGAGTAGTCCGTAATGGTCCCCCAGTTACCACAGCCAAATATCACCGAGGTGAGATTGTGACACGATAATAAGAGCTAAAGAGCTGGCCCTCTGGATAGCCTAACGGGCAAGATTGATATTCTCCAAAATACATCCATGCACGGAGCAAGGGAAGCACAAGTACCCGGGGGGTCCGAAAAGTGGAACTTGTCTCAAATAATAGGGGGCTGGGAAAGGAAAGTGGTTTCTCCACTGCGGGATAAGAATCCCCTATAAAAAAGTCATAAAAAGAAATCCTGATGGGCGATCTTCGGCTACGAACATTGGCTTAGTGTGATAATAAAGTGGAGCAGGCCATGCGGGTCGATGGAGTATCGAAGATTGGGAATCTTGAAATACAGTGACCAATACCGGTAACCTCTCGTCACAGTACGATTTACATGTACGTCTGGTCCATCTTGAGGCAGTGACGATCCAGTTCGTTGATCTATGGAGTACTCGGTCTCCACTTGACAGCATTTTCGTAACCTTCGCCTCAGGAGCATCCAAGCAGCCGCGAACCTGCAGAAAAAGGTGGAACTGAGACTGGCATCGGAGCTGCACGAGTATGGAGAATGAGATCTGACTGCATTAGCCAGATCAATGATCCAGACTTTGTTTCTAGAGTAGGAAGCAGGGTCTCACTAAGCCAAACCCCAAAGGATGTACAAAGTACATCGTCGATAGCGCTTTTCAATGATATTAGGTATCCACTGCACGTTCTCCGCTTGGATAGCCAGTAAAATATGCATGTGAATATGCGACTGTACGCATTAATGGCACTAGCGTCTAGGATTTATGGCCAGTTTCATGGCAGTCAGGACGGGGACTTGCCGAGCCTGAAATGCACAACATTGAGTATATTACCCCACAACATCCCTTCTCTGTAATCTTGTCCAAACTTGTCCTCAACCATTTCATACCAACAAGATGCCTGGCCGACCGACAACGACTTCTGCCCCTGCAGATATGGAGGGAATTGCTGTCATAGGAATGGGATGTCGATTCTCTGGAGGAGCAACCTCCGTTGAGAACTTCTGGCAGATGCTATGCGATGGGCGCACTGGGCATGGAACAGTTCCCACGAGCCGATATGAAGCTTCGGCCTGGCATCACCCCAGCTATGAACGCAAAGGAGCGGTATGGGTACCCTCAATTACACGCTAGTTTAATATTCTAACATTGAGGTCATGGGATGATTAGATCAATCATGATAGCGGATTTTTCTTGCAGGAAGACCCATCACGATTTGATGCTCCGTTTTTCTCTATCACAGCCAAAGAGGCGGCGGGCATGGACCCAGCACAGCGTTTGTTACTCGAAGTCGCATATGAAACATTCGAAAACAGTAAGACAATCGAGATCCAAAAATCCATGGAAAACTGGTGAAGCTAAAAGGGCAAAATAGGCGGAATACCAATAGACACACTTCCAGGGAGTAACACAGCAGTGTACTCCGGCTCAATGACCAATGATTACGAGCTATTGTCGACAAGAGATATCTACGATATGCCTCACAACTCAGCTACTGGTAATGGAAGGACTATGCTGGCCAATCGTTTGTCGTGGTTCTTTGATCTCCAAGGCCCGAGTATCATGATGGACACTGCTTGTTCCTCGAGTTTGACTGCGGTCCATCTAGCAGCCCAATCCTTGCGATCTGGAGAGTGTGGAATGGTGAGTACTGCAACCTGTATCTCTGTTTCTCACACGGACTAAGCATGCTTGTGGCAGGCCCTGGTAACCGGAGCCAGTCTTATCTTGCACCCTAATTTTACACAAAGACTCTCCTACATGCACATGATGAGTGCAGATGGAATAAGTCATTCATTTGATGAGTCTGCAAATGGATATGGCCGGGGAGAGGGCATCGGTGCTGTGCTTTTGAAACCCCTCAGCGCCGCATTGGCCGATGGAGATAACATTCGAGCCGTCATTCGCGGCACAGGAATTAATCAGGATGGTCGTACTCCTGGAATTACACTGCCGAGCCCAACGTCTCAAGCCAACTTGATTCGTTCGGTTTATGAACGCCATGGCATCTCAATGAGAGACACTTCCTACTTTGAAGCCCATGGCACTGGAACTCCGGTCGGGGTAAGCAAAACAGCTCTATTGATGGCTACTCAAGCACTCGAATTATTAACTTGGTAATGAATAGGATCCCACAGAGCTGTCTGCTGTCGGAATGACTTTGGGTCAGGCACGAACACCGACTGATGAGCCAATATACGTAGGCTCAGTGAAGACGAATTTTGGTCACACCGAAGGAGCCGCAGGAGTGGCGAGCTTGATCAAAGTTGTTCTATGTTTAGAAAAGGGCACTTTGGTGCCAAACGCAGGGTTCAAAAACATCAATCCCAAGATCCGGCTCGATGATTGGCGTTTACGCCTGAGCGACAAAACGATGCCCTGGCCGGACCATCTTCCACAGCGGGCTAGTATCAACTCATTTGGATTCGGTGGATCAAATGCACACCTAATTCTCGAAAGCACCAAAGAAGCCTTCGGGGTCGATGCTGAAGATAAGGAGCCGGCTCCTCATGTAGTGGTGTTTTCTACATTTGACCAAGCTGGTATCGAACGGGCCGGTCAAAATTGGAGCACATTCCTTCAACGTCAGCAACAGGCCGAGCAGGATATTCCACTGAAAGATCTAGCCCATACAATGCTGACACGCCGATCGCAGTTGGGCTTCCGCAGCTTCGCAGTTGCTAACTCACAAGACCAGCTGCAGAGCATCTTAGACAAGGGACTCCCCAAGTTTTCTCGAGCTAGTCGCAAAGCCCAAGCAAGGCTTGCCTTTGTGTTCACAGGTCAGGGTGGCCAGTGGGCTGGAATGGGCCGGGAGCTTTTGAGGATTTCCACTTTCCGGGAAAGCATAGAACGATCACAAGACATTCTTTCGTCCCTGGGATGTCCCTTTGATATGGTGAAGGAGATAAAGGCAGAGGCAAAAGACAGTCAAATCAATCGACCCGATCGCAGTCAGCCTATCACCTGCGCGTTGCAGATTGCTTTGGTTGATCTTTTGGCCAGTTGGTCGGTTTATCCCAACGCGGTTGTTGGTCACTCTAGTGGTGAAATTGGTATGAACATGTCCATTTCCTCGCTTGGAACAAGCATCCCATAGTGAACAATAGCTAACTTGTTCGTAACACATAGCCGCTGGATATGCTGCTGGATATCTCTCCCACGCAGACGCTATGCGAGTCGCATGGTTCCGCGGTTTCTTTTCACAACAGATCGCCCAGAGCGACAGACGAGGTGGTATGCTCGCTACTGGTATTTCTGCGGCTGAGGCACAGAAATATCTCAAGGAGCTGCCCCCACGTTCAGTTGTGGTTGCCTGCGTCAATAGTCCTGCCAGTACCACCCTTTCGGGTGACGTGGACTTCATTGATCAACTTGAAACTATGTTACAAAAGGATGGTCACTTCGCCCGGAAATTGCGCATTGATACAGCTTATCATTCCCCTCACATGGAGGATCTCGTTGAGGTGGTAGGCAATGCCATCAATTGTATCAAGCCGGAAGATCGATACAACGACTCGATCCCCATGCTTTCGTCGGTCACAAAAGAGCGCGTCTATTCCGCCGATCTTGGTGGATCATACTGGGTGCGCAACATGGTCAGCTCAGTTGAGTTTACTGCCGCAGTGTCACAGCTCGCAAACCTGAGCGAGTCTATCAAGTCTCGCAGACGCCCGGTTCCAATCAAATGGACTGCATTGGTTGAGATCGGTCCACACGCCGTCTTGAAAGGACCTGTGACTCAAATTCTGCAGTCTGTCAACGCAAATATCGCATCATTGCCTTACCATTCACTGGTTTCGAGGAACCAACATGCTTTGCGAACAGCGTTAGAAGTTGCTGGGTCCCTTTGGAGCACAGGACATACAGTAGACCTTGCCGCAGTCAACAGCAGTGTCGATACTACAAGCCCAAAAATGATTGCTGATTTGCCTTCTTATCCCTGGAATCACCAAACGTCCTTCTGGCACGAGCCGTTGGAGACAGCGCAATTGAGACAACGCAAACATCCCCGTCATGATATTTTGGGAGCTGCCGTGGATTACCAAAATGCTTTGGAGCCACGATGGAGAAACTTCCTTCGACTCTCAGAGAATCCATGGATGGCCGATCATGTTGTCGCCGGATCGATTGTATTCCCAGCCGCAGGCATGTTGGTGATGGCTACGGAGGCAGCCCGGCAACTAGCTGATGGCCAGGCCAACATCAAGGGTATAGAATTCCAAGATCTTCATTTCATGCGAGGAGTGGTTATTCCCGACGAGGAACGAGGCTTGGAAACTCTCCTTCAGGTGTCACCTCATCCAGGGATGCCGGGTTGGTATCAATTCGGAATTTTCTCACTTCCCTCCGGGGGTGCCTGGATTCAACACGCGAAGGGTGCATTCATTACGCGATACGAGGACCGAGATGATGATGAGCATAACTCAAACTGGGAAGCAGCCTTGGAGCGCATCAAGAATACCCAAACAGTCGCCAAAATGGCTGATGTTAGGCAAGCACGTGAATGGTTGTCTAACACAGGAGGACTCACAGTAGGACCGGCCTTCCAGACAATCACTGGTGTTTCCTTCTGCGATTCAGAGTCTCGTCTCTGGCTATCCGGGGTGGTAACAGACACAAAACAATCAATGCCCTTCGAAAAGGAGTCATCCAGTTTTATCCATCCTACAACTCTTGATTGCCTCTTCCAGTCTGCCCTCTTGTCTTGCTCCGATGCGCTCTCCAGCAACAACGCGAATATCCCTATCGGAGTGGACAATATCTACATCTCCAATAATTTCCAACCCACGCCAGGTGAGCAGTTTGTCGTCCACACAGAGACTAAGTGGCGAGATGGAAAATCGCGATCCCACTGTGTCGCGTCGGACCCCTCCTGGTCACAGCCCTGGATCACATTCGAAGGTGTTCATCTCGGTCGCCTTCCCTTCAACCCAAACTCTCAAAAGCAAGAGGAAGCATCCTCGGAGAGCCGATATTCGTCGATTGTTTGGGATGAACACTTGGAGTCGCCGCTTGTCACTAGCCAAATCCATAACGGAAACAAGAAGATGGCCGTGCAAGCCAGCAGTCTCCAGCTGACAGACTGGATCAAGAGACTGTGCCATACCAACGGGGATGCCAAGGCACTGATAACTACTTCGGACACATCAAACTCTTGGATCGAAAATCTCCAAGAGCTGATTCCAAGCGCCGGAAAGCGACCTTGCCTAGGAAAGGTCACTATCGCTTCATGGGGCCCCGAGAATCAAGTGGACGGCATCACTCCCGCAGAGAACAGTATCCCAGGTACTCACCTGATGCCCCTAGCTACTCTCAGCGAACTTCCATCTTCCTCGCTCACTCAGGATAAATATGACTTGGTGGTGATCGATGAACCCAAGCTGTGGGAGGACAAAGTGACTCAGGTTATTCTGTCGTGCCTGCCTAGCATTCTTGAACACGGAGGCTTGGCAGCAATGCGCGTGTCAGATACCGATTTGGACTCAGCAGTGGAGAAGTTACAGCGATTCGACGGCCTCGAGATACACAGCACGACCGAGGATCGCAAGTTTATCATCGTGCGCAGGACGCCAGTCTCATGGACAACAGACTCTGAGATCTACGTTTTGAGTCCAGCAGACAATTCCAACTCATTCCCTGTCTTTGAGCACCTGGAGAAGATCTTTGCCACCCATAACGTTCGCCTCGTGCCTGTTGGATTGGAACAGGTGGCCACACTAGCAGGTAAGACTGTGATTTCGTTGCTTGACTTGGCAAGTCCCTGGGTATCCGACTGGACGGAAAGTGATCTGGAACGTCTCAAAGAGCTGATCCGAGTTCAATACGTTCTTTGGGTGTCGCCTTCCTGGAGCCAAGGGGCTGTTGAGAATATTGGATCCGGTGCAACGGGCGGCCTTTTGCGAACACTACGCAATGAGCAGTGGAGCACTACCATCCCACACCTATTGGTGGATGTCGAAGATTTGGAAGACCAATTCGGACTAGCTTGTGGCATTCTACAAGTCATGCAGCTCACGACGCAAGAGAATTCACGTCGGCCAGACTTGGAGTATCGTCTGGCAAACGGACGGCTGCTAGTTCCACGGGTCCTCGAGACCCCAGCGGTGGATGTGGCCATGCACACTCTGGTGAACGGCCCCAGGCCTGTAATGGGGGACCTGAAACTTGATCCAAGGCCTCTCGAATTGAAGTTCCAGGACGCAGATAATGCACGCTGGGAAGAACAACAGCTCGAAGAGCAACTTCGGCCAGACCACACTGAGATCAAGGTTGAAATGGCCACTATCTTTGATCTACAAGGGGATCAGGGGAAGACACCAGAGACAGCTCTTCCAATGTTCGAAATTGTTGGAAAGGTAACTCGTATCGGATCTGATGTGCACGACTCGTCTGTTGGCGATAAAGTGCTAACCCTAGCATCGACAAACTCGGGACTCTCGACAACAATGCGGGTTTTGGAAAGTGATACTATCAGAATTCCTGCAAACACCGACCCTTCAAAGGCGATATCAACTCCTCTCGCGTACCTCAACGCTTATCAAATCCTCACCCAAGTCGGTCGCCTCAGCTCAAGTTCCTCGGTGCTTTTGGTTGGGTCAATCAGTCAAACTCTCCAGGCCATGATAGATTATGCCCTTGCCATGAAAATTCAAGTCATCGTGGCAACTGATTCTCCAGATACCACCGAGAGTCTTCGCTCTCGCTACCCAGCATTGGCAGATCGAATCCTGGGCGTTCACGGTAGCCTGGAAACGAGCGTGTCCAGGCTGACCAATGGATGTGGAGTGGACGCCAGCATTTGCTTCCTTGGCGGGTATGCGGGTCGGAATGCTGCAAGGTGTCTGGTCCAAGGTGGACAGTACATTAATCTGTCTAGCGAGATGAAGCTGAGTGCTCTTCCAGAAAGCTTCATCGACAGTGGCTGCACGTTCTCTTCTCCAAGACTGCAGAAAATATTCTCGGAGAAGCCCGGTAATCTCCATGCTTCAGTTCGGCATGTGATTGACTTCATGAAGCAGCATCGGATGTTGGACCGTGTGGAATCATATTCCATTTTCCCTGTTTCTGATGTTCAAGGAGCTTTAAAGCATTGCAAAGCGAACAACACCCGAGCTATCGTGGACCTTCGGGCTCCTGGGAGAGTCCCCATTGTGCTGCCACTGCCAGATCTTACTGGCTTGCCAGCGGAAGGTACATATATCCTAGCAGGTGGGTTGGGCAATCTAGGCCTTGCGCTTGCCGATACCTTAGTGCAGTCTGGGGCTCGCCATTTGGTTTTCCTTGGAAGATCTGGCGGGGCACAACCTAGCCAGCAGGTAGCCCTTGATCTTCTTCGCGATCGCGGGTGCTGCATAGATGTGCTACGTTGTGATATCTCCCAACCGGGAGACATTGACCACTTGTCATACAAGATCCGCAGCAAAAACTGGACTGTCGCAGGCGTGATTCAGTGTACAACCGTTCTGAAGGTGATTTGCCCTGGTTTCGTCTTCCCCATTAACACTAATCTAATTTTTTCTTTCTTTTCAGGACGCAATGTTCGAGAAGATGACTTTTGATGATTGGACCCAATCCACACAGTCCAAGATCCGCGGAACACTGAACTTGCACCATCTGTTTTCGGAGAAGGAAGGCTTGACTTTCTTCGTGGCGTTGTCTTCCGTGGCCAGTGTCATTGGTAATATGGGACAGGCTAACTATTCTGCGGGCAATGGTTTCATTGATGCTCTCATGGAATGGCGACGCAATCATGGTCTTCCAGGTCATTCTATCAATATCGGCCTCGTGCCAGATGCCAGTGGACTCAGTGACATTTCCGAAGACGAAGAGCAACGCCGCCGCCGATACAAACATCTTGAGGGCACAGAAATCATGACCCATGAGCTCCAGACCTTGCTTAGAGTGATCATTAACAGCAAGCTTCCCCTTCCGTCTCAGATCATTGCTGGCATGACCGACTCCCTGTCTCGCAGCAATGCCTCTACTGGCTGGGTTCTCGATCGAAAGTTTGATCACCGGCTTCGTCTCGCTGTCGAGGATACGAAGGATTCTATTCAGACCAGCACCTTACTTAAGGAGTCTGGTTCCATCGACGCTGCAACTGAGATTGTTCTTAACACTCTGAGTGAATATCTAGCAGATGCAATGGCTACAACCGCTGATGCTATCGACTCAGATCTACCGTTGTCCGCTTTGGGTGGTACGTTTTCCGATAATAATCTCCGCTGTGATCTTTCAGTATGACTAACACTAGCCTTTAGTTGATTCCCTCAAAGCTACAGCCGTCCAAAACTGGGTCTCTCGTGAACTGGGGGCAGAACTGTCCTCTTTCGAATTTCTTGGCTCGCAACCTACCAAGGCGTTAGCTAGGAAAATTGCTTCGACTAGTTCATTTGTCTCAGTGCCGAGCTGAAGAACTGTCTGATAATCCATACTGAGAATGGTTTAGCTTAAGACGACCTTTTACTCAACCATCGGAGTTTCTTGTTTCTATCTTGCTTTTTAGCGTTTCTCATTTTTGGCTAGTTTCAATAGTTCGGTATATGTGTTTTTCACTTACAATACGATGTTTCGCGTATGAAATGTACCAAATGTTCCAAATTGTTGCCAAGACTTGCCGTGTTGGGAGCCCGTGCCGCGGGTGGGTCCCGAGTCCCGTCCTCAAACTCACATGATAGTCCGGACGTTTATCCTTGGAGCAACCTGGCATATTGCTTGGGCGGATAGCCCCGCTGTGCAGATTGCAGGAGCATGCAGCATGCAATGGCCGGGGTGAGAGACGCCATTACAATATAGTGAGGGGGACCAAGCGCGGAGAACAGCTTCATCCACGGGTGGCTCCACTGATGACAGCCCATAGTCTCAACACATCGGGAATTGGATCGACATTTCTCGATCGGAATTGATCAACAGAATGACCGAGTTTTGAATCCTATAGAGCGGGTTTCGGGTGGGGGGGGAGGGACTGCTTTGCACTCTCGAGACGAACCCCCCCTCCTGAATGATAACAAGGAACGTGGACTCCGTACGGAGCACCCGTGGACACGTTGCCCTGTTAGCAAATCGATTGCGCTGCACGGTCTCCCTTGCCGCTGCAGGAATGGTATAATATACACTTGCCACTTGTGAAGCAAGGCGATAAACCCCGCTTACTTAACTATATGTACGAAGTAGCTTTTACAGGTTCCGCTGCCCATTCCAATTCTTCAAATGTTGAGTTTGCTTTCCCTAGTCTCACAGATCTCAAATTTAGGTTCTATTCCAGCTCGAATGGAAAATCCACCTCAATTAGGCATATGCACTGTCGGTATCCGGGTGGTCTCGGGATCTACAAAGGTCGGCCTTTGTCCAGTTACAACGACCGAGGTACTCTGAATTAATTTGGTCAAAATTCAACATAACCCTAAATGGAAAGGCTTCGAAGCACCTACACACTGAGGGGTAGATTGTGGATCTTGGGCTGGACCGTCCACGTTCCCACCTGGTCAAAGCAAGGCAAGCGACTATTGACTTGCTACTCCGTCTCCGTACTTTGTAGGGAGTACCCTATATGTCTGTACAACATAGGTTATCTCCACACTGTGGAGCCTTCTCGTGGATCCATTATTATGTATTCCGTTCCTCTGCAAGGCCGGGAACTGTACGGAGTGGGATTCCGCGAGTGACTTTCCTTAGAAAATCCTCTATCGCACTAAAATGTGTAAGGCGCCTTTTAGTCTTCCACATGAAAAAAAAAATGGAATAAAACACCCTGGTCTCCAATTCTCTTCTCACTTCTCCCTCTTCCGTCTTTTCAATTCCAGCCATGGCGGACGCTGAAAAGAACGATCTATGCATGCCGGCACCCCCGGCCAAGGCCATTGTCGTAGATCATGACAGGGCCATGGGTTCACATCCTGAAGAGATCATTGTCATAGATCATGACTTGGCCGTTGACCCGGATTCTGAACAGGTCATTGTCATAGATGATGACATGGCCATTACACCGGATCCTGAAAAGGTCATTGAAAACTACTCTTCAAAGGAGGTCTCATCCAATGGCGCCGAGTCTCCCAGTGTGATTGACCTGGAGGCTCAGCCCACAGAGCCCCGGCGGAAGCGATTTGCGCACTTCAGATATGTCATGTTTACTGTCTATCGACGGCTCTTCACTATCGTATTTTGCGCAAATCTCGCTGTTTTCCTCTACGTGATGATCTCAGATCGACAGCTTCTGGCACTCGTGAATGCGACAGCTGTAAACCTGGTGGCATGCGGTCTCGCTCGACACCCGATGATGGTCAATGCCATCTATAGAGCGGTATGCTCGATTCCTCGAACTGCACCCCTGTCTTTGCGCCGCAGGTGCGCTAAGTCAGCCCACTACGGTGGTGTCCACAGTGGCTGTGGGACTGCATCTTTGGTTTGGTATATTGGATTTGTTGCCGTGGTCTCGCAGACCTATTGGACAAATTCTCCCATCAGCACAGTAACAGATGCCGGTTTCTCAGCCGCGCCCATCGCCATCGCCTACATCATTCTGGTGCTGCTTTTCGTGATGGTAATCGTGGCATACCCCACCTTCCGCAGGAGGATGCATGATTACTTTGAGCTCACTCACCGATTTACCTCATGGCTGATTCTGGCACTTTTCGTGGCTCTAGTCATGGTGTTTGCTCATGAAGTGGGTAGGGCAGAGCAGCAAAGTCTTGGCCACACCCTTGTTACTCTTCCTGCATTTTGGCTGTTAATTGCGGCTATCGTCGCCGTGGCACATCCATGGCTACTATTGCGGAGGGTTCCAGTAAGGGCCGAGCCCCTGTCTACACATGCTGTACGACTATCCTTCGATTTCACCCCAATCGACTTCGCCAAGGGTGTGCAGGTCTCAAAGCATCCTCTACGCGACTGGCACAGTTTCGCCGGCTTTCCAGACCCCATTCCAGTCTGTGAGAAGTCGGTTGACAATAACGCACGTGGCAAGAAGCCGTTTGTCAAGGGCCACGGGCATAAGAGGAGCTGGTCCATCGTGGTGTCAAAAGCAGGAGATTGGACGGCCGATACCATCCGTGAACCGCCAACCCACCTCTGGAAGCGCGGGTCGCTGATGCGTGGCGTCGGATACGGTCTACGTGTTTTCGATCGCATTATCATAGTGACCACGGGGTCCGGGATAGGACCCTGTCTCGGATTCCTGGGCGACCCAAACCGGCCCCTGATCAAAGTCATTTGGCAGACACGTAACCCGGTGAAGACTTATGGCCAGGATGTCATTGATCTCGTCCATAAGATGGGCCCGGACCCGATTATCTTCGATACCAGTCGTGATGGCCGTGTTGACATGCTTCCCATTGTGCGCCAGCAAGTGAAGGAATTCAAAGCGGAGGCAGTTTTTGTGATCAGCAACCCCAAAATGACTCAGGATATTGTTTACGAGTTTGAATCACAAGGGATTCCAGCCTACGGGCCAATCTTCGATTCATGAAAATGAAAATGAAAATGATGTATTTTGTCTTTTTGTTTTATTCCGAGCCAGTTATGACATATGACATGATCTACATTTCGGTCTTTAATGTGAGCTATTTATGAGATTTTCGTCTTTTTGTTTACACCAGAGTCAAGTCCATCAATGAAAAAGGTTCCATAGACTTTATTGAATCTTAACCCTGCGTGGATGGAATTTCGTGCACTGCCTTGCCGTGACTCGTTCGTCTACAAACTAGTTTAGAAGTGTACGAGATAGTAGTAAAAACGTGAGTATTACGAGGAGATATATGTGACTGATGACGCCCATTAAGCGAGGGATTCGAAAGTAGGTGTGTTCCGCCTACGGCCATACACCACCTATATATAGAAAGAACCATAAAATACATGCGAGAAGCAAGAAAAAGACGAAGTCGTCGTCAACAATGAGAGCGAAGTAGAGCAAGTTTCTCACTACGGACGATGTTGTTTGACCAGAAGGGTTATCATGCGGGAGAGAGATTCACTACACTGCTTGGATTGCAGAATCCATGGATTCTCCATATCCCCCAGTGAAGCTCTGGAAGCTAGGGCCGAACACATCTTGGCGGGTCAATTCGAGTCGTTATAGAGTTTCAGTTCTGGTAGGGATCGGGAGTAACCTCCTAAACGCCGTTGGTAAATCGGCTAATAAAACTTAAAGTCTCAAATATACTTCTCGTTGCCGCTGTACCGGCATGCCGTTTCAATCCCGGACATATAGTTCGATGAAGCCGCTTAAAAGTCTCGGGGGGCGGTTGAGGCTCAGCTTTAGAATGACAACAGCGCAAATTGCGCTATTGCCGCCGACCAAGAGGAAGTCCACTCCATCCATGGGGTCATTCCACGATTCATGGCAGAAGATCGTGATTCGACCGCAGGTAAGGATCGGTTCCTTGCATGAAGAATAATGTGGGTCCCATGGGAACTGAAGGGCTGTAGGAATTTAGTACACAGGAAGTCGCTTGAGAGAAGCGTAGGTTAACTTACTTATGCCCACTCGTGCGTCAATTTGGGTTCGCCCATAACTAGTTAAATCCCTAGTATCCGAAATATCTAGGGAAGAAAAGACATCGAAAAAGATCGAGCCACTCTTCTTCATCTTTTGGAATCCAAAACCGCTCGGTCTTCCCTTTTTGAAGGCATTTCCCCTCTTCGCATTTGGTTGCCTCTATGTGCTTGTCCTTATTCTCCTTTTTGTGGTCATCCTTGTGGTCGTTCTCCTTCTCCCACTTGTCCTTTCCCTTTTGTTTGATTTCTGCGGTTTTGTTCAAACGGAGCGGGCAATTTTGGATTAAATGGGTGGCGATGCAGTGGTGAAGATTGACAGTAATGATTCAGTGCCACTTCAGTCGTACGAAGATTGAGTAGCAGAGCCCTGTCACCTTTTGTCAAATCCCTGATTATATATTCTATCTCGCGCTTGAGCTTGATGTAAGCTAGGCGAACACTGCCTAGGTGGCTAACTCCCGGTCGCTTTGTCGTATGAACTCGAGTCTGCTTCGGTTTGAGGTTCGATACTGGTGTGATATTGGGCCCTTGCCGCTGCACTCAGGTGCTCGTTGGGTTGAACGGCGCGACGTGGTCTGGATGTCGTCCTCCAGGTAGAACCAAGTAGAAAGTGCGAGGGATCAAACAGAAAGGTGAGAATGAGGCGAAAGAAAACAAACGATATATCAATACCAGACTGAAACCATCATGAAATAGAAGTCAGGGAAAAAGTCGAATTCTATATAGGGAAGGGGCGACCTTGAATGTTGCCATATTAGGCTTAGTACATCTCAACGCCTACCCACGTTCCACAGGTGCTCTCCAGAGCTGTCATCAAACACTTCGAAGCAGACCATTCCACTATCACCATTGCTGCCGCCCACAATGCCGTACATAAACTAAGCTCCGAGTTCTCGGGGTGAGAGACAACCATGGAAGTTGCAGAGGTGCACTTCTCGCACACCATCATTGAGGGATACGACAAAGGAGGCAATTTCCGCCATACACCCGAAGCAAAACTTGACAGGGCACATGGTAGCCCCGGGTACTGTTTTCTGGCCCAGGCCTAGAGCCCTTTCAGACCAAGCTGCTTTTAAACCCAGCCTGGGACCCAAGCAGCCCATCAGGGGGGTCAAAATTCTTGCTTAACAACTTCTTCCATACTGGAGTCCCACTCTCAGGGATTTACAATATACTCGGCTTGTTTCTGTCCTTCATAATCGCTGCTCCAAGCCGCGCATCGACCCAAACTTTCTATCTGCCCATGGCGGCCATGTACGCCAAATGGTGCATTACTCTGAGTAGATTTTCTCCGAAGAACTTGTACTCGATAATGTACAACTGCACATGGATAAAAGAAGGCCCATTTCTGATACTCACGGTAAGCACTCAGATCTCGTACCGTTGGAACCAATCAACTGACTCAAATTAGATGGATATCACCGTCAGAGTCACCCCAGGCAAGGTGGATTCTTTTTAGGGGCACGTCCTTCAAGGTGGGAAATCGAACGTTTTAATGTCCAAAGGTTGTGGGGTGCTTATTTGTCCTCATAAATGAGCTCAGGTCCCGCCATAACCACTGTTTGTTTTCGCTTCTCAACCTCTCCTTTTTCCTCTCTGTTGCTCAGTTCCACCTGTTCGGTTTCACTTATCATTACAATCATCAAGATTCAATCCCAGCTTACGGCTTTGCATTTTAAAAATGGCTACAATGCGTATGTATTATTTCTGGTGGCCTGCGGCGGCCTCCTAGGCCCCTTAGGCCTGATTGAGTCAATTTGTACTGATTGCTTGTACTATAGATCCCACCTCAAACCATTTATCTGACGAGTTAAGGGCATTCTTCGACACACTGGATGAACCGTGCCATGAAGAACGGATCGTGGCCGCCGATATCGAACAATCGGCCGAGGAGCAGCGTTTGGGTGGAAAATTCCCAAAGATTGCTACCGTAGTCATCTCTTACGGGCTATATCGGTGAGAGTCGATCCGACGAGAACGTGGGCTCAAGACTCACTACTACCTCACTCAAGGCGCATATCAAATCTCCTCCGGTTGCCATACACTGCCATACACAGGCGGCTATGACTACAAGATTAGCAGGCATATATCCAGGTGTTTTATCCATATCTCAGATATCGCCCAAAACCACCTTCTCTAGCTACGGAAGCCCGCGTCGCCCCGTCCGATCCATTGCTGCTCTGTACTAAAATTCCGGGCATTTCTCGCACGACGTGCTATTCCTTACCCCCAGGACTCGTGTACCCTCAAAATCAGGAGACTATAAAGGGGTATCCTTGACTCCTGTTCTTCTCCCATTTCAACATCCTGCCTCTGCCGCACGGTACGTCTAACCTGACAATCCGTCGCCATCCACCTCACAATCTGTCGCCATCATGCCGCCGAAACGATCAACCCGCCCGGCGATGTCCGACAAAGGAGAAGGTTCGTGAGGTCCTCTGCGTCCCCGATTCCGGACTCGAATACTCCAACCACCTGGCTGTGATGAACCAGCAGGCCCAATGGGTCCTGAAGAACGTCAGGCCGGATACGAATCTGCTCTACTACGATACTGTCACCTATGAGGACGATGGACAATTCGTAATGCCACCTGCTGACGTTCGGTTGTCGGGTCCTCTGGTGTTTTTATTATCCCCTACAATCTCTGTCCCGGCAAGGCAAGAAACACTCGATGGCCTCACGACTTCAATACAGACGGGGGGATATTTACCCCGACCGGTGGCCCTTTGGAGTAGTCGTTGTCTGGGCGTTCGGCGTGCCCTCTCTGCTAGTCTTCTCCGATTACTACGTGCTAACGGGCGCACTCGCTTGTCTACCGTCCAGGATATGTAGGTTCCTTCAAAGAGGCTCGATGTGCCTTGATAAACGACGGAGCTCTCGGGCGTCAGGGCAGAAGTGGTGCAGCCAGCCATGCTAACGATCGAGCGCGGTGTATCTATTTTAATATTTTTAATAGATATGTACTCAGTGAAATGGCAGATTTTATGCTCTCCGATCAACTCTAGGTAACCTTGACGGTGACTCGAGCATTGCGGCTCAACCTTGGAACTATGAGACATTACTAGGCACCCATGAGGCTAGCCCGGGCTTTTCCCAATCAAAACAAAGCTCGTTAGTGGGGTAACCCATCAAGGTCTGTGCCCAGCGTGTAAATATAAATCGGTAGATGTGCTCTTCTAACTGCCCATAACTCTACTCACATGCATTCAAGTCGACTAAAAAGGCGGCGTGTAGAAATAATGGAAACCCTCCAGGACCTTGTCCCATCTCTACCTGCAGCCCCATTGACATCCCCACTATTTACCGTCTTCCCCGCCGAGATCCGCAATCGCATTTATACGCTCGCCCTTGAGTCTGAGGATATTCTCACAGACGACAGTTCTCGCTCCCTCTACAAGCAAAACGCTTTCTACTACCGACCCGGGTACAAGCAGCCCAAGCGCATCCAAACTGCCCTCCTCCAGACATGCCAGCAAATCTACGCCGAGGCGTCCCTCCTTCCACCAGCAGTCAATGAGCATACTTTCTGGTTCTATCGTCCCCCGCCACATGTCAATGATGCGTCATCGCCGCTGAATTATTTTCGCAAGATGACCCCAAAACAGCGGGCTCAGGTGCAGCATCTACACCTGTTCACCCAGCAGTATTTCCTAGAGGACAATCTTTGGTCCCAGATATGGGACGGGCTGAAGATAGGCAACGACGGGCGCAGTTTGCGAGGAGACTGCAGGATCGCGCCGAAGAAGATGACCATCACGTTTCGCCACACGGACTGGTGGTACTGGGAGAACAATGACCCCCTGGGCATCGATCCGTTCCGGCCAGGGAGAACCCGCGCAGCCGATATGGGCAAGGCTGTTTCCTCGCACGCTGCAGCTCGATCATGGGGAAATCAATTTAGCTCTATTCCCTGCCTCGAGGAACTGGTGATCGAGTTCGAGACGATCATGCGGAAGAGGGACCAGCTAGATGCCATCATACAACAAGCTCTCGAGTGGAAGTTTCCCATGCAGCCTGACAAGGGCTTGTATTTGGTCGCTGACCCCAAGTCAAAGAGCGCATATACTTGGACTGGGGCGAAAGAGGCGGAGTTGAAAAGACAGAGACCTGTATGGCCGGTTGATGCCGACGCTGGGTCAGAATCTGAATCTGACAAGGAACAGGAGCCGGTTCCTGCAACCCCGGCTTTGGTGCCATTTGATCCTCAATCTAACTCTGGTACGGATAGCAACGTTAATCTTGGGAATAATGCCCAATTTGACGCAAATACGGAGAAGTTCTATGTCGTTTTCTTGACTTGGAGGAAGCAGCGAATCCAGGAGTAGGCCAGTTATCTCAGCCTCGGCTTCCATTGCTTAGGTGCCATATGCAAGGAATCTGTTAATGTGTCTATTTTTGCCCGTCAGACAGGACAGCTTTTCTGTTTATCTTGTGGTGTGCGATACGTGAAGCCTTTGATGGGTCTAGGTTTTATTCCTGAAATTCTGACATAGAACATATAAGCCCTGGAGGAATCTAAGTTTTAGATGTCTAGTTACAAACTTCGGGCTCTAAGAGCTATGGTGCAATGTCACAAGTGGCGGCTGGACGCCGTAAGTATGATATGTTAGTCTAAAATCAGGCATCCGACCCCTGGCCGCTTTGCCCCTTCGCACACTCCTTTTTGCCAATTGAATCACGCTCAAAACCGTTAATTAACAAATACGAATAAGATAATGATGCAATCAGACTGAAGTGGCTTAATTATTTAAATTGATCGCTTCAAATCCAAACAATTTGGCGGCATTATTGTAGGCGACGTTGATTCTAGTTTCAGGATTTAGCTCGCCGAGAACCTCTCGAGTAAAGACATCGTCCGTCCAAGGATAGTCGGTTCCAGTCAACAGATGATCATAGCCGACGACAGAAGCCGCATGCAGTATATCAGTGAAGTTGGCATTGTTGCAATCAAAGTAGATATTGCGAAGGTAATCACTGATGGGCCGGGGCAGAAGTTTCTTTTGGCCTGTTTGATCAATGTACCAAGAGTCGGCGGGAAACCGCATGGAAAGAGCATCGAAGCGACCGAGGCTGGTTAGGATTCCGCCACCAAGATGGGTTGCTATAATGGTGATATCAGGATACTTTTCATATACACCTGACAGAACCAAGTCAAGAAGCGCCGTCCGTTGATCGTTTAGGAAGCCCGAATAGGTTGAGATGTTTTTTCTTGGAATGAAAGGCGCTTCGACCGGCTCGACCGCTGGGTGGATAATCACAGGTACCTTCAGCTCTTCTGCCAATGCGAAGTAAGGGTCGAAAGCGGCATCCCCTAGGAAGACTCCATCATAGTTGGAGGCCATGAAGACAGCCTTCAAGCCCAGGTCAACGATGGCGTAGCGAAGGATTGAGATCGCCTTCTGGCTATAAGGCTCGCCGTCTGGGGCGTTTCCAGCGGTTCGAATTGCGGAAGGGGGTGGGATGGTAGCCGTGCCGATGAGTTGAGGATTATTGGCTGTTTTTGTTGCCATCCACTGGTTAATGTCGTTGACCATTACGAGCAGCTTCTCTGCGGGGAAAGGCGGGAAAAATGTGTTCACCGTGACCACCTGGATATTTTCCTTGCCTAGGATTCTGCGGCGCGGATCCCCTACAAGATCGTCGGCTAATTGCCTGCAGATATCGTCGGCAATGATTTCGGCGGTCTCTTTTTCTAAGGTTGCCTTGTTTCGCACACCTGTTGCGACTGCTTCATAGCCACTCGGTTTGATGGCATGTGCTTGCACATCGAAGATAGGGCCGTTGTATGGCCGCCGCTCCGTCATCTTCACTTGAGGATCGATGATAGCGACACGTGGGGGTATGGTTGAAGGGAATAGCCTTGAAAATATCGATCGCAAACAGCAGTTAGGCTAAAGACTAATCATGATTTTCATCCAGCTTTAACGGATTTTATCAACATCCGTATGGAAAATTTTCGCCACCGGAATAGCTCCACTGTATGATACAATTAGCCATACTGTAATAAAATATGCCGGCATCCGGTCGGTACGAAAATTCCACATGTGCATTTGCGACTCCGTCGGGTTAGCCCCTACAGTTCAAAGCACCGATCGGTCAAACTGATGTGCCGTTCCTAGCGTTCGATTACTGATCCTGAAGGTTCTTGTGATTCACAGCCCAAACCATTGTTGATGATGTAAAAAAATTGTGTAAAATCGCCTAGTAAGACTTTTTCAAAGTGGATACCAACCGGACGAAGTCACCGTGCACAACATACGTGCGACACTTTATAAAAGGGTATCGGTTCATTAGAAGATTTGCTGCATTGTTACTCCCGCGCTTTTGTTATTTTTACGCCCAGAATTAGGTGAATATAGACAACAAGAGAGCATGTAAAACTTTTGATTGGGACGCTTGATGTATCGGTACCCGGGATGTAAATTCTAATATAAATATTGAAAGAAAAAAGGATGAAAGTGAATTGAATCAAGCTCAAACCTTTGTACTTAACAGATACGAATGATATAATCTAGCAGATAGAAGAAGCCACAACATCTATAAAATCCTGGAATGGACCTGGTTCACCAACTACCCAACGGTATCGACAATCTCATCCAGCAAAGACACAGCAAAGTCCGACCACGACTCAACAGTGACAACTTCAATGCATAGAGTATCCCCCTTTGGGAATGCCTGCACCTTGATCTCCCGCAATGGCTCGAAATGCAGGTAGATGGTCTGCATACGACTACTGGCCGCCATCTTTTCGAGCGCCTCTACTCCCCCGAATCCGGCACCATCCATGTTGACGGCCGAGACGTTGCCTATGGTGACATCTTATTCCGAGAATCCATTGCATATGTACCACAACAGAGCGTTTTGTTCGAAGGAACTATTCGCTTCAATTTTGCCCTTGGCGCACGACCTGGCCACGAAGTTACCCAAGAGGAGTTGGAAGAAGCATGTCAATTAGCCAATATCCACGACGTAATTGCGCAACTTCCCGACGGATACGATACACACTGCGGGCCAAATGGTGATCGTCTGTCTGGAGGCCAGAAGCAGCGAATGGCTATCGCGCGGGCGCTGATCCGAAAGCCGAAGCTGTTGCTCCTAGAGGCTTCGACCAGTGCTTTGGATGCAGAGTCTGAGCGATTACTTCAGGATGGATTGGAAAAGGCAACCAGAAACGTGACCGTTATAGCGATTGCACATCGTTTGTATACGATCCGTAAGGCGGATGTTATTTTCTTGATTGAGGATGGGCGTTGTGTTGAGCAAGGCACTCACGCCCAGCTGATCGAGCGGAGTGAGACTTACAGAGTCAATGCCCTGAACCAGACAGTAGATCGATAAGTGTTCTTGAATAGAAAAAAGTAGATAGCTGTTTCTTTTCTGTTTTTGTTGTATCGATATATATTGTTTAATCTCATTCTTCTATGATAGACGATCCCCTACTCCTACTACATACTCATCGTTTCATGGCTTCTCTATCAAATTAAACATTTACTCAGTTGTTTCTCCTAAACGCATCCATCTCCAGCAAACTGCTTTTATTAGCTCAATCAATCTGGCGGGAAACTTGTCAGCTTACTTCCATATCCTAGATCATCATTGAAGAACATATTACGGATCTCGTCGCCCGAGGACAGTCCCATGGTCGGGAAGTACCCAACAGCGGTTTTCCCAAGAGCCAAAGCCATCATGGGAGCTACCTCTACCAACTCGACGAACTTGGGTTCCGCATTGTACCGCTCCGCTAACATATGCTGGTGGATATTGACAGCTGCGAAGTGCGCCTGGTGCATCGCCGCTCCACCACGCTTAATACCCGACCAGGAGACAATATCACCGGCAGCATAGTGATATTTCTTGTTCGGCACATCTGCGGAAAATTGAAGACCGGGCGTGATACGGACATATCCCTCCGGATCGCAGGCATCCTTAGGAAGATATGAGGATGTTGGTGCAAACCGTGACACAGCATTAATTACATGGTCGGCAATGAGCTCTCGACCATCTGAGAGCTTGAGCGTATACTTGGCCGGAGCGGAGTCGCTACCGAGAACTGTATCCTGGACGCGTGCTCCCAATACCACTTCGACCTTGGACTCTTTCAGCATTTCAAGAGCCTTTGCTTTAAAATCATTGGGGAGGTCCTCAGAAGAGAGCAGCTGTTGCCGAGAGTGAACGAGGGTTACCTTTGCCTGAGGTTGGAGCATCTTGATCTCGGCGGCGATCTCGATACCGACAGCACCTGCGACGAACCAATCAATTGGTATAACTCAAATGCAAGAAAATAATGTCACATACCGCCTCCAATAACAACAACACCCTTCGAGGCATTCTCAATAGTCTGCACGGAGTCTGCAGTTTCGGCAAGGTATGCCTCCCGAGTCAAAGATTTGGGCGCACTAGGCCACTCTCTTCGCAAGCCCGAGCACGCAATCATGTAGTCGTATTTCTCTTCGACAATCTTGTGCCCATCATTCGCAGTGTTTTGACTGATCCGTGCAATCCGGGACTTACAGTCTATCGAGTCAACTCGTCCTTGGATGTGACTGATATCAGGGGACTGGAGAGCGGGAATATCCTCGAACTTTTTCCAGAATGTGCTGGCATCGGCGTTGGAGGCTATGGCTAAAGGCAGTCCGATAAGGTGATCTAAAATAATTAATGTCAGTGACATGCTTTTAAATGTTACATGAGGATATCGCATACAATAACCGTCGCGCTCATCCACGATGGTTACTTGCACGGGAATCGTGTGCCCTGGGGCCTGGTCGTTCTCATCCAGATTGAATCGACATTTCCGGCCATGACACAAGTCAACAAGGTTCAGAGTTGCGGCCAACCCAGAATAAGACCCTCCGACAATGAGAACCTTGAAGGGCGAGTGTTCTTCGAGACTAGGCATGGCGGCGATCGGTATAGTGGGCTTTTGGTAATAATAGGGGAGTTGTTGGGATAGGAAAAAGAAAAGAGGTCAACTAGGAGCCGGCAAATTGACCCGAGCAACTGATCGGATCAACATGACAAGGTCAAATGTCTCAATACCCGGCCCCGGAGGAAATACGGCCCCCATTACGCATGTATGTAACTTTAACTTTCAATGCAACCTTGTCTTATCAGATCCGACTTCGGTAGTCTTGGCGCCAAGCAGTTATCATTTGTTGAATACAGATGCACTTAATACCATACACTGCTACTTTCTTCAACTCTTTCTGAACTATTCCTCAATAGTGATTGTACTTTCTTTTTTGTATTCAATACGGGCTTTGTTATTGTCCCCGCACTCTCCCCGATATCCGTGCCATCTACAATGTTTGGTTTGCGGCTTTCAAAGGCCAATTGATCCTGGATTTTATCTACCCGGGAACGTATCTGAACGATGAGGCTTTTCGCAAAGTCCACACCGAAGGGGCTCTTGAATATTGGAAAGTATTGAGCACGGAGCATACCTTCCAATGCATTGACACCGACACCGGTAAATTCGCCGGCATGGCAACATGGCAAGTCTACTGGCGGGAAAGAACCAATGAAGAGCGTCAGAAGCCGTGGATTGGATGGTTGGAGGGTGACCAGCGAGAGCGTGCCGAATTTTGGAACAGCTTTGGGAGAAAAGAGAGAAGTGGATTGGGTCCAAGAAGCATGTGTGTGTGACTACTGATCCTGATATTGATAATGACTGTATGTTGACCCAGCGATAGGCTGCCACACAGTTGCAGTGCATCCAGACTACCAGGGTAGAAGTATCGGAGCACAGCTTATGCAATGGGGAACGAACGTGGCAGAGCAGCTGAACTTGCCAATTCACCTTGAGTCAACAGTGGAGGGAGTCCCACTGTACCAAAAACTTGGCTTCCAGACTCTCTCGGAGGGTATCCTGTTCAAGCCCGAAATTACCAGGGTCGACAAAGAGGTTCGAGCACCACTCATGGTGAAAATGCCCACAGCTGCGGGAAACATGACATTTGAGAAATGGGCGACGGACAAGTATATCCCTGTATAAATTAGATATAGACATACTTTTGTTTAGGCCTTCAATGCAAGGCACGATCGGTCACATGCTCGTATGGCATCCCGGTCTTATATTTTGACACTAAGAGGTCCTCTCATGTGCCTACAGAGTAGAATTGAATTACATTTACACCTTTGTCCCTAGCCTGCGACGTGTGTGCACCAAAACCTAAGCTTGCCGCCACACAAGCGAGAACTCCGACCAATTCTGGTAACCCGACTAATCCCAGTAAGCCATCCGACGATGAAACTGGTCATCCCTTTTCGACAGTCTTGGCAAGGAGTTTAGAAGTTACCCAGAGGCCCAAGCGGACAGAGAATTAGAGCCAAGACTTGGCGCATTGGTGAACGAAGCTACCGTGTGAGGTTTTTATTAAACATGTGAAAACTTTCTATTAATCAAATCGTTCATATCGAGCCAAGAATGACAACAGGGGCAGACGAAAGGGAAAATGGGACGAGGCGGTACTCATCAGTGCCGCCGTCACTCCCGGTGACTCCATCGGTAGAACATTATCCCATTGATCAAGTGGACGACGGTTTTTGTGTGCATCCATGTGGGTTGGGGTAATGCTGTGGAGATAAGAAGAGGTTGGTATATCTTAAGGGGAGTCCTAAGGGCAGGTTATGAGGTCGTACATACTCCGTGCTATAAGCGAACTCTACCGAACTCCACCCCGAGCTGATCCATCCATAGATGTGGCGGATATGATAACTTCCAATGTTCGGATCCAACTCGGCAAGTGCCGATCGTTCCCTGGCATTCCCACTGACTTTTACTGATACCATAAAATATCCGTAATACCATACAGACCCGTGTATCGTACTTAAATACAAAGGTGGGGCCGCTGATCTTATCTGATCAAGGATTATCAGATGGCCCACAAACAGTTTGTATACCCATGGACCTAGATACTACAACCTGAATTGTTCAGTGCTCTGGGCGATCCCGATACCAAGACATCAGATATTAAATCATTCATATCAGCGCGAATTGGCTGGCCGACATCGGCTGAATGCAGGGATTTCCGAACAATTCTAGTCATATATTTGAGTTTGAGACATCCAGTGGAACGAAAGAATTAGAAGTCCACTCTTGCAGGGAAGTTGATCCTGCCATGTGTCTTTATTCCGCCTTTTCCGCCCTTTGCGGGCTCCAGGCTACCCTTGTTGTGGCCGAGAATACCACTTGGCCTTGGCAAACCTTCAAATCCAGCGCTCACGAGCCTCCGAATCTCAAGATCTTGGGCAGCATTGACAGCTCCTCTTTTGTATCTTGGATTGACATGCATGAGAACACAATGGCATCTGATGGAACAATGCTGGTCACCGGCTACAATGTCACCCAGACTGATCTCAGTTCCGTGGGAGGCCCCAAGAATGGCTGGATCGCTGACTCGCTCTTCTATGAGATCGACGTCAATACCAACGAGATACTTTTCCGCTGGAGTGCCCTGGAACATGTTGATCAGATTCCCTTGAAAGTTGTACAGCCTTTCTACCCTATTCGGGACTGGGGACACAGCAGCAGCTCTCCCTATGGCTACTTTCACATCAACTCCGTGGACAAGTTTCAAGATGGAACGTACATCAGCTCTTCTCGTTACTACTGTTCGCTGGATACTTCAGGTAAGTTCAAACTTCTTCAAGTGTGTCAAAAATACGTCCCACCTACTAATGTTGCACAATAGGGTCAAACCGGCGGAGACTTTGCACTCAACGGAATCAAGTTCAGCTACCAACACGACGCCTGCATCCACGACGAGACCCACGATGCATTCGTGCTTAGCATTTTTGACAATTCCAACTCTGATGTCCAGAACGGGACTGATCACACTGAAGGCATATTGATGAATGTCAATCTAGCCACTCGTGAGGTCTCCCTTCTCCAAACTCTCCATGATCAACGCGATGAAATCTTTTCGACTTCTCAAGGAAACATACAATTGCTGCCCACAGACCACGTCTTGATGGGCTACGAATCAAATCCTAAAATCCATGAGTACAATACCAACGGGACTTGTGTCATGATTGCCCAGTTTGGATTCGATGATATCGTCGCAAGTTACCGAGCCTATCGCTTCCCCTGGGTCGGCGTCCCCGATACTCTCCCCGATGTGTTTTCTTGCATTGATTAGGGCGGTAACAAGACTAATGTTTATATGAGTTGGAACGGAGCCACTGAGCATAAACAGTGGAAGGTCTTTGGAGGCGCTACTCGTTCAAGCCTGAGTCCAGTCGCAGTGACACTGAAGACAGGATTCGAGACCATAGCGAGCATCAAAGGAAGACTTGGGTATGTTCGAGTGGAATCTCACAGCCTGGTGATCCAGAAAGGTGTTTCCAAAATTGTACCCGTAAAGACTCGGTGTTAGGTGCCACATATATCATATAGGATTGCAATACCTTGTAAACTTTAGTGAGAATAGGCAATGAGAGAACTTAGAATGCACTAATCTTGGCAGGATACCACGTCTGATTTCTATAAGACAATAAAGTTTTGTACATAGTAATAGTTGGGGCGTACTCGAGCACACGGCAGTCCGATAATCATCGAACCCCTGTTTTGTATGAGTCAAAATTCAAAAAAGAGATAATACACTTTTCGATCCTAGATGGTAGATATTCATAGCATGACAACAACTAATTAGAGAAATGTTATTTACCTACCGATGCCCACTAACTTCAATCTAATCCCCATAAGCTTCATCTGCCGACTGCACACTTTTCTATCAACAACACATCAACTTAGATCACGCGCCCCTTGACCTGCTTAAGATCCTTTATCTTGATGTCTCTCCACATCGCAGCACATCCCCAACCAACTACCAGCATACAAACACTTGTAATGAGCATATAACGCTGCGCATCTCCATAGGCGTGAGCAATGGCATTCCGAGCAGGGCTTCCCCACTCATACGACAGCTGGGCCGTGATATCCGAATAAACCGTCGCCACACTCACCTCCGCCGGCACGTATTTGGCCAGCGCCTTCGGGAACTCACTGGTCCAGATAGCGGCAGACACAGTTGATCCAATTGCACTCCCAATACTACCGAATAGATTCAGCATGGCAAGTATAACAGCGATGTGCTGGTGATCCGAAGGCGCCATCATAGCAAGCTCGCCACAGATGACCGTGGTTCCACCAGCGAAGGCAACGAAGATTTGAGTCATGCAAATATACCCGATACCCGCATCGGGCTGACGGAATTTAATCATCAGTCCAACGCCCAGGATCATAAGCGGGAAAGAGAAGTAAACGGCCAGCCATTTGAAGCGACCAGTCCAACGGATCAGGAAACCGACGAGGAGACAAAAGAGACAGGATCCGACTCTGTAGATGGCTGAGACATAGCTGGCTTCTGTGACATCCAGACCCCAAACGACCTGGAGCATTGATGAGAAGTAACTACCCCAGACCATTGAGTTGAAAAACTCAAAGATGAACATTAACCCGCCGAAGAAGACGGTTCGGTCCATCAATAGATTAAATGGGATGAAGGTCACTGGGGCCCAAAATCGCTCGTAGATAGCGAATGCGATGAGCAAAAGGCCTCCAAAAATGATCATGCAAATTATCATTGCCGAGCGCCATTGATCCTTTTGATATGACCAGAGACTGAACGGAAGAAGGAACAAGGCCATTCCGCCCGCCAGAAGAATGATTCCAATCAAGTCGACCTCGATGCAGTATTGCTTTACTGTAGACAAGGTGAGAGAACCACGGCTGGGCGCGAGCAAGCCCATCTTCTTGGCCTTTTGCTGATTCCAGAAGAACAGAAGACACAGAGGAGCCACCACGACCGGAACAATGATGGTGAATATTCCGAATCCCCATCGCCAGCCGGGGCCTTTGAGTACACTCTGGGAAATTGGTCCACCAATCCAGGTGGTGATTATATATGGCGAGGTTGCAAACGACAACATGAGGGCTCGGTTCTTCAATGCAGAGGTGTCCGAAATAAAAACAGTCAGACAATAGCTGACTCCTTGGGATCTAGAATTTGTCGCAAATTAGCCAAGCTGTTGGAAAGACATTGAAAAGTTCAATGTGGATATCATACCCCACGGATGAGAAAACCTGCGCGGCCGCGTATGTCTGGACGTTGTCGCAGGCGGCCATCATGATGAATCCCACAACCCAAATGATCAACATCAAAGACATACCCTGAGGCCGACCCCACGAGTCCAAAATCTTTGCCAAGGGAATTTTACTCAAGCCGCCAATGATATTGGCCATGATACTTGTGGCAGCCGTCAAAGAATGGAGCATGAAGGCACTGGTCACGTAGGGGTTTAGAGATCGGATGACGACCTCCTGGATGGAGGTAACAAAATAGATAAACCAAATGCTTCACACGAGAAGAGTCAGTGGTTTGAATGGATAGAAACGTTGGATCAAGAAGAGATTCTCACATCACATATGCCAGGATCATATGAGACTTAGTCCACACGGCCGCGGCAGCCTGAACACCCTTCACACCAGCCTGAGCCTCTTGATCGAGAGACTTCTGATCCGAGTTGCCATGATCATCAGCCGTATTTCTCGGTGTGAGAGCTGTCTCTGGCTGTTTCTCGGAGGGATAGAGAACGTCAGAGCCCATCTGGTGAGCAATCTCCGTTTCCTTCGATGCCATGGCGAGAGACTCTATGGTTTGAATACTAGCCAGGCTAGAAATCGCTGATCAGTGTGATATATATACCTATCAGATGTGCATTAGCCCGACATCGGTAACAAGGAAGATTCTGCACCAATGGATTGAGGAAAGTTTCCGGTAGGTAATAATTTCCATTACCGCCAGGGAGGTTAGTCGGGGCCGGCCTCCTTGGCGCACCTAAGTGTCGAGAAGATGGATCCGTAGCCATTCCTAGGGGCTTCTCCGTCCAATAAATTCTGTCCTTGGGCTCGAGTGCTCTGATGCCACCTCAGTACTTTTCGATTAGCCCATTCTAGGTTTGACTTTCCTTGTCTTTTTCTCATTCAGAAGACACCTGTGGGCCAACAATCCAGAGGATGGCACTTTTATTCCTCTCTTCGTTGTGCTGTCTTTGGTCCTAGTGGTATTTGGTATTTTTGTCATACGGTGGACTCGTTTTACGGTATTAGAAAAATGACCTTCAAATTTACATACGTGTATTTGAGCTTTACAGCGTTTTCGACAGTATTTTTGTGTTCTCTCTCCATTTCTCTCCATTTCTCTCCATTATTAGTGGCCTGCCAAACGTCTCTATTAAATGATTCCGCGTGTTGCGCTTCATGAGTACATACCTACGGAGCAACCTTTTTTCCTCTGTCGGCTGGTAGTTTCCTATTTTAGCCGGCGTCACTTTTACGCCCCCAAAACCCTGCAGCCCTAAGGAGCGTAAGGAGCAGTGTGCCTAGGCTGACAATTATTTCGTTTAGGGACCTGTTAATTCACACACCACAAGTGTCTCACTCTTACTAAAGTCACGGGGTATCATGACCTTATGTTCCTTTTCCTCAGTATAACTTGAGTTCACATCCTATGATGAACTCTACACCAATTCATGCTTCCCATATACTCTAAACACTAGATGCCTCCAGGCCTCCAGCGCATTCTAGTTTTACGAAAACGAACTCAAGTGCAAGGGTCTAACAAGTCCTTTATCTGTTATCTGCACAGATAGCATTCGGCTCAAATTCATTTGCTTGGTGATGTCTTGAATTCCTAATATTACACTCCGAGGACTTTTCCAAGAACTGCTCACCTATACAGCGTTTATTCTCTGCTCACAATCGAAAGCTTTGGACCGTTCTCTAGCATCGGAAACGAATGTCATATCTAACTCCTCCGTTCGATACCGCCTCTGCGTCAGATGATACGTGACATAACCAGAAACGAAAGCCTCAACCACCTTAGATAGCCCGAAGTGAGCCTTTCCAAGCGTCCGCAAAGTCTGAATCACGTCGCTTGTATCATCACAGAGCTTCCTCAGAAACTCGATCTGAGTCAGCCCTTTACACCTGGCCGAGTTCGCGATGAAATTAGAGTTGTCCATCTCAGCCATTTCTTTGTAAAACGACATGATGTCATTTATCCAGTTGAAACCCCATGTCAGATATGGTATCAGCGGTAGGCAGTATCGGAGGCATTCGGCTTCGGAGAATTGTGCCATTGGGAACAACATAAAAGAGTAGGCTTCGGCCACGCCGACTTTCAGGCGAAAATAGCCAGGGAAGAGATGGGCTTCTGGGGGGAATTGAAGATTCTCGCTGTCGGCTTCTGCGTAACATGCGCTGATGAATTGTAGTGAGTCCTTGATGATCATATCGCCGGCAAATTGGCCGAAGATAGAATGGAACGAGCTTAGGAACACTCCCATGCTCTCGAGAACCGGGCTTCCTTGAGGCTGTCGGCTCAATAGGCAAACATTGAATCGCTTTAGGTGATGCTTGAACTCGGGATCATGGGCAAAATCATCAATGATGAGACAATAAGTAGTGAATATTGCCACTGTGCATTGTATATTGAAGGGGGTTGTTTGGAAAGTCGTGGTTGCGATTCCGACGCTGGTCGTGATCTGTGGCTCGACCTTCGAAACAAATTCATCTGAGAATCCGTTATTCTTGAAATGCAGCTTCACTTCGTCTTCAACTGCAGGATATAGTTTCAAAGGAGGAAACTCATAACCAATATCCAAAAGAAATGCCTGTATGATTCCAGAAAGCTCTGCCTTATTCTCAGGACTAACAGCGAGGACCATTTTTGAAGATGGAAGGAGTAGAGGAAAGAGAAGTGTGGGAAATAAAAAGAAAGACAAGATGGGTACATAAGGGAGGTGATGAACTTGTGTAACTAACATGTAGCAAGGTCCTGACTGGGATAGGATCTTCCGATGTCAGAGGTTAAATCCATGAGTACACTACGGGGCTGAATTACTCAGTATGTATCATGTCAGACCGACACTGCCACCTTGAGTGAACATATCAGGAAGTGATCAGAATGGTTCCTATTAATCCCGAGTCACACGAAACTCAAAGATAACGAGATATCCTAAGGAGTTCGGATGTCTGCCTCCCTTGGGAAGATCGTGCATGAACGTTCCACACACATCAGATGTTGATTTATCTGATTCGAATTGTCTCAAGGCATTAAGGCACCAAGTCACCATCACTACTCACGTGCTTAACTAGGTAGAGCGCAATTTAATTTTTCGGCCAATCAGAGGCCAGGAAAATCAAATTTGAGATTTCCAAAAGCGGCTCTGTCACTTTTTGATTTGCTTCTATCAAACTCAAGATTCGATCAGATACTCAATGGCCGGTCACGACATTGAAGAGAATCGAGAGAAACACAGCAATGGCGAGTCACCACAATTGCCAGAATTGCAGCGAAGGCTCAAAAGCCGACATCTTCAGATGATCGCAATGGGTAAGAACTCCGACCTATACACATTTTTGTTGTGATTCATATTCTTATCTTTGTGCAGGGGGTGCTATAGGCACAGGTCTATTCATCGGTAGTGGAAGTGCCATTGCTACCGCGGGCCCTGTCGGCGCCCTGATTGCCTTCACCTTCATTGGGTCAATCGTGTATTCAGTCATGATAGCCTTGGGTGAGGTGGCCACGTACCTACCGATCCCAGGAGCATTTGCCACATATGCGACGCGCCTGGTCGATCCCAGCTTAGGCTTTGCAATGGGCTGGATCTACTGGTTTTCATGGGCCTCGACATTTGCCCTTGAGTTGACTGCCACTGGCCTAATCATTCAATATTGGGATGACGCAATCCCAATGGCAATATTCATTGCTGTATTCTGGGTTGTCATCATAATCTTGAACATGTTTCCTGTGAGCTGCTACGGTGAAGTCGAGTTCTGGCTTTCAAGCATCAAAATCATCACCGTCGTTGGGTTTATGATATTCGCGATTTGCATCAATGCTGGCGTTGGCAGGGAGGGTTATCTAGGATTCAGATACTGGGTGCATCCAGGCCCATTCCGCCCTTATCTGATTGAGGGACAAGACGCTCTAGCTAAATTCGTCGGATTTTGGGCCATCTTAATTAAAGCCGGGTTTTCATACCAAGGCACCGAGCTTGTTGGTATTGCCGCGGGTGAAACGGAAAACCCTCGCAAGAACATTCCCTCTGCAATCCGGAAAACCTTCTTTCGGATCGTGTTTTTCTTCGTTTTTACGATTTTCTTCGTCGGCATCGTTGTGCCATCCAACGACGAACGCCTTACCTCCAATGACAGCGGTGCAAATGCAGATGCTTCCCCCTTTGTCATCGCTGCGAAACGTGCCGGTGTCAACGTCCTACCTAGCATCATCAACGCAGTCCTACTTACTGTGGTCCTTTCCGCAGCCAATTCAAACGTATACAGCGGCAGTCGGATTCTAGTCGGTTTGGCTCATGAGGGTTTCGCTCCCCGCTTTTTCTTGAAAACAACCAAACACGGCGTGCCCTACGGAAGTGTTGGGTTTACAGCTCTGTTTGGCCTCTTGGGCTTCCTCAATGTGTCGAATGCCGGAGCGACTGTCTTCAACTGGTTGATGCAGATTGCTGGCTTGGCGGGTTTTATTACCTGGGCATCTCTGAATATTTGCCATCTCGCATTTATGAGAGCTTTGGCTGCGCAAGGCATTTCACGCGATAGTCTTCCATATAAGGCTAACTGGCAACCCTTTTTCTCGTGGTATGGCTTGTTCTTCAACATGCTTATCATCATCACCCAGGGCTTCACTGCTTTCATTCCGAAATTCAGTGTTACCGACTTCTTCATCAACTACCTCAGTCTCATATTGTTTGCGGTGCTGTACATTGGCCATAAGGTTGCTTTCCGGCCGAAGTTCGTGAGGCCTGTCGAGGCTGATATTGCCACTGGGCGATGTGAGGAATGAAGAGTGGGAAAACGGCTACAAACTATGTGTGGAAATTTATTTGTAATATGTATATTGATCTAGATTGAAAGACTGTATAAAATCGAGAGACACTAGAATGCTTATATCTGAAACCCATTCTATTAATTTCACATATATTCAAGTTATCCTACTAGAAATAGGTAGTAATACTAAAATGTAATTAGTTATGTTATGTTAGTAAAATGTAGGAATTCTTACATCTGAAATACCCATTCTAATTAATTTCACACTTATATTCAATGCCCTACTAGATACGAGTAGTAGATAGAATATAATAAATATATTTATGTTAATAGTTCGTAATTGTAGTTCTTAATATAGAAATGGTAAAGAAATCCTAATCTGTCATGGATAACCCAGTGGAAGGCTCACCGCCATGCCAATTACCCTGCTTCGGCTGCAAGGCCAGCAGGAAAGGTGCCTGGTACGAATCCCGGGGTTGGCATTTTCACTCGTGCGAGTAATCCACGACGCTGGAAGCCATTAAGCAATGGAAATGACCCTTGAGGGAAGCAATTCTGCAGAGACATTTCCACCCCGGGATGGCGTCGCCAGATTACACCGTCCTGTTACAGGAAAGTTGGCAATTTGGTGTGACAACTACTATTTCTTTTTTTTCCCCTTCTTTGTGAGGTTATTTTTCACTCCCACTTATTTATCTTTACAATTTTTTTTTGGCAACGCAACTATTCTATCACTCCGTAAAAACCATATACTACCATGTCTCTCTTACAGTCTCGTCATTTGAGATAGGATAATAAATTGACATAACAAGTCGAACACGCTAATAATAGCATGATAAAAATGTACAAAGAAAAACATAAAGAATAAATAAAACATGGAGAAAAATCAACACACCACCTGTTCCACACATAAGACAAGAAGAGGAATGAAACACTCAAATCAATCCATCAAGGTGTACCCATATGAGTCTCATGCGATGCATGCACGGAAGTATTCTGCGTCTGCTCCAAAACCACAGCATAAAATTTCCCTTCTTCTGAGATATCACGGTAGGGACCTGCAGAGACGACGGCCCTAAACAAACCAAATTAGCTCATTCACATTCGAATGATATCAGACAACGACATCAAAAGCAAAAAGTTTCAAAAAAAAGAATCAAAATCAGAAACATACCACCCCTTATACTTCGGCTGATTAAAAATATCCGTAAACACCCTCAGCACTCGCAATGGCAACTCCAGAATAGAAGGCATCACAGGCCCATCACCACAAATGGGTAACCCCAGCTTGTTGACGGGGAGGTAGATGGTCTCAGCGACGTTCTGCGGGTTGCGCGTCTCCTGGAAGATGAGGAGACGGCGCGAGGCGTGCGACGGCGGTCCGCCTGCTGGCGGTGGTCTGGCGTTTGCGCTTGCGCTCATGCTCATCGTGAGGGCTTTTTGAGTGTGAAGGGTGCGCAATAGGTTTTTGCGGAGATCCGTGTTGGATTTTCTTTTTCTTGGGCTTGGGGTTTGGGGGGATAGGTTGTTCAGTTTGGCTGTTCTTTTTTTTTGGTGTTGTTGTTTTTTTATCCCTTAGACTTTGCGCTGCGTCTCTGACTTCAGAGCTTAGAAATAGCGCGTTTTCTTCCGCGGTTCATTAGTATGGTCTCTTTGGATATAGTTCGAGGGCTTCTTACTATTTGTTGACAGTGCGTGTATGGAGGGCGCGACAGGCTCTGCTTATCGTTGGGCGATCAGTGTCCCGATTAGGAGATCGCGGGGCAAAAAGGGGGGACTTTGGAGAAATTTATATTGTAGGAGGATGAAGAAAGGAAGGAAGATGGGAAGTCGAATGTCGTCTGGTAGTTTTAAGGGGGGAAATAAGCCAACAGAAGAGGGGAGGGATTTAATGAGCAATGCTATGATTGTTGTACCTACATCCATGGATGTACTAAAATGAATTCTTAGATTTTAGATCCCATACACAACATGCATTGATCATGACATTAATTAGATTATTCCTATACTCTAGAGTCTCTAGATGACGTAGGTAAAATAAAATCACAGCCAACAGAGAAAGAAGAAGAAAAAAAACACTGGGTATCATGATAATGTGGCCGAAGAGAAACAAATAAAAGAAACAAAAGAACGTCAATCCCGCTCAAATCAGGGATAAATCATGGTATATGGCATCATTCACTATGCAGCGATGAAACGAGAAAAGAAGAAAGATCAAATCAAGCATCAAGCTCTCCCTCTAGCACTCTCCGCGCAGCATCCAGACGACGCCGTAGCACACGCACAGCTTTCACATCTGGATCCGAAGAGGTCGTGATTGCCTGCAGATCCATACAGACGTTACCAAGGCTGGCGAACAGTGCTTCCAGCATCTGTGTGTCATCATCGTTGATGCCACCGACACTGGGGGTGCTGGATGCCGCGCGCACAGTCGAGACGAGGGACGAGACAAGAGAGGTTGGGGTTGCAGAACCGGCCGTAGCTGAGGATGAACGGCCAGTGGGTTTCTGAGGGGAAAGGTTGTTCGGGTCCACTGGGTTGGTGTCGCGGCTTTCGTCGTATCGTGGTCCACGGGGTGTTTCGGAGCGATCACCCTCGACCTCGACCTCTTGGATTGGACTTGGCTGGTGGCTGTGGCTGTGGCTGTGGGGGTGGCCGTGACCATGAGATTGGGAATGGCTATGGCTATGGCCGTGTCGCAGCTCTGTCCAAGGATTAGTGTCGGGAACGCCAGGGGAAACAGATCGCGGGAACCTACCTTGATTAAACCGTCGGTCCCAGTACATCACGCTGTCAATGTCGTCCTCGTCGTCGGGACGCTCGCCTTCGTTTGCGGTTGCGAAGGTTGCCACTGTCGAGACAGACATGTTGCTGTTGGTACGGGAGTGTCGCGCGTATGCGGGCCGGGTTGTCTCGACTGATCCGTTCGAGCTGTTGCTTACCCGACGGAGTTGCTGGGTGTAGTTTCCCAGTGCGCTATGCAAGATGAAATGCTCATAGTCGAACGCATCCTCGCGCATCTCGTGGGGCGTCGCATCCGTGTGCGATGGTACGTTAGGGAAGGCTTCCATGTCGCTCTCGAGGTCATCGTCAAGCGGTTCACGCAAGATCTCATCCAGAGCTTCGCGGTCGATGTCCTCATCGAAATCACCTTCTTCGGCATCTTCGTACATTGTCTCGGCGACAGATTGGTCATCGGCATAGTCAGCAGGCTCATTTCCTTGCCAATTCCCGGCGTGCTTGGACGTATTCCCAGCGACGTGCTCATCGGATCTGCGTCGATCTTCCGCGGCTGCATCATTCGAGACATCCCGAATGTTTTCAGAGCTGGCATCACGTCGGGGATTGGAGCCACGACTGCCCTGACCATCTCTGAGCTCCAGCGCATTCGCATACCAGTGATCAGCAGCCGTCAATGGGCTGGGCGTGCGCAAGCTTTGCAAGCTGCGCCGGCGAAGATTATCCTCCTGGGTCTTCACCTTGAGAGAAGAGATCTTGATATGAAGCCCCTTCATCTGATACTGGAGATCCCGCACCTGCAGTTGCGACTGCGCGCGGCTAGGGGGACCAAAGGAGCTGTAGACTGGACTGAAACCCTCCGGGTTGGATTTCGATTCCTCCTCCGAGGAAATGCCCAACCCATGTGGCGAATTCGGCGAACTGTCTTCGGTGGAAACAGGTGACTGCGCCGTCTGGCCGTGTTCCTGGTCATTCACATGTATCGGAGGCTGAATGGAGGAAACCGATGACCGGTGCGTCAGATACGCCCTCGTAGGTGCATACTGGAACGATCGATCATCAGTATTAAGGCTAGACGAAGTGCTCGCGCCCATCGCACTGACAGAACGCGAGATACGCTTATTATCATTCGAGAAGCTCGAATCAGACGGAATATTCGTCTCCGAGTGCACTCTCGAATGGCGATTATTCGTCGTATCCTGCGACACAATAAGCGACTGCCGTCGAAGCGAGGAGCTCTTAGGATCCGTGCGCGAAATCGACCTATACAGTCCGCCCACCGGCTGGTGCATTCCCATTGGCTGGATATAGCCCGAATTCGAGGGCGAGGGCGAGGCAGTCGTGCGCGGTGTCGTCGACCGAGCTCGAGTGAGATTGTTTTCCATAAGCTGAGAAAACAAAGCACGTTAGTATTACTCCGTAGCCAACCTGCGCGCAAGACAAGACATCAACATACATTCAACCGTTTCTTCGCATTCTCCAGGATCCTCTCCGCCTCGCTACTCAGTATCGCCGAGGAAAACTCCTCCCCGGGCCCCTTGCCCTCTGCAGCTGCAGACGCCACGGCGTTACTAGCGGGCACAGAAGAAACCCCCTGCAGCTCCAACGACGGCGGTAGCTTGCGCTCTCGCGACCTCGGGGTGAACGGGGGATTCGTCGCGTCCGTTATGCGCCTCAGACACATTCCTGGAAGTGGAAGCGCGTCTGCTCCCCGCACTGATGGTGGAATTGGAGCTACTCCACGCAGGATTATCCCTGCTCTGATCGTCGTGCTCATGCAGTAGCGGTGAGCTGGCCAGGTCTTGTTCGTCCGAATCGCCGAATCCCTCCGATCTGGCGGGCGAGAGCTCTTCGCCAATATCCGAGAGACGGCGGCTGACATTCACGTCGTCGTGTGTCCAGGCATGGCGGGAAAAATTTTTCTTCTGTCGACTGGGTGCGGACATGGAGGCATTGGGGTCCGATTGGTTGCGGGAATTGAGATGCGACAAGTAGGCGATTTGGGGTGGGGAGGGAGTTTGGGATTCGCGTTCGCCTTCGTATGGCAGGATCATGTCCGGGTCTGTTAGAGTGAGTGAGGGCATGTTTTCTCTCTCAGGCCCTGGGGCCTGGGGTTTTTCCGTTGCAGAATGGGTAGAAGGAGAGAGAGAAAGGGTCGAAGTCGCAGAATCGACCCGTGTACGGGTTGGGTACCGTTACAGTTAGTTTCTCCCCTTAGACAGTTTAGCGTGCCCTGATCATTGCCTTATTGGGATGTGTGGTTGTGAAGATATTCCCAATTTCATATCTCATACAGAGTAAAAACAAGTAGGTAGGGAATTAGGCTTCGACTACCCTTACAGTTGTCAATAGTGGTAGTTTAAGTAGCATTAGGTATAAAATAGCAGCTGATAGATCATAACAATGTTTTTCTATGTACACTTCGAGAACAACAAGCTTTCTCAGGTTATAATAATAAGATTACCTAGGTAAATGTCGATGCTCTAGTTTCTTTCTTTAATTAGGATTGTCTCACGCCAACTATTCGAGTAATACGGTGTAGTAAAAGAGACATGGCCCTTGAATGTGATGTATACCTATGCACACGCTCGTATAGGATGCATTATTGCAGTAAGGATATGAGGGTATGACCCAGACATATTTATTATTGATTGCACTATATTATTACCGTCAGCTGGATATTTCCAAGGGTCCTTTGTTATGGTTAAAATAAAAATGGACGAACCCCTGAGATCGGCCACCCGTAAGAGTATGAGTTCCACACCTGTGGAGAAGGTAATTTCAGGGACACTCAACGTTCATTAGAAGAAAAAAAGAAGAAAAAAGAGAAGAGAAAAAAAGAGAAGAGAAAAAAAGAAAGGTATGCTTTTTTGTATACAACGTAATTACACATGCAATAATCCCGTAGAAACGCTTATATCTAGATCTTTGAAAGCAACAACTTCGCACCACTGCTAGACGGGCTGGGCTTCTTCTTTCCATCCTTCTCCACGACCAACGCCGAGGCCTGCTCCAGCGCCTTCTTGTTTTTCTTCAGAGTCTTGAGCAGCTCGCTCTTCTTCTCAAAGTCCTCCGACTCAGCCAGCGCGACAATCACGAAGGGGTTAGCCCCCGTCGCCCAGTCCATGACCTCATCCTTGATCTGCTCGTACAGCACACTGTGGAAGTTCAACGCAGGCTCCACCTTCTCGACGGACTTCGAGGCTGGGTTGAATCGTCCACCCTGCACAAGAGACTTGAGAAGACGTCCGGCGTGTGCGGTATCGCGGGCTTCGGTGTGCGACTTGGCGGCCTCAGCCACGGCGGCGAGAGCGGCGGTCTTGTCACCGTCGGCTTCGAACAGCACCTCGGAGAGGAACTGGCAGCCGAAGGTCGTCTCGAGGAGAGTAGAGGCGCGGGCAGCGATGAATTCGAGCATTGTCGGCGAAGCGGCCTTGACGAGTTCCAGACGGCGCATGGCCGGGTCTTTCTTGGAGGTTTCCTTGCGGACCTCGCGGACTTCTTCAAGGACCGTTTGGTCGGCCTCGGGGAGGAGCCACTTGACGCGTTCGCCGGCGAAGGGGTATAGCACGGCGATACGTGCGGTCAAGTCGTTGACCTGGTAGCAGAGTTCCTCGTGGCGGGCCTCTTCGGCTTCGTTCTGGTTCAAAAGCTCGGGGAAGAAAGACTTGGCGCTGAGTTTTGTGTCATCAATGACCTCGTAAGCGGCAAGGATAACCTGGTGACCGTAGACGTCGCCGGCCATGGCCTTGACGGTGTCGCGGAAGAATCGTAGGAGCAGCTTGCGGTCTTTGGCGTTGGAGTATGCGAGCGTCAGACACATCAAACGGGAGCCGGACTTGGTGAAAGCCAAGTTCTTGACCAAGTCACCCTCTTCGTCACCCTTGAGCAGCTCGATGAACTCGTTCGCTTCGTTGCTGCCGGGTTTTGTGCAGAGGAAATATTGCAACATAGCATCGTGAAGCATGGTGAAACCGGTGCTCTTCTTCTGCACCAGCTGGTTAATCAGCTCGCGCAAGTAGTTCATGATCGGTCCACGCTTCTCGGGGTGGGCTTCGATGATCTTGGCGAGATCGGAAGTGGTGTCATTCTCATCTTGGAAAATGACAAACTCGGGACCGTACCACTCGCGGAGGAGTCTGTTTTTCTGTGCCTTGGTCGCAACTGTGCGGTAGATGTCGTCAAGAATCCATGAGCCCTCGGGGTGGCGGATGAGACGTCTGACATGGCCGTAGAACTCTGGGATGATCAAATCGCGGGTCTCGTCGTCTCCGTGGACAATCAACTTTCCAACCAAGAACTTGGCGTATCGACTTTGCGCCAGCTCCTTGTAAGTGCCCTTCAACTCGTGCGCGATCAGCTTGCGCTGCTCGAGGTTTCCGTACTTGAGAGCAGTCTGAATAACGCGCACCGAGTCGTGCTTGAACACAAAGTCACGAACGCGGGTAGTGATGATCTCAAACAGCTCCTTGACAAGCTTCTTTCTCTGTTCCAGAGGCACGTGGGACTTGCGGCGCAACTGCTCCCACAACTTCTTGGAGCGGGCGACAGTATCGGCATTGGGCTTCGCGGCCTTGCGCTCCTGCTGGAGTGCTTTTTGCTTGATGTGGGATTCGCGAGAGTTGTTGTCTAAGCGCGCAATAATGATTAGATGTGGCACCGCCAAGGAGGTAGAACTGAAACTTACTGTTGGGGTTGGGGTTGGGGTTCTTTGAGGCCTCATTCCGCTCTTCGTCATCCGCATCGGACTTCTTGTCTGACTTGGGCTTCTCCTCCTCCTCGCTCACATCGGGCATCTCATCGTCTGAAAGGGCATCAAGGGCATCAATATCTTCGTCCGAGACATCGTCAATGTCAAAGTCATCGTCGTCCGAGGATTCTTCCTTCTGAACCTTCTTCGAGGGCTTCTTGTCGCTCTTGCTGGATTTGGAATCCTTCTTGGAGTCCTTCTTAGATGAAGAGCTCGACTTCACGGACTTGGACTTCGATGCGGAGCCTTCCTTAGTCTTGCTCCGCTTGCCATTGCGCTCCTCACTGCCGTCAACAGCACGCTTCAATCCAGCCATTATGAAAGATAATTTCCGTAGGCTGTAGGGTATCTCCGATTGAAAAAAAAGTAATAAAACTGGGGTCTTTGCGAGCGGAGACTGCTCGATGTCCTGGTGGATAATTTTTTTTGATTGCAGGCGGAGGAAGTTTTTTTGCCAGCTGTTTGCACAGTTTGCACTGATAAGATACAACATAGCCCTGCCCAGGTGGACTACCTAGGTATGACTTCCAGCAGGTTCGTACACATTAGCAACAACATATTAAAATAAATATTTCTATTGAATTTCTAACAGAAAATAAGATCGACTGATATGTGGAGGTCCGAGGGCAGATTGCCATGGAAGTTCTATGAGAATAAAATGCAGGACATTGTCTTTGAACGAAGCACAGATGGCCCGAGTCGCAACTCGATAGCAACAGATGTACAAAATGCTAATAAGTGACATGAGCCACCCAGAGTCTCCAGGGACAAGATGATCCCTATTATCATCGACCAAGTCCCAGCTTATATTACTCCTTGAAAGAGTGTGGCTTACATCACCCGAAACAAACCCGAAACGCCGTAGAGAGAATCACAACGCATTAAACATAGCTCATCACTCATCATTTCATGTCTCATCGGTGGGCGCAGGTGCAGAGGGGGGACTTTCACAGACGCCAGTTCTGATCCGCCGCCACTCTGGCCGCGCTTCCGGCCGGGAATATGGAAGTTGAAGGACGAGGTAGAAGACTTGGGCCCGGGTGGTTGCGCATCGTTATTAGAGTCGCCGAATCTGGAGAGGAAACCCTTCTTCTTAGGTTTCGCCTCGTCGTTTAACCCTACTTCTTCGAAGGCTTCTTCCTCCATGATTTCAGACTTGGTGAGGCTATTGGAGTGAGTGCCCGACGGGGTTAACCGAGAGAATCGAGAATCGAGAGAAGTTCGAGAGGGACCAGCATCGGGATGTATGATGGGTGAGCGAGCGGAGATATCCTAGATTGGAGATTTAATGTCAGTCGGGTTTATGCAGATCGGTTCGGGTTCGTGGGGCATACAAATGATCGGCGATAAGAGTCAAAGGACTCGCGAGAGATGGAGAAAGGCTCATTCTCATCAACGAGATCTCGATGGTTAATGGATTTGTTGGAGCCCGGGTACCGGCGCCAGAAACTCGGCCGCTCTGGGGGAGAAGGCTATCGCAGTAATTAGCAGGTGTATCACATTTTCCCGAGAACACAGGCTATACCGGAAGATAGACACCGCTGTCGTTGACCACTATGGACCGAGGTTAGCATTATTAGCACTCCAAGGGAGCCAAGTCGCCGCAGCAGTCCTCGAAGTCACAGCAGTGCGGGGACTCAAACATACCACTCAATTTGTACTCGGTGGGTTCATCCTGGCTACTCCGGATCGGTATGGGCGCAGGGCGTTGGTTTGGAGAGAGATGGCTCTCATCCAAGACAGTGGGATCCCCATTGGGTTGGGACTTTCGTCCTAGGAAGTTGCGGAATGGAGGCATGGTTGAGGAAGTAAAGTCTAGGGAATTCGATTTCCCCCGTGAAAGGCCGGGTTAGGGTGATTAAGTGCCCCATCATCCGATTCTTGAGCCTACGTCATCCAAGAAGTTATGAAAAAATGAAAGGTCAAAGATCACTTGGGCAGCCAATAAGACTAGAATGTAATATGATATAATATATTCTGTTCTATTTTTCACTCTTTGATCTGCCCTGACCCAGTTCCCTGCCAACCTCGGTGCACATGCACAGGAACTGATGTAACTACTACATACTACATCTACATAAAACACGCTACATCTACTGCGATGAAAATAACATTTACTTCATACATTTAAGCCTAATGAATAAAGCTTTAAAGCTACAGATATCAGGAAGAAAAAAAAAAATACCCCCTTCAACACCCACGAACACCCAATTAGAAAGATCAGAACATTCCACATCCATCCATGGATGGATTCCTCCGAAATTTTCTATCGCAGTTCGCTTCATGAAAATAGATCCACCTGCAAACAAACTCCATAAGCAAATCAGACCCAAGACCAGCCTCAATTCAGAAGCCAATCGAGGCTTGGATGCCATGCATTTCGCCATCGCTTTCGTAATGGCAAGTTTCACCAGCAATTTACCTACACTGACAACGCAAAGGACGAAAAATGTGACTCGGACATTGTTGTTGGTTCCTTTTTTTTCGAAGTTTTGTGCTTTTAGACTTTTTGTTGTGATTTTTGTTTTTGTCCTTTTTTGTTGTCAGAAGCTAAGTGGCATTGTTAGGCTCAAGGAGATTGGCACTGTGGTGGCAATCCAGGGAGCGCGAGTCGGATGGGTCGAAGACGGCGTTCTTGCGCTCTTCGATGAAGTAGGCTGGGAATGTTAGTCAAGGAACTCCAGACATGTAAAAATCATGATATAATGTGATGTGACTTACGGGTCAGTTGAATCATATCAAACCAGCGGACGGCGTGCTCGTCGCTACCGTCAACTGCCTTCAGAATACCGTTGTCCGGGCGGAAAGTGGCCTTGGGAGGGATATGGCGCATGCGCAAGAGCATCTCCAGGATGTCGGCGAAGCGGTCAGACTGGTTGAAGTAGTAAGGAGGACGCTTGTCAAGGGGCCACTGGATGGATTGTTAAAGTTAGATGTATCATGAAAGAGTAGACATGATCCACTTACGCGCTGAGAGAAGTTCTCGTTGTCCCATGAACGGAACAGCCAGCAGGTGCGCTCCACGCAGTTCAGGAGGATAATAGCAACAATGAAAGTATCAAACCAGCCACACTTCTGGCGCTGAAGGAGTCGACGTTCCAAATCATTGATGACAAACTTGCTCAGCTGCGAGGCACGCTTCTCCATAGCGGCACGCAACTGACTGCAGAGAAGTCCATATGATTCTGGGTCAGACACCTCCTCGATGGGCAGACGGCCCTCATCCGATGGCTGAGAAAGAGAGTGCAACGAGTTCGGGGGCAGAGTAGGGTTGTAGTAAGTCTTCCAGGTGAGCTCCGTGTCGACGAGAATATGGGTCGCGACCCACAGCTCCAACACACGTTCCAGAAGGATATCCTGTATCTATGTCAATAAAAGTCTCCACATTGAATGTCAAACAACATACCTTCTTTCCCTGGCTGAGTTCAGCAGCAAGAAGCAAAGTGGGCTTCATGAAAGGCGAGGTCTCTCGCTCGTAGAAGTAAGAAGCGTTCTTCTTAATGTACATTTCCAACTTGCTTGGGATGTCATCCGAGTCCGCGTCCAGGAGGTAGACTTCTTGCGAGGGACCAGAGAATTGGTCATCTCCAAGGGCTTGCAACTGGGGGTCAAGTGCAGACACTGAAGAGCGATGACCCTGCAGTCCACTGAAAGTCATGAACGAATTGCTCTCCTCGAAGTGAGTAACTTCAATGCGACCAGAGTAGTGCTCAAACTTGATTTGGTTTTTAATGCTGTTAGTGTCATGGTAGGCAAGTGTAGAGTTGAGATCTAGAATCCGAGTCAGTATGTTCATATATCTTCAAAAAGAGCAAAACATAGGCAACATACTCGCATTGTAGAGTTCAAACTCATCAGAAAGGCGGGTGCGCAGGCACGGGTGCTTCCATAGACGAGCACTCTCCACGCTAGCGCAAGTTGTGCAAGGGGTATCGCCAGAGCACTATCATCATTCGTCAGTATTGTTCACTTATCTCACATCCACAGATTCGCAAATACATACAGGTTTCTTGAGCATTCGGCAACGAAGGCATGCACCCTTCTTCCGCACATCTTGAACTTCGCGGCGTCGCTCTGCCGTGAAACGTCCCCGAACCTTAGGCTTCATAGGCTTAGTTGAGTTACCAAACTCGTTCACAAACCCTTTTGCCTGGGTATTTGGGTTCATCGCAATAGGGCGAGGGTAAGATGCCGCACGCTGGGTGGCAGCAGTCAACGAGGGATCATGTTCTTGCAAGCTGTCGAAAAGAAGTTGCTCATGTGTGGACAGCTGCTGATTCCATTGGCCCAGCTTCATATCAGAGCTAAGGTTGTCACTGTCGATTGACATTCCTTGAGGGACCATCTCATTGGCGGAGGCCGCAATCATCGACAGTTGTGACTGGCGCGCATTAGAGGTAGATTCAGGCGACATGGACGCATCGCCGAGGGGCGGAGACATGGATGCAGGATGCTCGCCCGGGGTGTGACTTGGAAGGGCAGGAATACTAGGAGCGTTGGACGATTGGGGAGTTCCTGCAAGTTGTTAGTGGTCGAAGGCGTGCAAGATTGAACAAAAGGAAAACATACCCTCGGCATTTACTGTACCCTCCATCTTGGAGTCAGATTGCGAGTGTCCCTGGAATCCCTCCGTTTCAAGAGCAGGGTCAACAATCACGGTCTTGCCTCCAGCTGTCACAGACTGAGTGTATCCAGGTCCGCGCTTGGTCACGTCCGAGGCGCCCACCTGTCGCGAGGCTTCGGCCAACACGTTGAGACCGTCGAAATTCTGTCGATTGGGAAATCCACCATCGGCAGACTTGCCTTTACTTCCAGAAGGAGAATCTTTGTTCGAGTCACCGTCGGTCAAGTCGGGGAGTTCGTGGAGTCGCAACAACACGCGTTGGCGGTCGCGTAGGGGAATCGCCTGGCATTTTTTCACCAGATGGTTGGTGAGGCTGTCAATGCGACCCTTGGGAAATACTTCACCGCAGGCTTTGCACGTATGTTGGTAGCGATTGCTCGCGTCTTCCAGCTTAGGACCCCGGTGGAAGAACTCGAGGATGAGTTGGTTGGGTTTGCGACCCATTGTGGGGGTGGTTGTGGACGTGTTCTTGGGAGGTTTTCACGTGTCAAGTATGAGGCTAGTGACAGTAAAGAGTCAACCAGAGTAATCGACGTGTCGCTCGCTCAGAATAGGCAGTGTGTCCCGCCAAGCTGATGTCTGTGGACTCGGTTTAGAGACGCGGAATGTGGGATGTGGGAGAAAATCACGCACACAGTCACTGGGGACTGGGAGGCCCAGGCTGTGAACCTCAGATAGAACCTGGAGCCTCAGAAGAGACTCGAAATGGAACACAAAAATACAAATCTCAAGATGATTGAATCGATGATGTGCGGGCAAAACCCAGGGCAGTAGAGGGCGGTCTGGGAATCGCAAGGGGAGGAACACGCGATGGAGGCTTCACCGCACGAAAGGCGGTGATGTCTTCAAGGCGGTAGGAGAAAGGCGGTGATGAGAGAAGAAGAATGCCTCAATATCAACTTGGATATGAGACGAGGGAAAGGATGAGTTGTTACGGGATGAGGTTGAAGAAGAGGAAAGGTGAGTACTGGAGGGAGAGGAATTCTTAGTCACATTGTGCCACTGTGACTGCCTCTCCCTCTCTCTGAATCTCTCTCTCTCCTTCTGTATGTAAACTCTATGTATGGCGCAGTTATGCAAGCTGTAGCATTTATTTTTATTTTTTTATTTTTTTGGAGGCTTGGTAATCTGTATATACTTGGTACGCAGCAATACAAATAATTAGTATACATACTATCCCTACATGTAGGAAAACCGCCAATCCAAAGATTCCCGTGCCTATATTTCGGTGCTTGTCCCCGGGGCCCCAAACCTCAGTTCCCCCAATATTGTATGCAGCCAGTACCCGTTAACAACACTAAGAATATTGTTGCCACCGCAACTTATACTCCCATGAACCCATGGATGAAACCAAGACTATCTTGTGCATCAACAAATCCGGTGCTCGGGAGGCCGCCAGGGCACACCCAACAGAGCAAAAATCCGACGTTCATCCCGACCCTCAACCAGTCGGCCCCCATTCAGTTTCACCTGCTGGCGCCGAAGCACATCCGCATAGAGACCCTTTTGATTCAAGCACATGCCTTTCTTGCGTGCCAGCAATCTCATACTCCGGTTGAATATATCATTCCCCGTAAAGTATATCAACGCCGCCCCGATCTCCGCATCAGGAACGAACAACAAATCGATCCGACGCCACAGGTTGGTGCCAGGTAGGGCTGATGCGCCGTGCCACTTGGATCCATCCTGATGCGACGAGATGGCAAGGCTGGCCTGCAGAAAGCCACTATTGAACAATCTGGGGACAACAAGACCGAGCATCATGGTGCGGATTTGCTCCAGCGAGGCACCTGGTTTGGTGATCAGGCAGTCCACGTCCCCGCAGGTGAGTGCCCCGCGGCGGTAAGAGCCCCCGATGATCACCTGCATATCCCTATCCACGGCCTGCACCGCCTTTCGCACGATCGCCCCGTGGGCTTCGACCTCCTTGCGGGGAATTCGTTGCGTGAAGTCGCCGTGGCGTTCCACTCCAATACGCTGCTGCTTAGTCAATGGGGCCCTTTCCAATAAATCCTTCAGAGATTTGTAGCCCTGCGCGACCCATTTGGAGGCCTGGGGAAGACCAGCACCATAGACGCCGAGAAATTCTTTGATTATCAAGTCTTCTGGGGTATGATTGGTATTTTCGAGACGACGAAGGCGGTTAGTCAAGACAATTTCTTCGATTTTGTCAGCCAACCGCTCTCCGATCCCAGGGATTGCCCGAGCCTGTGCTCGTGTGGCAATCTTGTTTGGTTGCTTTCGCAAAGCGTTGATCGCTTTGCGATAGGCCAGAATCCGCCATTGGTCTGCCGTCTGGGTATAGTATTCCAGCATTTGCTGAAGTACCTCGATGGTTCTGTTGTTTGGGTTATCAAGTTTCGCGTCCGGATCGAACTTCTGCATACAGGCGAAACCTTTGGTCCAGTCAGATTTGTCTTTGTCTTTGTCTTTGCCTTCTCCAGTGGATGTTTTTCGTGTCTTCCAATTTGACTCCTCCCCTGAGCTCGAGGTTTCGATATCTGAGGCATCAGCAGCAAATTCGTCAATGGGAAATTCAACTGGATCCAGAGGCTGGTTATAAAGATCAGTTGTATGAGCTTTCAGTAACAAGAAGAAGTTTTACCAGATGACTTGTGGCCTTAGCCTCATCTATTATATCGTCCAGTGCATCCCGCTCCCAGTTTCCTCTTGTACACACTTCTTCGGTTGCAGTTTCATGGACCGGTTCGGAGATCACAGCGAGGGGCACACTTTGGGGTACGGTTTCTGGGAAGTCTTTTGGCAAGAGATTTGGCGTCGGTTCTTCGACTGGAGACAAATAACGGTCTGGGGACTGGTTTTTCTCCCGCCGCGATGGTTTCGATGGGAGAGAATCAGGAGGTGATGGTTCTGCCACTGGGGGCTTCTCCTTCTCGGCGGTCGTTGGGGATCCATTGACACCAAAGCGGAGGTGTGAGGTATCAAGAACCGAACGAAACTGGATACACTCGGATGGGTAGGATTCATTCACAAGAGCAACACTCGTCTGCAACAGTTAATATTGAAGTCTGAATATCTCATGAATGAACTGACTGGCAAAACTTCAAGCTTGAGGTAGCTAAGGAGATCCGTTGATAGCAAGCCTTTGTCCATAATTACATGAGTGACGTCGGTGGCCCAATTTCGACTCCATCGTGCACCATAATCTTGCGCTCGTTGAATGCGCAATCGTCGGAATGGAGATATATCGTTGTTTGGGAAGAAGACTGGAATCGAGAGTTCAGTGAGAGTAGGCTGTGAGAAATCTAGAGTACTTACAGAAGATTAATCCCTTGAAGATTTGCTGGTCATCTGGGATTATCTTGGCACTATTGGTTCTTCTTTTCTTTCGAGGAGGCCCTCCACTCTTGATGGTAGGCATAGTTCCAGTCGTCCCAGGGCGGTTCGTAGGAGCAGGTTTGGGGAAAGCGACGGGACTGCTTCTCTTGCTGTCACACGAAGATATAGGGTCCGAATTTGCACGAGGAAGTGGGATACACTCCGGGGAAAGAGCGACTCTATTTGGATTTGGTTTATCAAGTTCTTTGTCTGCAGAAGTCAGGAGACTCTCCCAGCTCTTATCTTCTTCATCTTGATCATCCGAATCATCCAGTCGGTCAAGAGCCGCAAAAAAGCTCTTTTTAGTCGGAAATAGGTCCTTCATAGTAGGCTAGTCCGGTTTCCAATGGAGGGGTGGGTGCCTGGGCCGGAAATGGTTCATGATATAGGTGCCTGGAGTCACTGTGGGACATCCATGAATGACTCGTATAATGTTTGTCCGAGAGAAAAGGAAGCGTAATGGTCCGAAAACTTCCTTGGGCCACTTTGGATGACCCGTGGACGTCAGACGCGATTGACTGGCGCGAAATGGGCGCCAAGTCACGTGATCCAGCCTAAAGTGGAAGGTATTTACTCAATAGGTGAACTATAGCCAGAAATATCTAATCCAGGTTTGAGAATAGCATAGACCTAGGTACATGGTATTATTTACTACTATTCTACAACATAAAATCTACTCTATAGTTATTGCCCCCAATAAGGATAGAACTAGCATCGACAACGATTCCTAAAGTGGAAATACTGTGTCATGTGACTCTCGATTTCCATGGAAGATCAAATGCGCGGACAAGTTCGAAAGCAATAACCTCACAATCCACCACCCTACACACCCGTGGACAGCCCATTGACTGATAGACCGTTAGCCAATATGTGGAAATCTGCCCTCCCCACCTTGGTGGCCGACCTCCCCCTCCTGCAGACCGGCCGCTGTCTAAGCTGCCAATTCCGCAACCCTGCAGCTCTCTCCCAGCTACGGACCAAACCCTTCTCTCTGCGCCAATATTCCAGCAAGCCTGAGAAACCAATCGACAGAAAAGACGCCGCCCCCGTGAAACGAAACATAAGAAACGAGGCACACCGCCTATCGACTGCCATCGAATTCAAACAGAACCAGCCCCAGGATGGACCTCAGCCCGGCGACGCAGACTTCGTTCCTCCAAGCCTGGACCGGCCCATTGGCAGCCCGCAAGCGCCATTAGAAGGACAAAACACAGGTGTTGACTCGCGGTCGATGCGCCAGCGGCGCGACGATTTCACCAACTATGACCGGCACATAAAGCGGCGCAAGGAATTGTACGATCTTGCCTCTTCCTCTTCGTCTCACACCCCGAGATAGATCCCAAAGCTGGCAATAGTAGTGCTAACAAACAATGGCAACCACAGGACAAAACAAGTCGCTAAGCCGTATTTCCGCGAATGGTCCAATCTCCGCTTCGCCGAGGGCAAGACCTTTGTCTCGAACCCGCGGCTGTTCAAAGCCGACAGAGCCCTTTACTTCCCGAACATGCGCGGCATAACGCTGGCGACACCGAAGGACCCCCAGGACACGACGACGCAGCTGCGCGGCAGCATCTCCGTCGTAAACTTGTTCTCAAGCGTGTGGGCCGAGAGCCAGGTTGCGACGTTTACGGGGCCGGAGCAGAATCCCGGACTTGTGGAGGCGATGGCCAGCGGCGGAAGACATGTGCAGAGGATTGACATCAATCTCGAGGAGAACCGGTTGAAGGCGTTTATAGTGAAGACGTTCATGTGGCGGATGCGGCAGAAATTGGCGAAGGAGCAGCATTCGCGCTACTTCCTTGTGCAGAAGGGTTTCGACCAGGCACTCAAGGAGACTATTGGAATGATGAATTCCAAGGTCGGTTATGTCTACCTGGTTGATTCGGAGTGTCGCATTCGCTGGGCGGGGAGTGGACCGGCTGAGAAGTCTGAGTTGGAGGGACTTAATGCTGGTTTGCGGAAGCTTATTGAGGAGAAGAAGACTATTCTCCGAGCGCAGGACCCGTCTCGCAAGTATTAATTGAGGCTGGGATGAAAAGGATTGCCTGAACTGGAGCCTTGGATGTGATTTTATTCCGCTCTCGGTTGAATTTGTACATACAATAGAGAATCTGTATAATAGAAAGTATAACAAATAGGCGCCTTCAAGACCCTTTCACGAGAATTATCATCGATTCTGTCGCATCCCCCATCAAGGGGGACTCGGAACATGCCCAAACCCAAACGCCTTCGACAAGATAAATCCACTCGCTGGAGAGCAGCAATCGACACAAGAACAATAAGACATAGTGGCAGCGCTATAGATGACCTGCCGCTGGAGCCTCGCATCCATACTTTACCGGAAGAACAGCAACATCAAAAAGCAGAACCCAATGAAGCACCCGAGGATAATAGCATCTCGCCTCTTCTTGTTTCCAATCTTGCCGATGAGATAGTTCATGCCGGGGACATTGCCAGCAGCGCCGACAATGCGCCGATTAATGTTGGCAATTGTCTCGCTCTGGACACCGAAGTTTTCATTGATGGCATATGCCTGGCTCAGCACGCCGTCCATCATGCTGTGGCTGTTCTCGACTCGGCCCCGCTCTTCGAGCATGTACTCGGCCTCGGCGGCGGCAGGGTTGGATGCGCGGTAGGAGCTGATGTCTGAGCGGACATTGGAGAGTAGGTTTGCGCGATCGCGCGATTCAGAAATGGCTGCGGTCAGACGTTGGAGCTCGCGGCGGTGGTCTTGCAGTACTTCGCGGTGGCGGGAGACATTGTTCTGTTTTAGGGCGGAGGAGGTGAGGGTGGCTTCGGAGTCGAGGAGACGGGATAGTTGGGCGATGACAGACTCGCGCTATACGGAAGTCAATTAGCTATCGGTACTTTTTTTCCTGTTGAATGTTGGTGGATGGACGTACTCTTTCGAGTAGGTCTTTCAATTGCGATTCAAGCCGTAGCTCTTCCTCGGTAGGTGATGGTGGAGGTTTGGTAATCGAGGCAAATTGTGAATAAGTGTGGAAAAGGTTCTCGGTCTATCGGTTCGTCAGTTAACATTGGTATAGAACTCCTGGTGAGGAGATATTGGTACCTGAGTTTCAAGCGACCGTGCTTGTTGCCGGAGCTGTGTCCAACCTGAACTGGTTGAGGATGCCATGGTAGGCAGAAGATATGTGTAATGTATATATGGAGTCACCAGAGAAGTCTGATCTGTTTTGTAGTTCTTTTCAGACTAAATAGTCAACCTGTGCAAGGGCCGAGGTGCTACCTGCTTGTCTACGTAAGTGCCAGCCCATGACGGGGTAAATCGCGCTAACCGAATACAGTAAATTTATGCCCCAGGGCCCAGGCATCTACTGGCCAGAAACTTCAGGCATTATATCCAGGCATTAGTGCCACCGTAATCACGTGCACCCGCTAAAGTCACAAATTCGCTTAGCCCTAGTCCCACAACCAGTCGCAAATTGACCCTCGGACATCTTCAATTCTCAACGTCGACAACCCACACAATTCAACGCCACCATGGTATGTCGTGCTGTGCAAAGGCTCTGATAACAAAATGCTGATGAATCGCTCTTTTTTCGCAGTCGTCCAAGGTCAAGGCTGGTCAGCTCTGGGGCAAGAACAAGGATGAGCTCGCCACACAGCTCGAGGAGTTGAAGATTGAGCTCAACGCTCTCCGCGTTCAGAAGATCTCTTCCGGCGCTTCCTCCAAGACTCAGAGAATGTGCGTATCCGACACCCCCGATATTTGATTTTTTTTGTGCGGATGGAATTTGAAGATCTGCGGGATGGGAACGATCGAACCCGGACAAGACAACAATACAAGAGGAGGATTACGCCAGCATTCAACCAAGCGATCGATGAGGAAGAGATGGATTATACGATCTGGCACAAAGCGCACGATTACTGGGGGCTCATCGATATTCGAGATTTGATGCTGACTGGAATTTTTCTTTAGCGGCGAGGTTCGCAAGTCGATCGCTCGTGTTCTCACCGTCATCAACGCCAACCAGCGCGCTCAGCTGCGTCTGTTCTACAAGAACAAGAAGTACCTCCCGCTCGACCTCCGCCCCAAGCTCACCCGTGAGATCCGCCGCCGTCTCACCAAGCACGAGCGTACCCAGACCACCGACAAGCTCCGCAAGCGTGCCATCCACTTCCCCCAGCGGAAGTACGCCGTTAAGGTATGATACTCCGACAATCCTGGGCAGGGAATAGGTGGAACGAGGGTTCATAGATGTTCGCTCATCTTTGCCCTTGCCACCAAGAACCTCGCCCATCAGACGAAACGAATCAGCCGAACACAATGCTGACGATTTATTTGTTGCAGGCTTAAACGCAGAACTTGTTCGGATATGGAGTTTTGTGGGAAGACGTTGCTGGCCTTGGACATAAGCAGGACGTGACAGATGGATCCGAAAGCTTGTGGAGGGGTCGGTTTTTCTTTTTTTTACATCCAAAAAATGGAATTTGATTATGTATCTAAATAGGATGCAAATCGACTCTTGACATGACATGATTTTAGACATTCTCCAAGGTTTCTTTCCTTGCTCTTGCTCTCACTCTTGCTATCATGTAAGACTGGTGAATATATCTCATGGATATGTATCGTCTGCCAGGACTCGATATATATATATTTCTACAATATACATATCTTGAGTAATTTGCATTTCCAGTCTACGTCTCAAGTACAAAGCAAAAATAAATGTCGGATTGAGGATCCATGGATGTCTTGCTATGGTCACCAAACGAATCTAGATGCAAGACATCCCAATACCACCCACTCCACAAGTATGCCTAAGATTTAAAAAAAACCAACATGTCCTCACGTCCTGGATCAGCCAGCCCTACACCACCTTAGATCAAAGCCAGAATGCCAGCTATAGTATCCAATTTCAGCACTGACTGATGTCCTAAGTCTGGCTAACCCTATTGCCACTGCCATTCGCACTCGCAGTCCTAACCCCAATATCCCCAGTATCCGTCTCAAGAACCCACATCCCCCCGCAAAGACAAGACCGCAACAGCCCCAGCTTAGCAATCATCTTAAACGACAGAAGCGACCGAGGCAGATTCGTATCACCAGAGACCTCACAGCAGCGCGCACACCTGCGCTTCTTCAGCGGCGCCACGCGACCATCATTCCCCAATGGCAAGGGCGGGCGCAACGGACACTTCTTGAGGATGTCGACCTCACGCTGCTTACGGTACAGCGCCGTGCGTCGGTCATTCCCAAAACCAAGCCAGCTATAATCCCCGAGGTAGATAGCCATGCGGTTGATTTCGGATTTGAGCGCGGGGACTGTCTGCCGGAGGAGGGTAGCGACGGCTGTGGTGAGGACTGGCGGAATGCGCGCATTAACCAGCAGTTCCTTTTCCGGACCCGGTCTTTCGGCGTCGCCGAAGCCAGCGCCTTGGTAGGCGTGCTTCACGGCTGAGTCGACTCCTGCCAGGAACTTCTCGTACACGTCGATTCGTACCGGCGATGATTCTAGTGTTTGGCAGATCTCTGTGTAGTAGATACGGGAGTCGCCTAGAAGAGAGGCGGGGTTTGCGCTTGCGAAGCCGGCATGCACGCCGCGGAGGCCGCGGCAGATGAAGCGGAGGAAGGCGCGCGACATGCTTGAGAGGAGGATTAGGAGGGGGAGGGAAGAGGAGTTTTTCACTGCGAAGATAGTCAGATGGGTGAGCTTGAAGCTGGAGTTTGTTATGGAGGGTTCCTTACATTTCTGTGTGAATGCTTCTGGGTCATTGAAGACATCTTCGAATTCGTCGGCCATGTCGAAGATTTCGTTTAGGAGAAAGTGAGAGAAGTCTAATGTCCATTTGGTGTTACCCAAGACCATGCGTAGAACATCTTTGTTTCAATTAGCAACGGGTCACGATAACTGAGTTGGCTTTTTCTGAACTCACCTGGATCATGCGACTCAGTCTGTCCCCCTTTATTATACTGGAAGAAATATGCAAATAGCACTGAGGCATGTCTGAGTTGAAGGCTTGCCCACGGCACAGCCGATGAGAGATTGCGGCGCTTGAGTCTCCCTTTGAAGCCCAGTCCTGCCTGTAAGCTTAGACAACGAGGTATGTACGGATGGCTCATGAGTTTGTCCTGTTCGGCTGTGAAATTGCAATTAACCGGCAGTGCACGATACACCTCGCTGATGAATGTGATTTGAGCCTCTTTGGGGATTGTCAGCGGTCTTGGTAATAATACGAAGGTCTTCGGAGCACTCACCTGGTGATAGTTGCCCGAGAGCAACCATGAGTATGTCGTCTGTATTGAAATCAACTCCGCAGCCTCGACTGAATGCCAATGTCAAGGCCGCAATGGCCGCGGAAAAATTGTCTACATGTCTCGGTCAGTATTATTATCTCACAAAGGTGACCTGATAGGTGATCTAGAAAACACATACTCTCGTCATAGAGACCTTCTGTGGATCCGAACGAATGCTCCATCACCCTCAATTGCATATGTCCGTCAATATCCAGCGTAACGGCAACGCAAGCGTTAGGAGAGAAAGCAATGTGGAGACCTGTCCATGTCAGTTCTAGCCACGCATCCGAAAGCAATATCCATCAATTCCGGGCATACCTGATGTTTCGAGTGGGTACTGGAACCCGGCCTGGGCCAGACAGGTCACTGTGCTTGAATCGTCAAGGTCGTTCAAAACGGTCATTGTCCGTGTGTCGTAGCATGTTATTGAGCTGTCGTCATGACTGACAGCCAATACTGTCCCATGCTCTACTAAATCGACCGAGACAATATACTTGTCGCAATAAATGTCCTCCAACCTGCGAAGTTCCATTTTGGGCTGAGGATGCGTCAGTCTAGATTTCACGCAACAGTCAAACCCCGAAGAATTCACACCTTTGCTTGAGCGTTGCTCTTTTTTGACGTCACCTCGTCAAACTTGGGATGGAGGATCTGCGGTGCAGATTCCAAATGCCACCTGACAATCACACTCGGCGGGCCTTGCTGATCTGGATAGTCATGTATAGCATGGAGTGGCTTCGATAAGACAGCCAGGATCCAAGGATTGGCAGTGGACCCCGCGGGGCTATCAAACTGTCCCGGCATGATCTCTAGTCGTGTCAACGAGTATACCGAGTTCAAAAACGGCAAAGACTGGTCGGAGTGCTCCGGGCCCCGGTTGATGTTCAATATATTGCTGGGCATGTCGACCTTACAGTGGATTAAACGGAAGGTAGGGATAGGGAATTGGCCAGGCGGTTTTCCTTGTGCCGGCTCCCATTGTGACGGGTTCCAGCTGATGTGTACTCTATAAAGACACATTTTCTGGCATGCAGAATAGGTGGAGAGAAGGATCCCAGCTGTTTTAATACGTTAGTAACGGCGGGAAATGGAGCTCCGACTGAAAGGCGATACCTTGTGTGGCGGTCATGGATGCATGCGTTAATAGTCTGTCCGAGTACCCTGTGTTCTTCAGTTCAGCTGGCAGCTCGGCCCATTTGCTGTCTGGGTTTTGATATATCAGCTTGATCTGGCCGGCTCTGGTCACACATATCAATGCGCCTTTGTTGGCTGGGTGGAATGGCCCGACGGGGCGTCGACGGAAAGGCGAGTATGCCCATCGACCATTCACCTTGGCTGCTTGGTGAAATGCATGCACCTATATTTCCATGTTAAAATCCTTTCGCTCCTATCTTGATCTATCTTAACAGATAATGGTTCGGGGACTCGACGTACATAACGCTGGGAGTTCAGCCACATCATTCCAACAACCTGGCTGCCATCGTCGCCGGAGTCAAATGAGGCCTGACGCAAGCCTGTGATGCTGTTCAATGCAATTGAAATGGAATATATTGATATGCGACCAGAAAAGTCGACAACGGCCAGTTCTGAGCCGGTCTCATTCCATGATAGATGGGCCAGCTGATTGCCATTATGGGCCTCCAAGACTGGAGCCAAAGATGACTCCTCTCCGAGCACCCATTTGCCATCCGATGGACGACACTGGAGATGGCGGACAATAACCCGGAGTCCGTCTGGGGAAATAGATGCAATACATCCCATCCGAGACCAGGCGATTTTCCTAGAAGATTGTTAGTCCTGGAATGCGGATGTAGAGCATTCTTCCACGCTTACTGGCAGCACCCTAATAGACGCATTTCATCTAGGCATTGTGCTAGACCTTTGATTGGGGAGGCGGCCGGCAAGCCCAGCTCCAGGGAGTTAGGTTCTCCAAAGAGATCATCCACATCGATACCGTCCTCCATGATCAAGGGCATAATATTTGTCGGACCACTTGTCAAGTATGTTTGATAATCAGGGAATCAATACAGCAGCATGGCTTCATAGAGTTCCCCGGACCATTGAATATCAGATGGGCTTTATTATTATTTGGTCAAGGGGGCAGGGGATTCCCGAGATCGGCGCGTAATGTTCGAGGAGATGTCACAAACACCAACGATATCACAGTCAATGCAGCAATTCCAGACTTCAATATGAGGGGACCATAGACCAAATCCAGATGTTCCTATGCCGTCAGCGCCTGGACCTCCAGGGACCGGTGGATTTCCCGATGTGCTTAGTCAGACCTCGTGACATGGATCAGGTGACGGGTAGCCCTGCCAACGTCAACTGACCAATCAGAAGAATATCAGGTGACCCACTATATAGCAGAGCGAATCACTGTCGGGCCCTCGAACTGTCAAAACATGGAAAATAGAAAAAAAGATGGAAAAGAAAATAGGAAGGAAAATAGGGAAAAATAAGAGAATAATAGGAAGAGCGCAATAGGGAGTATTAAGAGCCCTATTAGTGTGTAAAAGGGCAATTGACTATTATAAACCCCCTACAAAGTACAATCAATGGTGTTTCAAAGAGGATGAAAGAAGCTATTACTGGACTATTTCCCTCTTTATTCCGAAGTATATGCATAGCAGTCTTAAACCCACAACCGTTCGCATCAAAACAACATCGAGTCCCGCCCTTTCTGGTCATTTCGGTTCAAATCAATTTACTTCCTCAACCACATTCACATTCCTACGGAAATCCCATACCTACGGCCAAAACAAAGAGTTGTTTTTCCTACGGGCCGCCCTTTTTTTATTCTTTTTTTCTCCGGCCCATAGAGCCCTGAAGTGCACGAGTTTCATTAATGCCCTTCCCCCCCCCCAAACGCTGACCTCATCGTCAACTTCCTCCAGAGCTACAACTTTCTACCTACAACTACCCCTACACTTCTCTACCCTTTCTCCCATCTATCTCAAGGTCTTACACGTCATTGATCTTTATTGATCTTTATTCCCCAGACACATGATTTCTCTTTTCAAGGTTTTCTACGGTCTGTGAGCACTTTGGAGATACCACCCGGATTTTTTCGCCCCGATTCCCCCTGGGGGTGAACATTCTCCTACGCGGTTACACCTTTCAGCCCATTCGCAACTCCCACGCAGCCATGGGGGAATTCAATTTAGATTTTTCATCTGATTCGGAGTTGAGCTCCGTGCCCCCATCACCAACATTAGCAGCGCAGTCATCACCAGAGCCAGCAGAGCGGTACCCAACGCCTTCATCCCAAGAGGGAGCTGAGCCTGCTGAGGGTTCTGCACGCCAAGCCCGTCCCGCAAAGAGGAGACGCAACCCCCTACCAAAGGAACGGACTACTCAATATCTCGATCTATCCAAATCTCTCTATGAACAGAATGGTCAACACCATTTGCTTGTTCAAACTCTGCGTCATCAAAAAGATATTGTCGTCATCGCTGGCGCTGGCATTTCCACGGCTGCGGGTAGTAAGTTTCTGCTTTTGGATTCTGCCATATTTGAACCAACTCTTACCTCTGCACATAGTTCCGGACTTCCGCTCCACGGACGGTCTCTTCAAATCATTGCAAAAAAAGCACAACCTGAAAGCTTCCGGCAAGCTTCTCTTCGATGCTGCCGTCTATCAGGATGACGCATTGACCGCCCCTTTCCATGAAATGGTCCGGTCGCTGTCGGAGGAGGTTGCCAATATCAAACCCACCGCCTTCCACCAAATGCTCGCCCGATTAGGTATCGAGTCTCGCCTGAAGCGACTTTACACCCAAAATATCGATGGCATTGAAACCTCTATGGAACCACTGGCAACTGAGGTCCCGCTTAATGTCAAGGGTAGTTGGCCGGTCACTATTCAACTGCACGGCAGTATCGAGAAGATGGTATGCCAGAAGTGTTGCTACCTCGACAACTTCAAACCCGATATGTTCATGGAAGCCGATCCGCCCGCTTGCACAGAGTGCGCTGAGTACGACAAAATTCGCCAAATCGGCGGTCAACGGAGTCATGGAATCGGCCGCATGCGCCCGCGCATCGTCCTGTACAACGAGCACAACCCCGACGAGGAGGCAATCACTTCCGTGATGAACGCCGATATCAAGTCCCGCCCTCGTGTCCTGATTGTCGCGGGTACCAGCTTGAAGATTCCCGGGGTCCGCCGACTCGTCAAGAGCTTGTGCACAATGATCCGCAGTCGCAAGGATGGTGTCACGATGTTCATCAACAATGAACCACCAAGCGGCAAAGAATTCGATAACTGCTTTGACTTGATCATCAAGGGCTCATGCGATGAAGTTGCACGTCAGGTGAACCTGAAATCATGGGAGTCAGGGGACATTACCCCATGCGTGTATGAATCCTCGCCCGAGCCCATTTCTCACGGCTTCAGTTCCACGGACGTTTCCGTCGTTGTCACGCCGAAAAAGAGACCTCGTGCAGATACTGGTCTTGTCACACCTTCTTCCAGCCATGACGAGAAGCCTATGAAAAAGCCGGCCACCAAAGCTACGAAAATCAAGATCGAAAACCCAGCAAGCAATGGGCGATCCATCCAAGATATTATCAAGAAAGAAAAGCCTGCTGCTCGCAAGCCTACCTCCAAGTTCATCACCAAGCCCGCCCCCAATCCTCGTCCCAAGAAGCCCACAACAACTGCTGCCTCGAAAAAGCGCGGCGTGCCCGCCGTCCCGGTCAACAAAATCAGCTCGTACAGCCGTGTTACCAAAACCTCTCAATCCGCTGGCAAGTTGGTCACAAAGGCCGACGGCAAACCTATGCAACCGGTCCCAGCGGGCGCCTCGAGGAACAACGGTCCTCTGCCAAAAACAGAGCAACCCGAGAAAGCAGACATGCTCAACCCAGAGTCTCTTCCTCGGCCAGTGGCTTCCTCGTGACTGTTTTATGTTCCGGTCATGATATTGATATTCTATTCTATGTTGACTGCAAGTTCATGACATGATGCATGGTTACCAAATGGCGTCCTTGGAGTTATTTCTTTTCATTCTTCTTCCCAGTGCTACCTTCACTGCTCCCCCTATCCCCTTCTGAAATTTTCCATTTCTTCACTTATGTTTACATACTTCCTCTTCGTGGACTGTATTCCTACTTGCATCACCTGCGTTTGCTTTAGGATGATGATTGCTACTATCCTCTTTTCGCAAGATACCATTGATAGACCACGGTTTCTCGCATGGGTTGGCTCAGGCGTTTTTCGGGAAAGAAGCTGGCATATTCCAGCGCGATGGGATTTTCTTATTTCAAGTCTTTTTCTATTCTTATTCTCTATTCTTATTTTCGCTCGTGCCAATCTGCAGGGGTGTTCACATTTGGATTATCTAAATGAGATATCCCCGACTTCATCACACCTCATACAATTTCAATCTTGTTAGGTGCTGTCTCGTTTAATACTCTTTTCCTCGTTCTACTGGGATGTAATTTCGTCTCTTTCTCTTGTTCCTGTAGGCTTCAATGCCTAGTGTAGTAGGGCATTGCGGTTTGATATAATATATTTATATAAACTCCTGGCTGCGCAACTGTATTGCATGTCGAGGATTGATATACTACATATATATTCTGGACTTTATCCAAACTTACCCACCATCTTCGACTGTATCCAAGTATATATATCAACAGAGCGCAGCATAAAATCCATTCGTCATTATGTGTATAATACAGCAGAAACATTCTTTTCTTTGCCAGTCAACCTCTCCCCAATGCCATCCAGGTTTGAGTCGTCTTTAGCTCATCCACATATAAACCCCTTTGACATGGTATAGATAATTAGCCCAACCCAAGATCATCCCGCAGCTGACTACCAGGCCCATCCTCATCTTCATCCGTCTCCTCAGCATCGGGATCATAAGGCCCCCTTCTCGCACCAGGCTCACGGTCCAAATCCTCCACATGCTCAAGGTTATCCTCACGCGGAGCACTTTCCTCCTCCTCTTCATCATCCTCACTCTCATCATCTTCTTCCTCTTCCTCTTCGACATCTTCCTCTTGAGTCTCATCCCCATCATCCCCAGCAGGCGGACCAACAGCTACCTCCACATCTCCGTCCCGCTTCACTCTTTTCGCGGGGTTATCAGACATCTCGACATCACCATCGCCCTGAGTCGCGCCCTCGCCTGACGCACCCTGCGTCGTGCCATTCTCGTCAACCTTCTTCGGCTTGCGCTTCCCGGCTTTGATTTCCGTGTATGCCTCCAGTTCTTGTTCAAGTCGGCCGCGGAAAGAGTCGAGTTCTAGCTCGGAGAGGGCGTTGAAGACGTCTGCTGGGGCGATGGTGCGTTTGAGGGTTGCATCGTTGGCGCTAAGGTTGGATCGAGGGTTAGTTCGATATATCATACCATGGGATAGAGTAGAACAAATCGAGATTTGCCATCCCGTATTCTGGACTGGAGGACTCGAATGCAAAGGCCAAGGGCAGCGGGGCAAGGACAAACATACTGTGAAGACAGATAGGAAACGAACACCGTAGCAGCCTTCTGCATAGCTAACACGGCGTCCTTCTGGATCGTCGTATTCGGCGGGAGAACCGACTTGGCGAGACGAATCGTCAATGAGCGTGGTAGGAGATAGTCCTACGGATTATCGGAGAATAGCGTTAGCCTTGGTTCCCTTTTCCCACATGCCGTATATGAAGGAGTGCATGGATATGGTATCATCCTGCAATACACAATGCATGCTCAAGTCTCTGTCTTTGTTCTTACCTCGACACTTGCGCCCGCCTCAGCGCGAGCCTTCAACTGCTGCTCCGTCGCAAAGACGGGCTTGTCGGTGTGCGGTGCTGGAGGCGACTGCTGGAGCAGGGAGTCATCTGGATCAGCGGCCGTCACTGAGGACGTGGATTTTCGAGGTGGCATTTTTGTAGGTTTGGAGCGGGTAAGGTGTCTTCGTGCTGGTTGCGCGGTTTAAGGGATCGGGGGGTTGACGATCTGGGCCCCCCTTGGATATTGAATCGAGTCAAGGCCTGATTGTTTCTCTCTATAGAGGACCTTAGGGTTGTATTCAGGGTTGAGCTGTGGTTATGGGCTTTGGAGATGGGACAGCGTTCGAGGGTTGCAAGGAAGACGCGCCAACGCGTTGGATTTCTCGATGCGCGAGTGTGGGGGCTTGGCGGTGATGTCTACTCTACTTCGACATGATTTTCTATTTCAATCTTCACTTCTACAATAATATATATTACGATCTACAGTTTTAGTGGGTTTATTTGGAAAATAGTCATTTTACTGATGTTTTTATACCACTGAAATTGAGATCAAACCTAGGGAAGGATGGAATGCCAACATAATTAAAACGCCCACTTTTTGGTATCCAGGAAGATAGAATCAAATGAGATAATGAGTTCATAACGCGAGCAGGAAGAGCAGCCCTTACTCGGCCATCTCCTCGTCATCACCTTGTCCGTTGCCCCAGAGACCCTCGATACTGAACTCCTTGGCCCACTCGGTGACGACCTTTGTAGTGTCGACACCAGGCTCAATATCGCCGGCAGGAGCATCCGCCGAGACAACGGGCAGCACGGGCGCATTGGCCCAGCCTTGAATGCGTCCATCTCTCCAGTCGTTGATAACGGTCATGGCAGCGCTCTCGATGTTGGGGACACCGCGCTTTCCGAGACGGCCGCGCTTGCGGGCGACCTGGACCAAGAAGTCGGTGGTCTTGTCGCCATTGCCGGGGAAGAGGGCAGTGATGCCGTACAACTCGAGCATCTTGGCGAGGAGGTTCTCCGATGAGGATAGACGCTTCATCAGGAGGTTGACTGCGGGGATGGGATCCTCAATCTGCTTGGGCGGGATGGCATTGAGGAGAATGAGACGGGCCTGGTCTTCTTGCTTCTTGTTCTTCTTGCTAGACTTGTCACCGGAGCTGGGGAAGACAATTCCGGGCGAGTCAATCAGCTTGAGCTTGCTGTCGAGCTTGACCTGGCGCAGGCTAGTGGTAACACCAGCCTCGGCGCCTGTTGGGCATGCATTGCTCGAGCCCTTGTTCAGACGTGCGGTGAGTGCGTTGATGACGGACGACTTGCCGACATTGGGGTATCCAATGACACCGACAGAGACGGCTCGCTTCAGCTGCTTGGCGCCGGCGTATGACTTAAGGGCACGGAAGAGCGTATCCGAAGTACCCTTGACCGTCAACTGCTTGTGGTCGAAGCTGTGTGCGTTGGCAGTGGTGCCGCTGGATGCCTTAAGAGGGAGAGTGGGGAAAGAGCGGCGCAGGTGAAGCAACCAGGCCTTGAGCACTGGCGGCGGAACCAGATCGATCTTGTTCAAAATGAGAATCAACCGTTTGTTGCCACCATCTGCCATCATGATCTCGCGCTCAATATCCTTTGAGCGGGTGCCCTCGGGGTCGCGGGCATCAAGCACGTACAGCACGACATCGGCGTTGTCGGTGACCTGCTTGAACACCTTGTCGAATTGGCGTCGTGAACTCTCCTTTGAGTAAGACTTTGAATTGACCAATGGTGGGGCAGACTCGTCAATAGTTGCGCCGCCCTCCTCATCGTCCTCATCCATCTCATCCTCGTCGTCTTCATCTTCCTCCATCTCTTCGTCGTCACTTTGGTTATCATCGTATTCTACAGCACGGGCGCGTGCTGAGGCGAGAAGAGCAGCCATGGGGTTCGAATCATTGCCCTCAGCATCCATATCATCATCCATAATATCGTTCTCGTCGATGTCGACAGCCTCGGTGCCAGTCTTGGCGGGCAGACCTTCAGTCTTGCGGGTTCGTGCCTCCTCGCGAATATGTTGTTGCTCCTCGGCCTTCATGCGCTTCCGCTCTTCAATGTCATGGAGAAGCTTGTCCTTGTTGGGGAAGAGATTGGGAATGCCGGGGTCCTTCTTAAGTTTTGACCGCCATTCAGGGTTCTGCAGAGAAAATAGTCAGAACCTTCGATCAAAACCATTATGGAGATATTGTCTGTAATACCTTCTTTGCGAGCTTCTTTTGCTTTCTCTGCTTCTGAACAGCAGACTTTTCTCTCTTGTGCCTCAGGCGGACGGGAACCCGCTTGGAAGTCTTGCCTGTAGACCGTTAGAATTACGCCTCAGGACCGCGTGAGCGAGTGGTGGAAAAGAGTATCATACCGAATCCGCTCTTAGTAACCATTTTGAATGCACGTATTTGTTGATCACAAAAAAGTGCACAGCAAACCCTCAAAGTCAGTCCGCAACGGGAGTAGAAAAAGTTGAGTGCCAAGATTTCCCAGCCGATAAGCGGATTAGCAGTTAGGCCGATCTCCGAAATTTTTCAAATGACTAAGCTTGCGGGAAGGTTACCAAATTAGGTACATACCCGACTCTGTGGAGGCATCGGAGATAAGCAAGAAATATATTTTGATGATGCCTTAGCCTCTATTATCTTCTCTTGAAGTTCTTGTTTCTCATACTGTTGATACTTCTGTTGATACATTCGAGAAAATTCTCAACAGATTGCTTCTTGTCTTTCACTCAACATCAGCTTCTCTGTCTCTCCATTGACTCCACGCACTCAACTCTCCCCGCATCCCCCACCATGACCGTTACAACAGGATCGTTCTCCGCGCCTGCGCAGGTCCATACATTCGATGGTCTTCTTTCTGACTTTGACGGCACAATCGTGGACTCGACTGATGGTATTCGATCCCCACTCGAGTCCTCCTAGGATCCATTGAAACCAATGCTGACTATCCGGTATTAAACAGCCATTGTGAAGCACTGGCACAAGTGAGTCATAAACACACCCCACATGACCTCCGCAAACAGAATCCCTAACATGGTTCCCGCTTTAGAATTGGCGAAGAGCTCGGCGTCGACCCCAAGACTATCCTCGCGACCTCGCATGGCCGCCGCAGCATCGATGTAATGGGTCTATACGACCAGACCAAGGCCAACTGGGACTGTAAGTCTACCGGACATTCCAAACACTCAGAACCGACTCCTATCTACCAGCATAGCCATAGGATATAAACTGACAACACCACCTCACCACAGATGTCAATGAAATCGAAGGCCGCATCCCGAAAGAATTCGGCTCCGACGCCGTCGAGATCCCGGGCGGCCGCGACCTTATCGCAGCCCTCGAGACCTCCGGCGCAAGATGGGGTGTTGTAACATCCGGCACGCGCCCTCTAATCGACGGCTGGCTGGAAGTACTCAACCTCCCACACCCCAAGAACCTGGTGACAGCAATGGACGTGCCGCTCGGCAAGCCGGACCCGCGCTGCTACCTGCTAGGCCGGAAGCTGATTGGCATTGAAGAGTCAACCTCGATTGTCGTACTCGAGGATGCACCGTCTGGTATCAAGGCTGGTAAGGCTGCTGGGTTCAAAGTGATTGCGTTGACGACGACGCATTCGCTGCAGAAGCTTCAGGAGGCTGGTGCGGATTGGATTGTGGAAGATTTGAGGAGCATTTCGGTCAAGGCGGTTGTTGATGGCCAGGTGCAGATCGAGATCAAGAATGCGTATCAATAGATGGTCGTTGCCATCTCGGTTTCGCCGATTCGCTGCTGCATGGGCAGGGATGCACCGTTGCATTCGCTGCTGCGTAACGGGTTTCTTCGGAGTTGGATACACAGCCTAAAGATCTCATGGTAAAGAGGTCATGACTTTTTTAGAATTAACTTGCATTACATACAGGTTGGTTTGTTAGATATATATTCATATTTTTAGACTTTGTTATCAACCCTTGGTTTGTCTGGCTTGGCGTGGGAGTCATGTTTGTTGAGCTAGAGGACTTGTAAACTGGCAAATGTGCACCATTTGTTCGTATTTCCCTGAAAGGCGAGATCACAGCTGGTGGTGCTGAAAAAGGGTACCTCGTATCTACGTAGAAAGGGAACCAGGTTTTTTTTACTGCTGTCTCAGGCTATGTAACTGGCTCTGACGCCCACTGGACCTTTTGAGCAGGGCTGGATGCTCCCCGACCACAAGCACTGGGCTCTGCATATCCTGAAACGGTACAAAGATACAAAATCCTGAAGCAGCTCAGGTGGTTCCCCGGGCGGGGATGTAATCGGGCCAGGCAAGGTGCAAGGTGCAAGATGCAAGATAAAAAGTACATATGCACGAGTTCCACATATAACCCACCATGTGTAGATACTTTGAAGCAGGTATGGAGTTCACCCCAGCCATGCTCACGAATCGGTGGTTCTATGTTGCAGTACGGAGTACGAAGTACGAATTCGTTTAATGACAGCCGGCAGGTCTCATAACAAGGACGGTGGCTCGTCTAGATGATTCGGCCGGCAAGGATCAAGCTGTAGAGCTGTTGACACAGTAACTGGACGCCCTAGATCACCATGGCGTGCGTGGTGGACACCTTTCATAGGTATGCAACTACGCAATCCTTGCAGCTCAAAGCCGGATTTCTTCGTCACGGCGTTACAGCATGCAAATGTACCTGCTACTCACATCTGATCCAATGATTCGGGCAGGGCGGGCCGCGAACTACCGTTCATGCACGCTTGAGTCTTGGGTGGATGTGGAACCAGGCCGTGAGCACGGAAATGCACCCCCCGAGGAGGATGACTTCAGGTTTGGAAAAAAAATCCCAGATCTGCTCTTATTGGGGCTGGGAGTTTTGGCTGCAGCTGCAGCCAGCTCTTTCGGGAAAGGAGTTAGATGCTCACGAGGATATTGTGGATTTCCCTCCCGGCAACTTTGGAACAAGAGCATTGTGCGGATGTCATTGGTGAGAAAGTGGTTTGGGGGGGGAACATCCCACACCTGACTGGGGGAGCTTGGGGCCAGAGCCAAGCTTCTCTCCAGTGGTGTCGAGGAAGGCCAGTTGGCCGGTGAGAACAGCATGCAAGGGGGCAAGATTGCATCCTGCGCATGGGTCGGGAAGAGGTGATGCTCGAATGCAGACTCCTGAATATCGTCACAATTGACTGAACCGAGAAAGGCGATGTGGGAGAGCGCTTTTGCTCCAATCTGGAGGGGTTCCTCGCCCACGAACCTATTACGTCGTACACTGTATTAAGATGTGTGATAACGGATGATGGGCAAATTCAATCTCATCACATACAGCGGGTTTTGCTGTCATGCACTTCCCTACAACATAATTCCGATCTGGACCACAGCAGGATGCACCGGGTTGAAGGGCACGTCCAATCATGTTGCAGACCGTTCCTCTGTATATGGTTTCGCAGATTATTCTGCGAGCTTGAGCACTGGCCCCACGAAATTGACAAATACATAATTCCAAGGTTATATGCAGGACGCTCGATATAGTTGCGCACCGCCACAGAACTTTTCTCAGCGCCACAAGGGATCCCCGAGGAAGGCCGCGGGGGATCTATCACATTGACAGATCTGCACAGCTCGGCCACCTGGCTTCTGGTCACCGAAATACTCCGAGCCCTTAAAATATCGTGGTTGACGAGTCAAGAAAACCACTAAGCTATGCACGGCCATGGATAGGGGTTTGATATCATAATCGGAGGGTGGGGGGACAATCCTACCTCGGGAGGATCCCCAATTGACGGTCAATCTATGAAGGTTTGAAACTCGAGAGATATTTAGTTTTGCTATCACACTGTCGATCACATCCTCAGGTTTTCCCGGGAAATCGTGCCCCATTCTCCTTTTTATTTTTGCACACTTGGGCACTGTGTTGTTGCAAGGTCCAATATTTGAGATTGTGTTTTCCGGTGTAACGGTTCACATCAGATCCAATCAATAGTCGGATCCATGGGGCGAAGGGATCCGTGCGGGAAATACGTTACGGATCGACCCAGGGGTCGTCATGGCAGATCCCCCGAATTTTTGCCTAGATCTCTGTGCAACAATATAGTAATAGCCTAAATACTAGGTAATAAAGTACGAGAATGTTGTACTTTGTACTTTGTACTCCGTACTCCGTATATTACAGCAGCATTTAAAGGCGTAAAAAAGATCAGAGATCGGGAATTCTCAGCCAGACTGGAGTAATATCAAACTGGTCCGTTTCCACGCCGCTCGGATTTTGCTTATGATGTATGTAGTACTGTTCTCGCCATTACCTTGGACCATGAGACCATTTTGTGAGTGGGTTGGTGGGGCATGATGTGCCAAGACGAAAGTGAGCACAATCGCCCAAAGGAAGGAGTCATGAAGCCATCGGAGATCTCATCGGGTGTGATGTTCGAACACCGATACGCGCCCTGATGCACATGAAGCTTGAAAAGCCGATTCTAAGGTTTTGCATCGTCACAATCACATCCATCACAGTATTACTTCTAAAGGGCAAGATCAATGGTACACTACGATACAAAGTTTGGGGGGAATCTAAGAGCCACGTTGTGTACGGATACTCTCATATGATCTACCCACTCCGTGGAGCTACTAGTTGTCTCAAACAAGGTCTTTTCTATGGATTTTTCTCCGGATGGCTTCCTCCCTGGTGTCAATCACTCCACCGCAGTCTGCTAATCTATATGACTGGCTCACCGAGCATGATCAACCTTGGATCACTATAGCGTTGGCGGCTTTTTGGGTCAGATCATGCTGCCAGATAGAGCAGTCAAAATGGTAGATCACTAAATTGTGGAGGGGTGCTCTTGTGGCTTACAGCTAGAGCAGAGGTTCCGCTAGACCGGTTCATTGTTGCCTTATTCTCTCCGAGCGCCACTATTAATGTGTCAACGAGGTCAGAGTTTGGGTTATTTATGCGATCCTACGGTGAGGAGACAGGCGTTTGGAGATCTCTCGACTCCATAATTTCAGATTCGCCGCCCAGAGATCTATGTTTTGCTGTCAATGGTTCTGAACAGTCAAAGTGAAAGATTCTGAAATGTCCCATACTACTCCGTGCTATAACTATACAATATAGTTACAATGTATCTGTCTGACTACCAAATTAAGCGTGGGATGAAACAAAGTTGAGACAGGAAGAAAAGACCATAGCACCAAGGGCAGCCAGCTCAGCAGTCTCCGGATGTCCGGGCAGTGATCATCTTTAGGCGCATGTGCATGTTAAGGGGGTGGACAAAGTTAGAGATGCAACCCTCGTGACTTGCGTGCATGGAGCGTCTTATTTCCAGACGTTTAGCGCCTGTCGAGCAGGGTCCAACCAGATCCCTGGGAAAAGGCAAGATGGTGTCACACACCTGGAATATGGTTGGAGCCTGGAGGAAGCCGAATAACA